GGGGGGGGGGGGGGGGGGGGGGGTACACACTGCTGGGAAGTAGGGCATACAATTAGTGAATCTGAGCATTGGATGTTGCTACTTGGCAGTTCAATGTCAGGTGCATCATTATGTGCATCATTTGCTGAAGACTTGTGCTCAAAGCCCTCATAGTTCAAGCTGGGAAATTGGGCACAAGCACTTGAGCTGCTGGGAAAGATGAATCCATTCAATAAGACAGGTATACCAATGGATGCCTTGGGGCCATCCATTGGTATCTCATGCTGTTATAGGTCAGTCTGGTCTTTAATACCCAATCAGGAAGGCAGGTTCAAGGTGTGACCAATGGCTGAAATCGTGGCACTGTGGCTTATATTAGTCCAGGTCAAGACATGTATATGCCACCTACATGGGCTGCACAATCAGAAACCCCAGCAGATGCTGGTGAAGGTGCAGTTCAACCCTGTGAAGGAAACGTCAAGCATTTCGCTCATTTCAGTGTTGGCTATTGCAGGCGTCTCAGGAATGTTGCTCAATAATATGGACATGATTTAGAGCAGATAGATGGATGGTCAGGTGTATAGTGCATGTGCCTTGATTGTCTGTTTTTTTCTGTTTTCTGACATGACACCTAGTGCTGCAATCTCCATGGATGCATTTGATTGACATGACATCCCAATCTAGGAGACCACCAAGGCACTCACTTGATGATCTATGTCCCCTGCCCCCTTCATGCTCCAGCCAAATGCAACAGTGTGGAGGCTGCCAACCATGCAGCCTCTGGGTCACAATGTTGATCTGTGGCCCAAGGCTTTTGCACATGTGAATGCCTTGCAATTGGCAACAGAACATTGATGGCATTCAATATTTGTGGACTGAATGGTGATAGTCCATATGACTGACAGAACTCATTGCATTCATGCTCTGAGGTGAACAATCAAAATGCTGATGCCAGATTGCTGCCGCAGAATAGGGATCTGGGTAGGTCACTGTGATTCCTGTGAATTCCCCTTTACCCAGCATATTGGGGGAAGACACACAGGTTTGTCATGATCTGCGGATCAGTGAGGAGTCTGTTGCATCCTACCCAAAGAATCAGGTATAAATCCCATCAATATTAGTGGTAGTTACCCTGATAATCGCTAACATATACTTGGCCCTTCATCTTGACATATTGCAAATGCTGTGAGAAAGCTAGGAACCATGCAATAGGCCATGATCACCCTCACTAAAGCAGGGCGTAGCTTTGCTGTTGTGAATATACTTGATGAAAGACGCACGTGGAAGGAGCTCCTCCACTAGATAGTGCACATGTAGCCTGGTGTCCCTGCCATCTCTTGATGGCTGAGCCTGCATAACCCTGTACAGTCCTGCCATGACAAAACAAACACTTGGCCAATTGATGTTTCCAATTGTGTCATGTGCATGATGGTCCTGTAGCTTTACCATTATGCTGTCCATGACCAGCTTCTGCAAGGATGAGGCCCACATAAGTGCTGTTGCTTTGCCGGCCAGTTTCTCTTCTTCATCTGCCCTTGTAGTTTGGACCATGGAGTCCACACTGCCATCATTGGTGGATCTTGCATGTAGATACCATCTTTTGAAGGCAGCTTCTTTTTAAACCCCTAAGGGGAAAGGATTGTAGTCATGCTGTTGCCAGTCTTTCATGCTTTCATATAGAACAATGCTGCCTGGGTGAGCAGTCTTGAAGCTGCTGGGTTTCCCAAGAAGATTAGTGGCCCTTTTGTTGACCTTAGTACTGGCTTGACAAGCCTTGGACCACTCCAGGACAAATTTTGCATGGTTTTGCACTAGTGTGCCAAAATTGAGGACATGCACACCAATGAAATGCCCCATCTCTTGATAAACATCTGGGTCATATGGTTAGAATGAATTTGGATATTGTTGTTGCCAGGGCTCACAGGGGGGCAGATTTGTGGATTCCTGCATGGCGGTACTTTTGAGAAGAGCACTGCAGATACCATCTGCAGTGAGGAAGTGTACTGTAGGTGGCAGACTCCTCTCATTGGGGATTGTCACATGGACCTGCTTTAGCAGCAGACCCTTTGTCAGACTAGATTGCTGGCATCCATTATTAGCTGATAGTCTGAACCCAGGAGGACTTCAAATACTTATGTTGGAGGGCCCAACCATGCATACTCTCTTGCACTGTGCCGCACCCATTTTGGCAGTGAACACACTTATACCTGTATATTCCCCATTTACTCTGCCCTCAGGAGCCCCTTCAATACAACCACCTGTCTGCCCTATCTTGCATTGCTCCAGGTGGGCAAGCAGACAATTGTATACATGCGGCTTCATGACTAAACACAGGTCAAATTTTTTGCCCAACTGGAATTTGGCAGCAGACCCTTTTGGTTTCCCATGACCTGTGACTATGCATAAATTGTATAGGAGAGGGCAGGTATTGTCAAACCTCTCGCTTTTGTAGTCCTGTCCCTGCCTCGCAGGTTGTAATCATTGATTTGAATGACAAACCCATTCAAACGTTCAAAAACCTTACGCTGCATCATGCTGGTGAGGGCCTGCTTTATGGTGGCCCATGTGCTTTTGGCAGGAAGATCTGTTTTATCCTCAAAATTCTATAGCCATCATGAATGTGCATATTCCTGAATACTTACTCTGTATAGCTTTGACCTGTGTTTGCCTTCTTCATAATAGTCTATGCCAAACCAAATTTGGATGGTTTCTGCAGGCTGAGCAGCATATGCTTGCTTGGAAAGTTGGGCCAGGTCTTGCTTATAGTAAGCATGATCCTGGGTGTACCCATATATGCCTGGGATCTTAGCCAAGCCCAAAGAGGCTTGATAGGTTTGAGTAGAGTGTTGACCTTGGAAATCTGCATAAAGTGGACTTGCTATCTGAGGGGCAGCACCAATAGCTTGCACCACAGACCCACCAACTAGCGAGGTCATGGTAAGCTGGGTACATGTATCAGCAGGGGAAGTGTGATGCACTTTGCTTTTTGGCCAAGTTATTGAGCCATCTAATATCTTGCTCTGTTGTGCCATGAGCAGGCTCAGAATTGTGATGGAAAATAGTGTGAGGCTCGGTGATCAACGTATGTGTGATCTTGGAGCTGAGCTTGGCCTGATAGTAATGGAAATCGGTCTCACAGACCACCACAACCATATTGCCCTCTCACATGCACTGCCATGGGGTTCCAGCAGGTATGTAACCATTGTCTGTGCCAAAAGTCATGCACCTGGTCCCCCTCCTACAGTACATATCATTTGGGGATCTATACGTGAGACCAGCCAGTTGCAGGAGGATTGCCTGGGTCTCATGGTCAATCTGGTCCATTTCGGGATGCTGTACTTGAATGTGCACACATCAAGGGAAGTACTTATACTGAAGTCAAAGGCAAACCTGGATAGGTGGGAGGGGTGACCATGGCAGGAAAGAGAGGTGAAACCTCCCCCTCTTCCCTGGAAAAAAAAATGAAGATGTGAGATAGAATTGGGTGGTGGTGTACTTGTTGCACAGGGAAGCAGGGAATTTCTGCCCAACAACTGGTACATCACCAAAGCATAATGCAATCAAACTCATGTCCTTCTGCTGTAAGCCGGGTTGGGTAGATACAATGCATCTGAGCGGGTATCACTCAGTAGACCTTAATGTAGTGATATTTGCTTGGGACTTGACTCTAGCATCCATCCAAGCTGCAAGGAGGCACTACATTGCATGATATGATGGAATGCAGACAGAGAGGATTATTGAGTTGACAGGCCAAAAAAAGGTTGATCCATCAGGGTGGGGGTGACCCTGGTTGGGCAGAAGGGACAGCATGTGTGTTTATCCCACTGTCCGTCTACTCTTTGCCCAATCACATGATGACAGCGTGACTGCAGAGAGGATGGAAACAAAGAACCCAATCAGCCCAGAGTAAATTTCTGATTGCCCAGCATATTTTGATATTGAATATTGCATAGCCTCATGGAATCACAGTTTGCCATTTTCCTTTGGTATCTATGGAAGCATATAGAGAAGCATGGAGGATGGGTGTATGATTGACTACCCTCAGCATATGCAGATGGGGAATGAGAATTGTTGACCCTACACACTTGTTCAGACATGACTCCTCCAGTGACTGGTTGACATATAGAACTGTTACTGGACCAGTCTTGTCTGTACATTATCATGAACAATGTCCACAGTTGCATCTCCTTTGACTGATCAGCATGGCCCTTGCAAGTGCAACCAGCATCTGCCAACGGGTAAGTTAATATTACAATGAGCACCTGTAATCCCTGTCTCATGAGCGATTGATCCCTGGGACAGTGCCAGATGACATTCTCCTGCCATTGATCAAGCAATACTTTCACCATGGGCTCACGAATAAAGCAATTGCCAGAGCCATTTTATCTGATGTGCATGCAGTGGAAAATGGATGGACATTGACATAACTGCCAACAGTGCCTTCATTGCGGTGCAATGTACTCAACCTGTTGCAGTGCAAAGATGGTTCAATGCTGCCATGGAGAGATGAATCTGCAAAGTGTTTGACAACAGTGACATGATTTGAACACAATCACACCCCACATAGAGAATGTGCATTATCATTATACCAATGCTGGCATGAAACAATGTCAATCATGGCTGCATTTGGAGGGTATCCACACACCTTTGTAAGCATGGGTGTTTAAAACATAGTAACAAAGCTGACTTTGTCCTATGGATCCCTTATTCGCTCATATAATAACATTCACCATTGCAAAGAAGTTGAATGTTGATTGGGAACATGGCTGAAATGCAAGATGTTCATATTGGCAGGGGTGTTTGCTAATATTGCAGTGGATCATCACAATAAGTGGACACAATTCGGACTGTTCCTGCACCTCAGGGTGGAAATGTTCACAGGCAACCTAATGTGGATTAAGGTATGGTGGACAAACTCTAATCCTCAGCTAATCTTCAGCTACTATCTGCAAATGGCTTGCAAATACAAGGGTTAGCCTGGTCTGGACAGAATGGATTGACATCTATCACTCATGCTGTCCTTGTGTCAGGTATCCCTCTCCTGACACAATCAGATCTGGGGAGTGAGAACAACGGCATCACAAATGGCCACACCTTGTTACACCAGCAACTGGATCCCACCCTGAAGGGAATCCTACAACATGTATGGAAGCATGGACATACCAATATCAAAGCTGAGATCAAATGGTCTCAGTTGCGTTGAGAATTCTCACCAGGGTGGGAAACTCTGTTTGAAGAGGGTCTCACAGAAAACTGGTATGACCCAAGTGATCTTCTGCAATGGTATGTCTTGTGATTGAGCATTTTGATTGCACTGACGTGGCAATAATGTAGGTTATTATTTCGCCACATGGCTGTTCCATTGATACAGAAGCATCTGAACCTGTACATCTACATGCACAACTTGTCCAGGCTGCGCCCTGACAGAAACAAAGTCCTTCCTCATGGCATTCTGTCCCACATTCTTCACCATCCTGAGCGCTTTAATGATGCACATAATTTAAAGGGGGGTTGGCTTTTGGCTTGCTCAATGGCACAATGCTGATGTCACCCAAGGTTCATGTGACAGAAGAGGACCTGTGCACAGTGGAAGACTTGTATGCTCCACGAGATCATCCTGTTTTCCAGCTGGTACCAACTTGGTTTGATGACCTTTATGTATCTTATTGCCTCCATAAGCCTTTGCATAACAACAGCTGTACCTTTCTTACTCAATGGCATGATGGATTATGCTTCAAGGGCTTGGAATCCCTGAGATCTTGAAGTCAACCTTCTGGGTGGTCTATGGTCATTTGTTGTCAGTGTTTTGTGACACAGCAGGACTGGAAAGTATGTGAGGAGAGTTGGTATTGTACATCAGAATGGAAGAAACTGTGGCAAACAAGCATATTGACTTGATTGCTATGGAGAGTTCTGTTTTAGTTGACTATCACAAATGGCTGCCAGGCCTGGGAGGAGACGTGAATGCCTGGTATTTGGAGGCATCCCAGTCAGATAGAGTTCCTGACTTGGACATGTTACCAGTGGCTGAATTCACAATATAACCATCCACCATATATGCATGCCTGAATGTAGTCTTTTGCTTTGATGGTCAAATGAACCAATTAATAGGGACAAGCCATATTGGACTGGGTGAGCAGACATGGATGTGTGGTTCTTCATCTCTTTGTGACTTGACAACCATGGAGCAATTAAGTGATATGCAACATCACACTATGCAGCTCTGTTTGGCAGGACATAACATGTTCATCATGGGAGAAGCAGGTCCATGATTCAAGTTGCCAATATGCATAGAGTTATAACAAACACAGGTAGTGGCAAGACATACTTGTTGTGCTGTATTTTGAAAGCACTGCTTGCCAAACACACAAACATAGGTGCAGTGGGCATCACCACTACCACTGCCTTGGCAGCTGTGGAGCTTGGGGGATGTACGCTTCATTTGTATACAGGAATTGGACTCAGGGATGGATCAGTGGAAGAGCTGTGTGACAAGATTATATGCAACACAGAGCGCCTGAATCAGTGGGTGGAGACAGAAGTGCTTGTTATTGACAAGAGTAAGTAGGAGAATATGTAGGGGCATGAAAGCAGAGACCTGTTTCTGAACCATGGACTAGTCTTGCTTTTGTCTGCTGAACTATTTGATAAGCTTGCAATGCTTGCATGCCATTTACAAGGTGCTGCCAAAGCCTTCAGCAGGATGCAAGTGAGCATTGATAGCTGACATGATGGGTAACCAACTGAGGTTTGAAAGTTAATTCTGGTAGGTGATTTCTTGCAACTTCTGCCTATTTCGAGAGGTCATAAGCATGCAAAATATGCCTTCAAGGCCATTCAATGGCATAATTGCATATACACCACATTTGTGCTGCACAACATCTTCCGCCAAGCTGATGCAGGCAGGTATTCAGTATGTTCAGAGGGGCATCATATCTGATATCAATAGCATTGATTTGCATGCTGCAGGAGGTGCAAATCAGGCACTGCTCACAAAAAATGCAGTCATTAATGCACTCCTTGGAGCGCCCACTGCCTCCTGAGCCAGGTGGCATCGAACCAACCAAGCTGTACATGTAATTAGCACAGAATGAGCAGATTTGAACAACAGAGATATAGATATCCACATTGAGAATCAGTTGATGCTGCAAATGCTCAGGCTTTGGATCTAATTGATGGCATGATGTATACTTATCAAGCATTCAACAACAGGGCAACTTCGACATCCAATATCACATGGGCCTTGTCAGGAATAGTTGCTCAAGCCTCTCAATCACTCAAAGTGGGAGCTCAAGTCATACTGATCTGCAATGGGTTATACACAGGGTTATACAACAGGAGCCAAGGTCACATGGTTGGCTTTTTGTCCAAGGTGGCTTGGTATGGCAGATCACCTGGTGGGCATGATAACTTGGAGACTCACCAATCCTTGCCTGTGCTTGTGTGCTGCGAAACCGGGATGTCACATCAGCCATATCCAATTGTGCATTTCTCTTTGTATGGAGGTGGAATGAAGGAGGTATTGGTTCAACCCTGCACCTGGTCAGTGAAATGTCAACACAAAGTCACCACTTCATGGAGACAGGTATGGATATTGCAGCTGGCTGGGAAGGAAACTGACTGAAACCAATGCAGATTCCTTTGGTGTTAGGGTATGTGCAATCTATACACCAGTGTCAAGGGCAGTTGCTTGACTGAGTATCGGTGGATTTGATGGGAACATTCAAAAGAGGTAACGAAGGCATGCCAAGTACCAAGTCATTTGTTGACAATGAGATGTAGCACAGATGTACGTGGCAATGTCCTGGGCCCACCGGTTGGATGGATAGCAGGTCATAGGTCTGGATGATGGTCATCTGATTGTTGATCAAAAGGTGGTTGAGTGGTACTTGGCATTAATGCCCCATTGGATAAAGTGATGCAACTGTAATGAAAGTGTTGTCATTGACAGTTGCAAAGGTTAGATCAGGTGTGAGTGGATGTGGGCATTATAGGGACATATGGGACCATAATAACACCGCATAAGTGATTGAGGGTCACAGCAATGAATGTATTTAGTAATGGAGACCAATTCAAATATTGAGAGCTTAAGAGAACAAGAAACAAATGAATGCTGATGGTGTCACATTGAGGAGATGTACAATGACTATCAAAGGAGAACTTATTGAAAGACAGTGAGGGGGATATGGTGGTTTGACAACTAGGATGGGGAAACATTAGACAACAAGAACACACATGACAGGAATAGGGGAAACAGGGCAAGGAGATGAAATCAACTCAACTGGAAAGACTACCAACATGCCAGTCAGCAGAAGGACAGTGCATGTAGATGCACCATGCTTTGTGGACAGACCGGAGGAGGGAATTGTAGGGGACTTGTAGACAGACAGGGGGGGGTTGTAGACAGACCAGAGGAGGAGGAAGTGGTAGATGGACAGGGGGTTGTAGACAGATGGGAGGAGGAGGTGGTGGTAGATGGACAGGGGGTTGTAGACAGATGGGAGGAGGAGGAGTTGTAGACAGATGGGGGGTTGTAGACGGACTGGAGGAGGAGGAAGTGGTAGACAGATGGGGACTTGTAGACAGACTGGAGGAGGAGGGCGAGTTGTAGATGGACAGGGACTTGTAGACAGACTGGAGGAGGAGGAAGTGGTAGACAGACAGGGGGTTGTAGATGGACTGGAGGAGGGCAAGTTGTAGATGGATGGGGACTTGTAGACAGACAGGGCAAGGAGTACACTTGATAGGCCAATGCAAACTACAGATGTGTAGACAGACAGGGCAAGGAGAACATCCAGGGAAGAAGCCTAGTGTGGATGGGCAGCACACATACACTGACTATGGTGGAAGAGGAGTGTAGCTTGACTGAATAGAAGTGAGTGTGGTGCAGACAGGTTGGCTCTGCAAGGCAGTTTGGTTTGACAAGATTAATCACAGGACTTGGGTGAGTTGGCAGCAGCTTGGTCATAATGAAGGGGTGATATAGTAGGGGGAATGGAGATCATTAGAAATGAAAACTGGAAGGAGATACAGAGAGGCAATTAGTGTAAATCAAAGTTATGAACAGTGAGTTTGTTGCAAGAGTGATTTGACTGCTTGAAACCCCCATGGGAATATGTACTGGCTATTGGAGAACTCATTACCTAAGGGAAGGCTGAATGACCAATCTGACTCCGCCAGCTGAGCTTGAACTGAGGGGGTGGGAGCAAAAACGAGACTGGGTCCCGAACAGACCTCACGCAAATGAGCCAAGGAAGCGGGTCTGGGAGGAGACTAAGGGTGCTGTCCTCTCTGCATCACCATACGTATCTGCACCGGAGGGGCCGGCCCTTCATCTTGCAATTGATCAGACCTGATAAAGTATGTTGTCAAAGTCACGCATGGTAGGAGGGAATGGATGGGGATAAATTGTACGATTGGGGCGTTCAGGGACTGCACTGGGCGGAAGTAGGAGAGAAGCGCCGGTGCCTTGTCTAAGATGATAGGCGGTGGATTTGAATTCATTTGTTACATTACGTGGGATGGAAGGTGAGACAGAGGTGAGCACGGGACTGAGACCTTGTGAGTGAGCTAGCAAAGAGGGCGTCGGGGAGGTTCATCCGGGTGAACTGTTCTTTAGTTCGTTACCCCCGAGTGAAGAGAAGGATTGATTGATTGTTGTAAACCTGTTGGTGATAGAGGGTAATTGTCACATTCGATTTGTACATTGTCTCTATTGTTAACCTATTTATGCCTAGCCCCTCTTTCGGTCATCAGCCACGAGGCGCATCATTGTCCTTCCATAACAAGTTCATTTCTTTCGCCACTCTCTGGGTCCAGCCCTTCTTTCCTCTTTCCTCATAATAAACCCCTCGTGGCCATCCAATGCACGACGCTTCCATCGACCCCGACCTCCCTCCTCCTTCTGCCACCTCAACAACAGCAGCAACAGCAAACGGCAACATCCCCCAGGGGAGCATGCCCCTCTACTCCGGCCTCACTCCAGACAGCCTCACCCCACTGGGTCCCGACAGTGCCGGCCTAGGTGGGGGGACTCCCTTCAGTGCGGGAGGGGCAGGTCAGAAGAGGAGGAGTCAGACAGAGGCAAACGGAAGCGTGAAGAAGAAGCAGAGGACGAGGGTTAGCTACAGCTGCAGCGAGTGTCATAGGAGGAAGCAGAAGGTACGTCTTGCTCTTTCTTTCACTGTATGTCGTATCTCATCCTTGAATAGTGCGACCGTCAGATCCCTTGCTCCCACTGTATAGCTCGCAAGGTGCCTGAACTGTGTAAGGGCTACACACCGGGCAAAGCCGATGGAGACCTCGCAGCCCGCCTCGCACGAGTAGAGAACATCATCGAGCAAGCTCTGCCGCAGTATGCTTCCCGTCTCGGGTCTTCCATTCCCCAGTCACCCAGCGACGGAGGGGACGACATGGGCATAGACACCGAATCCCTGCACGGAGACTCTGGTCCGCAAGCAGAAGACAGCGACCCACAAGGCGGGATCCTCCAGGGCGGGAAGTGGTACGGCAGCAGTGCGAGCGGGAGCGTGACGACCCAGCCTTTGCTGGAGCAGCTGCATGCACAGAGCGGCGAGCTCGGACCTGTCGAGGACCCACAAACGCCCGCAGAGCGACTCCTCAGGCTTATACAGGACTGTGGGGTCTCGGCGACCAAGGTTCCTGAGCTGCTGAGGGAACTCCCGGAGAGCAAGGTCATGACTGACCGGCTTGTGGACTTTTACTTTCAGCAGATGTACGTCTTTCCAGGCTTGTGAGAGCGCTGCTCATTCGATGCGTAGTAATTACACCCGGTACCCGCTGTACGAACCCGCCTTCCGCGTGTCGTACGAATCGATCTACGCTAACCAGGGCAAGCTTCACCCGAACGACATCCGTTTCCTCCCTCTGCTATTCGTGATCCTCGCCACGTCCGTGCGGCTCGCTCCCGAGCACTTGGCCGGCAACTCCGCCGCACGCAGGATCACCAGTCTGAGGTATTACTGGGCTTGTGAGTGCCAACTCGTCTTCTCCTCCGGGCACGGGGCTGACTCCAGTAGCTCGCAGATCGCTCCTCATCGCCGCTGCGGTACAGAGCGACTCGCTCGAGCTCGTCTTTGCGCGCCTGTTGAGCTTCAGGTTCCTCATCTTTGAGCGGAGGATCACCGAGTGCTGGGCTCAGCTCGGCGCTGCTGTCAGGACGGCACAAGCCCTAGGCCTGCATAGGGACGGGACAAAGCTCGTGAGTGTATTCACATGCGGGGTGAACGTGAGCTCACAAGCATCAGGGCTTGGACGCGTTCAACACCGAGTACCGCCGGCGGGTATGGACCTACCTGTACCATGCCGACCGGACGCACGCGCTCATTCTCGGCCGCCCACCGAGCATATCAGACGACTACACCGACACCCTCCCGCCGTCCAACATCCCTGACGACGCGCTGCCCACTGCGCAGATAGTGATGCCTTCCTCCGAGCCGCTGAGCAAGCCCACGCTGATGACGTTCCAAATCCTCCGTCACTCGCTCGCGATCATCATAGGCCACATCGTGCATCATTTCCAGAACCTGCGCGGTCACTCCCATTACAGCGACGTAGTGCACCTAGACCAGGAGCTGGAGAACTTTATCCAGACCCTCCCGCCCCACTACTCCCTCGACCCGGACACGTCGCTAGACCACATCTACCACTTCGTCCCCGTTCACAGGTTCCTCATCATCACCGAAGTCTTCTTCGTCCGTATGTCCTTGCACAGACCCTACCTCCTCCGCCGGAGCGACAGGTACAACCTTTCTCGCAGCGCGTCGTTCAAGTCTGCCCGGCTGGACTTCCGCGTTCGCCAGCTCTTTAAGCGTTCTGTCTCCGACTCGGTTATGCGGTCTCTGGGTGGCGGGTACCGTGAGTTCCAAGCGGCGATGACGGCTGGGATCTCTCTCGTGCTTGAGCCTGACGGGCCAGAATCAGACGCCATGCGCCAGATTGTAGACAGCTTCATCCAAGAGCACATGATCATCGGTGACGAGCTAGACGAGACGACTCGGCGGGAACTGAAGGTCATCGAGCTCCTTCAATCTAAGGCGCTCACAGGGCGGCGCATCCTCAAGAGCGAACCTGATGAGCACGGGTATGACGCAAACGGCCAGCTCGACCCTCAGACAACGGCAAACATCCTCCTCAATATCAGCCAGACGATCCCTTCCACCGCTCTCGTCGGCTCGCCCTTCCCGAACCCTGTCTCCCCCAGTGCGCAGATAGCCGCTTCGCCTACCAACTCGTATATGCCCTACCGGCACCCGTTCAGCGCCGTGGAGCCGAATCCGTACCCAGCGTTCTCGAGGCTTATAGACCGTCCGCAGAGTACGATGTCTAACGGTGCTCAGCTTTCCCCGACGGAGGACGAGAGCGCCCAGGCGTTGCTGGATAAATGGTGCGATACTGCTACTGGCTCGGCGGCGGTTGGCGTGCCTGCTGGTGGGTGGTCACTCGGGGATGGCCTGGGCCAGCCTATGACACTTGAGGGCACGCTTGGGCTCGGAGACCCACTCACGTTGCCTGTTGGGGGACTGGCGGGGACGCAGGAAGAGTGGACGTATTGGGACAACCTGGTCGAGACGATCCGAGGGAGCTCGGTCGTGAGCGCCCAAGGGAGTGGGTTATAGGATCTGATCTTTAACAGCTAGGAAAGAGTGCGTGGGGCGGAGTACAGAGTACAGAGCACAAGGTGCAAGGTGGTTTCCGCCCTGAAGTTAGAAATTGTTGACTACATACATGCAGGAATATGTCACAGCTGTGCTGGGGTTTTTCTTTATTTATCCTGTGCCGGGGGGGAGCAGTTGTCGTGACGAATGTTACGCTGTATACGACGCTGTATAATATACATAGCTGAATAGAGTTTATTGTTCATTTGTTCTCATCTCATTTGGTGTAGTAGCGTCAATCAATGTCATGTATTTCTCAATGTGCGATGGCTTGTGATCATCTGTCTTGTCCTACCATGTTGGAGCTATCCTCGGCTTGCCCCTGCTGGATAATCAGCCTCGGAAGAGGATCACAATATGGCTACCAGCAAGCGTCCGTAGGCGTTCAACAAAAGTGTCACTAAAACAATCCCATCAAAGAAGCATGAGTACAATGGCATGCACATTAAATATAACGTTCCATTATGTACGTTTTTGCAAATAATTTTACTGCCTTCCGTGGACGTCCAGTCCACATCCAGCGCCAGTCACATGGCCAAAGCAAGGTACAAGAGCCAGGGCCATGCTGAACTGGATCCCCAGCTCCTGGACGGAATCTATGCTGCGTCACTGTCTATTTGAGCTTGGCGATGATAGCGGCGGTGTACTCCTTGGTTGAGGACTTGCCACCCAGATCACCGGTGATCGTCTTGCCCTCAGCGATGGTCTGTAGATAGAGTTAATATTGTACAGTGCGAATAAACAGGGAAAACATACGCCCAAAGCAGCCTTCTCGATCTTCTCCGCGAAGTCGTAGAGCTCCATATGCCTCAGCATCATGAGCGACGAGAGGAGGAGAGCAGTAGGGTTAGCAAGGCCCTTTCCGGCGATGTCCGGAGCCGAGCCGTGGACGGCCTCGAAGATGGACGCGTCGCGGCCGATGTTACCGGAGGGGGTCAGGCCGAGGCCGCCGATCAGGCCTGCGCACATGTCGGAAAGAATGTCACCGTACAGGTTGGGCATGACCATGACGCGCTCGGAATAGGGTTTGGGGTTTTGGACGACCTGGAGGCAGACGCGGTCGAGCAGGTCCTCATCGTACTTAATCTCTGGGTATTCCTTCGCCACTTGTCGGCAGGCGTTCAGGAACATCCCGTCGGACATCTTCATGATGTTCGCCTTGTGGACGGCCGTGACATGTTTGCGGCCGTTGGCTTGAGCGTAGTGGAACGCGTACCGGGCGACACGCTCCGAGGCGGGGTAGGTGATCAGCTTGATCGACTGGACAACACCGTCGACAATCTCGTGCTCGATGCCAGAGTACTCTCCCTCGGTGTTTTCCCGGATCAGCACAGTGTTCACATCATCGTACAGCGTCTTGTAGCCCTGGACGGAAACGCATGGGCGAACGTTAGCGAACAGGTTAAACGTCCGGCGGAGGGTGAGGTTGAGCGAAACGTGACCCTTCCCAACTACATCATCATCAGTACAACTCCACCCATTAACAATCACAACGACGTACTGGGAGTAGCCAACGGCCCTACAAATGTACTTCAGAATTGCTTCCAAAAATAGCACCGATGAGACTCACCCTTCAGGGCAACCGTGTTCCGCTTCACGCTCTCGATCGCCGCGTCCGGGATCGCAGTCTTGCCATCCTTCAGGATCGGCTCGACCGAGACTTCCTCCCATTCGATGGGCACCTATGGTGTGTCAGAACTGTCCCGCTAAAAGAGAGAGAGAACAAACTTTCGCAGCAGTGTAAATCTGCTTCACAGACTCGGAGATCTCGGGACCAATGCCTATATTTTCTCAGTATTCTCGATCGTACCAGCATAGAGGTAGCACAATATACCGTCACCAGGAATGAGTGTCACGACATACTTGCCCTATGCAGCATATAGTCAACCTGCACGTTTCACATAGACAGGAGGACGCACCCCAGCGTTCTTCCTCCCCTCAAACTTGGCCGTCGGGCTGTTGCTCGTGGTAGCATATGTCCGAGCGAGGGTCTAGAAATCCAAATTTCCAACGCGCAGCTACTATGAGAAATATGCATACAGGGTGCTAGCGTTGAGGTACATACGGAGCGGGACGAGCGCAGGGCGGTGGTGAAAGTCCTGCTGCTGAGCATTTTGGTCCAGTCCGCCGTTGATGTATGTGGTTAGGGTTGGAGGAGAGGAGGGAGGAGGTAAGGGAGCGAAAGAAAGGTGTGAAGGTGGTGAGAGTGACGGTGTGCGCGCTTGCCACGGTCTTGAGGCCGACGGACAATGTCGGAGCAGTCCTTGCAAGGCAGGGATTAGAAAAGGAAGCAATTTTCACACCAACGTCAGGAGAAGCCCAAGGAAGCCCGGCCATTAGGGACCCCGATGATGTAACGCACGTGATCGTACTCTATCTACCGCACGATACCGCCGAAAGCTGGTAAAGACAACGCCTGGATAGTAGACAGCGTCCAGTCAGTGACAGCAATACATGCCATTTGTATAAGTACACATAGCGAAGATGCAATAATCATAGCGGACAATGTAGGGTATGCTGCATACGCATGCAACAGCGGTATCACTATCACCCGTTCAACAAACCATTCAGCTGTTCCCGCATTCTCTGCATCTCCGGCTCCTCCTCGGCCTCCTTGTCCTCCAAGTGCTACACATTCCGTCAGTAATCAGAGTTCACAGGATACGAGATAAGCGAATAGTATATACCGGAAGTTCTGTCGTGACCGTCCCGGCCTGCCCGAGCTTGCCATCCGTCAGCTCAAACAGCACCTTTTCAACCTCCTGGTCAGCCTCCTCTTCGAGTTCCTCGCCGTCATCCACCGCTTCAAGCGTCTCATCCAACATCTCTTCCATAATTCCCGCCTGCAAAAGGTAAGTCATCACAAGCATATATATAGATCGTAAGGTGCACCTTCATCATCTCCATACTCATTTCTCGCATTGACTGGCTAATCTGCGGCAGCCGGACAAGTTGATTCGACAGTTTCATGATTTCCGTGCTCTTATGCAAACTCCCTGTGACCTTCACCATAGCTATTTGTCACAAAACCCGCCATGTGAGCATCTCACTGCGCATACACAAGACGGAGAACGCACCGAGCTGGTTTGACAGCTGGGTACCGATGCTTCCAAGCCGCGCCTTGGAAACGTATAATCGCTCCTTCTGCTTGTTACTCCTCACCACCTCCTTCGCAAGTATTCGAGCACTCTTAACGTCCCCTTTCTGTGCAAGCTGCTTCAGTGACTGTCTTGCCTTCCCTTGAGCTTGATCTAGCTGCGCACACATGAGATACAGCTCATCGATAGATGATAGCTTAAGAGATGCACCTGCCGGATCTCCCGATCTAGCTGCCTCCCCTCGCTCTTTAGCTTTTGCTGCCACGCACGTACTCTTTCCTCTGGTGTTGGACCATATAGGAACCGGTTGATCGATTTCATCGTCGAAGTCATGTTAGTTTGCAGGCGCTGGTTCCGCAGCGACGGTTTGCGTCACGAGATTCGGGAGACAACTGGGAAGAGAGTATGAACCTGATGACCAGACAAAGATGCTGTCGCGTTTAATAGTGATAACTGTTCCTGCCAACGAGATATGAGGGAATGCCTGTAGGAAGTGTGCCAGAGTGTCCAGCGGCGTGTGATTGGCGGCCAGACTGCCAAGCCTGGCGCCCGAAGCCAGGAAGCCGAGCGGAAACAAAGAAGGACAGAAGGGTTCGCCGGTCTATCGGAGTTGCGGCCCCGGCCTGGTGTGTTTTGGCGATGCAGAGAAACATGACTGGGACTTCTCCGATCGGTTTGTATCTGGTTGTTCAGCTCTCTTGGTGCACCTCTGATCATCTCATACATCTGCATGGACTTTTTGATCGAGCGTTATTGCATGTCTCTGATCAACTAGCCTATCTTTGTCCTAGACTCGCTCGCTCCAGCTCTGTATCTCTCGGGAATGTCGCACACCGCTCACGGATGGCATATATGCGCTGGATAAATGCACTCTCCATACATCAGCGGTTGATGGTCGTCTGTCCATCAGGCACCACCAACACACACCCAACGTAATCCAATGCTTTGGCTCAGCTCCTTTAATGGTGCGTTCTCGACCCATGGAGATGGGGGAGCTGTTATGCGATGCACCATGCCTGAACTCGGTCTCTGAGAGGTGCGGCTCTGATCTAACACAATCTGGTAAAGTGAGACTCAAATCCCCAAGAACTTGACCTTAAACTTAAACTTCTACAATCGTATCACTTCTGTTCGCTTGACCCTCCTGGTTCACATCGAATCATATCAAAGATCGGCACTGTAGTCCAAACTTTAGAACCAAGGGAACACCATCGTGTGTCTCCGATCCAGTCTGTGCTGTGTGTCAAAGTTTCCTATCGTTGGTCTGGAGCTGTTCGATCCTAGCTCTGGGTCTCTCGAGGAATGTCGCGCTCGTGAGAAGCTGGTATATAAGCCCCAGATGTATGCTGGTTCTATCCCTCAGCGGTCGCCGGTCGTCTGCCTAACATACATCACCTCACATCCCCTAATCACCACCTCTCAACTCTCTAATAATGTGGTCTCCTTCTCGCACCCTCATCTCTGTGCTCATCTCTATCTGCCTGCTCGGCCTTTCTGCGCGAGCCACTTTGACACCGACAGCTCCTGGGCCAGGCGACGTCTACACCGCCGGGGGTCAGTGTCCGATCTCCTGGATGCCAGATACCACAGGCACATGGAAGAACGTGACTATCCGTGCATCCTTTTCCTCTTCCTGCTAGATTTGTACTGACATCATCCTTCATTCCTGACGGTACAGAACTCATGTCTGGCCAGAACCTTGCCATGACCCCTGTCGCACTCGTCGCTGAGAACGTCGACGGCACCGACCCCTCGCTCACGCCTTACAACTGGACCTGTCCGGAGGTGGACCCGAATAGTGCTATATATTTCTACCAGTTCTCGCAAGACGGTGCGGATAGCCCCTCGTGGACAGCGCGATTCGCGGTGAGTTATCCAGCAAGAGAACGCGTGAAGGGGAGCTGACGGTCAATGTGCAAGATCTCGAGTCCCGATGGGAAGGTCGTACCTCCCGAATACGCAACACAGCCCTTAGGCCAACCCATCCCGTGGGGCGACGGCCAGCTAGCTCTTACCTCGTCTGATGGTACTGTTCCTTCGGACAGTACCGCGCAGGACACCAACAGTATACTCGCCCTCCCGACCGATGCACCGGCGCAAAGCGGATTCGTCAAGGTTGTCCAGCCGACCAGTACGACAGTCCTGACCTGGGTCGTCATGCCGGTTGAGACGGGAGTGAATGGGAGCGTGATGGGTTTGCCGTCTATGGCGCAGCTGATGGGCCATGGAGAAAGATGTGGACCGAGGGAGGCAGTTGCTGCAGTTGTTGCGCTGGTTTGCTCTGCAGTAATCTTGTGGATATCATGACGCAACGCAACGTGATCAAATGCAAACAGTCCTAATTGCATTCACCCACGACGAAGAGACTGGAGCGGTGAATTCTTTATTTCTCTTATGTCTATTAATACAGTGCCAAATGGCGTTCCACGCGCGGGCTCCGCAGACGCCAATGCAGCCCAGCCGCAGCTACTCACGCCCAGTCACGCGGCGTCGTCAACAGAGCCATAAGCCGGCCCTCTTCCGTGCCCTCCTTGCCCATCTCGGACATATACTCCCAGCGCGCCGTTTCGGGCAAGCTCATAAGGATACTCTCGATACGAGCACCAGGGGTCTGGAGACCGAACTTGGTCCCACGGTCGTAGACGAGATTGAACTCGACGTAACGGCCTCGACGGATCAACTGCCACCGGCGTTGTTCGTCCGTGTATGGCGTGTCCTTGCGCTTGGCAACGATAGGCAGGTAGCTGGGCACAATCGCATTTCCGGCCGACTGAATAAAGGCGAAGATCTCCTCTGGCGTGTTAGGCTTTTTTGCTACCTCAGGGATACGTGCGTGAGGCCCAGCTGACAGATCGTCGAAGAAGATACCGCCGAGACCACGTGCCTCCTGCCTGTGCGTGATGTAGAAGTACTCATCGCACCATTTCTTGAACAACGGGTAGATCTCTGGCCCGAAGGGGTCGCACGCCGCCTTGGTCGTGGTGTGGAAATGTACCGCATCCTCTTCGTAGAGGTAGGATGGGGTCAGATCGCACCCTCCACCGAACCACCATGCCATCGGGGTCTCTCCTACCTTCGCCTCGCCTCCTTCCTCTGTAGGAGGATGGTCGATCTCGAAGTAGCGATAGTTGGCATGCATCGTCGGCGCATGCGGATTGCGTGGGTGGATGACGAGCGAGATACCAGCGGCAAAGAAGGGAAGGTGTTTCCCGCTCTTCGGATCATAGTCGATCTCGCTGTGATTTGCCCGCATCTGCTGAATTGCTGCAGGGGGCAGCATCCCATGCACGACGGAGATGTTCACACCAGCTTTCTCGAACACCTTCCCTCCTTGGATGGTGCACGAGTTGCCCATACCACCCTCGGCCCGCACCCAGTGATCCTCTTTGAACGAATGGTCCTGGTCGAGCGTGTTCAACGCCGACGTGATCTCTCTCTGGAGGGTTTTAATGTACGTGGTCATGCGATCACGCATCTTGGGGGTTTCCTGTCCTCAGGGTGCAGTTGAGCAAATCACCATGCTACATAGTAAAACCACCAATGTACTCACACTGGTAGCAGCCATGATGGTCTTCTGGTACGCTGTCGTCGTCGAAAAGCAAAAAGCACGGCCGAGCTGAGCGGGCGACTGGGTTCCAGCATGTACCAAGGGATGATCGCTATTTATGGGACCCTAACCTTTTGGACCCTTGCATCACCAAAAACAACGAATTTGTTCCTCCCCATCCGCCGCCGTAAACGCCGGCTTTGCCCGCCTCCGCTCCGCTCAACACTATGCACTCTCCCGCAAAGACAGCTCTGTTACTGGTCGACATACAGAACGATTTTCTTCCCCCAGACGGATCGCTGGCGGTCCCCGAGGGAAGAGACATCCTTCCGCATGTGTATCGTCTCCTCGAGTGGAACTGGGACCTAGTCGTTGCTAGCCAAGTACGCTGGCAGTTGTTAAACAATAGCTGATGATATTCATACCACATTATCCAGGATTGTAGATCCATTTACTTACGCAACGAAGAATATCCCCATTCTAATGAGGTGTAGACCACCCACATGGCCACATATCATTTACGTCGACACACGATCTGCCCCCATTCACCAACATCTCGGTGCAGAAGCCGCACTGTCCACCAGGCGTCATGGTGCCCCAGATGCTCTGGCCGGACCACTGTGTGCAAGGCACGCACGTGAGAAACATTTTTTCTGGTCTTCTCGCTGTGTTAACACCCTAGGAGGGATGTGAATTTGAGGCTGAGTTAAAGAAGAAGCTCGGGAAGGATGTTGTAATCATACAGAAAGTGTGCCTCTTCCTGGATATGCCTGTATGCACCAGCTGAAACAATCCCAGGGAGGAGATCTGGCCGTGGATTCTTATTCTGCTTTCTCCGACGTCAGCCATCTATCGTTCATCATCATTTGGGCTGACACGAGAACAGAACCAATACACGTCATTCACTCCCCTTATCAAGACCCTCCATCAGGCAGGGATTGAGCACGTCGTCATCTGCGGCTTGGCCACAGATTATTGTGTATACTTCACTGCCGTCGACTCGTGTAAGTTTGGGTTCAAAACAGAAATCGTCAGGGAAGCGGTGAGGGCTGCTGATAAGGCCGCGACGGAGCGGGTGTTTGATGACTTGAGAGGGTGGGGCTGTGACATTGTCAGCATAGATGATGTCCTTACAGTGTAGTGCACTGCACCGTTTTGGGGGCTTTGTACAACTAACGCGGATTTGGGTTGATAGGATGACGAGTAAAGGGTTTCTTGTGAACGCACTAGTCTGCCGACAATGAGCACCCGCTCAGAATTCATCCACCGGATGGCCCCTCTCAAAATGTCACCCAAACGAAGACGAGAGGAAGGTCCAGCTTCATCATGACCCAAACCCTCAAAAACGCAAACAAGACTAACGACACCAGAGTTTTAATTCAAGGGATCAACTACTCGTGTGAACCGAGCAAGGTAACGGCATAAATGATCATTTCACGCATAATATACAGGTCATGAGCATTACTGCGGTGACTATGGCGTGGACACATGGTAAATGTGTCGCGCTGGTGAATGCCCCCAATTACGAGAACAAACGTTTCGAGTGCAAGGGTTTCCGAGTGATGGAGAGCGGTGAAAGATACCAATAAGAAAAAGCATCATACGTAAATCGTGGAACGGGGATGAACAGGAAGTAGGAACCTTAGAGAAAGCACCTTCGTTTATTTCTTCGAGGCGTACGGATTGACGCTGTAGACCTTGATCACTGGAGGACTCTTCGTGAGGTCGGCAGTGACGATAACAGGGACGAGCATCGCTTCTTTGATCTCTTGGATCTTATGTCCACCGGTGTCCCTCAGGCCTTCGAAAAGCGGAATCTCCTTCTTGCGAGACAGATCATGCTGGTGGGATTCGATGACCTCAATAGCACCACTATCTGCAGGTTCGTCGTCCTCAGGTTCTTCGAAGAGAGCGCTTTCATCCGTTGCTTGGCGAGAAGACAACTCCATGTTCGCTTGATTCCGCGCGTGCATCTCAGCAGTGCGTCGCATCTTCTGGAGATGCGGGTCATCGCTGCTGTTCTCCGCGAGCCAAGAAATGACGTCCTTGTCCGTCCAATAGATCTGCAGAGAATGGGCGTGCTCGTCGTAGACATGGTTCTTGAGAAATGTGTGTAAGCGATAAGGTATCGGGGATAATAAGAGGCTCATACCTCAATGGGCATCTGGTCCACATGAACACGCTTCTCAATACCGAAGTCAGGCACAAAAACGTCGAAGGCAGCATCCAAAATGCCGATGACACGGGCCTGGCGGATGACGGGCCCATAGCGCTGTGACAAATCGGAGAGTAACAAGCATAAATACAAATGCGCAGACTGCTCTTGAGCAAGCTTCGCGGAGTCACGTTTACTTTCAAAATGTCAGTTTCGAAATTTTCGTAAAGACTGATAATACAAACATATTGCACTGCTGCGCCACTTTTGCTACAGCATCACGATCCATGTTGAAGCGAGTCTCTACATCTTGAGCTACATAATGTCAGTGACGAAATTGACCAAGAAGACACCCAGCATACGATTCTGCAAAACACAGTCTAACTGCCTATGAACAAGCACGTCCGCGTACCGGCGGATTGGGGAGGTGAAGTGGGTGTACAATGGGGCGTTCAGGCCGTAATGCTGGTACTTGGCGATATCTAGCATGCCAGAGCAGAAATATTTTGCCCGGTGCATAGCCTTAGTAGCCAGAATTTCAAGCTGCCTCCGAAGCAGAGGATCTTCGATAGCGTTGAACGATTTCTGCAGGGCGCCGGCACTGGACACATCCATAGCGACACCAAGACGCGCAGCCTGCTCGGCAAATCTTTCCAGGCGACGAGGGACGGGCTCTTCATGCCGCCTCAGCATTGCCTGTTCTGGAAGAGCGGCAGCAATCATCTTAGCCACGCTCAGGTTAGTAAGAAGCATGAACTCTTCGATCAACGAGTTGGCCTCGGTGCGATCATATGCTTCGCAATCCAGGGGCATGTTGTTGTCATCAAGTTCGAAGTGCAGTTTCTGAGAGTGGATGCGGAGACCACCAGCCTCCCAGCGGGCCTCGCGAAGCTTGGTAGCCAAGTCCTAGGGCGCGCGTCAGTGTTGATAAAACTGAAAGAGATAGAGCAGAAATTACATGGAGAATCTTGATGTCCTCTTCGATCTCGCTGGCCGTATGCTCAGGACTGACTTCAACGTCCCCAAGAGGGTGGCCGTCAATGACATTTTGAGCGTTCGAGTAGGCCAGCTTGGCAGCAGACCTGATGATGGTGCGACCGAACCAGCTGCCAATGACCTTACCCTGTGGCGACATATTGAAAATGGCAGTGAAAGCGAGCCTGTCAACACCGGGCACGAGACTGCACAGTTCCTCGCTCAGGGCAGGTGGCAGCATAGGCACCGCACGCTGGATGAGGTAGACACTTGTAGCCCTCTTCTTCGCGTCCCTGTCAAGCGCAGTGCTCGGCTTGACGAAGTAGGACACATCGGCAATATGAACAGAGACATCGTAAGTTCCGTCCTCGTTCTTCCTGACGGACATGGCATCATCGAGATCCTTTGCCGTCGACGGGTCAATAGTAAAGATACGATCACCACGCAGATCGCGGCGAGTCTCGTATTCGCGATCTGGGATAGTCCAAGGCAAAGGAGGCAGGCACTTGAGAACGTTGTCAGAGAAGTCCTCGGTAGGGAAGTTACAATCCTTCAGGAGAGCGCTGGTCTCGACTTCGAGGTCGCCGATCGGACCGAGTTCCTCCACAAGCGTGCCGAAGGGATGGAGGGAGGAGATCGGGTGGCGCTTGATGCAAGCCACGAACAGGCGATTGGCATATGCCTCAGAATTTTCAACGAAGTCAGGCGGTGCCTGCTCGGTAGGGATGGCGATGAGCGGCACACGCTTGTCGGTAGGCTTGAACCAGACGATTTTGGGACGGTCAGTTCCACTACGTTTCTCCTCGGCGGGCTCCTTGTCACCTTCACGCTCGCGACGCTCGGCTTCCTGCTTCTCCTTGGTGGCCGCGGAAGAGGGGCGGAGCAAGCCAAGCGTACCAGAGAAGAGCTGGCCGGGCATGCGCTCAACAACAGCCACGACATGGCCAGCAAATTGAGGCTTGACTTCATCCGTGACCCTAGCCAAACATGTTAGAATAATATGTGCGAGGGACAGAAACTGTGACGCACTCCTCGTCCTCGAAAAGCATCAGACCCTGACCCTCGACCTCCACATCATCCTTCTTCTTGTCGTTCTTCTTGCCCGCATTAAGTTTGACGATATCGTAAGCAGCATTCTCTTCCTTCTTCCTCTTCTTCTCCTCCTTCTCCTTCTTCGTGCCCCAAACCTCATCGACGTCAAGGAGCTCAACAGCAACGATATCGCCCTCCAGGGCGCGATTGCGGTCCTTGGAACCGCAAATGTAGATGTCGGCGTCCAGCACTTCCGTGGAGACGTACGCGTCGGACCGGTTGCGCTTGTTCACCCGCAAAATGCCAACCACAAGTTTGCCCGCACCCAAAAGTGGCGGAAGTGACGCCTGCGGGAGGTAAGGTGCGAAGAGAGACTTGCGCTGAGGTTGGTTAGCCTGCTGCTGCAACTGCATCTGGAACTGTTGCTGCTGCTGCTGGAAGAGGTTGAAGCCGGGCATCCCAAGCGCGTTCGCAGCCATGAAGTTGGGCAACATGTTGGGGAAACTGAAGGAAGCCATCTTCTGGTGATGCCCGCCAGAGGCAGCACGGAACTGTTGCAAGCTCTGCAGCTGCGCCTGGGCCTGTGCAAGATCGGCAGAAAAGGGGGTTTCGTGCTGAACAGCACCGGCACCACCATCTGTAGAATAATTACCATCATGTCACTCTCTGCTAGGCAATCGATGCTTACTGATTCTCCAAGTCGAATCCTGCCTGGAAGGTTGGCGCGAATGCCCCATAGGGGGAGAGAATGCTTCATCATATCCTTCGTTATAGAAATTGTACCCCATGCTAGGCTGGGGCTGATGACCCTTGGCAAGGACGTTCACGCTATGCCTGCGTCCGTGCGCACCACGGCCAGCTGATTGAGATACCGCTGGCTGAGGAACAGGCATAGGCGGCGTCTGGGGGTTCATCCCGGGCACACCGAAGGGCATCCCCGGCATCACACTCATCGCGGCCATCGCAGCAGGCGGCATGCTATTCTGGGGGAACTCACCAGGCACAAATCCGCCCATCATACCCATACCGCCCATTGGCACTTGCTGGCTCTGGATGCGTCGGTGAGCGGCGCTCCTAGCTGCGGCAGCAGGAAGCTGCGAGTGGTTCATCCCAGGGAAACCGGGAACGACCCCGCCGGCCGCGAGTTGCTGTTGGAGGAGCTGCTGCTGTTGCTGCTGCAATGCCTCAATCTGATTCTGGAGCATAATCTGCAACACCGGTCAGTATATGCGCATATATCCCCATATTTGATGACTCACTTGCTCAGCCATCAGCCCAGTCATGCCTGGCATCTCACTCTGCGTGCGGCCGTGGCCCATTCCCGTAGGCATAGGCATGGGCATAGTCATAGGGACAGGCATTTCCGGTCCTCCGAAGTCGCTCTGCGGAGAGCGGAGACTGTACTCTCCGTCTTCTTCCCCAATAGCGGGACCGAGGCTCTGCACACCTCCAGCCGCGGAGGCCCCGCGCTTGCGAGCACCGAAGACGAAGGATGGGGCGAGCTGCGGGCGGCCACTAGGCCCGAGAGCGGGCTCGGGCGCTTGAGCAGCCTGTTGTTGCCTCTGAGCGGCAAGAGCAGCAAAACGAGGTGCAGTGAAGGCCTGCTGCTGGGGCTGCTGGGCACCGCTGGTGTAAATCGGCTGTTGAGAATCGGGGATCTCGCCCTCTTCGAACGCGGCGTTATCCTCAATGTCCTCCACCATCGGCCCTAGCTGCGTAGAAAACCCAGTGCCAGAGTTGTTCTGCGGGAACGTGTAGCTACTGAAGGAAGGAGCAGCGCTCATGCTCGCTGCCTTACGGTGACGGGGCGGAACGTCCGACTTGTCCGGTTGCTCCTGTACCATCGGCGGAGGAGCGTAGAGAACCCCAGGCTGGAAGACGGGCGCATCAGGCATGAGGGTGGAATGGAACGGTTGGGTGGGCTGTGTGGCTGGTGCAGGTCCTAATGGAGCGGTACCAACAGGCGACTGCAAGCCTTTCATATCGTTGATCATCTTCTGCAAGGAGTTGAGGGCAGCATCGGGTTGAGCCGAAGTAGAAATGGCAGCTGGCGGTGCAGGTACCGCGGCTTCTTTATTGGCGGAGGTAGGGCGTCCCTGGCCTGGGCCCGAACGACGCCCGCCTCCGGCGGACCGCTGGCTATTCTCGCGCCGGGGCTTGTTATCACCCTTCTTCTCTCCTTCAGCAGCGCTGCCATTGCCGCTACCGGCATTGGCGCTGTTGTGGCCCTTCTTCTGGCTACCGCGCGACGCAGGACGGGAGGTTGACTTGCCCTCCCTGTCGCGGTCGCTCGTGGAACTCGGTCGCACAGGACCGCCTTTCTTGCCCCCTCGTTGTCCAGCGTTTCCCGGTTTGACGTCCTTCTTGTCTCCTGGAGGCGAAGCTGCCGCCGGAGGTGCCGGTGCAGGTGTCTGGGCTGCAACGTCTGTCATAACGGTATGTCGTGAATATGATAAAGTAGTTCAATAGTGTTTTTTTGTCTTTTTTGAATGAGGTTTGCGTATTTTTTTAGTCGAAGCACAGGGCTCGGTTTTCTTCTTTTCTCAAATACAATAGGATGGGCGATCGAAACCTAGCAAAAGCTGCGCATATACGATGTCAGCTGGTTCGGTCGTAAGGCATGGGACAGGAGTGGGAGGGACACACGTTGCGACGGGGGGGGTTGTGATGATCACAGGTGGATGAGTACGCGAGGTAGGCACTGTCCTGTTGCTCGATCTGATCGGCAGATCAAGCTGGTCGTCTGTCCGCTCCTTGTACGCAGACAGGCTGCGTTGGGTAGGGTAAAGTGAGAGGCTGGGGAGGGGAGGTGCTGCCTGACAAGGCGTGTGGGACTAAGGGATGGTTTCTGCCTATTGATGATATGTTAGACTGTGGTCGTTGCTGTCAAAGGACGGCACTGACTGACTGGATGGACGTTGACCTCTGGAGTAAGAGACGAAGGTGGTGGTTGAGGGTTGATGGGGTAGGGTAAAAGGGCGGACAGGTGATGGAATGAATGGACCCGCTCGTCTGCGCAGCCACACATACAGCATGTGAGGCGAGTCGTGAAGGGTTTTGCGCTTCTCCGTCGTCATGAAGCACAAGCAGGAAATTTCGACGGTGACAAAGACTGGGATCGTGTAACCGCCCATAGATAACACTAACAGCATGACCAATCTTTTCGGCGTTCCGTATTGTCAGCAGATCATCGTGGAGGCACAGCTTATCCGACGTGGGCGTCAAGTCACGAACCGCCACGTCAACACAAAACAACTCTTTTTTTTCACTCAGAGTTACAAGAGCATTTTTCGAAACAGACCAGCACATGTAGTCCAATATCGAAAATAATACAACCATTTCTATTTCCATTTTGATCTCCATCAATCCTTTTCCAGCCCGTTCATACCCCCAACTTCGCCAACCTAACCCTAACAGCATTCGCGTGCGCCTCCAGTCCCTCCCTTTCCGCCAGCGTCACCACCACCGGGCCCAGCACGCCCAGGCCCTGGGGGGTAATACGCTGCGACGTGATGTGTTTCTGGAAACTCTGGGTGTTGACCCCGCTGTATTGGCGTGCGAAGCCGTTTGTTGGCAATGTGTGATTCGTCCCGGAGGCGTAGTCCCCACAGCTGGAGAGCAAGTCGACAACGTCAGTATCGGATAAGTATAATTGGCCAGGCATGGGAGGGACGCACCTCTCAGCCGAATAAGCGCCAACAAACACGCTCCCGGCATTAAGCACAGAGCCTACGCTTTCCTCCGCCTTCTCTAGATGCAGGATCAGGTGCTCCGGGGCATACTCGTTCGAGAATGAGATCGCCTCCCGTACGGTCTTCACCCTGACAATCAAGCTCTTGCCTATTGAGACGCGCGTGATCTCCACTCTGGGGAGTGCGCGTGCCTGGCGATCTACGGCTACTTCTATAGCTTGCAGATGCTCGGATGATAAGTCGACAGCGACGAGCACGACCTGGGAATCGACGCCGTGTTCTGCCTGACTTAGCAGATCTGCAGCGACGAACTCCGGGTCAGCTGTGTAGTCCGCTATGACCAGCACCTCGCTCGGTCCTGCGGGCATATCGATCCCCACCAGTGCTTCCGTGTCATTCTGCACAAGCATCTTCGCCGCTGTGACCCACTGGTTGCCCGGTCCGAAGATCTTGTCCACCTTCGGACACGTCTCTGTTCCGTACGCCATGGCTGCAACCGCTTGCGCACCCCCGGCTTTGAGGATACACGTAGCGCCAACGAGCTGCGCGACGTAGAGTACTTCGGGTACGATGCTGCCGTCGGGCCTGGGAGGGGTAGCGAGTACGATCTCCTTGCACCCTGCGACTTGGGCTGGGATGCCAAGCATGAGCGCGGTGCTGGGGAGGACGGCTGTGCCCCCTGGGACGTAGACCCCTACGCGGGCGATCGGGCGGGCAAAGCGCGAACAGACGACGCCGGGCATCGTCTCTACTTCTAGAGGGACCTTGTCTACTTGCGCAGCGTGGAAGGCGTAGACATTCTTATACGCCTGGTCGATGGCAGCTTTGACCTCTTCTGGTAGGCGCACGCTCTCCGGAGAGAAAGGAGGGCAGAGGATGACTTCCTCCAGGAGGGCCTTGTCGAACTTCTTCGTGAGCTCTTTCAGCCCAGCATCCCCACGCGTGCGTACAGTATCCACAATCGGACGCACTCGGGCGATCATCTCCTCGCTCTTGAGCGTAGGGCGTTTAAGCAGCGCCGCCCGTTCGGGAGGGGAAAGGAGGGCGAGGTCGTACGTGCGCATCTGGATAGGCGCGTCCGGTGTCTTCTCTGGGGCGGATATGGTCTTCTCAGCAGCAGCCGGTGTCTTGTCATTGTCCCCAGTCGTCCGTGCCCACTGGGGCTTAGCATCCCCCTTCCTTCGCGTAACCTTCTTCGCCTTCCTCTCCAAGCTCGCCTCTATCTCCTTCACACCCACACCCCGACTCACACATTTCGCCAGAGCGAAGTATATCAGGTCCGCAGCTTCGAACGCCACCTCTTCCTTGCTTTCCGCACGGCACAGTTCGTCCGCTTCTTCCATGATCTTGCTCTTCAAGAGATCGGGGTCGTTGAACAGCCTTGCCGTATAACTGCCTTCTGGCGCACTGGCGAACCGCGAGCTCAATGTTTCCTCCAGAGCGGCGATTCCCGTCCAAGGACCGAAACAGCTCGGCGTTGCCAAATGACAGAACCCAGCACCATGCTGCATGACCATGAACTCCAAACAGTCGGCATCACAGTCCGCCTTGATAGAGACCACGTCCTGCGTGGCACCGCTCGTCTCTCCCTTCCTCCAAAGCCCGTGTTTCCTGCTGAAATACGTGCCCTTCCCGGTGAGAAGTGCTTCCTTTACACTGGCACGGGAGGAGTAGACCAGCCCGAGCGCGCGGCCGCCTTGAGGGTAGGCACTGACGATCGTGGGAATCAATCCGTCGGGTCGGTCACTGATAACTGGGGCGAGGAAGGCGTCGGCGATATTGAGCTTTCCCTCTTCTGCGCCGGTGCTGAGCTGGCTGAGAGGGAGGACGACAGGGACGCCCATGGCAGAGGCGATCCGGATTTGCTCCAGGCTGGGTGTGGTGATCCATATGAGGACTTCTCCGGAGAAAGATTGCTGAAACGATTTGAGCGTTTCTTTGGAAATGAGAGCGGGGGAAGTGAGGCAGCAGGATAAGGCTTCTTCGTGCGCTTCTTCGCCGACGTTGAGCGAGAAGACGAGCCGAGCTGCGGGGAGAACAGCAACGGCGTCCTCAAACGCTGGGGAAGCTAAAATGACCTTGTCTGCACCGTCATCGAGGAGTGCGGTGATGCTGTCTACAGAAGGGCTGCAGGAAGGCGGGAAGAGGACAGAGTATGCGCAAGAGGGCGGTAAGGAAGAAGGTGGGAAGGAGGCGGGGATGATCACATGTCCCAAACGGATGGCAGCGGGGAGTACCTCTGAGAGGGGATCATCCACATAGGGGATGATGATGGATGGTGCCATGCTTCTGTTTGCTTTTACTCAGACAGACAACAACAGAAAAGTGAAGATAAACACACCTTGTATGAAACAGTAAACGCCGAGTCAGAAGGCGTCAGGGTCCAATAATTTAACTTTCCCCCGATCACGGCACAACCACACGATCACCTTTCCAGCAAAGGGTCAGTGACGTGAGTCTTTCTTTCAGTACTAAGCAAAGACGACGATGCCACCCACACAAGAATCAGTCAGTGAGCTCTTATCAGACTATCTCATATCACGCCCTGTACTCCCTCTTCCAATAAAAGCAAAAGAGCTACTGAGGCTGTAAGCGCTTCTAATCTTCTCTCGTTAGTCCTAACGTTTAGCAGCCTCATCCTCGCACGCACTCATGATGCTCGTTCAATCGGTCTCAGACTCACAGACCGCAGCCTGGTAGATGCATCGCTGAGGGAGATGGAAGACTTTTGGGACCACGGCCGTATCGTGCTTGAGCAAGCTGACGAGGTGATTATTTCCGAGATCAGCGTAGGGAAACAGTGGGATGAGATGGACGAAGGTAGGTCTCCTCGCCTGTATGGTCAGCAAGAGAGACTGAGATTCATCTTGGGGGACAGATACCTCGATAGCTGATGAAGGCCAGGGAAGGATGACCAAGCTCGAGACGCTCAAAGCCCTTGTTCAACGAGGCACCGCGCGTTCCAAACTTCTTGCAGAGCGTGTGCGTCCCTCTCCATCCCCCTCTCATCCCCCCTAACAGCTCGCAGTTCCACTCCCCTCCAGGCGCAGCATTCGAGCCCCTCTGTCCACACATCACCAAACTAGACTGTGCAAAGTCCCGCCAACAGGCGACAGGCTCCTTCACCGCCTGTCCCCTTGTCCACTTCCGGCCTATCCTCAGGCCGCATACCGACCCCTCGCTCGGCCATTGCTCCTACCTCAACACATGTTATTCCGAGCCTTCTTATGCCTTGTCGCCTAGTATTGGCCCTCCACCTGCGAGGCCGAGCGGGAGCGTGTACCTCCCTAGCGGGTTGGGAGCGGGAGGGAGGGGCAAGGAGAAGGCTCCGTGTCGGTATCTGCACTTTGAGGTGGACTATGATGGTGAAGAACCAGTGAGCGGGGGGGTAGAGCAGCGAGCGGCATATATCCCCGCACTCCAAGTAGGCAGACGGCCGCCCAGGATTCCAGAAGAACAAAGGCTCCCGATCGGTCGTGGCCCCAACGGCACGTACTCTACGCATCTGGTGCGACTACTTCCCTCCGCCCGAGCCAATGCACTGACTGAGACGGGTTCCATCGTAGCTCCCTCCCCAGTGGATCAACTGCGACCTGCGCAAGTTTGAATATTCTATTCTGGGCAAGTTTCATGTTATCATGGCTGACCCTCCGTGGGATATCCACATGAGTGTGCGTTCCCTCCTTCTACCTCCCACACGCATATGACAACTCAGCTCCCCCAGCTGCCATACGGGACCATGACCGACGACGAGATGCGCACCATGCCCCTCCCCTCGCTGCAAGACGAAGGCCTCATCTTCCTGTGGGTCACAGGACGCGCCATGGAAGTGGGCCGAGAGTGCCTGCGCGTGTGGGGATACACACGGGTGGACGAGATCATTTGGCTCAAGATTAACCAGCTACAGAGGGTGATCAGGACCGGAAGGACAGGACACTGGCTCAAGTGCGTCCCCTCTTCCCTCCTCCCTTCTCCATTCTTCCTCTGCTCCACCCCGTCCCCACGCAATTCATGTAATTGACATTCCCCAGTCATACGAAAGAACACCTCCTAGTAGGGCTCAAAGCCCCCCACGATCCCTCAGGCGCCCTCATCTGGCCTTCCTGGATAAACCGCGGGCTGGACACGGACGTCATCGTTAGCGAGGTCAGGGAGACCAGTCGGAAGCCAGACGAGGTGTATGGGCTTATTGAGAGGATGTGTCCCGGGGGGAGGAAGATCGGTGAGTAGGCTTCTGATGGTGCTGTTTTTCTTCCTGGATGTGCCTGTTTTCTTCCTGGATGTGCCGGTTTTGCTGGCCTTGTAGAACTCTGATCTGCTCCGTTTCTTCCCACTGCCGGTCCTTCGGAGGCCTACCAACCCATTATACCCCTAGCTGATACAACTCGCTAACTCCCAACCCAGAAATCTTCGGAAGGAAACATAACGCCCGCCCGGGGTGGATCACACTGGGGAACCAACTAGGGAGTGACCAGATCCATGAGCCAGATTTAGGAGAGAGGATGCGGCAGCGGTATGTCTTTCCCCTCTCAGCTCAGTTTCGTTCGCTTCGTTCCAACTTCCTTCCCCTCACTTTCCGGGGTTTTCCTTCGTTCATACCTTTTCCCTACGCTGTGTTCTATTCGTTCGCTTCCCTGATCTTTCTTCTCCTCTACTCTTCTGTTACCTTACCTTTCGTCATGTCTTGAACGCTGACGCGCGCGATTGTAGGTATCCGGAGAGGTACCCTTGAGTAGTCTCGGGCGCAGCAGTATCACCCCAGCGGCAGATGATACAAAATCGTGGAACCTACCCTCCCTAGGCTTCAAGACCGCAGCCTCGAACCGAGAGAGGACAAGTCGTCTACGTACGGGGTCAGATAACCAGCCACAGAGAGATAGAGGCAAACCCCGGCATGATAGGGATGGACATTGGGATGGGACACATTAGACACTGGACTTTCACGATCAGCACGGACGTTGTGCCCCTGGACGGGCTTGTCTTAGGTTTTAAGACTGTATCGTTATGATGATCAATACGTTCAACAAGTAGGATCCTGAGGGAGATTGAAACAGTGGGCTGCATAGGCTTTCAGGAAGCGAATGACTCATTGTTGGAACTTATGTGTCCCTATCTTGGTTTAGACGTTAGTATGTGGCTACGATGTACCTGAGGGACGAAGCTATCACAAGTACAATCTTGGCATTCAACTCCTTTGAATGACTGCGGTCGCAGCCATGCTATATTACAGAATCACACCTCGCTGCAGTCCTACACGAGGGAACACAAGATCCCCAGATCTCAGAGAACATCTTCCTCCCAATCCCAGTCCTCTTCATCCTCCTCTCCCCACTGTACTGCAAGCCGGTTAGTCTTCGTTTCCGTCGGACCCAGCGCGCCTGGCGCAAGCGGAGGTGCGACTTTGTCAGGCCAGCGGAGCTCGCGCTGTTTGTCTAGTGGTTCTCCGGAAGCCATGGCGATGAGTGCTTCGAGTGTCCACTGCATCCAGCAAAAGAGGAGAGGATCAAGCGTCAGTGAAAGAAGTAAGGGAGAAGTAGTGACATACATGAGCATCGTTACCCGCATTATGCCATCCCCCAATCTGGTTCACGTCCGGCAAACGCATAAGCTGGCACATCCTTTCCAGCCCTCTAGCGATCTTGTGGTTCCCTTCCAGTGCCTTGAACAGCTCTTGCGTGTCGAGCGTGTACATGTTGGGTAGTTCACCCTCTTTCAACGGCTCGGCGTTCTTCCCTCTCGGGGTGGGCGTTGTACCGGGCAAGTCATGCGCTATAGAGAGGAGAGGCACGTTGCAGAGGTTGAGATAGACCCGGTCTCCGGCACCTCCGTGGACGATGAGGTAGAGAGGGCCGGGAAGGCCGTGAGTATAAATAAAGTTGTGCACGCGTTTGCGGAATTCCGCGTCGAGGATTATCTCCGATGTTCCGAACTTGAACCCCTGATGATAGGTCAGACGAAGACGATGAGTCAAATGGACGCGAGAGCATACTCGGCGGTTTTCCTTGACATACATCCCGTTGAGCTTATGCATATTCTCCTGCACACACCAGTGGCCATCCTCTCGCACCTCCTTGCCTTTCTTGTCCCAGCTCAACATAGAGTACCCAAACTCGGTTATGGACTTGTGATCGTATTCGAAGCTCTCGAAGTCGATTGCCGCCCAAACGCCTTTCTTGGTCTGGAACGCGGCTCGGACACGCTCGAACATCGTACGCTGATCGGTAAGTCCTCCGGGAGAGGTCTTAACGCGTTTACTGTGTTATCAAATGTGAGCATACATGGGAAACCAGAGCTTTGGATGCGCACTTGAACTTTGACAGATCACGCATGGCGCTTTTGAGGTCCTTGGGAGTGCGATAGGTCACCGGGGATACACTCTTAACCTGGCTCTCCAGGATCAAGTACTCGCTCGAGGGGAGGGGGATATCTTCCAGCTTGTCGATAGCCTTTGCTGCCTGCAGCCAATAGCGCATATACTCCAGCTGCTTGCTTGAGAAACACAACCTCTGTTCGCCGTTCGGGATGGTGAGAAGATACAGCTCAACACCCTGCTTTCCTGCGTGCCAGGGGTTGTCGGGATGTACCAGCGCTTCCGCGTTTAGGAACGCTCTGAGTCCGCCACGCCCGCGTTCAGAGGGGATCGATTTGTACCATTCAAACTGGATGTCGGTGTAGCGATAGAAGCCATGAACAGCTATCATGGAGGAATTGGTTTGGACCATGTTCGCTCGAGCAATAGACGATGTGTGTAACAATCTAGTGGATGGTGGTGAGGAGGAAAGCAGGAAAGGCGAAAGAACTGCGCCTTTAATAGGGAAATATGACAGGCGTTTCGTGGCAAACATGCGGTTTCGGCGAGTCACCGCGGAGGCAGTCTAGTGCCATTGTCACATTACGTACATTCCAGGGCGTCAATCACTCAGCTTAGGACAACTCTTGTGCGTCTACCGGAATTGTCATGTTTAAACCTCTTGGGCTATTCTCTACTATACAATGTCCACAGAGGAAAACATGCCATCGCAGACCATGTCCGTTCTCGCATGAAGATCCCATCCTTACACAGCACCGCGCCTCTTCATCTACAGTACCAGCGACATCGAGCACACCAACAAAGGACCGCGTCGTGCAGAAGAACAGTTCTCCTATTCCCACTCCAGACCGGGAACGCCTTGTGAACAGGAAGGCTTCTCCTATTCCCGCGACCGACACTCCCAATGTCATCCCTGCTAAGAGACACGTAGATCCTCTCAGGGGTGCGGAAGACGAACGGCCTAGAAAGTTCAAGGCTGTTGCTGCCCCTGTTGCATCGACGAGTACATATGGTACAGTGACCCCGCGGAAAACAATTCCGGTATCCGTTCCTGTCCCGATATCCGAAGCAACGGTAAGCATATACCTCAGTGTCAACCCCAGTGTCTAACACTTCACACCCTAGACTGGTCCACCTGTCCTCGCCATCAACGCCGCCAACTCTAGGATCCCTATGAAAGATAGACAAGTGATGGTTTCTCGTCTCTGGGAAGAGTTCACCAAGCTCTACGCTTTAATCCGTCCCGGGCCAGCGCCAGAACTGGCAAGAGAACATGCGCTTAAGCAGGAGGCGGACGTGTACGACAAGACGAACAAGATGACATATCGGAATGTGCGCATATATCTGCATCTGCATACATCTGTGTAACCGATTTGCTAATTTATAAAGGCCATCATAACTACTATTGCCGTGTTGAAGAAACGCATTGCGCCCACCACGAGCTCTCACCCTTCAGTCGGCACCGAGGCACAGGTTGCCGCCCGCCTTCGCGAGCAACAGTCCATCTCCGCCCTACTCGTCACCGCCAACGACCTCGAGCTAGCCGTTCTGTCCAAAGAAGACATGCTGAAGTGGGAATACGTTGTCGACGCTCCCGAAGGTCCCGGCGGTGATCGAGTTGCGGACGAAGGGCTCACGAAGACGTGCGAACGATGCGGGACAGAGTTCGCCGTGCATGGCGAGGGTTTCGACAGCGCCGAGTGCAAGTTTCATTGGGCACGACCACGTATGCAGAAGGTTCCTGGAGGGAAGAAGGAGAAGTTCTACGCATGCTGTCAATCTAGCGATTCACGCGAGGGATGTCAGCTCGGAGCACATGTGTTTCGCGAGCTCTCAACAGAGGACCTCCATGCCAGGCATCCTTTCACACCGACGGCGCCTTTTGCTGCAGACAAGGGAAAGGGGACGATGTTGGATGTGGTCGCGTTGGACTGTGAGATGATATATACCACGCAGGGGATGAGCTGTGCACGGGTGACGGTGGTTGATGCGGGAGGGAACGAGGTGCTAGATGAACTGGTGCGGCTGGATGAGGGTGTGAAACCACTGTGCGTACAATCTTGCCTGATTTCCTTCCTCAACTTATCGTAGGGCACAGAGACTACAATACACGCTTTTCTGGCATCAGGAGTCTTCAAAATGCCGTGCTTGACTTGGAAGGCGTCCGTGCCGCGCTCTCACACATCATCGGGCCCGAAACGATCATCATCGGCCACGCGCTAGAAAACGATCTCAAAACCATGCGCATGCTCCATTATCGTGTAGTCGACACGGCCGTCGTCTTTCCGCACCATCACGGTGCTCCAATACGACATGCCCTTAGGGAGCTGGTCAAGGTTCATTTGGGCCAGCTAATCCAGACCGCCGGGGCGGAGGGACATTCGAGTGCTGAGGATGCGACGGCGGCACTGAATTTGGTCAAGTTTTGGGTGAAGAGGGAGAGGGAGAAGAAGACGGCTGGATTGAGCACGAGCACGGCACCTGCCGTTGTTGTGAAGAAATCTGAGGACGTGGAGATGAACGCATCGAATGCAAGTGGAATCAACGGTACAGTTTCGTAGAACACACAAGAACACAGCTCTCTTGAAGGTTTTGCTCGTCACATCATACATTTGTACAATAGCTAGTGCAGCAATCATTTCTCGGCGCGATGAATTCCAAGGATATAACCTGATGGATTTTGGAAAAAGCATAGCACGCATAACTCATACAAATGCAGTACTAAACCACACCAACGCCAGCCAGTGCAGTAGGGATCTACTCGTCGTCTTCCTCCTCGGCCTCCCCTGCAGCCGCCCTGCCTGCCTGGAACATCTTGATCTTCTCCTGGACACGCTCTGCACGCTGTTCCTGGGTAAGACGGTGAACCTTGTACTTGAGTGACTCGGCCTTCCAGTCTGTCTCCTTCTCTGTCGGCTCGAACGTCGGGTTCTCACGAATAGCAGAGTAGGCATTCTGGTAGATCTCCTCGAGGTCGTCAGACCCGATGTCATCCGCGAGGTAGCTCGAGAACTGCTTCTTGAACCGCTCGTCATCTTCCTCCTCCAGGGACTCCATGTACTCGGCGACATGGCCACCGAAGATGTACTTCTTCAGTACCTCGGCATCCAGGCTCTTGCTCTCTACATCGTACCCCGGGAAACGCTTCTCGGAGTGGGGGATGAAGAGACCACCGTCGGCAGCACCCTTCATCGCACCAAAGATGCGGGAACCCGTGGATGTCCTCTTGAGACCAGCATCAAGGTAACACTTGAACGGGCGGGGTGCGTCCTCATCGTCCAGTCCCTCAACCAGGGCGAGTTCACCCGTAGGCTCGACCTGTCCCTCGTACTTGTCTGCCAGGCCGAGCTTGGTGAGAGCACGACGGGCGCAGAGCAGGCCGGTAGCGTAAGCAGCAGTCCAGTTCGTCAAACCGTGCTCGATCCCGAACTTCGGGAGCTCCCGTGATTGAGCGGCGCAGAGGATGAAATCGCCTTGGAGACGAGCATAGGCGATTTGAACAATGATGTTCTTGTTCGTGAAGCGGACAACGAGCCGGTACTTGGGGGCGTTGTACTTATTCTTGGCCTGGGCGATGAGGCGCTTGCGGGCGTAATCTATGTTAACGGTCAATTAAGAGTTCTGCGCAATTGGACGACAGGAGCGCACAGTCGGTCTTGCCCTCTCTGCGACGGCGGTACTTCACCTGATACCGGGAAAAGTAGGCGTTGGACTTGACGGTCTTGACGAAAGGCATCTGGGGTAAGGAGTCAGCATCCGTCTCCCAACCGTCCCATCCACCCCATTCTGCGTCTTCCATCCAGGACCAATCATTCCAGCAGACTGCAATGCCGTCCAGGGGACGAGAACAGGGCAAAGATGGATGGATAATATGCTCACCTTGGCGAGGGGGACGTCCGTGTCGGTGAGGGGGTACCTTGGACAGACCAAAATTACGAAGGGACCCGACGGCGCTCAGTGCCAATTGCTTCCGTGCTTCTGATAATCCGCTCCGAGACGAGAAGAACATTCTTAAAAAAACAAACCTGTTGCATCTCCCTGTTAATTCTTTCTTTGAGAAAAAGCTCTTGAAATCAACAACCAGAGGGATGCTATACGTTAGTACGACAAATAGTTTCAATCAATCGCGGTGTGGAAAAAGAAGCGGGATGCGCCCGTTTGGATCCTATACTCAATGAAAATGGGTTTAGGTTTACATTATACATAGTAATAAATATACAAGACTGTGCATGCTAAAAGTTTCCACAAATGTACCACAAAAGCCAACTCGTTGAGATACATAGAAGCACAACGCTATCTTCAGTCGACCTGTTGAGGCTGCCAGGGTACTGCGCCGGCATCGGCAATACTATCCGAATCCAAGATTTCGATTGATGTCGGGGTGACACTGTCATTGTTTCGCCTTTCGATTGTTCAGGAAAGTGATTCCAGGAGGGATGTCATGTGCATCTATACGCTGTCAAGGAATCCGAGGAGCCCGCTTCGCTGGCGCTCTTCTTGCTTCTGCAGCTTCTGGAGTCGGTTGCGTTCCAGCATTTCCTGCAGGGACGATTTCTTCCTCTTTTTCGAGGAAGCCCCCTTTGGGGTTGCGGAAGGGGAAGGGGATGTTGACGGCGAAATCGGAAGCGGCTGCGAGGTGGATCGCTCGAGGGATTGGGAGCGACTCTTAGAGGCTTCGCTGAGGAGAGGCGTGGATAATCTTGGGCTGTTGAGGTCCGGGGTTGGGAAATCACGTATGTTCCGTGTTATCGGCGTTGAAGGAGTGGACAGCACGTGGGGATGGGGAAGAGCGGAAGAACCAGCATTTCTAAGAACTTCGGCGCGTGCCGTTTTCCGTCGGCCGATTGTCCTCGCTGGCTCGAAAGCTGCTTTGGCTGCCGCATCAACAACCAACGGTCTGAAGTCAGTTGTTCTGCACACGTGGCAGCTGATCTTTAGCCGGGTGCTGGTGGCACGATATCGTCTGGTTTTCCTGACAATTCGAATTGACCCTTGGCCTGGAATGAGAAAGGCCCCACAATGAGAGCACTTCAACGCGGCTTCTGTGGGATCCTTTTCTTGTATTCGTGAGTTATGCAGTGCTGCGAGACTTGGCGATATCTGTTGGAGAGCAGCAGCGAGAGATTTTTGATATGCAGGCGTGAGAGCGGATGCCATTCGGGTATTCGGATGGTCGAACAACAAGGAGGGCAAACAAAGGCCGGGTGCGGATATGCCCCGCTGTCCGGTGCGAGCGGGAGCACAGCCACTCCTTTCAATGTCGGGTTCTAATGCCGCATTGGCTTATCACGGGATTGTCATTGTTTTTTTGTTCGACTCGTGAGAAGCGTAGAATCAAACAACCGTAAGTTAGTCTACCATGTTTGGTGGGCTGAGCGGAAATTTGTAGACGGGCTCCCGGGGAACTCAAAAGACAACGGTTGGCCCACACACGCACAATGTGGCTTTGTCGCTTGGCTCTACCTGCCCTAACAAGGCTCGATATTGTCAAGGCAATTGTTATCCATCCTCTCTGTGGCGTTGACTTACTCTGCCTTTGTCCGTTCTACTCCTCTTCGTTATCGAATTCCATTCACCGAACCCATAACGACGACCATGCCAGAAGTACTACGACGTCGCAACGACTCTCCTCCGCAACCGTTAAGTAGCACCGGCGATTGTTCACCGTCTACAGACGAAAACTCTTCCCGTGCACCATCCTCACGGCCTCGCTCGCAGCTGTTCAACTTTGACAAAGCAATGGCGTGGCTTTCCCGCACTCCGGCAACTCCGACCAGACCGACCTCTCCCACTCAATCTACTACTAGTGGTGGGAGGTCCCCTCGCTCTCCTCCCTCCAAGCCGCCGCGCAGCTCTCTCAGTACGCCGCCTGCTTCCCCAAAGGCCAAGGCGCCTCCTCTGCCTACTCAACCGGCAGCGAGGCCTAGCAGGGATGAACTGCGCAAGACGACGGTCAGGTCGAAGGAATCAGAGCAGGCGCTGATGGACCCAGAAGCGTACACCATCAACCGAGCGAAGCTGGTCAACCTTCGGCCCGTCATCGATACCTCCCCTCCCTCCACGATTCGAAGGGCCGGAGGACCACCGACGGCACAGTCCCGTCCGTCGGTGAAGCCGTTGACGCCCTGCCGCTCTTCGCTCAAGCGGAGTACGAATGACGTTCCGCCCTCGCCTTCCTTCCCACCAAGTTCGATCGTCCCGTTCAACCGACTAGTCCTTGAGCCGTCTGCCCTGCCGCCGTTCGAACCTCAGCTGCTGGCCGGACCACCGCAGTCGGGAACGTATAGCAGGAACAGTCTCGTTACCCTTGAAACGTCGAGCATGACCATGCGCACAACGATAGATACGTTGACCTCCCGACCCTCCCTTCTCGCACACTACATCCTCGAGCTCTGCCCCAACCCTCCGTCTGGCCCGCCAAAGGTGCCGACCGAGACTCTCCACATATTCCTTGATCGGCCTTCTTCGCCGTACAATATCATCCTCTCATATCTGCGCCTGCCACGGTCGAGGGACAACTCCCTCCCCGCACTGCCTCGTGCCGTCCAACTCCCCTCGCACTCCCAGACTACATCCATGGTCGGGGTCTCGAAGCTCGAAGCCCTTCTCGACCTGAGGGATGAAGCCCGCTGGCTGGGACTGGAAGAGCTCGAGGCGATGTGCGAGGAGGAGCTGAGGACTGCAGGATTGGTCAAGCCTACGAAGCATGCGACGATTGCGGAAGAGACAGAGTCGGATTTGCCCCCTACGACAGCATCGAGTGTTGCGAGCGCGGCACCTTCTTTAAGTTCGCACGAGGGTGAGATTTCCCCCATCATACCACCAGAAAGGAGCATACCTACCCCGCCGACGTCCTCGGACAGCGACCTCACACCCCCTGCTCGCACCAGGTCTCCACCAACTACTCCGTCTGCGAACGCTGGGCGGGCGACTACTGTAGCGCGAGCTCGCCCCGTGCCCCGTCGTCAACCCTCGAACTCCTATCAGGGATCTCGGCCGCTCCCGGCGATCCCCACCTCCCAAGCCAGTTCAGAGCGCCGCAGCTCCGAACCCGCGACCAATGGTCTCCCGACCGCCAAAGCGCAGACCCTCGCGCCCGACTCGAAAACGGCCCCCAGTCTGACAGAAGACGAGAAAGCTCACCGTGCTCGGGAGAAGCTGAGTGAAGCCCTCAGCTTGCGTCGGAGGAATGCAGGATCGATCATCCATTCGCCGATCATTGGTTTAGCTGCTCTTGCACCCGAACCCAGGAGCTCGATCGCCAGTGAAGGAAGTCTGAGTCCAGGCAGGTACCTGTGACCCGATCAAGAATGTAGTTTCAGTGTCAATTCTATCATGTCTCGATTGCTGGTTCAGCAGTAAACAACTCTCATTTGACTTTGATTCGTCTTGTAACGATCGCCTCACTCATTGTTGTAAATTTGTGTCATCGCAATGCATACTTGGTTTCATTCCTTCGTGTCACAGAATCGACAGGCATCGAGCGTCGTTGAGCGACATTGCCCAGACAGACAGATTACATCACATCATAAGAGACGCAGATGTATTATAGACAGTTGATCAGATTCATAAGACATTATACCGTGATGGTTGACTTAGTATCAGTGCGACACCCAAGCTCAACAGTATGCTTGACGTCGTCAGTCGCCCTTGACACAGGACATTTTGGCTCCGGCCATTACTCTACTCTCACACCACGACCGCCATGATCGAATATATTTTGCTCGTCTCCCGACAAGGTACGTCTCCTCTGAGCCAGTCAATCCAGAACTAACCACCGTGACAGGGAAAGTCCGTCTTGCAAAATGGTTCACCACCTTACCCACAAAGACAAAAACCAAGATCGTCAAGGACGTCACCCAGCTCGTCTTGGCACGTCGCACTCGCATGTCGAACTTCCTAGAGTACAGAGGTACGTTCATCCCGCATATGCGGAATGACAGAGTATAACGCTCGTGCATGCAGACACGAAGGTCGTATACCGGAGATATGCCTCGCTGTTCTTCGTGTGCGGTATCAGTTCAGGGGACAATGAGCTCGTCACACTGGAAATCATCCATCGATACGTCGAGGTGCTGGATCGCTATTTCGGGAATGTACGCACTTCTGTCATTGTATACAGTCCTAGGTATGCTGATCATTGTGCAGGTATGCGAGCTCGATCTGTGAGTTGTGCTGACCCATCTGGGAGAAAGCGGCTGACCGTTCTTAGCATCTTCAACTTCCAAAAAGCATATGCAGTGAGTACGGGGCTGGGTCACACATGTTATAAGCTTATCTCTATGCGATAGATTCTCGACGAGCTCATCATTGCCGGAGAGATCCAGGAGTCATCTAAGAAGTCGGTCTTACGAGTGGTACGTGTCCGCAGCCTGACACACTATGTGCTTCCTCACACCACTACAGGTTGCACAGGCAGATACGATAGAGGATGCAGAGAATAGTGAGGACACGCTCGCGCGTCTCGGCTCTCTCTCGCGCGGCAATTGATGCGATGCACGACAGTTTCGACGGCCATGGACGATTCGGGGTTCCTTTGAACCACTTCCGAGCTACAGTACGAGACTTTCAGAGGTAGTGAGTGAAATTGTTTGTTTGTTACACCTGTGGCTTCAAGATGCGAGAGCACAGAAGAGTTCAGAAAGTGTATATTAGGTTACTGGGTATATACCACGCGGGCCAGTTGTTTAGAAAACCGCTTAGCAGGCGGCACAGTAAACGAGCGAAAAACAGAACAATATGTTCAGACCAAAAAAGCTACTCCAAAGTTCTCCCTTCTTCCCCTCGATTCTTGACCAGACTCGCTAATTGTCCAAGCACTGCAATCGCACCACTTTGTCCAGATCCCAGAATCATTCAAGCATTTCGATTTTGCCATCGCCTTAGTCTTCCTTCGAGAGCTTCTCGGCAATAGGAGATTCGGGTTCGTCCTCGTCGTCCGACCGTTCGTCGCCGATTACTGTTCCGAAGACGGCCCTGCAAGCTAGGCACTTAGTGTGCAGACATCAGTGACAGAGCTGGCGAACGTACCGGTACAATACCCGCCACATAAGGAGATACCAGAAGATGTTGAGTAGCTGGATAAGTGCTATCGGTACGAATATTTGATACTTCATCCACCACGCGAGCCAAACGCCCCGTGGAGGATCCCATTCTCGATTCTCTGGGGCAATGAGCTCGAATTGAGTCCATACGGAATAGAGCATCCTTAGGTTCAGATAGTGTCGCATGTACGTCCAAACACCGATAAACCATATGAAGGAGATCACAGATATGCGATCCAGCTTGAGGTAGTTGAGTATCTTGGACACCTGAACGTAAGGTCAGCAGGTGGGCAAGTGAATATGGCGATATCAGCGTACAGAGAGGAACGTATCGCTGAAGTCCATGGTGACGAAAACAGCATTGCCAATGTAGGTTAGGTTGACAAGGTAACTCCACCCGATCAGCCACAACGTAACGTAGTGATGCCACACTAGCTCCTGGAAGTCCTTACGTGGTTTTTCGATGCGAAGGACAAGCACAAGGAACTGTTGCAGCCAGAATGCAAACTGTAGAAGGTAGTATGCCTTCATCGCGGGCAGCATGTCCCAGTGAGGATAGTCTGAAGTCGCGGTAAGTACTTGACGAAAAGAGCTCATCGCATAAGACGCACCAATCCAGAAGTATTCGGTGCGATACCACCACGTTGGCAGTTGTCGCATAATGTACTACATTATGTACAAGGTCAGACGTGGTTGGCTTCCCCGGGACAGACTTACAATGCCCGCGCTGGAGGAGAAGCCAAAATAAATGATAGCATATCCTTGTTCAGCGAACCTGTCGAGCTTGCCTTCTTTGCGAATGCCAGCCAGTCTTGCGAGAGGATGAAGGATATACAAGACAATCGACTGACGAACAAATGACCAAAACACGACATAGTACGTAATGAAAAGAATATCCTAGGGAAAGACGTTAGCTCCCGTCCAGGAGTATGCAAAGCATGCGTACCCAGTAGCTTTTTTGGTATCTCGGATCGTCATCTGGAGAGCCTGGCACTCGTCCAGAGAGGAGGATCACATGAGAGAATGGATTTGGTTGGTGCGAAGAGAGGAAGTGCCAGTTCAGCCAGAGCAGGATCGGCACGCCGAGGATTTTCGCGGACGATGCTGAGCACAGAAATTAGCGATTCTGTGCAGCCTTTCGTAGGAGAGCGCATGCACCTGGGACACGCATCCAGCGCATCGTGCGCATATCCTCCCACAGTCCGCCTGATCTGCTGTTGACATCGACCGCGAATGCCACCTTTTGCTTGGGTTTCGCGTGCTTGATCTTACCAGTAGGGTCCTGCGGCGGGTGGGCAGGGACTGACGGCCTGGGAAAAGCATCAATGTACCCGCGAGGATGAGCTTTAACACGGGACTCACTTGTCCGGTACAAACGGCCCAGCGAGATGATGATTGGGATCGTGTCTATGTTTGCATGATGATGATGAGTAACAGGCTGCGGGAGGCAGGTGCCGAGCTGCGGAACGTACTCTATTCTGTGCAACGTCTCCACGATCGATGACCCGCGCCGTCGTCCCTTTGGCGAAGAACTATTATGATTGGACGATCCGGTAGCCATGCTGGTGAATTTTGGTGATTGATTAGACCGGGGGTTGTTCTGCCTGCCTGGCTGGCCCGGTCGTGGTCGTCTGAGGGCAGAAAGGGAGAGACCGGAAAGACGAAAAGAAGGTGGAGTTCGAAGGCGCCCTGTAGGGGATATGCCTCGCGTGTTGGGCTAACCCTGAAATATTAGTGAAACCTTTGACCGGGGTCTGCTTCCGGAAACTGCTTCCCTTTCTTCACGCATGGTCCCCAGTTCTCCCGCTTCACTTCCGACCACGACAAGATCCTTGCTTGATATCTATTTGCTGGTGGAAGATACTTCAGCTGTGACGATGTTCTGTCTTGTTATGCGGATACTACAATCCGAGCTGGAAAGCTGCATATATATGAATGCCTGTATCTATTCTGGCGGCGGCCGACAACCTCCACGAGAGGGATTAGGGTTTCATTGCATTCCTCAACTCTCCTATGTTCTCGACTTCTAGCTCGATCATGTCCTGAAAGTGATATATCCAGCCACCTGTCTCTTGATATGGCTCTGTTTACCTATGGACGCACTGGGTCGTAATTCCGGTCATGCCTATGCCCCTGGGCTGCGACGGCTTCACAGCCGCAGCGTGGGTGAGACTGCAGCGTGCCGACCCCTCGCCCACTTGTTCCTGCCGCCCGTTCTTTTGTGACATGTTGTTTTCCTGGTCATTCACTCAATGACAGGTATGCTTCCCCGAGTGGCCGACCCGAAGTTCTATGCAGAACTCGCATTCCTTCCTTCATTATGGCAACGAAATGCAGGCTTTCATTAATCATGCCGAAGAAGCTGTCAGCAACCTGTCTCCATGTATAAGAGCATGCGAGGATAGCGTCTTACTAGTTCCCTTACTCCCCTAGTCCGTCAGCTTTCCCCGCTCCTTTCAAAAAAAAAAACCACTCTCTCTCCGAGACCCACTCTCCTTTAACAAACCTCCGCTCGTTCAGCGCCCTCCCTCATACCAAAAGTCTCATTTTTATTATCAAAATGGTTGCATTCCGTCAGCTCCTTTCCATCTTCACCGTCGCCCTTAGCGCAAGCAGTGCCATGGCAGCTGCCCTGCACCCAAAAAAGGCCGCCACGCCTGCCCTTCCCCACTCACTGGAAAAGAAGACCAGCGACATTTGCGCCGAAGTCAACCTCTCCCTCGCCGTCAGCGTCCTCAGCATCCTCACGCTCGACCTGTCGCCGCTCAAGATCTGCCTCTGCCTCAGTGGCATTGACATCTTCCTTCATGCCGACGCGACAGTTGACGCGCTTGTCAAGGTCCTTGGTTCCCTGCTCGACGTGGAGGCCTTCCTGACCGCTCAGGTACAGCATTCCTCCCCTCCTGCAGTCTTGTTTCTTACCCCACATCCAGATCAACGCGCACGGCCAGCAGTGCACCTACCCCACGGGCGCGGTTCCCCACTGCTCCGCTTCCAACCCTTGCGACTTCTCCTGCCCCAGCGGCTACGTCAAGCAATCCGGCCAGTGCGTGCTCGTCGGGTCCAGGCGCGCTGCTAAGCGGGACATGGGCAAGTGCTCATCCGGGTACACCAAGTGTGGAGTACCCTCTGGTATCAACGCGTACGAGTGCGTCGACACGCGTTCTTCTCTCGAGAGCTGTACGTTTTCTCCCCTCTGCTTCCAACAACACGTGACTCACTCTACCCAGGCGGAGGCTGCGTCATCCCCTTCCCAGGCATGCGCCCGACAGGTCAAGACTGCACCCAGATCCCCGGCGTATCCGACGTCTCCTGCATCCAGGGCACGTGTCGCGTTTCCCGCTGTGCCGAGGGCTTCACCCGCTCCGACGACGGGACGGAGTGCGTCGCCGTCCAAGCGGGAGGACAGGTCGTCCTTGCTTGATCGGCTCTCTGCATGTGAAGAACAACTTTCTTTCCGGTCTCTCTTTGTCGGTCCCAAACCCAAAAGCGCATCCGTCCCGCATTCCGCAGCTGTAACAACACCCTTCCAACCTTCACCTTAACCTTACCTCATTCTTGCCGCCCCAGTGCGTGCCCTTCGGCCCGGTCCCGGATTTTTCTCTTTCTCTTGCCCTTCCCTTTCCGCGGTCATTCCGCGATCGGACTTTTTTTTGCCTTGCTTCGGCCATCCTAAAGCGCCGCTAGCCTGCCACTCCTTTAACACCAGCATACCACCGGTAGATGCCGGCTACCTCTCTGCTGCTAAACCCAAACCTCCTTCGAAATTCTGTTGACGGAACCTCCCGTTCGCTGGCCTGGAACCTTACATTACACCCTTCGTTCTAAATTCGTTCCACTTGGACAATTGACATCCGATAGCGTACAGTGTACTTCATTACTCTTCTACCTCTTAGCTTCTTCTAAAAATGGACGGTGCCGACTATCTCTTGCCTGGTGCAGTGCCCTCTGTGCGGAAGGGCGATAAGCAAGCGGCGTGCCAAGCCTCCTCCTACTCGGTGCTTCTCCTCCAGAGGGGGAAAACCGTGCGGTCGTTACCAACAGCTTATGAGCAGAGAGAGTACAGCTTGCGTAACCAAACCCTGCGTTGCGCGTCATGCGAGGAAAAGCGAGCGAGCAACGTCGATTTCGCCGCCTTCCTGTGCCGGGCGGACGGACCCGAGACACGGGGTGTCCATGTGGCCGGATGTTTTCCCCGAAAGATGCGTTCGGACTTCCTTGCTTGGTTGAACTGTCAACAACTATAACGAGTAGTGGTACGGTCTAGTTCTTACTCTTTGCTCTTTGGGTGCTTGTTGCTAGCGTGATTTCATCTCTGTTCGGTCATCGATGGTAGTGTGTTGCCTCAGTCTGTCGAGATCGACGTGGATGATGCACTCGTCCGAGTCAGTTTTCTCACGGCGTCGTCTCTGCCCACGCGAAGGGTCATCACTACATCATCCTCTCGTATGGCCTGTGCTCGCTCCCCTTGTCCTGGGTCCAAAACTCCGTCATCCTAGCCACATGGCGAATTGTTCTAGTTACTCGGATTCCCAGAAAGGAAAGTGCTCGTCTTGAAAGGGAATCGAATGTTGTGTACTCGAAGACGTACATCGTCAAGTATGAAATGGTCTTCTGTGCAAGACGTATCTCTACCGTACACCGCTCTCTTTCTGTGTTCGGTTCCCATTATTACCTTGGTGTGGAGCGGACGTCGTTGCTTCTCTCTTCTTATGCCACCATCAAGATCGGTTAGCTTGCTATTTCTGTTAGAACACTCGATATATGCCAAGATTATTCATACACAAACACTATAAGTACTTTGCCATCGTCTTTCAATGCACGTCGTCCGGCGCAACCTCCTCCCCCCAACCTCCTCCTCCTCATAGACAGCGTACTCCCCACTCTCTTGCACCGGTCAACCACCCACCACCCACTGTATCCCTAGTCCCCAAGTCTCCAAAAATGCTGTTCAGCCTTCTTGCCCTCGCTCTCCCTCTCCTCCCCACCGCGCTCTCCCTCTCCCTCCCAGACAAGAGGGGCGAGATCGACATATGCGCTTTTGTAGATGTGGAGCTCATCATCGACGGCATCGACTTTGGCATCTTCAGGGAGTGTGTATGCTTGAACATCATCGATTGTCCGTATTCGTGTCTTCTCCCCCGAATGCACAGTGCAGCTGACACGACACAGCGATCATGGACAGCAACGCCGTCGCGCAGAAAGCGGCGAGAAAGACAAGCACAGGACAAGTGAAGAACACGATAGCCAACACCGTCCGTCCTCTTCCTTCTCCAGCATTTTGTTACTCACTCAGAGCAGGTGACCGACTCCGGGGGAGCATCACAGTGCATCTACCCGCCGCACGCCAACCCCGTGTGTACAGAAACAGACCCATGCGCGTACACGTGTATCGTACGTTCCTCCCCACCCCTCTCCCCCTCATACTCATACTCACCACCACTTGCCCCGGTAGGCCCCCTACGCGAAACGCGGCGGCAAGTGCGTCCTCGGCGCATCGAGGCGCGCCTCCAAACGCGACCTCCCAGCCTGCGCCTCCGGACTGACCCAATGCGGCGTCTGGTCTCACTGGGGTTCGCGGTCCTACGAATGCCTCGACACCTCTGTGGAACTCGAGTCCTGTGGCGGGTGCGCCATCCCTTACGGGGACGAAACCCCCACAGGCACAGACTGTACCCAGATCCAGGGGGTGAGCGACGTCCTCTGCCAAGAGGGCCGGTGTGTCGTCCTCCGGTGCAGACCGGGCTGGCAAGTGCAGGAAGACGGCTGTGTTCGCTCGAGACCTATGGCAGCCGATGTCGAGCTAGCGAAGAGCACGCTTGAAGAGAAGCAGGACAATCACACGAACAGTGCTGCTCGCCCTGGTAGCTCGAGCTTGAGGAACCAGAACCCGCTGCATATGGTCGCCGACCTTCTCCAGAGCGTGGCGTACTAGCCCTGTCTCCCTGTCTCCCTCCCTTTCCCTCCCTCACCCGCGCGTGCGACTCCCCCTTCCCCTTCCTAGCGCCTCCTCCGCAAGATATAGAGCGCTCCGAGTCCTCTCCTAGCCCTACGCTTAACCCTTCGTTCTTCCGCTGCATAGAACTCAATTTGCGCGTCAATTTGTCAGTCATGTTTTTCACCGTCTTTGTCCGAGAGATCGTGGTTGAAAATCCGATTTGTTGAACTGTTTACTAGTACTTTCTTCTATGTGTGTTGGGCACGTACGTGTCTCGGCCGTTTGACTTTTCGACTTTGTGGGAACACGTGATGATACTGTTTGAAGTTGAGCTGACTGAGATGCACGAAGTGGTCTGAGAGGTTCTTCGGGAGATAGAAGACTGACAGAACTGGGAATGGGGGTAGCCTAGAGTCAGCTCGGAGAAGGGGGGGTGCTAAGACTCGATCATACTGCAAGTATCAAGCGTCAGAATTCTCACAGACGGAACCCGCTCTCAAAACGGAACATGGCGAACAATTTTCCCCGTCTGTATCGCTATATAAAGCTATGAACCGCCTCTGATTGAGATTAATGATAGTATGACTATGTGTATAACGAACGGGTGTGTCGCAAAAAGCGGCTATTGAGTGTCTGATGTGACATGACATGCCTCGGAGAAGTCCGAGGCTTGGATAAGGAAAGGAAAGGAAGGGCGTCGCGCGAGAGCCTGAGGGCATGGGCATGAAGAGTGCATATCAAGATACAGTTGAAAGTTGCGGATGAGGGAACCGGAGTTGCGTGGAGGAGAAAGGAATTGGGGGTGACCGCCAGATGAGCAGGGTTAAGGGAAGGAGGGGTATGAGACCAGTCCGAACAAATATCCATAAAAACGAGAACCGAGGGAAGACAAGAAGAGAAACAAAAAAAAACAGAACCGAGTCATCAAGGGAACCGAATGGCGAAAATCGTTGAGTTGGAAGAGCCGCGAATGGGGGATGATATGGATGGATGAACCATGCCGGCGAGAAGAGTTTTCCGAGAGTCTGAAGTCTGACCAAAACACCGCCTTTTTTCCTTCGTCCGCGGGGAGACTTCCGCACCTTCCATATCAAGTAATAAACGTGTCCAAGCTGGCAATTTCGGCCAGCATCCAGCAATTAGCAGGTTGTCGTACCACCGCAAGTGGCTAGCTGGGATCCACCGTCCACCGTCCACGCACATCATCCAATACTCCAACAAATCCAACAATCCGATCCAAAAGCCACTTTCCAAAAAGTCGCACAAAGTCGGACGCATCACATCATCCCAGCCAAATCCACCGTCTGCCTCCTACTCTTCCTCTGCGTCCCACCCTCCACCCCCATCCCCGTGCCCAAACCCCTCATCGTCCCCGCTCTCTGCCCACCCATAGCCTGGAGGGCCATCGCCTGCTGGATCTGCAACTGCTGAAACTGGAGCTGGGCAAGTGACTGGCTAGCCGCGAGTTGGGCCTGGGCTTGGAGCTGCATCTGTAGCTGGATATGGGCGAGGGACTGGCTGGCCGCTAGGGGGGAGACGGGCATCGGTACGGAGGGGAGTGTCGGGAGTGTCGGGAGTGTTGGGAGTGTAGGGAGTGTAGGGAGGGAAGGGTGCCCAACTGGAGAAACAGGCGAAGCAGGCACAGGGCTCGCCGCGTATCTATACCCCGCAAGAGGGGGCGAGAACGGTCCACCAGGAGAAAGGGGGATCATGCTCATCCGTCTCTGTGCTTGTGCTCCGGCTGCAGGGTCGAGCTTGACCCGCTCCCGCTCCCGGCCGGTAGAGTTCACCCGCTGACGTTCTCGTTCTCGTTCTTTCCCCTCTGCGCGGCTGGAACTGCGCGCGCGTTGGGAGGCTTTGGTGGGGGAGGCGGGCGTGGGAGGGGCGGAGGGCTGCGGCTCCTCAGGGCGGGAAGAGATGGATGCCGGGGCGGTAGATGTGCGCGCTCGGGCCGGTCTAGGCGGGTTTGACGTCGGTGCCCCATTCTGGTTCGGTGCCCCGTTCGCATTCGAGTTTGAAGGAGGTGAAGGGAGAGTGTTCGAGTTCTGCGGTACCGGCCTACCAAGAGCAGGAGGGACAATCAGCGGCAACAACGGCCTCCTCCTGCGGTTATTAACGTCCCACCCCTCTCCCTCAGCGATGGGGATATCCTCCTCTCTACGCCCACGACGTAGTCGCTCGCTCCTCTCCCTCGCCCGGCGGACTTCAGCTCTATACCTCTCCTTTTCCCGTTCTTCCCTCTCTCGCTCATCCACCCGCTCCCTTTCTCGTTCCTCTTTCTCCCGCTTAGCAGCAGCAGCAACACTAGGAAGGGTACTCCCCCTGTCCTTCCCCGCAGCACGCTCCGCACGCTCAGCAATCCCTCCTCTCTCCCTCTCCCTCCTCTCCTCCCCAAGCTCAGCCCCCCTCCTCCTCTCCTCAGCAGCAAGCCACTCCATCTCCCTCAACCGTCCCGGAGGCAAAAGGTGCAAACTCGCACTAGCAGGAACGAGGGGCATTGCCGGGTTTCCGGGAGTGCCGACTTCTGCAAGAGGGGCGAAGACGCGCGAGCTGCAACGGGGGTTTCCTGAGGAGGTGGAGGCGGTGGGGGGGGAGTGGAGGGAGTGAGCGTGCGAGGCGTGGGGGTAGGGATGCTCGAGTGCTGGGGTTGGGCAGGGGAGAGGGTAGCCTTGGGCGCCTTGGGCTGCTTGGGCTGCTTGGGCTTGGGCTTGTGCTTGGGAGTGAGCGGGGGCAGGGCGTGGGAGATGTTGCGGTTGAGGGTGAACGAGCCGAACTGAATTTGGTAACAGGGCTCGAGGGCTTGCTAGAGGCTGAGGTTCTTCCTGCAAAGCAGACAAAAGCGGCACGCTCATCCTCCTCCCCCGCCTCTCCCCCATTTCCCCCCTGCCGCCCGCACTAGCCCCCTTTCCGCCCTGTCCGTTGAGCACAGCGGGCACAGCGAGCGGGGCAGGCGGGGGCATCCTCCCGGCGGGCAAACTCGCTCTCCTCCCCTCCCTGCTCTCCCTACGCACCTCCCGCTCACCCTCCGCACTCTCATCCTCCTCCTCAGCCTCAGCTTCGCTCCCCTCCCGCTCCACACCCGGATCAGGCGTCTCCCTCCCATACGTATCCTCGTCTTCCTCTTCCAAGCCTTTCGCAAGCGCGCGCAGCCCGTCGGAGACACCTTGCACAGCTCGAGGTCTTGGGTTCCTATTCGCTAGCTGTTGAAGACCGGAAGAAGCCGGTCCAGAACCAGATTCGGACTCAGGTTCAGAACCAGAACCAGAGCCAAGAGGAGAAGGAGAAGGAGAAGTCGGTCCAGAACCAGCGGTAGCGAGCACGAGCTCACTCCCCCCAGTCCCAGTTCCAATTCCAGTTCCCGCCCGACTCCCATTCCCACTCCCATTCTGGACAAGTACGACCCCCTCCCGCTCATCAGGTATCCACACCCCACATCTCTCTTCCCACCCGCCTCGTTCGAGCCATCTCCCGACTCCAGGCGGTCGGGGGACAGTCTTGATCCTCCTCGGGCCTAACTCTGTGTTCCCTCCCCCTGCCCCTCCTCCTCCCGCGCCCGTCCCAGGACTAGGGGGCCGAACGGGGGGTAAGGGTAAAGGCCTGTAAGACAGAGCCGAGAGTTCCGCCGTTTCTGAGCGAGAGAGCGGCGGGGAGAGAGGGGACAGACGTGCCAGGACGCGAAATTTGTGCAGTCTGCGAAAGGTCGGTGAGGTGTTGCTGCTTGATGCTGGATGTGCTAGGCCCATGCCGGCGGAGGTGGGCGTGGGGCTGGTAGGGCTCGTTGGCGTGGGCGGGTGGAGAGGGCGGGTCGAGGATGGGAAGAGGGGTGTGCCGGAGGGATGGACGAGTAGAGGATGAGGGGTGACGTGCGAGGGGAGAGAGAGCTTGGTGAGTGTTGAGAGGAGGACGGGGATGTGCCTTGGGTGGGGGAAGGGCGGTTCTCTGGCGATGGGGGAGGAGATGTTGTCTGGACGTTCTCTTTCCCTCTCTCTGTCGCTCTCTCTCTCCCTATTTCTCCTCTCCCTCTCCCTCTCTCGCTCCCTCCGTCCCCGCTCCCCCTCGCGCTCTAAACCCAAACCAGGGGCAACATTCCCCAGCACCTCCCTCCCCAGCCTCCCATTCCCAGGCGGAGGAGTACCCAACCTCCCCACAAGCGCAGCAGGCAACGGCGGAACAGGGGGCAAGTCCTCCCTCTCAGCGGTAGAGCGAGGCACAGAGCTCGAGCTCGGAGCAGAGGAAGTGCGTTTCCCCGCTCCTGGCCCCTGACCCGGACCTGGACCCGGACCTTGCTGACCAGACTTTGCAGATGAGGTAGACCGGTTCGACAACCAGCTCGACATGCGTTTTATCGACTTCAGGCCTGTGCCTGCCCTCTGACCCTTCTCATCCGGACGCTCGCGGTCGTGGTCGCGGTCTTTGATCGTAGCTGGCGGGAGGAGCCCACGGTGAAGCAGGTCTTCTACCTCTTCGGTAGGGGTGTTGAGGCTGCTTGCGTCGCTTGAGCAGGCGCTGCTGCCTGCGCTGAGAGGAGGTGGGGGGAGTAGGAAGTCGTTGTTTGTGGGATGTGGCGGGTTGCCGTTGGCGTTAGCGTTGGAGGTGTTTATGGGCGTTGTGGGTGTTGTTGGGGTTGTTGGGGAAGGCTTGCGAAATAAACGGAGAGGGTTGTAGGTGTGTAATTTTGACATTGGGGGTGAGCGTTGAGGAGGGAGTGAGAGAGGTGAAGGATGGTGTGCGGAGAGAGAGGTGGAAGAGGTTGCTGATGATTGGTTTGATGAGAATGACGAGGATGATGGAGGGGGAGGAGGAGGAGGAGGGAGAGGAGTTGTTGAGCGTATTAGATGCATCTGAGGTTAATGAGAGTGGAATGGCATGGGAGGGGGAGAGAGGGGGAGGGAGGAGGAGGAGAGGGAGATGAAGGGAATAGAGGAGGAGTGACTGCGATGATGAAAGGAAAGGGAGTGTGTCAGCACTTTACTTCACACGGACTAGCGCTCAATCGCACATTCAACACTAATCACCATCGACACTCTCTTCAGCCTGTGTTATTGGATCACTCTCCCTTATGAGGCTGGACATACCCTTCCATTAGGTTATTTCACTTTACACTTACAAGCCTCTCTCTTCATCACTCCTTCATCACTCCTTCACCATTACTAGTACTGCTCACCTCACCTCACCTCTCCCTGCCTCCGCTTCTCTCGCTCTTTTCCAACAGTGCACGTTGTCATCCTCCCTTCCGTCTTTCCATCATTCAATAAAGGACCCTTATCGGGTGCAATCACCACACGCCTTTCCTCATACTCACCCACTTTCACATGCACAGGGGTGGCAGGATACAAATGGAAAATAGAAGTGACGTACTACTAAGGGGCGTGTTTCATCTTCATTGAAGGAGCGGGCGCTTCCCACTTCTCCCCTCCAGTATTGCTTGCTCTCAATCCTCCTCCCTTCCTCCCACAGCATAACAATACTCAACCACCATCACCCATCGCCCATCAAGCTACATCAAACCGATAAGTACTGCCTCCCGACCCACCCGTCCACACTTAGCCCGACAACAACGGCTCGGCACCCCGGCCACACCGTACAGCTCATGTCGCACATCTCTCAGGTCCTCACATTCCTCTGGCTAGACAAGGAGATTTCCGTACTGCATTGCCTAGCTGACTCGGCTTATCTGGAACAGCCCACTCCATACCGGTACCGCTACAAGGCGATCGACTCATAATATTGTCAGACAACGGCCCATATATAGCGAAGACAATGAAAACAGCGGCGTTAACCGCTTCTCGGAGTAACTTCCTCCTGCCTCCTACCTCCTGCTTCTAGCGCTCAAGATGGCTTGGCCTACGACAAACGTTAACCCTCTTCCCATAGTCCCCCCTCTCGGCTTCATCCCCACTTCCCAGTCCCAGCCAGCCCAACACACCAGCCCCATCCAGATCCAAGCTAGATCATCCAAACCGCACGCCATCCTCCATCCGCCATCCAACACCCGGCACCTGCCTTCCGGAATCGGCTTTCCCAAACGAACCCGGAGCTCGGGAGCTCGCCGTTTGCCGGGCACTCCGACTCCGGCCATTCGGGCCCGAGAAATACTGATGAGTCCTCGGGCCGATTTTCTCGGTGCGTGTATAGGACCGCAGTGCCTGTACCTGTACTCAAGTGCTGAATACGTACCGACCTGAATCTGAATCTGGTTTCGTATTGTCTAAGAGAGCGGCAACGAATTACTGGAGACCTTGTCAAGAACGACCGGCTTTACTCCCACTCCCATTCTGGGGCCATTTCCATTTGGGGCCTATATGAGGACGCTCAGGCAATGAAGAAAACCTCCCTGTGGACGAATATCAGTCTGGTGAACACATTACTCGATCTGGACACTGTCCAGTTCGTCGTAACCAGTTCGTGAGGAGATGCTGGATCCTTGCAGTCTGGTAGTACGCTCCTCCGCCCCACGGCAGGGTATATGACTCCCTCTCTCATCTCGTCTCTCTTCGCACGACCCTCCGACCACATACGATCGAGAACCCTCATTTCTGCCTATGTATCCCAAGCTCGAACCACTAAGCAGCTCGCTCGTGCCGAGAAAACGAACCCCCGGGGGGGGGGGGGGAACAGGGATCTCAATCGAGTCGTGATCGACCTGGGATGGGGAGCATGGCGCAATCGTCCGTGTTTTGCCTACCTGTCCGGACAGTCGGGCAGCAGGATCGAGGGATCACTACGGTACATACACGACGCGATCGTTGTATGGATATCTTGAGCCAAGAGAGCCGGTCCAGAGCTCCTGTGCAGCTGTGCTTCGCCAGCCAACAAGTTAACACCAGTATCTTCCCAGTAGTTTTCCGAAACAAGACCATGCTGGATCGTGCGTGTCTCGGAAGACTCTTGCACAAGTCTGTAAGTAAACGTAACAACGAATCCTCTTGCGTTCTTTGGACTTATCTTGATCTCAGATGCTGCTGAATCCGACTACTGACAACCTCCCTCCCCCTGATTAGTCGTCTATCGTCCTTTCGATCTCGACTTTCAATACAGTAACATCGGGTCCTGCCAAGGTTTACGATAAGTTCTTCCCGAAACAGTTGGGCGCAGATCTCGCCCTTCTGCCTTTTCCCATCCGAGGCCAATGGTTTTAGCATTGCGATATATGCAGAGCAGTCCCTTCAAGTGGGATACGGCGGCACTATTTCACATTTCACTGTACAATTTCGACGGGATCCTCTCCCTTACCCCTCCATATTAATCCGGGGCAAACTGTGAGTTGACCCAAGTTTGACAATCGGCTAAAGCTGATAAATGAGAGCCTATTCTGTCACTCACGGTCGCAAAACTCTCCCCATAAACGGCGAGTACTCGTCACCGTGGCAGGAAATGAAGGTGCCGGACTGGTGGTGTTTATCACTCTGCCGCGCTGCACTTCCTTTCACGCGATAGGTTGCTAGCTAAGCTCCGCACAAGCCTTTCGGCTTGTCGAGGGCATCGCATTCTTTGAATCAAGGGCGATCGAAGTTGGCCTATGGGGTTGGACATCGGCAAGCGCCGGCGTCTGAGCACGGATGCCGCTCAAATACTGGAACGAGCCGTGCTGCAGAGGCCTAGGGACGACCGTGTCTGTCCTCTAGATCTTTTCGACGATGCGCAGCGCCACGCCAACTTGGAGCCGTACGATTCATACCTACGAGACGGAGACGATGGATGTGGAGGGTACAGTATCATCCGTTATGTCAGCGCTGCGGTAGTCGAACAGCAACAAGTTTGTTCGGGGACGCCTAGTACTTGTGGCAGCATTCGCCTTACAAGCGTTCTGATCGTATCCAGTGCATGGCTGATTTTGTCTCAGTGAGGGGCGGTCTTAGCGAGTGAGTCTATCCTTGTTCTCATTCAGAATAATAGCGAGCTACTAGCTCTAGTTGTTCACGACAAGGAAGGAGTGTACGCGCACGCACATCTTAACACCATAATGATCGTCACGGCATACATGTACTAGTTGATCCTGCTGTAACTTCTCATTTCGAGGCGCCAGTAGATACGGGGTATCTCGATTCCACTCCATACCCGCGCGTGCTGTTTTGCTGTGAGTTGCAGTTTGTCGACCTTTCCGCCTTCGGGGACCCCCCACACTCCACCGCCCCCCTTATCTCACTGAATTGCATGTTTGCGTGATCTCGCATCTCCAGGTCAATGTACTCCCTAGAACTAGAATGGTTTATCTCGCGGGTATCACGTCACTCATTGCATAATGCATCTTTCGGCTTGCTGCTCTTTCCTAGACATGCCAAAATGCGAGTTTGCGTGGTAGCGACGGATGACAGCAGTGTCCCTGTCGTATCATGCATCTGCATCAATGAAAACAAACATCTCATTCTGTTCGGGTTCTACAATCGTTACCATGCGATGAAAGAGAGGAAAAGCACGTGTGATGGGGTGATAACCAAGGGCTGGTCCTACTCCCAGACTAGAGCTTAACCCTAGACAGATGTTAGCCTACGAGTATCCCGAACAATCGGAATCGACTCACTCCTTCAGGCCATCCTTCCACACAATGAAATACGGCTGTGAAGAGGATAAACGCACTGCCAAAACGTATGACAGGTACTCACCGTTACACCATCCTCGCGGTAGTTGAGGAGCATGACCATGCCTTCAGGGTTCATGCTCTCACCGGTGTAGAACTCGTAATCCTTGAAGTTCGTTACGATCTTCTTGGCGAACGCCTGCGCTCCCTTCTCGAATGCGGCCACACGGTCCGGGTGGTTCGACGTAAGGTATGCCTTGACGGACTTCATGTAGTCCTGAGATACGAGTCAGTCGATGGCGAAGTCACGCACGGCACAGGGAAAACAGTGCCCAGGCGGTGTGGGGCACAGTTTCGTCCCAACCGCTGACTTTTGAGCTCGTGGCTCTAGGGTCCGTGATCCCCACCCCTGCCCGCCCTTCAAAGAACAGCTGCTCACCTTGAGGTACGCCAAATATCCCTTCTTGTCGAACGAAGTGCTCTGGAGACGGAAGGAGTGGACAACGTTGTTCACAGTCTGGGCGCCGTCGTCGAGGTCCTCCGACGCCTCCTCGGCACTAGCATTTGCACCAATGTCCACCTCGCCCTCCTTGATCGTGATCATCTTCGAGTCGATCTCGTAAACGATGTCATCGACGAGCTTCATATCAAACGCATCGGAGACGATCTCGTCTTGAGAGATACTGTGGGAAAGGATCAGCTCAAGATGAGGGGCCGCACCGGAAACGTTGAGCCGAACGACGTACACATCGGTATACAACAACATCTCTGTAGCTTGTTAGTTCGCTTGCCTCATTAATTGAACGACGGCTATGACTCACTGTCTATACAGAGAGGGAGTCGGTAGAAGTGTTATAGACAGACAGAGAGAGAAAGAAAGAGCAGGACCGAGAGAATTGATCACAGGTCGAGGTGAGCTAGCCGGCGGGGCCCTGGGAACATGCGTTGCACAGGCGCTTCCAACGTTAATTTTCGTACACGGAAGCAACTCATGTCTGGGATACAGGGGTCCTGATACTTGTGTCCCTCCTTAATCTCATTTGTGTAGACAGTAAGACTCGGTCCTCAGTATTGAACTCTTGAATATAGGTACTAGCTACACAGCTGCTGATTTTCAGAAACCAGAGGGCTACATAAGAAGGTGACATATGACCTAAACGAAGAGAGGGACCCCGATCACTGTAAGAAGGAAAGCGGCCTGTCATTGTCTGGGTCTCGCATTGTAGACCCAGGATAATATTAATGACTTCGTAACGAGGAGTTTTTAATGAGTTCATCATATCCACCGCCCAGGTGTTCATCAGCGTCTACGTTAGCATGGCTGGAGATAGATCATATAGATTCTATTCTTCCAGTCCAAGGCAGGTTACGAGAACCATCCAGCGTGGTGTGTGTCGGCTCCGAACTAACTCCGCTCATTGTTTAGGGCAAGTGGCACGTGCCCCCTCGCCAGGATTTTCTCCGTCCCCCGCGCGACGAAACCTCTTCAGCTCTAGGTCCGACATTACCAACGCCTCACAGAAATCGTCACCTGTCGGGCTATGGCGACGACCGAGAGGGAATGTAAGGGGGGTTATAATCCTTGTTCTTTTGAATAGGGGGGAATGGGGTTCGCTCCGCCCTGACAATCAAAACTAACGCGGGCTTGGTGTTTGTGCAGGGGGGGGGGATTGGGAGTTGGGGGATTTTCAGGAAGAGTAGATTTTGATGGACAGTGAAAAAATGTGTAGCCTGAGAGCGTAATCCTCAAACTGCGACTCTGAGTATATCATCCGATCAACGCAGATGATAATACAGAGCATGGTCGTCATTGTATACAGTACAATTGATGTACACTTTTCTCCCAAACCCAAAGTCGAACCACTACAACTCATAAGTACACCCCTCTGCCATCTGGCTCACGGTGTCCCTCCCCATCTCCCATTTCCTCACTTGGAACCCCCCTCCCCTCCTGTTCCACCCTTCCAGGCGCACCCCTCTCTTCCCCTCCACCCTCTGGGGCCCTCGCCACCTCCCCCCCATTAAAGCTCACAACCGCGATATCATAATGCCCATTCCCGGCGCCTCCTTTCTCCTCTATAGCGCGATGCAAGAGCATGATCCGTTCTTCCTGTGCAGATCTAGTCGATGTCAGCCCCAGAATTCCAGGGTATAGGGATACAGGGACGGATGAAAGGTGAACGGATCCGGACGTACATCGCCCGCTCGTTCTCCTCCACCGCCTGCTCCAGAACCTCATCCCTCTCACCCTCTAACGCCTCCCTCAGCACAACCTGCGATCTCTGCAGATGGACAATCGAATTCTGAACTCGGGCGATCTCTGGTAGGCTTTAGCTTCGGCTTTGCAGAAGGGGAGAAGAGGGGGTACCAGCTGTGAGGGTTGCGAAAGGGAGAAGAGAAGCTTGTTCGAGAGTGAAAGGATGTGGATGCTCTAATTTCAAGGGAGGGGACATGATACCAGTCCTATAGCACAAATCACGAACAACAGCAAAGCACTACATCGCACGGCCCACTGCGATCGACGGACACGCGCCCGAACCTCCGAGCTGGGTGCCGAATTCGGACGCGTCATCCCCGCGCACGTGCATGACGTCTTACCCCGCAAGCGCAAGGAGTAACCTACCCGCCCCCCCAACCGCCCAGAACATCGCTCGTGCTTCTACCTCTTCACCTTCACCTTCCTCTACCCCACTCAGCAAACCCGAGAATGCCCATCATCGCCCTCCCCCCTTTGCTCGTCGAGCTCCCCCGCTCTCCCATCCTCGCAGTAGGCATCCCCATCGTCCTAGGCTCCCTCTCGGGGTTCCCGACGCTCAAGGTAGCAGCTTCCAGTTGGTACAACGTGCGTCTCACCCCTAGGCTTCGAGGCTAGATATATGCTCATCTTTTCCGTGCTTGTTTGGCTTGGCTGGGTTGGTCGACGACTGGATGGATCGTGTCTGCGCTGTTTGGTTGGAGAACGTAGGGCCTTAAGGCTCCCCCTGGAAGGCCGCCAAGGCAGGTGTTCGCATTCGTCTGGCCGGTGTTGTATGCCGGTATGTCTCCTCCAACTCCACACGCGCTCTCCTCCCCTATGACCTACTTTCCTCGCTCTCTGTGACACTAACCGCACACAGCGATGGGCTACGCCTCCCATATCGCCGTCAGGTCACTCGACAACTCCCTTTCTCCCGTGACGAAACAAGCTGCCGCGGACGGGCTGGCGCTGTACTGGGGCCAATTGGCGCTTAACCTCGCTTGGACGCCGATCTTCTTCGGGCTGAAGAACGTGAGTTCCTGACTGCTTCCGCCTTCTGCTGTGAACCGCGGAGTGGTGGTACGAGCTGATGCCTGTTTACAGCGGCTCGTTGGACTGATCGACCTCAGCGCCCTCACCGGTGCGGCGTACTACATGACCGTACGCTGCCTTTCCCCCAGCGCCGGAGCACGCTGACCTTTCCCGCAGTACAAGCTGCATGAAGCGACGGAAGGGAAGACGACGTACTTCCTCGGACCGTACTGTGCGTGGCTTACGTTCGCGCTCTACCTGAACGGAGGGGTGTGGTACATGAACCGAGTGAGTTGGGTGTCTTCCTTCATTGCTTAGTGGGTGCTTATGAAGTGCGAAATGCAGAACTATGAACTGAAGGGGAAGGGCAAGGCTGATGTGTGACAAGGTGAAAGTGTACATAAAATTATCGTTTAGTGCATTGCATGGAATGAGATTGCAATCGTTCCTAAATGTTCGGTGAACGAATGGAGTAATGGGCGGAACATCACGGAGGTGTCCCAATAAGGAAGAGAGTGAAAGTGGCGGGGAATGTCTTAAACCGAAATGGAATAAGCCAGCAAATACCAAGAGCGTTTCATTCATTTCTTCTCTCCTCACTCTACCTTGTCTCTTCCCATTGCTATAATGCCCTCTAGTGCTTCACTTGCTCATCGACGTCTCTCACTCTCTGAACGGTTATTCGCAGAAGCGTATGACCCACCAACGTCATCAGCAACAGATGAAGTCTCACTTCATTCACCATTATCACATCAATCACATTCCCATTCATCACAAGCTCATCCTCTTTCTCCAACTACAACACGTATAAGAACACTCAGCGAACGTATCTTCCCAGATCAAGAGGGAATCGCAACTGCAACTCCTACACCGCCTAACGAGCCTCTCACCCCTTCACATCCACATGAACCAACACGACATCGCTCTGTCCTCCAACGCGTCCTCACAAGCCTATCCAGGCATGAACAGGAAGACAACGAGCTCGCAATCATCGATTCCCCACTAGGGGACGTAGGGGACATCAACATACCCCCCGAAGCGGCAATCGAACCCGGCACATCATCTGAGCAAGAAGTCTCAGACGGGTCAAACAACACCGCCGTCACCTCCCCCTCACGCAGGCGACGCTCCCTCTCCGACCGCGTCTTCCGTCGCTCTTCTTCCCGCTCCGGTCCGGTGGAGTACGACGCCCAAGGCCGACCTAGGCAGCGCAGGAAGAGCCTGTCAGAAAAGTTCGTCGAAGCCCAGGCGAACGAGGGCCTTCCCGCTCCTTCCCCTCCCTCCCCTTCCCCCGAGCCTCCGGAGACAGCACAGGAACGCACCTACAGGCCCGAAAGCCCAAGTCCGAGCGAGGCGATCGAGCCCCCGCTTTCGAGGGTCAAGTCGTACCACCCGCTCGCTGTTGAGGTCCTGGTGCTCCTTATGCCTGGAAGCGTGTTTGGAGTCCTGGCGAGGTTGGGGTTGACCGCGCTGGATACGTATAATGGTCAAGGGGTGTTTGCGCTCGCTTGGGTTCAGGGGTTGGGGTGCCTCGTTATGGGCGCGTGTGTAGGGTGGAGAGACCAGATAACCGCTTTGTACGTATCGTCATCCTTCGGATTCTTTCAGGTACTCAACTTACACGCGTGTAGTCACCCGCCGCTGTATACCGCTATCGCTACTGGGTTCTGTGGGAGCTTGACGACATTCTCGAGCTGGATGTTAGATGTCTTCCTCGCGTTCTCTAACGGGTACGGGAATGACAGAATATGGATCTACGACGTGCGTCCCCCCACCCGCACCCCCACCCTCCATCCTCCGTAGCCACTCACCCTCACTCAGGTAATGGACGGCCTCACCCGCACCTTCGTAACCTTCGCCATCTCCCTCTGCGGCCTCTCCCTAGGACTCCACCTAGCGTCCTACGACCTCTCACACAACCACTTTTTCCGCCGCCTAGGCAAGCTACACATCTCCCTCCCCCTCAGGCTCTTCCTCCTCTTCTCAAGTCTCCTCATCTACCTCCTCTGTATCCCCTTGTACTTCGTCCTCTCCCCCGACTTCCGCCCACTAGCGACTAGCGCACTGCTCTACTCCTTCCCAGGAACACTCATGCGGCATATCCTCGGCACACAGCTAAACGGGCGTCATCCATACTACCCCATCGGTACGCTCCTCGCAAACGCTTTAGGCACAGCATTCCTAGCGATCTTCCACTCCCTCCAACGGCTCCCTTCTTCCCCAGTCTCAGGCACATCGTGTGTCGTACTCCAAGGACTAGCAGACGGGCTTTGCGGCTGCCTCTCAACTGTGAGCACGTTTGCGGTCGAAGTACGCGGTATGCAGGGACGGGGAAGACAAGCGCGGAGAGCGTGGTTGTACGCTATTGGTAGCTGGGTTATTGGCCAGCTGTTGATGCTTGCTATTCTGGGAGGGAGCATGTGGGGCGGAGGCGCGAGAGAGGGGGATTGGTGTGTTAGTAGGTTGTAGACGGGTACAGTAGAGTGATCGGTTGAACTTGTATAGACTGGAGATCGTCGGGCTTGTTGTATTGTAGCTTAATGAATCATGAAAATGACGGTTTATCCCTAGCGACTGTATTCCTTTTCCGTCCTGGTCACTGTGTGGATTACTATCTACTACATACCTAGGCTGGGAGAGTGCTAGACTTCAACCGGCGCTACATATTGGCCAGTTCGAGCTTGTGCAGCTCCGGCTTAGCGCTGCTACCACTCGTGTAAGAGTGGGCTCTCTCTGGCTGATTGTGCTCAGCCTGTTCGGGCCGCTCTAATGGGCTCAATGGGCTCAGCAGGTCCATCTCCCAACAATCCCAGTCTCATCACGATCTGCATTGGGGTCCATCCTCAAAAGATATTCCGCTCGCATCGCTCATAACGACCACAGTGTTTGAGAAGAGCTGTCACTCATTTCCACACGTCATGTTACCTCGCGATTCTCCGAATCAAGTACGAGCGACTCATCGTTCTTCTCGTCACACTTTCCCATGACGAAAGATTGTTCTGAGAGCGCTCAGCCCGCAAGCGAGTGGGATGCCAGCCACGGAGGCATAGGCTGCCGTCCTCGAACAAGCACTTGTCGTCATGTCGTCGCCGTGGTAGTACGAAGGGCTCCTCATACGTCTTCTCACCAGAATAGACTTGGTAGTTGTAGGAGTTGGAAGGATGAGATCCTGGCCTCTTGCGTACTTGCGTTCACACGCTCCGTGTGGTGATGCGATGGAAGATAACCGACGTCCCGTTGCGGTTGCATCTGTCGTCAAGGAAAGCCACAGGTGCACAAGGCTAGCAGGTCCGATGTTGAATATACGGCCGTTGAGTTAACGGATGGTTTATAATCGTTCCGGAATTAGGAAGATCGGAAGTCGATACATGGAGAACCGCGGTCGTGGGCCGGCCCAGAGCGACAGGGCGCATGTAGCTCCCCTCTGTGGCCAATGTGAGACGACAAACACACTCCGGAATAGGACAATATTTCCTCACAGGGAATCCCACACTGGTGTCCAAGATATGTGGCCTGTGCTTCGCAGCAATGCATCGATTGTCGACTCTTGCGAGCTGGGTCGGAAAATCAACGACTGCGACGTGTCTCATACCCGGGAATCGATTACATCCTCAAAAACGGTCTTCGTAGCGGTAGTCTCGCGAAAGGATACGTGGAAGGGGGATGAATGAAAGGCGGTTGCTCGGTATGTATCTCTCGCGGATGAGAACGAACAAAGGAAAGAGGAAGGAGATCACATAGCCTGGAAGTGCACAACCCCGAATTGCAGGAAGTGAGCATTTCGTTTCCATCCAGGCTGAGGGGCAGATGTGCTTACAGCGTCAACAGTGACTTCTTAAAGAAATCAACATAATGACCAAGAAGACATAAGCAAGAAAGCGCTTTGGGACGGAAATGTCGACCTCGTTCTTGAGCCTACGGGCTTGCTGTTTTCTCCAAGTATACGCGGCGAAGAGCCAAGGAGTCGTCGCACCTCTCGTGCCTGCTCTCGCCGATATCCTCCCTCACCCCCTCAATCGTGGTTGTGTTTGTAAGGACGTTGTGCACGAAACGATAGACTTATGTCGGATAACCTTGGTCTGCAGAGGTTTGTCGCCTGTCACGGTGCAGGCGGAAATTGGCGTAGAACGGCGACGAACGGCAGCTGGTAATATCACAAGGCTCGTCCGACATCATCTAGAAATCATGAGTTCCTGTTGCCCAGTACTCTAGCACACCGTTGACTCACTGCTTCTATATCGTACCAAGTAAAGGGCGGCACGATGACGTCCCCGCCAACCAGACACGGCCCAACAAGCCTGAGTGCAAACGAAGCCGGGGACGATGCTATCCTGCATGATACCACGTGTCGCGATCACCGCTCGATCAAGAAGGGGCGGTAGGATCTGCGGCTGGAGCCTAGCAACGCACATGTCTGTGGACAGAATCTGTCAGTAGTCAGTTCCTGTTTCTTAACTAGCCCACAGAGATGACGTACTCTACAAGATAACTTCCTCCATATGCGACTTGTCCTCAACCCGTCTTCGAACACTTCTGTGGTCCGGTGTGCTCCTTCGAACAAAACCAAACAGGGCACCATGCCTGTCATTAGTCAGGTCGTGTCTTCTACCCTGCCCGTGAAGATGACGCACTACATGAGACAACTTCACACATGTTTGCAAATTGTCCTCCAGCTGTCCGCCAGCACTTCCGTGACTTCCGCATTCTCCTGCAGGCACATGGAAATCTCATATCGGGGTACAACACTTGTGGCGCTGGTCAGCTCATCTCTCCTTCTGCCTAGGTGACGACGTACCGGCTGTGTATATGTCTGCGTCGGGCAACGTCCCCAGCGGTCTGCTCAACCTCTTTAGGTGCCTCTTTCGCATCCTCCACGGTAATTCGCACCTCACTCTTCTGACCGCGATCATTTCTGAGCCAGCTACGTAGACGATGCCTTGATGAACTAGATGTGGAGCGTTTGCGCGATCTTGTTTTGTATAAAATGGTTGGCGATCAGGGTATGGTGAAGAGGGCGGGCAGGAGGGAAATGCCCGGCAATACACACATCACATCTGCACCTTGTCAGCTCCAGTCTCCCTTTCTCATGACCGCGATTATGCTCACCGTCCGTACAAGGGAGCCGTCCAGGCACAGGGAAGCCAGCCAAGAGAGAGCCGAAAGGAGATTTCAGTTGTTGATGCGAGATTGCGATGCGAGGTCAAGAGAGCCGGGCACGGCACCACAGAGGTCGTTGAGCCGATGCCTTATAGTTTGCTCTGGGCATGCGTCAATCTGTTCTTCCTGGGGTAAATATGCTTACTTCTTTAGGCCTCTTCCAGATCCAAGCCCACCGATGTGAGACTGATGAGCACAATTACAACCAGTACCTTGCTGCAGAGCGACAAGGATAGACACATTCGACACTGCCCCCTCGTCCTCGCGAATGACATCGAACAGAGCCATGCGTTTGCTCTGATCCCTGTGGAATTGAATATATTGAGAGCTTCGCGCTCTCTTCATGGTGTACGGTTTGACGTGCCTCTTGAACTCTTCCACAAGCATGGGCCGATGTTTCTGATCAACTGTCTTCTTCTTGTCTCCAATATATTGCTGTGCAGTGATCAGCGGATGAACGGCGGGGAGAGGCACAAGGTAGGAATGGGGATGCAGAATTCACCCAAGTCGCACCACACATACACATCATCCACCACATGTGTGAGAAACACATCTGCTCACCTCAGGATATCCAGCATGTTGCCTCTCTCGTTGAACCCAGTTCACAAAAGCGCGTGGGCTGAGACGACGGTGTTCGCCTCCCCGTCACCTTCCCCGAAGGCGCTCCCCCTCCTCGTCCTCTTCTCGCATCTCTCGACATCCATCTTTGCGGCTTGGGTCGTAAATACGGCCATATTATCCTGGTACACGATGGATCGAATGTTGTCCAACTTTGGTAGTTCGATGCGATCAGATCTTAAGATTGCTGATGTTGGGAAAAGGGGAAGTATCGGTGTGGAATCGGTGGCGTGTATGAGAGCAATGCGCGAGACTAACATGCAACATGGTCCGGGAATCATCAGTCCCTGTTACTCACTCCTGTACCGTGAAGTTCACTCACGTCGATCTTGAACCAAGGAAGGTGTTACCTCATCGTCTAATCGGTCGTGTCCGAGTCTGTTGACACCCGCCTCCGAGGTTCGGAAGACTGAAACGGGGCCACCTGTATCCCAGGGTCAGTTCAGTTCTGGCCGCAGGAGAATCAATGAAGTACCTCTATATTCTTGAGCACTCGACTTACCGCCCGCCTTGCCGCGTGACGGCGGAGACGCTCTCTCTCTCCTCTGCCAGCCCCACGTTTCCAGACTGTTCGATAGTTTGTGATGTGCTCGTTCATCAGTCCTCGGTTATGGCGTTGAAGATGCCGGATGCCAGATGCCAGATGCGTGGTGCAGTCGTCGTAGGCTCGCCTCGTGGTTGTAGGTGCGGACGATGCTTATCTTCCGAGATGAGGCGACGAGCGAGCAGGAGCCTTATTCGTGGGGTGGTGGTGCTGTGCTCGTCGTCAGTCTTTTCTTCCCTATCATATGGCATGGACAAGATGCGCGCCGTGACTGCCATTGGGCTCCTTGTCACTTCGGTATACCTCATCTTGGACGACAAGTATGCTTGCTAGGTACTCAAGGGACCGACGAAGCAAAGGAACGGAAGTGCAACAGTGGATGACGTAGAACGACCGTTGATCGAATTTAGAGGGGCACTGCTGTGTGAGGGGGAAAAACTCGAAGAACGATGGCGAGACATCCTTTGTATTTTCCATCAGTGAAGATTCAGAGTGTTTGAAAGGGAGAGGACGCACGAATCACAATAGCCGCTGCCACCTGTAGACCATATCTCGCCCCGCAACCTTCGTGACGATGAGCGCGACGTTGTTCTTCTCCGCAGCGCCAGGAGAGAGATGCATGAAGATGTCGTCGCAAGAGGATGCAGGAGAAGAGGCGCAGACCGCAAAAAGCAACGTCATCGTCCCCCGGTCTCACACCGGAGGCTGCCGATTCATACCACCGAAGGTCGGACGGACGAAACCAAGGGCAACGCGACCTTTCTGGTCGATAAAGAGCATTGGCTCATTCATAAGCACAATACCATGCACTCGCTCTCGGATCGTGCGCACCTGGGCCCTCTACAACACAGCAAATACAGCGTATGGTCCTTTCAGCGGACGCGCAATGTGTCCACACAGGGAGATGGCGACGAGCAACTGACCATCCCAACGCGGTACACGCGGCGTGGAAGGTTTCTGGGCGGCGGAAGAGGTGTCATGTATTGGCCAAAAGCATTTGGGGGGAGGGAGAGATTTGTGCTGCCTATGAGGATAGGTCAGTGTTATGTCTTCATAGAGCGGGGTACCAGTGTCTGTTGTGCAGCTGCATCTCGCGTGCCCTCATCTCCCTTCCACCGTCCTTTCCCTAGTCATAGGATTCTAAGAGATGGGATGGTCGGGAATCCCTGTGTTCGCTCATCAGCCCTATTCCCGGACATGCTACATCTGCACACGAAAGACATACCTGTCTACGTAGGACCGCGATGGAGCTCACAGGTGGACAGTACGCTGCTCACTCGCCGATGCTCTCGTCGGCCATGTAGTCTTCTCGGCCATCTGCTTCGTACGTCTGCATGGTAGTTGTGGCCGCACGAACAGATGCAGTACATCGCCGTGGATGTGTTCATCATTGGTGAGGAATCGGGCTTACGGCTGGGCGTTATTCGAAACTCGAATACACAGCGACATCTGGCCAGTATCAGTCTGCGACATGCCGTCCTGAAGCATGAGAACGACTCACGAGAATGGTTGAGTAAGAACGGCAAATTCCTAAAGCTGCAAACGGAAGGCGGGGAGAGGAGGAAGAAGAAAGTATCCAGTGCATTGGCTCGCGCTGAGGACACGCCCGGGGATCCTGGGCAGGTGGGACGGAGACATATGTAATGCAAGGTTGCGCTCGCAGATGGAGGCTCTCTCCCTGACGCTCCATGCTTATCTACTTGCCGGTCACACCCACGGCGCGTGCTGGGGAAGTAACTGGTAGCAGTGTTCTACTCGTCCATTAGTTTTGTATAACAATCGTAAACAAGCTCCGTACCCAAGACGAGAGCTACTTGAACATGGAAAGACCAGCTTCCTGCCACTTAACGTTCCATTTTTGCATCCGCAGGGGAGGTGAGGGAATGAAGAGACCGTGCGAAGAACGGCCATGAGTTACAGCAATGCTGGAAGCGGAAGGAGTGGGGAGGTCGCTCGAGAAGACAACAACGCTGGACAGGTTCGAGTTCATGGATGCCCCGAGACAGGCGTGTTGTACGGTAGCCGCGAGGGTAGCCTGGCTACATAAGGTGCCTGTGCCGCACCGTCAGTGCCATTGCCTTCGCTTAGGAAGGAAGCGATATCACGTACCTCCATGTTACTTCATGCTACACCTCAAAGAAGAATGAATATAGCTACTGTCTTCGTTACCAGCGTCACACTCCAAGAGCGTGTGACACGCTCATGAGGCTGCCGTAGAAGTGCTGCCCGTATCAGTCAGTCATGGTTCTCCGCATGAACACGACGCGTACCGTGACTACCGTAAAAAGATAACCCAGGGGAATAATCATATCAGGTAGAGAGTTATACGTGATCAAGCGATCACTACAGAAGACAAGGGATCTCGTGGTCTGCAGGATGCGCAACCGTAGAAGGAGTGGCAAGTCTTGGGGGCAGAGAACGAGCAGATGGTGGGGGGAACGAAAGCGGGTTGTTTATGCAAACAATGTAAGTACCCTTTATAGCTGCAGCGCGTAGATGAGATCGAATGCGCGTTGTTATGACCTCAAGCTGGAATGTGTCTGCTGCTCGTCACAGTGATCGAAATCGAGGATGGACTTTGTAAGTCACTGGCCAGATCCGGACCGACAGATCGACCTCATTTCTGATATTGCACGCTTGACAGAGCCAGTCACAATTTAAGAACACCATGTTTCCGATTCGTGATTGCTTGAATGTGTGTGATATTGAAGAGATATATGCAGTTCTAAGAGTGAGTTTGAGTACATCGCATCCGTTTGAGTGACCCAAAATGTGATCGCTGAGAGGGACGCGCCTCGGTCACCTGATCCTCACATGACTACACGTCATGCGACGCCCACAGTGAATCCCACTTCCTCATCTCACATATGAAGACAGTTCCTCAATATCCCCCCCAAAAAGTGGGACACTATCCTGCACCACTCAAAGCGGACTGAATCTGGGAGACAAAGTAAGAACGGATCGACATGCGGGGCGGGAGTCATGTGACGATCAGGTGATGCGGCGCGTCCCTATGAGCGCTCACATTTTGGGTGCTCACACGGACGCGATGTACTGAAACTCACTCTTAGAACTGCATACATCTCCTCAATATCACACACATTCAAGTAATCACGAATCGGAAACATGGTGTTCTTAAATTGTGACTGGCTCTGTCAAGCGTGCAATATCAGAAATGAGGTCGATCTGTCGGTCCGGATCTGGCCAGTGACTTACAAAGTCCATCCTCGATTTCGATCACTGTGACGAGCAGCACACACATTCCAGCTTGAGATCATAACAACGCGCATTCGATCGCATCTGCCCTGAAGTTATAAAGGGTACTTACATTGTTTGCGTAAACAACCTGCTTTCGTTCCCCCCATCAACTGCTCATCTGCCACTCCGACGGTTGCGCATCCTGCAGGCCACGATGATCCTTGACCCCTTCAGCGACCACTGATAATCCATTGCTGTCTATTACATCCGGGTTTCTTCTCTCTCTTTTATCCTCCTGGAAGTTACGGTGCGCGTCTTGTCCATGCAGTACTGCCGAGAACCATGACTGGCTGATACGCGCAGCCCTACTACCGCATGAGCGTACGTATGACGCTCTGGGACTGTGACCGTGGTCACGAAGAGAGTAGGTATACTCATCCCTCGTTGAAGGGTTGCCTGCAGTAGTATGTGTCGAGCTCTAGATCGTGAGCCAAGGGTGAGGTCGGTGTGCAAGCTGCGCACCTAGGGATCTGAGCGTGCCACGTAGATAGAGGGTCCGCTCGCCCGGACCCATGCTCAATGCCATCGTCGTTCACCACAGTATGGAGGTACGTGATATCGCTTCCTTGCTCAGCAAACGCAACAGCACTAACACTCCGGCACAGGCGCCTCATGTAGCCCGACCCTCGCAGCTACCTTAGAACGCGCATGTCTCGACACACTCGAACTTGTCCACCATCGTCCTCTCCACTAGCGTTCTCCCCATTCCTTCCACTTCCAGCATCGCTGTGAATCATCGCTATTCTCTCCAAGGCCTCTTCATCCACTCGCTTCCCCAGCAGACGCAAGAATGCCAGTGTTACATGGCAGGCAGCTCGTCTCGCCATGTTCAAGTAGCTCTGGTCTTGGGTACGGAGCTTGTTTGCGATTGTTACCCAATACTAACGGACGAGTAGAACACTGCTACCAGTTACTTCCCCAGCACATGCCATGGGTGTGTTTGGCATGTAGATGAGCAAGGAGCGTCAGCCAGAGAGGTAACCGAATACGGTCCTTCGCCTCATCACCCTTTGCCAGCGCACCCTTGCAGTACAGACGTCCCCGCCGTCCATCTGCCTAGAATCTCTGGGCGCGTCCTCAAGGCCAACCAACGGACGGGGAACATTCTTTTTTCTTCCTCTCGCCACCTTCCAACTGCAGCTTCAAATTTGCCGTTTTTGCTCAATCATACCAGTGAGTCGTTCTCATGCTCCAGGACTGCATTCCGCGCTGACTGCTACTTGCCAGACATCGCTCTATACGGACAGAAGGTCGAGTTTCGAATCATGCGCACAGCCGCACACCCGATTTGCCTGCCAATGATCACACATTCAGCGCGGTGTTCTGCGTTTGTTCGATGCGGCCACAATTACCACCCAGACGTACGAACGAAGCAGAGAACTGAGAAGACCACATGATCGACGAGAGTATCGGTGAGTGAGCAACGTACTGTCCACCTACGAGCTCCATCGCGGTCCTACGTGGACAGGTATGTCTGTCGTGTACAGATGTAGCATGTCCGGGAATAGGGTTGACGAGCGAACACAGGGCTTCACGAGCGCAGCGTCTGCTTTAGAACCCTAGGACTAGTAAAAGGAGGGTGGAGGCAAGATGAGGGCAGGCGAGATGCAGCCGCCCAACAGACAGAGGTACGCTAGCACCCCAGCTTATAAATACATAACACTGACCTATCCTCAGAGGCAGCACAAGTCTCTCCCTCCCAAATGCTCATGGCCGATGCACGACGCCTCCCTCACCGCTGCAGCCCATCAACTTTCGATACCGCATGCCTCGCGTTGACTGGTTAGTTACCGGTCGGCATCTCCCTGTGCCCCGCACAGCGCCCGTCCACCCAAAGGTCCATACACTGTATTTGGTGTGCTGTGGAAGGCTCAGGTGCCTACGATCCGAGAGCGAGTGCATGGCATTGTGCTTATGGACGAACCAAAGCTCATTACGGTCAGAAAACGTCGTTGCGATCGACTTCGTCCGTCTGACATTCGGCGATATGTTCTGAATCGGCTACTTCCGGCGTGGACCTGAAGTTGCTGTTCGCGGTGCGCTCCTCTTTTCCGGGAAGCTCTCGTGACGGCATCTCCGCGTATCTGTCTTCTGGCATCGCGTCTGGCATCGCGGAGAAGAACAACGTCGCACCCATGGTCACGAAGGTTGCGGGGGGAGATATGGTCTAGAGGTGGCAGCGGCTATTGTGATGTGTGCGTCCTTCCCTTTTCAAACACTCTGAATATTTACTGATAGAAAACACAGAACCTGTCTCGCTAGCGTACCTAGGATCTCCGCACCTCGCACTGCAGTGTCCCTCTACCTTCGATCCACTATCGACCTACGGGTCTCCCTTTTGCCTTTCCCATTCCCCTGCTCGGGTGCCGGACCCTTGTACAGGGAGTGAGCATCATTGTTGTCCAGAAAGCGGGATACCGAAGCCGACAAGGCGCCGAATGGCAGTCACGGTGGGCATCTTGTCTATGCCATATGTTAGGGAAGAAATACTGACGAGGAACCCAGCACTACCACCCCACGAGCAAGGCTCCTGCTTCGCTCGTCGCCTCATCTCGGAAGACGAGCATCGTCGACACCTACAACTACGAGGACAGCCTACGACGACTACAACATACATAATGCATTCTCAACGCTACAACAGAAGACTGATGAACGAGGGCACCACTTCACGAGCATCTAACGGTCTGGAAACATGGAGCTGGCAGAGGAGGGAGAGCGCGTCTCCGCTTTCACGCGGCGAGGCGGCAGGTAAGTGGGGTGCTCAAGCATGTATAGGTCCTTCATTTTGTCTCCTGCGACCGGAATTGAACTGACCCTGGGATATAGGTAGCCCCTTTGAGCCCTCCGAACCTCGGAGACGCGTGTCAACAGACTCGGACACGGCCGATGAGACGATGAGGTAACACCTTGCTTGGTTCGACATCGAAGTGAGTAAACTTCATGTTACAGGAATGAGTATAAGAGACTGATGATTCTCAGATCATGTTGCATGTTAGTCTCGCGTACTACTCTAATGCACGTCACCGATTCCGCACCGATCTTGCCTCGTTTCCCATCGTCAGCAATTCCTAAAAAATGGCAGCCTCGATGTACGAAAAACTGGACACTATTCGAGCGCATCGTGCACCAGAATAATGCCGACACAATTGCGACCCAAGCCGCAAAGATGGATATCGAGAGATGCGAGAAGAGGACAAGAAGGCGGGGCGCCTTTGGGGAAGGCGACGGGGATGCGAACACCGTCGCCTCAGTTCATGCCGTTCGGCGAAGTAGATTCAAGCAGAGAAGGAGCATGCTGGATGTACTGAGGTGAGCAGGCGTGTTTCTTACACATGTGGTGGATGATGCGTATGTGTGGTGCGACGAATTGGCAATGGGTAAATGGCAACAGTTATTTCACGCCGCGCTCTGCATCCCATCCCTGCCCTGTGTCTCTGCGCACCATTCATTCGCTGACCACCGCATAGCAATATATTGAAGAGAAGAAGGCAGTTGATCAGAAACATCGACCCATGCTTGTGGAAGGGTTCAAGAGGCACGTCAACCATACACCATGAAGAGAGCGGGAAATTCAAATCCCACACGGCGCAGAGCAAGCGCACGGATCTGTTCGATGTCATTACCCAGGACGAGGGAGCAGTATTGAATGTTTCTCGCCTTGTCGCTCTACAGCAAGGTACTAGTTGTGATTGTGCTCATCAGTCACATCTCGGTGGGCTGTACTCTGGAAGAAGTAAGCATATCTTTGATATTTACCTCAGGAACAATAGATTGACGCATGCCCCACGTAAACCATCAGGCATCGGTGTAACGACCTCTGTCCTGCCGTGCTCGGCTCTCTTGACCTCGCATGGCAAGGCCCATCGATCTCGTATCAATTACGGCAATCTCCCTTTGGTTCTCTCTTGCCTCCTTTCCCTCTGCTTCGACCGTCTTCCCATGCAGACGGTAAGCATAACAATGGTCACGAAAACGACGATTTGGAGCTAATAAGGTGGCCTTCGTCCGGTTCCTGGACTACCACGGAGAAGACATGACAAGTTTGTTCGAGGAGGGCGCCGTATGCCTCTGTGGCCGGCATTCCACCAGCCTGTGGGAGGAACGTTCCCAGAACGACATTTAGTCCTAGAGAGGTGGGACGAGACGAACAAGTGAGTCCACACATACTATTGGTTACTCAGGAATAGTGCGCTTTTATGGTACCCGTGGCTGGCTCCATGTCTCTTGCCAATCACTCCCTTCGCTAGGGACCGCGCAAGTGGCTTTGTCGGAGACTCATTTTGGCGATGAGCTTGATTGTCGATTGTGATGGAGTACTTGGATTTCTGGACGATGGAAGTGCTGAACCTGCTGAACCTGAGTCGATCGAAGAGCAGTCAAATCAGCCAGAAGGAGTCCACCCTTGCACAAGTGGCAGCAGAGCTAAGCCGAAGCCGCACAAGCTCGAACTAGCCAATATGTAGTGCCCGTTGAAGTCCCGTGTTCTTTAAGGTAAGGTAGCATATAGTAATTTACATAGTGACTAGGACGGAAAAGGAACATAGTCGCTAGGGATACACCGTCATATTCATCATTCATTAAGCTACAATACAACAACACCAAGAACACCCCATTCCTGCCGAACAGGAAGCTCTAGCTCCCGTGTGCTTCCCAGGATGGAAGATGTTCATGAGATAGGTTGAGAATCAGTTTTGCTATGAGTTTTCCCCGACATTCTTCGCGGTTATGGCGATGCAATTATTCCGTGCCATCCAGAAATCGACAGTCATGCCCTATAAGCCAAAGTGTAACTGAACCTTCACCGTTTGCTTCGACTGTTAGCATGCAATGTTTGCGTGCCAGAGAAGCCTTCAAGTGCTTGAAACCAAATTATTCGCTTTGCTCCCAAATTATGCAAGACGTGTTTGGAAGCCATGGAATTTCTGCGTCTTGCTGATGTTCAAAAGCAAGGTTTTCGTACGTTCCGTACCACCGTATGTCACAAATCGCGTACCCATGTCGTTGAGGCTACCCTGGCCCGTCACACTTGCTTCGGGGCCGGCCTCGGCCTCGCCTCCCTTCTGCGACGAATTTCCTCCATGCGCTCATCAGCCGGCATCTCCCGGATATGAAATCTCTGCGCTACCATATCGTTGCAAATATCCCTCACCAAGCGCATTGCTTCACATCCGCTGCGCCGCTCCACGTCGAATCGATGATGCGGGATATCCCAGAAGCGTTCCAGCCGGCTAAGGTTTCCTTGTGGAGGAGCCGGAGGGTTAATGTGGCCGTCCCGGAACATTGTGTAGAAGTGAAGGCGAGGGCCCATCGACGAGATCCCGATCAGCAAGGGGACTGTCATGGACGCTTTCATGTTGATGAGCCGCTCCCGCATTTGATCGTCTGCTTCCCTCTGACTGACCGGTTGCCTGAGAAATTGGACTGGCTTTGCTTCCCAAATGACGACCGCCACCCCACGACCGTTCGCTGCCACGCCAGGCAGGACCAGGCGCACCCAGAATACGATGTAGTCCTCGGCCTCTTTCGTGCTGTGATTTGTGGGGATCACTTGAGGGGCGACGGCGAAACCGGATCCTGGCGGGAACATCGCAGCGAGCACCATGTTGGCCATCGGGTACCACAAAAATTCGGGTGCGACGGACTCCGGGATCGTAGAGACTTGCTCCAAGGACTCGTACACCTCTGGTGGCCAAGTGAATTCGGGCGGATCGTTGGTAGGGTCGGGCTGCACGTGCAAAGCTTGGACCCGACCAGCGAGGTCTCGCCGAAAAGCAACTGTCTCCTCCTCGTCCTCGTCCTCCATCTCCTCGCTCTCGATAGCGTTGATGGTATGTCGCATCATCCGCATGTCGGCAGTGCGAGAGGGTACAAAGACAAAGAGGACGATCACGTGGCCGGGGACCCTAGTTAGGGTCGGAAACTCGAAGAACTTACGCGTGTCATTCTCCACCACGAAACTTTGGCGGTCTTGTATGTCGTCGACAATCGTCGTCTCGCTCCTTGTCACCGTACTCGTCCTTTTCGTCTCAATCGTATACAGTACGATGGGCCAGAAGTGGACACCAAAGGGCAAGGTATATCTCTTCGATGCACAACGAAATGCAATGGTTGACATACGAGCGCAGCATTGCTACCTCACTGGTGCATCGCAAGGCCTTGGTCTGTGCGCGGCACTGCAGCTGGTGAAGGATGGCGCGAACGTGTCTATCGTCGCACGAGACCAGGGCAAGCTGGATGTAGCGCTGAAGAAGATGGAGGTATGTTATTGCCGTATCCTAATGAAGATATAGGACTGACAAGTCGGTGCAGGCAGCACGCGTCTCACCTTCACAGAAGCTCGCCGCCTATTCACACGATATCTCCACCGCCGCTGGAGCCCAGGCGGCGCTCGAAGCCGTATGTACTCCCTTCGCTGGCCAGGCACCAGATGCCGTCTTCTTGTGCGCGGGGAATGCACGCCCACTGTACTTCGTTGAGGCCAAGGAGGAGGACTTCAAGTCCCAGATCGGGACGCTGTATTTCACGGCGCTATGGAGTGCCTGGGTGCGTGTCCTCTCTCACATAAAAATATATATTATACTAATGGACGATAGGCTGTGGCGAAGCTCATGGTATGCCAAAAAGTGAAGGGGAAGATCGTCTTTGTCTCCTCGACTCTGGGCCTCATGTCCTTCGTCGGCTACGCACCCTATGCACCCATGAAGTTTGCGATTCGTGGTATGTTTCCCTTCGCGTGGGTATACGAGAGTATGCTCAATATGTGACAGGATTGGCCGATACCCTTCGCTCCGAGTTCCAACTCTATGGTATCTCTGTGCACATCTATTTCCCGGCCGGCATGTTCACCCCAGGATACGAGGAAGAGAACAAGGTCAAGCCTGCGATTACGAAGAAGATTGAAGAACAGGATAAGGCATGCCAACCAGAGGAGGCGGCAGCAGTCTTGATCAAGGGTACATTCTGCTCCTCCCTTTTGACGCATTAACTGAACAAGAACACAGGTGTGAAGAACGGCACGTACTCTATTGCAGGCGACTTCAACACCATGGTTTTCCGTGCCACAACCCAGAGCTCGTCACCGTTTGGGAACATCTTTGTGAAGTTCGCGTTTGAGGTAATTGGTTGGGTGCGTCCTGTGTTGCTCTGGCTCCTATCCTCCAGCGGTATTAACATATTGCCCAGTTTGGTGTCCCGATATGGCGGTGGGGCGTCGATGCGGACGTGCGCAAGTATGCACCAGAGCATGAGGCATATCTCAAACAGAAGGGTTTTTTTGAGAATGAGGGGAAATGAGCTAAGATGGTTCCCTTGCACAATACCATATACCCCGCTACATAATGACTTACCGTTGGCGTGCAACATCGCAATACCCGTATTCTTCTTGCACATAATAGATCGAACAATAAGAAGTGCTGATCCAATTCCAATTGCTCGTTCCAAGACCCGAACGGCACGATGTTACCGGTAGGGTGTAATAGGAGCTGGTCGGAGTGCAGGCCACATCTACACAAGGAAAACACTTCGCATGCATACAGTGAGTGGCAGATCACATGACATTCATATCGCGTAGTGTGTGCATAGGAAACAGCTCGGTGATCTTCATCTCCCCACCAGCCCGCATAATGGTACTCAGTTCAGCCAACATCCACACCAGGGGCTGCATCCGCTCAGTGAGCTCTCCTGCTCTCGGCGATGACGTTCAGGAGTTCCTCAAGCTTGCGCTTAGAGCGGAGTAATGTCCCAAGGCGCTTCTTAGTGAGCTTGCGAGCCTTCTTGTCCTATAGAACCGTCAATACAACATCCACTATTTGGATGCGAAAGGAAGACGAACCTTGCTGTTCCTCAGCAACTCCATAACCCTACGCTCATATGGTGCGAAGCCAGCTACCTCACGCACGACCGAGTACACAAACTTTGACTTCTCGTTCTTGACGCCCTTGCGGTGAGAGGGCTTGGGCTTCTTCTCGATCGCCGTCGTTGTGCGGCCGGTGTTGGCGCCGAATCTGAGGTCTGAAAGTACCTGCATTAGAACATGCTAAGGTCTACACAAAACAAAAGGTATGCTCACTGGTGCGGGTGACGGCCATTTTGGTGGAGTGTCGGTTGTCGGTGACTAGACAGTCCTTCTGCTTGAGTTATTGCTGTGTGACACACAATGCTTCCGAGAGCAAGGGCCCGCACAGAACATACAGTTCCAAGCCACAACTTTGTTCAGGGCAGGCTCCCTTTGACATGCGCACTGGACTGAAGACGGATTGGCATAATTAGGTACGGCGATATGCGTTACTGGGCGCAGCAATTCTACAACAAAAGCGAGTGTGCGGGGTCGATCATCGTCGTCCCACGACATGAATGACCGCCGGGAAAATGAAGATATTATGAGAGAAAAAGGCCATCCTAACGAGGTGCTTATGTTACCCTAGTTCTAGCCACGCTTGTCACCCAGTCCAAGCACCCACTTCCCACTTTATAACACCAGGGTATTTGCCCTGGAAAGGTCGACCATGGTGTAACGCTTAACAGCAACCACTTCAGGGTGCGTGACTTGCACTGCAAGTGACGCCTTCCCAAACGTCTGGGGCTTCTCCACAGGTTGTTCCACGGGCGTGTCCAAAGCGGTATCCGAATCGGAAAGTAAGGTAGGGGCGGTTGCAGCAGGGCGAGGGGAAATGCGGGCTCGCTCCAGCTCGGGCACTTCCGTAATGGCCGCCTCGTCCTCGTTTTGCCAGTCCCAGCCTCGGACGTCGCTGCCCCATCGTACTGGGGCAACGGGTGCCAGGGGAGCCTCGTCATCTTCGTCATCCTCCTCGTAGCCGGTGTCCGAGCTCTCCGACCAGACGTCGTCGTCCTGAAGGGCCTCGTGCGCAACAGCTTCAGAAATCACCGACAGGTCTTCGGCATCTACATCTGCCGTCCCATTACCGGGCAGGTCATTCTCTACCTGCACTCCTGCAGCTCTCCTGGTCGTCTTGGCGTTCCTGTTTGGTGGGGGAGGCTGTTGTATCTCCCCAGCACCTTCCTCTTCCTCTTCTTCCTCCTCGTCCTCATCTTCGTCTTCCTGGTCATCATCCTCCTCCGGCTCGTCCCGATCGTCCATAATCTGGTCATCGTCCTCATCATCCTCATATGCGTCCCCATGGATCCATCGCCCACGCCAGTCAACCATGCTCAGCTCCTCGTAGGTCTCCGGACGAGCGCGTAGCCAGCGCATGCGCGGACCACTGCGCGCGCGCTCGGAGACACGGAAGCCAAAGATCTTGGGTGTGTACACGCGCGCCGAAGGGAGTTTTTGGCCACCGTAGGGATCGGGGTTCGTGAACGCTACGGCCTGATCCTTGCCGGACGCTCCTTGGGAAGATTGGGGAGAACGCATGGGGGAGTACGCAGAGCGGGCTGCCGCAGGCGGGTAGAACGGAGCAGGTAAATCAGTATTGTATGTCTGGAAGAATAGGTGAGGGAATGTCGTCCCGAAGAAAGCGCCTGTTCAAAGTCAACACGATTCTCTGGATCCTTATGCTCGCATTGTGCTTACCGTCGATATTTTGGTAGCGGCTACTACCTGGCTGGTAGATGTCGTTACAGTTCGGGCAGTAAAGGCGGACAAACTCGTTCCCGGGGACATCGGTCCGACCACATGGCAAGAGAGGGGTGGTGTAGCAGAATACGCGAGGGCACAAGCCGAACAAGGATGTTTGGTACTTCTCATGCTATGCATTGATGAGCGTTGACCTGGGGTGACAGAGGGATAAAAACGTACCATGCTCTGCAGCCCTTGCCGGGTAACAATATATCGTTGATGCACAAGACCGTACACTAATTCAGCGGATGTCTCAATAATCGAGATATCAGGAATCTTGTGCGAGTCCTCTGCGCACCGGATCAGTAGTGATACAGAAATATGCAGAGAACACCACACACCTGGCTCGATGTCGAGAACCATTTCCAATGCTTCCTTATAAAACGGTACCATAGTGTTCAGGCCGGTGAGGTTGAAGTCGTCCTCGATGAAGTCCTCTGGTATCTCAACGAAGTACTCGTGCCCGGGCAAGGTGCAGAACCAAGCTATCCAGGTGAGCGACCCAGATCCGGGTGTCGACGATCCCACTGCAAACATCCTGGTCAGTATCCACGTTGCAAGCGCCTGCCTGGCAGCGAAGGGAGGAAGAGGAAGGAGAGCACGGAGAAGTCACCCGAACAAATAGGGGAGGGAAGGCAGGTATGAGGCGATCAGATGCGAGGCAGAGCGAGCAGGGCGTACCTGAAGCATCATCCATAATCTCCTCGTCTACGAAGGCTCCGCCGTCGTCGAAGTCTTCTCCGTCCTCTTCAGCAGCCTGGAGTGCTCCTATATCGCTCGAGTTGCTTGTCATAGGCTGGCAAGCTGAGTGCGGGTGAATGGTGTTGAGCAGCACAGGACCGAGGCGGTCGGCACCACTGGTGGTCGAGGAGATAAGGCAATCGACTGCGCAGCCTTAGGGGATGTGCACGATGTCGTGCGACGCTTGATATGAGTGTGAGTTGCGCGTCTAGGGTGAAAGCGTGTGCACGCCTCACCGTATTACTGTACTAGCGTCGAAGTGTCCTTCCGTCTTCCGGAAGCGGAATTAATCCGTGGTCTATGTTCCTATCATTGCTGAGTTGAGAGGTCATTTTAACACAGGTCATTTGCCATCCTATTTCTTAAGCATTTACCGTTTCTGCGACGAGATTCCACAGAATGAACATGTGCTCATACCCAGCGATCGTATTCTTCATCTCCTTGTTCGTCACCCCGCTGGCAAAGAAGCGACTTGTGTGACGGTCGCTGGTTACATGTCACTTACGTGGCAGAAATCCGAGATTCGGCAACTCTCATATCCGCATGGGATCCACTATTATCATTCTTGATTACCATTTGATAGAGTATCGAGCCGAGTCCTTGGAATCTCAAGGATCGTGTCTTTCAAATCGAAAATAATAGTCCAAATGAAGATACCTTATGCCATGACAATGCCCACCAAAACAGCTACAGCGGCCAAAAGTGCACCCGAACTCTTGGTGCCCACTGCCGCAGCCCGACTCTGCGTAGTACTTGGCGAAGACGCTGAAGAGCCACTAGTCGAAGTGCTGCTCCTGGTCGACGAGCCGCTGCTCCCTGATGACACTCTCTGACTGGTCGTAGAGATACCGGCGGTGTTTGTGGCACGTGTTGCTGTTGTACTAGTACTGCCGGACAGGGTACTAGCGGCGGCGCCGCAGGCTGCATCAAACTCAGCCGCTGTGAAACTCCCGTTCAGTAAGGGAGACGATGAAGTAGAAGGCGCATACCTGTAATGCCGGCTTCGGTCAATGTGCAGGTCAGGCATCCGGCAGAGAGCATCGAAGTAGCATCGCAGATGCAGGCCGTATCCGAGACATCGCAAGCCTGCAGAGCGTATCAGCGATCACTGGTCCCAAACCAGACGCATACAACTAGTGCATACTGTGATAAGCTGTCCTGCCGCCTGATCACTGGCGGACGCGCACTGGGCACCACAAGGCCCCTCCGTACCCGTCGCTTCTGCACTGCTCGACGTGCCTGTGCCTGTCCCGCTCGAAGTGCTATCGTCGGTGATGGTTACGGAGTCCACAGGAGCGCTCATCGTTGCTGCCGCACAAGCAGACTGCAGCTCACCGACGGGTACGTCTTCGGCGGCGACCACGCATGCCAAGCAGTTGGCAGTGATCTGGGAGAGGTAGGTGCATATACAGACTATATACAAACGCGGAGAGATAGAAATCAGTGTTAGAGGACAGAATGAGAGAGGCTGGCGCACTGATGTCGGTACTGCCGCACGTCTGGAGCCCAGCTGCGGCTGCAGCATCATCAGCGCAGGCGTCAGCGCACTGAGTGGTCACCTGGCGCTTGAAGATGGCGGATGGAGAGTGTGGATTGAGGGAGTTCCGTTTGAGCGCACCGCGTAGTGCGTTACGGGGGTCGCGTGCTGCGCCCGCGATGATGGAGAGCACCCAGAAAGAGATGGCAGCGAGCTTCATCTTGCGTATGTTAGAGGCGGCAGGGGAAAAGATTGTCGAGAACGGATAGAGCAGCCTGATTGCAGGAGGAGTGTCGCCCAAGGCCGCTTGTTATACCTTGCCTGACAGCCTCACTCCTCCGAAGTGGTGAAACATGTGCCCAGCGCCCGGAGCAAAACATGCAGGCAGTCCATTCGGCATCTCCAACACGTCCGTAATGTCCTTCGAAGCTCAGCCAAGCATGCGTGTTGACGAGGCGCAAAAGCAAATGGCCAATGAGGACGACGCGTTTCACACGCTTGGCGCGAAGAGGAACGGGCCAAGAACAGCCAAGACAGGGTTTGGAGACAACAGACGCCGAAGAGGACAAGTTGGAGAGAGTGCAGATGCCGATCCATCAGAAGTGTTGCAAAATAGAGTACAATAACAGATAAGAAAGATGTCGTGGTGGATGAGCGCAAGGTGGGAGTCGCAGCATGATATTGCTATCACACACCAAGGGCAGCGCATCTAGAGGGGGAGCGAACCATACACATCCACCTGGAATGCGTTAAGAACGAAAACAACGAGTTTTCAATGCTTAAAGAGGACAAGGACAAAAGAGATCACTTGAATGATCCAAAAGATCATTGCACCGAATGCAACGGTTGTCTGAAAAATTGGTAACACGGCATTAGCGGACAGCGGACACGGTATCCTCTAGTAAAAGGCGAGAGGGTAGTACGAATGTCCACAGCCCTGCCGATACAATAATAGGGACGCGGGGAGGGGTCTTGGACTGGGATTTGCGTTTGACGCGAGCGTCGTCGCACGGGCCTCAGGGTTCGCTAGGGCCGGCTTCTGTCCCCAAACTGCATTTAGCTGCCAGCGCTTTGTAAAGGCAGGTTTCAACATTTCATCTTTTGTATGGAAATTTATACACTATTTGAAATTTTTAGGATCAATTCTCGATATGTGAGATGAGGAAGTGCGATTTACTGTGGGCGTCCGCGCATGACGGGTAGTCATGTGATGATCAGCATACCCTGATCGCCAAGCATGTTATAAAAACTCGGAAGCGCTCGACATTGAGTTCCTCAAGGCATTGTCTACGTAGCTAGGTAAAAAATAACTTCGATCTAAAGGGGCTGACCATTGCCACAGGTGTTGTACGCCGATATGAGATTTCCAGGAGAGTGCGAAGTCACGGAAGTGCTGGCAGACAGCTGGAGGACAATTTGCAATCATGTGTGAGGTTATCTCATGCAGTGCGTCATCTTCACGGGCAGGGTAGAAGACACGAGCTGACCAGTGACAGGTACGTTATACGGCGATATGAGTGCCCTATTTGTTTGAAGGAGAAACCGGACCACAGAAGTGTTGGAAGACAGGTCGAGGACAGGTCACATACGTAGAGGAAATTATCTTGTAAAGTGCGTCATCTTTGTGGGCTGATTAGGAAACAGGAATCGACGACCGACAGATGCTGTCCACCGACATGTGCGTCGCTAGGCTCCAGCCGCAGCTCTTGCCGCCCCTCCCTGATCAGTCGTCATCGCGAACGCATGGTAACATGCAAGGTAGCATCGTATCAGCTTCGTTTGATATCAGGCTTGTCGGGTCGTTTCTTGGTTGGCGCAGGTGTGATTGCGTCGCCCTTTACTTGATACGCTACAGAAGCAGTGAGTCAACGTTGTGCTCGATGACCTGGCGACAGGAGCTAATGATCTATCGATCCTGTTGGTAAATTACCAGCCCGGCCCTGCGTCCCGTCGGCATTCCGCGCCAATCCTCGCCTGAACTCATTGGACATCAGTCTCTGTGTTCGTGTACCACATCAACACGAGCATTATCATAATAAAGACGGGGTAGAGAGGACATCGGAAAGAGCAAGCACGAGAGGTGCACCGATGCCTCGGGTACCGACTTGAATGGGACATCAAATCTGGCAAGAGCGAGAAATCCATGGGTATTGCGTTCAACAACGCTCGCATATGAGGCATTGCTTGTTGTGACGATTCTGATTATTTGGAGGGAAAACCCGAACGGGTAAGTCCACCGTGCTCGGAATCAATGAATGCTGGCTGATGTGTTTAGAGGAAAGCTTTAGGGGGATCGTGATTGGACTCCCACCCCCTCCCGGCTGTACCCCCATCAGGTGGGTTTTCTGCACGTAATCTTGGATCAACTATTTCTAGCCTCACTGGCCGTGTCGCTCTTTTCGGATCTGGCCCATCGTTTTTTCGCCTACCAAAGAGTCGAGAACGTGGCAATAGACAAACTGAGATGACACAGTTCTCACAGGGACGTTTGGCTTGACCGAGTGTTACCAGCTCCCCCTCACATGGTTCAAGACAACACCAAACGCCCTAGGCTCAAGGGGCTCAGCTTTTCTGTGCTCGGCGGTTCCGGGCCAAATCCCTTGGGAATTGTGTCGGTTGCTGCGTCAAGAATCACTTGTCGACGGCTGGTGCAGGGCTCGTAAGCACATCTCCCGCTGAGCTTGAATGGAAACGGAAAGCTAACTTCCGGCAGCGCGGGCTTGTGCATTTCAGTCTCCATGACTTTTCCCTCTCCTTAGTTATTTCTCCATTCGCCTTGACCCATGAGCGACAGATCGAGTACTGCCTCTCCTTCATCCCCACCCCAACGCATTTATTCAGGCGCGAGAACTCTTCCCGACGATGAGATCGACTTTATGATACTGCGATCAGACATGTCGCATCCGTCTAATGTCCAATCCAGCTCGCCGGATCCTACAATCGAGCATCGCCGCAGAAAACAAGCTCGATATCTTCCACTTTGATGTACGCTTCACCAGACAAGTCCGCGTTATCTAGTCCAGCAGGAATCTGGGATGCGCAAAGTTGTGAGTAAAACTTGAATTGCCCCAATATCTTGTCGTCTTACATCGATCACAGCGAGGAGCTGAATACGGTGTATGTATCATGCTGCGCAACGACCGGTTCTCCGTCCTTCATATCTCGGATCCAAGGTTCCTGATCACGGAATGCTTTTCGCATTTTCCGGCCGAGCGGATATACGTCAAGTACCCTGTCCCACCTGTTGCCCTACGAACCCAATTAGCACAAGTGCGGCACAGGCAGGGGGTGTCAACTTGTACCATTGGAGAACATTTGCATCGTTACCTCCGTAACGCCTCGACGAGCTTATCATTCGTTGGTCGTAAAGAGCGAGCCGCCATCTTGTTCTGAAAATTGACTACAACCTAACGATTAACAGAGGATCGATCGATTATTCTCGGAAGGCTCTTCCTGTACAGACTGGGACTTGTTAGCATGGCCCAGGAGACGAGAGAGCTGATAGAAAAAAGGAACAAGTGATGGTGCATACCGACTCGGATGTGTACGTCTACGTTTCTGCCAGGAACTCTCCCACTGATTTCGCATGTAGTATTATACATACCAAGGCCGTTCATCACGCTCGAAGTACGGCTTGTCCGCAATGTTCATACCGAAATCTCGATGCTCATCCAGCAGAGCGGCACGAACGTTCTAAGCGTTTCAGGAATTCAGGCACCGTTGCTTACTTCCTCTCTCCTCTTTCTTCACCTGCCAGGTACGAATCTAGAATTTGTCCCTCGCGACATATGTGCTGGATTACCGACCAGGGGATCGCATGTTCCGATACTACTGCAGGGGATCTGATTTTGGATCATGTACCTAGTTTTGGGATTTATCTCACTGTCCAGCACCTAACTCAGTTCGTCTGAGAAGATCTTATGCTCGCCGAAGGACTGCAAACAGAGCATATCACACACACACACACACACACACACACACACACACACGCACACAACTTGAATCTTCCAGATAGACATGCAGTGATAAAAATGCAGTTATTTCCCTCCGACTAGAAATACATTCTCAATAGATGATATACGATCCCCCTACCCTGCCTGAGTCTACCCAACCACCCTCAGAGCGCTGTTGACATCCGACTGCTGACAGCGGCTGAAGGCCTGATGATCAGAGGACGAAGCGTGCAACGTGCTGCGATCTCGCTGACGCGGTTGGTTGGAAAGTTTGTTCTAAGTGAAAAAAGGCGAGAGCGAAAAGTGAAAAAGAAAAGCGAAAAGCGCAACCGGAGCACGTCGGTGTATCTCCCATGCAGCAGTGACATACCCGCCAGACGCCAAACACCAGACGCCAGGACAGGGCAGGCGTCGTGCGTGGGTAGGTGCGTGCGTGTAGATCGTAAACTCGTGCAGAGTCGATTTGCTCTCGAGATTGGGTCAGGTTGTGGGAGTGGAAGGGAAGGGAAGGGAAGGGACGAGATGAGATGGAGGTTGAGATGGAGGTTGAGATCGGACGAGATGGAGGTTGAGATCGGACGAGATGGAGGTTGAGATTGGATGAGATATTGAGATTGGATGGGATGAGATAAGGTGGCATCAGATTTGAAGAATTTGAGGTTGAGATCGGGGTCGAGAATGAGGTTAATCGGAAGCCGGAGCAGGATCGACGAATCCTGGAATACAAGACGGACGAGATCCACGTTTCGATCAGCTCGAGTCTTGCTCCCATCCCCCATCCCCCCGCCAGCCCCATCGACTCCAAATTGAGCAAGATCGACTCTCCTGACGGTCAGGAGCGCCTCGGTTCAGGTCGGTTCAGGTCTATAAACTCGCGTCGGACGGATATCAGGAGCAGGAGTCGACAGCTGGGGTTCGTGCAGTTGTGAAGAGGGAGGGGGAGGGGGAGGCGTGAGCGAGTAATGTGCTCCCATCCCCAGCCCCAGCCCCAATCCCAGCCCAAGTCCCAGCCCCAGTCCCAGTCCCAGTCCCAGTCCCAGTCCCAGTTCCAGTTCCAGTCCGAGTTCGAGTTCGAGTTCCAGTCCAAGTCCCATCCCAACCCCTCACAAGACCCTCCACTCGGCCTAGCTGGTGCCCAAGCCCAAAACCGATCCAGCCCCAAAGAGCGCTCATCGTTCCTGTCCCTGCACCTGCTGCTGCATCTCCCGTGCTTGTGTCACCTCCCTCCGCTCCTGCTCCTGCTCGTCCATCTCCCTCTCCCTCTCATCCCTCGCAACCCTGGCATACGCCCCCCCTCTCCCAGTTCCTCCCCAGCCCTTCGCCCACCCAGCCCAGCTCCAACTCCAACTCCAAGTACTCCAACTCACCCAGCCCTTCGGCTCCTCTCCTTCCACAACCTCCCCAACGTCCCCCAGCCTTCCCCTTATCCAGCTCTTCATCAGTACCGGCCCCGCTCCCAACAAGCTCAGGAACACAAGCTTTCCCAGCACCGAGGGTCTGCGCAGTACTTCCCCTACGCTTCCTCCCTCTGCACCCGCAGTGAGCTCTGCGAGCAACGCTCCCACTTGGGCTGTAACAGCGCACCAAGGTGCACACCCGAGCATGCACGTCCATATGATCGTACTGAATGGCGTTAGGTGGAGAGCAGAGTAGATGTTTAGCAAGGACCATGGTGCTAGGCCTGAGAGACGGAGGAGGACGAGATGGTTTGGCGATAGTTGGGGGAGGGCGAGTAGGGCTGGCTGGGTTGACGAGAGGGAGAAACTTGGAAGGAGCGGGACTGCGGGCAGCGTCAGCGCGGTGGCTAGTACAGAGCCGAGAGCGGTGAGGGATGTGAGGTACAGCGTTGCGCTTATTGGGGAGAGGAGGACTCCGGTGAGCACGTTGAGGATTATGCTCCCTGGGATGGACCATGCGTTTGACCATAGGAGGGCGTACCCTAGGACGAGGAGGACGTGTAGTCTTCCGCTGAGGGAGGAGGGCTGGTCGGTAAGGGAGGAGTCTGCGTAGGTGCGGAGCTGGGCACCGAGGGAGTTGAGTTCGCTAAGTGTTGTGGGGAAGTGGGAGAGGTGGATGGGCAGGGTGTAGAGCAGGCCTAGGAGGAGGGAAGTGGAGAGGAGGAAGAGGGCTGAGAGGGCTAGGATGAGGGAGATGATGCGTCTCGGTTTGCGGGGGAAGGGGGCTAGGGAGGGGGAGGAGAGGGTCGTACTCGCTGGTAACGGGAGGGAGTCGGCTAGGACTATTGGGGAAGGAGAGGGAGGTGGAGTAAGTACGTCCACTGGGGGTATGACCTCCAATGCGATCCTGCTGACGTCCTTTGGCGGAATAGAGCGTTTTGGCGTCAGAAGGCGGGCCAGGGATGCGCGGGTGCTGCTGACTGCTCCTAGGGCTGCGGTGTACACCGAACTAGGGCGGTCGATGGCCAGTGCTACTGGGGCTGGGAGGTCGAACGTGTCCTTGAGAGCGAGTACGGAGAGGGAGAGAGGGATGTCATCTGTCGGTGGAGAGGGAGGTGGGAGGTAAGTGACCCCCATGCCTATCTCGTCCTCTTTTCTTTGTGGGATGAGCGAGTTTGAGCGAGGACGAGGCCGGGTTGTGCCTAGTTGGGCGAGGGGAGTGAGTGCGATGGAGGATGAGCGAGCTCGGAGGGAGGGACGGAGGGAGGAGTGTGGAAGGGTGGTGTTACTCGGTGTGTTCATATGGGGGAGTGTGGGAATTCACCAGAATGGGAGGGAGATGGAGGTGAGATGGAGGTGATGCGGCGTGTGGCCTGGGTTACAAATAGAGTCCCAACTTGTGCGTCGTATGGGTGTTCGTGTGAAGGAACAGAAGAGAGGGCAGACAAAACATCATCTCCCACTTATGTCAAATAATCCCCAAATCCACCTTACGCAATCCACACAACCTCATCCATCCTCCCTCGGTAACCCCTCCGCGCTTACCCGCCAAAAGTCGGGAGACCTCACCCAATCTAACATGTACAGGCCAAGAGGGCGGGCGATCCGACCTTTGGAGGGAGGCAATGTATGACCTCAGCGGGGTACATCGCCCGCCCCCATCCGTCCGTCCATTCATCCTCCCAACCCATATCCCAACCTCACCCATCGCACCTCACCTCGTCGTGTGCAAATACCCCGCAGCCGCTTACCCGTGTTATTATCCCTTCCCCTTGCCAGGCACAATCAGCATCTTCCCATCTTCCCTCCCATCTGCCGCGTTCCCATCAACCATCCTTCTTCCCCCTCCACGGAAACAGCAAGCCGCGCCGACAGCCACCCACTCGGCACGTACCTCGGCATCTCGGCACCCTCCCCCCTAAAGGGGGCGGAAAGCACCCGCTGACGCTTGCACAGTGTGTCAGCCAATCTCTTTCTCCGGATCCTGCACCTGCGCTGCGCAGTCTGTTACCCATATGCCTTGGGTTGTTGGGTTGTTGGGTTGGAGGTGTTGGAGGGTGTTGGAGGTGTTGGCTGCTGTCAACTGGACGGGTCACGCTTTTGTCAATCCTGACTATTAATAATATTGTTGTAAGGGTTAAGGGTTGGTGGCTACTGATGCTTGTCGGAGCAGGAACATGCGTAACGACAGCTAAAAATACCTATACCCACGTACTCAATACCATACAAACCCCTGCGCAGCCCGCCCTCGGGCAACTCGGCCACAGTTCGGCACTCTATAAATACAAACTTCGAAGAAAAAGAACATAAGAAAGGACAAAAAGAAAAGAAAAGAAAAGAAAAGATCCATACGAACATGCCAACAACGGGATAGAACGCACAAATGGGCCGGGATACTGTATGCCTATACTGTATCGGCCGCGGGACGGTCGTGTGCTAAGATTCTTACCAAGTCCGATCCCGACCTGTCGCCCGACCCAGCCGAGAAACGACGATATCAATATCAATATAAAATCAATATGGAGCTACGGCGGCCGGGAGTTGTATATCAAACTCTCAACAAAAGAGGAAGCTCGAGGTGACGAGGGTTGCTCTCCAAGAAGCATAGAGCCTCCGGCGGCCGTTGATCGGTCTAGAACTGATCGGCCAAGACGTGCACGACGTCGCGGTATTTTGCGAAAGGACGCGTCAACCTTACTTCGTCTATGTAATCGATCAGCTTGAACGGCGCCGGCAGTATCGTGTAGCACCAGTCTCGTCACGTACCAAACGCTCACAGTCGACAGAGCGTCAGCTTCTATATTTTGCATTACCGTCCAGCCCAATCCAGGTCCAGGTCTACGGCCGGGCGTGGAGAGAGATATGAGCATATGTATGATGTCATGCCCGATTATCTGTCTGGTGCCAAGGAAGGAAGGAGCTGAGAAGCTCAACCGGTCGGGTCAAGAAATTGTTGACTCACAAACTCTCACTTCCCTATCGTTACCACCGCGTCCAGCGTTCAAACAGCTCCAGTCGAGGAAGCCAAACCCGCCAACCGATAAAGCAGATCGCTCATCCGATCAAAGCCCTAGCCAAGCCAAACCCCGGGGCCCGGTCGTGCACCCTTCCGGTCGTCCAACCCGACAGTCATCAGCCCATTACCCATTATCATTACCCATTACGATCCAGCCCAAGTCCATGGCCGGGAGCGTGGACGCCTGCCCGGAGGTGGGGAGGAGAGGGGGGGTATGACCTCATCCCGGCCATTAGGCATGTCTTGTACAGTACTCGTCACCCAAGGGCCCTACGAGATGTCATCCAATGACATGACACGTGCACAACCTGATCAGATGTCAATATTTCTCATTCGCTCACCGCACTCGCTACCTCAGCCAGCCCAAAGTCAGCCGGTCAGCCGACGTCACCTGAGCCCAAACATGGCCATGATACATGTGGTCTTCCTAGGTCAGCGAGCTTGCCGATCGATATTTGAACTCTCTTGGCAGCTTCGTACGGAACGGGAAGGTTATCTTATCACACCTGGTTGTGTCAGACATGTAAGCTTTCGTAGATTCCGATCAGGGTTATGATCGCGAACATGAGAATGGCGAGAAGCCGGGTGCTTGAATATTTGCAGAAGGTGGGTGACATGCTATACAGTACATGAGGTGGTGGACATCGGCTTCCGTGCGTGCAAGCCCCAGTGGTCGCTGGCAAGCTCTGAAGGGAATAGGAAGCCAGCGTGCAGTTACTTTCTACCCAGGCCGGATGAGTATCCACATCGCCCCTCAAGTTGCCCATCCCCACTGGGACGGTATCACACCCGTGTCGCAAGCGTGGCCCTTCATCATAAGCGTGTTCGTCGTTTATCGTTTATCACGAAATACAGTATACAGTATGCACTACACTTTCCAGCTGTACAGTAGAGCATGAATCGAAGGGGGAACAAGAAGCAAAGCCTGAGAACTATGTAGAAACTAGAAGCGTGTACAAATGGCAATGCGTGCGAGATGCTGCACGATTGTAAGATGCCCCTTCCGCAGGTGAACGGATCGAAGGTTCGCCCGGCTTGGCCTAGGTGCACGATCGGTACCGCCCGGGGAAGGATGAAAGAAGAACGCACTCCGAAGAGGTACGTTTATGGAGTGTCTGAAACCGATGATGTCGCAGCCACGTCTGAGTGTTCCACCCATGGCATGCTTCGGCCTCCAACCCAGTTACAAGAAAGGCAGCTACCACCTGTTCCGGAGATACGAAGGCAGCGCCATGCCTGACGCTCTCTGTGTTCGCTCATCGACCTGAGAATACCGAGCTTGCCTTTCTTCCGCCGCAGCTATAGTCCGGTTCGCATGCGCAGTCACGAGCGCCCCGATGTTCCTCTTTGCTGACAAGCGCGTGAAGCCTTCGTAGTTGGGCTTGCGCCGCTGCGCAGCTTTCCCGCGGCTTCCACGCCTGGGCGCACTGTCTGAACAAGAGATAGGCGATGGAACACGGTTCACGGGGATCGTAGACGGCCCCGCTTCGGAATAGATGCTTCCTCGTGCAGCACGATCGCTTTGCGCAGTTGGCGCTGCAACGCTAAGGTCCTCTTGATCCACTCCGTACATATTTGGTCGCATCGCGGGTGCAGGTACTGGCGACGTCATCGGAATCGCTGTTGCACTGCCTGACTTCTGGATGATGTTCGTGTCTATGGGGAAAGTGCTGTACCCAAACTCGTCGCGTAAGGGGGGTTCCTCCCACGCGAAGCTCGGATTCCCGTTCTCATCCACTGCGCCTATTTCCTCCGCAAAATGCGATATGTCGTCCAGGAAGCCGGCCATGCGCTCCGCATTGGAAGGATCGTTACCCCAGCGCGCATGGCTAACGGAAGGAGAAGGCGCGGGAACTACGGTGGGCCTCTGTGGAGTAGACGGCTGTGACCCCAGTCCCGCTGGGGCAGGAAGATTGTTCATCGCCATAGTCATGGGGGTGTCAAACGCCACTGAGATAAATCCGAGATGATCTGTTGAACATTGGAATCCTCCGGGGAAAAGGGCGTCAAGGGCCTCGGTGCTGTTAAGGCCCTCCCACTCAGGAGGCAGAGCAGAACTAGAAAAAGGAGGCGGAGGTTTGCTCGGATCATACACATATCCAGAATAGTCAGGAGTGATGATACCGCCACTGCTAGCCACACGTGTAGAGGAATCAGATGAAGGAGTCGGTTGAGATTGAGAATCGGGTGTGGTAGCCGTTGATTGACTGGGTCCAGAGGACGAAGAGGCTTCTGCCTGCTGATGTGTAGAACCCTGGGAGACCGAAGGCTCAGCGTTGCCTGTGTGTGCTCCGGACGATCGTGATTTTACAGCTGTAGACGACTGGCGCCCCTTCGGTGGACGTCCTCGTCGGGGTGGATTTGATGAGCCCGCCTGGATCTCGTTGGGCGTAGCGGGCGACGTATCTTGTCCGTCAGGTCCTTCAGTTTCAGTCCATGGCTTCTTCGCCGGGCGCTCGTCCGAGGCACCGGGTGGGCCGCTCTCTGCACGATCCCCTTCTGACACCTCCCCATGTTCTGTCAGAGAGAATGCCAGTGAAAACGCATGGGGTAAGCCCCTGTGAAGCTGACTGTAGGTCGTTGAGCCGTCTCCCACGCGATAAAATCCGTCGGAAAGTTTGCATAGATGTTGCCGCATTTGGCCCTATTCATGTTGTTTAGTGACACATATTAAAGGAGTCCGGAGGTATGCTCACCCTCCAATCCCACTTCGTTTTCTTCCCGTTGCTCAAAATGTAGTCTGCCAACAATGGCCATCTCCTAATGCACATCGAGTACATGTCGCTCAGGTGCATGCGCTGACCTGGAAGTGATAGGATACATGTCTGGAGTATGCGGGCGGTCGTCACCAGAAACTTGTGCAGGCTCCCGTTGACCACGAGTTCAGGAAGTGCCCACAAGTCTTTCGGTGGGAATTCGTGTACCCCCTTCGTGTGGTACATTGTGAATTTGCCCTCGCGACATTGGATGACATATTCCATGACGGCACGATCCCATTCTTCCTTTGTTGCCGGATTGCTTTGGAATTCGAACACACCGCGAGTGATCCGTTCAGTTGGAGTGGTCAGCTGTTCTGGATCCGGAACGATTGCAACGTCCTCGGTATGTCGAGGACGCTTGGGTGTCGAGGTTTTCTGAGAATCACTAGCCACAGGTCTTTGTTCTGCTGATTGTGCTGGGGGAGGTCGAGTGGACGAGCTTGGTTCGGGGGGGGAATCTGGAGATTGACATTGCACATCTGCACCGCCCATGGTTCGTGGTGGCTGGGAAGAAGATGATTGGGCGTGGGAAGCCTGAGATGGAAGCATTGAACTCGGGCTTGATGTAAGATTTTGATCCCGCGTAGGCAACATTGGGGAAGAAGGAGTGAGAATTTCCACGTGGCTGTCGTTACCACCGGACCCGCTTTTCCTTGGTGCCCTCTGCACGCCTGCCCTCGGGCTGGGAGACGATGCCACAGGCGTCGGCATCACAAGACCGAGCACTGAGGAGCTTGGAACTTGCCACGGCATAGGCTTTGGGGTGTGGGCGGCCAGGGTTCTGCCCAAGGAACGACTTTGTGCTTGCGATCGTAGTTCGGCCATTGCAGTCTCGGTGCGAATGAACTGTTCGCTTTCTCAGTGTCCTTGGTCGGAAGAACCGTGCACTACTACACTCACAGAATACATATTCGCTGCTGCATCCTCTGGCTTACTATGCATTATGAAGGTCGCGGCTTTCGTCCATGCTTGTGCTGTGGCGGACGGTGGCTGACGGTAAATGAGCACGGGATTGAATATGTAATGACCAGAGAACGTACCGCCTCCGATGGACGCCTTGAACCAACTGATTTCTCCCTGAGGGGGGATTTACCTTTGGGTGCGCAGGCGGCTTCACTGCTTGTCGACGCTTGTGGTGTGGCCCCGGGACCACCAGGCGTATTCGGGTCAATGTTTGTGTACGAGGTGAGAAGGGATCGAAAGCCGTCAGGGCTAGGCGCTCCAGGACTCACAACATCAAGGCGACGCGCCATAGTGGAGGCGGCCATGCTGTGCGATCCTTTGTTGAAGGTTGATAAGCCTCCCAGGATCAACGGTTCTGATACTGGAGGATTAGGGTTGGGAGTCACGGGGCCATCTGAAGATGAGTTCGACGGAGGATACGGAGAGCTCGAAGACAGGCTTGAGGGAGCGACAGAAGGCGGATCGGATGGGCCATTTGATGGCGCGTCAGTGGGAGAGCTTGAGGGAGGGGTTGGCAAATCGGAGATAGAGGGACCAGGCTGAGAGGGAGGGAGGTTGTTGGCACATTGGTTGAAAAGCGCGACGAATTGGGGATCGAGGAGAGATGCTGGGTTGAAGTCGTCCACTGCAGTGCTCTGGGATGTCGATGGCTCGGATCTGGAGGGCAGGCTGAGCCAGAGCTCGGAAGGAGAACTGGTTAAGTCGACTGGGACGGCCCAAGCGCTCGGCGATCGGTACATTTCCTCGCAAGGACTCGGTGGACGTTCATCTTCGGAGCAGTCTAACACGATAACATCACCTCGTCGGAAAGGCATGGTTTGTTTGGAGCGGTCGGGCAGAGTAGATTGACGCGCTTTCCTGTGAGAAGTAGAGCAATGGAATGAGGGTGACTGGCGGAGAAAAAATAGTGGCAAGGACGTACCTTCGTCCACCATCGTCTCCCCTTCCGACCACAACCGGGGGCGTCATGAACAACCAACGCTAAGAGGACAATAGGCAGTGAACAATAGAAAGGGAGAAGTCGTCGGTTGTAAGATGGGAGGGAGGAACAAAAGACGGGCTAATGAGGGGGGTATCGTTCCCATCAAGGCAGGGATATCCCAACCATGTGTGATTTACGGTGAGCCCTGGGATTGGATGGGATGAGCGGGGGACTCCAAGTATTCAAGCGGTCCAGGGCCGGGGGTCCTTTAGACCATGCACATGGAAACCGGCTTCGCGGGTCTTCAACAACTGCACCACGCTGGCAATGTACGGCATGATGACTGCTTGTCTTCTCTTGAGACCCACCAGCAAACAAAGGCCAGGGTCATGACACTCCTTGCTCGATAAAGAAATTGTTGTCAAGAAGAAGGCTCTTTGCACCCTTGTCACGCTAAAATGCAAAGTTCTATCAGGTCAAAGTTAACAGCCCCCATAAGCGGAAGCGGGCTTACGTAGTTCACCTGACACGTTCCACGTTCTCAATACAGTACGAAAATCAATACCTCATCTGCTGACCCGTGCCGGTGGTTACAGATTCCGCCGGATCAAGGATCGAGCGTTGAACGCCAATAAATTAGCCTGGAGTAAAGCGTGCGAAGTGCCGCTCACCGCACAAAGGCCGCAAACCACATGAGGATGATGAAAAGAGGTTAACAACTAACAAAACCCACGGGTATTAGGAAGAAAGGTCAACAAGTTGATGGTGCTCAGGAGGTAATAATGGATGCGATGATTAAAGGTCAAAAGCGGATAGAGAGCGGTTGGGATGATGTTGCCAGTCGTTCAGGTCGTTAGAGAAGGGACCCCTAATGCAATTGCAATATAACATTCTCCAGCCCCCTAACAATTCCTTCCAGGTGAATCAATCTCGATCGTATCTTGAGTGCCATTCCAGTAGAGTTGAAATGTTTGAGATCACTGGAATAGCCTTTGCGGTAACAACTCCGACACAGAAGCCGGAGAAACTGTGAGTAAAGAAGCAAGTCGCCACTGACACGCTTTTCAAGCGCGCGTCCTGGACCCTCGCTCTCCCAGCCTCCCTGCGCATACATCGAGCCACCATGGATATCGACAAATTATTCAAGGCCTGTATTCAGACCACGATGATATTACTTACGCTAACAATGGACTGACAGACCCATAATGTCCCAACTGGCGGGAATAAGCGTAGAATGCCCGAGGCACCGAATCCAGGCAAGCACACTTCACCCTACGCAGCAACATTCGTTGACTTCGCACTTAGAGGTGCTGAAGCGCATGCGCCTGTCTTCATCAGATCGAACAGAATCTCTAGCTGACTCCACACCGGTATCACAATTGTCCAAAGGAAAGGGAAAAGCACGAGTGGAGATCGAGGAGGAGGAGGATGGTGAAGATGTCGGCGATGGAGAGTTTGCACCAGGCGGAGACGCGGACTACTTTGCCGAAGAAGACGAAGAGGGACGGTTTTATGGAGGTGGATTAACAGGAGAGCAGAAGCAAATATTGGATATCTTCGATCATGCACAAGGTGAAGGAGCGATCGACGTGCGTACTGTCTTGTTGTCTACGCATACACTTTGCTCAAAGCACTTCACAGCCCGAGAATATCACTGTTCCTGCTGTACGACGATTATCACAGCGTTTTGAACGAGCTGTGAACAAGAATCAAGACCAACGATCAAAATACCCAGATGACCCAACAAAGTTCATCGATTCAGAAGCAGACCTAGATGCCGCTATTCGATCACTCTTGCCACTCGCTCAAGTGCCCTCCATCGCGTACCCTGAGATTGTCAAGCTGGGTACTATCGAGCGATTAGTTGGTCTCCTCGCTCACGAAAACGCCGACATTGTCATTACCGTCGTCGAAGTTTTACACGAGTTGACGGATGAGGATGTTGGTGATGAAGCTGATGAAGACGAAGAAAACGAACAAAAAAAGACTGAAACTATGAAGGTGTTAGTAGACTCATTGGTTTCAAACGCTGCCCTGGAGCTGCTAGTTCAAAATCTCCCGCGCTTCAACGAAGAAGAGGAATCGGATCGACAAGGCATCTTCCACACTCTGGGTATGTGTTTTGGATATTTTCAGACTTGCGTCATCCACTTACCCTCACAATCAGGCATATTCGAGAACATGATCGGCTTTAATCCTCAGCTATCACGTGTCCTAGTCTCGAAGACCAGCATCATGAAATGGCTGCTGGAACGCATACAGAAAAAGGGATACGACGAGAACAAGGGTTATGCGGCTGAGCTGTTGGCCATCACGCTCCAGGAGAACCGTGATAATCGGCTAGAGTATGGCAAGTTGGATGGCGTGGATGTGTCACTTAGAGTGCTGTCGGTGCGTGTATATTCCCCTGACACCAAACCAGCATGACTGACATCAGCGTCAGCAATATCGAAAGAAAGATCCGGATGAGGGTGATGAGACTGAGTTTATGGAGAACGTCTTTGACGCACTGTGCTCTGCACTTGCAGAGCCGGAGATCAAGAAGTTGTTCGTCGATGCAGAGGGTGTGGAGCTGATGGTCATCATGATGAAGTAGGCACTGTTGCTGTATACTTGCAAGGCTCTTCTGACGATCCCATAGGGAGAAAAAGGTCGCTCACTCAAGATCTATCAAGGTACTCGACCATGCCCTCTCAGGAGTGACAGGCACTGCAGGTTGTGAAACATTTGTTGAAGCCCTCGGGTTGAAGACCCTCTTCTCGGCATTCATGGGCAAAGGAGAAAAGAAGAAGAAAGCTGCTGCTAATGCAGCAGAGGACACCGCTCATACCCTTGGCATTATTTCCAGTTTATTCACCAACCTACCATCTGACTCCCCGGCTCGCATAAGGCTTCTGGCCAAGTGGGTCGAGGCCGATTACGAGAAGGTTACCCGTCTAGTGGAAATCCGGGAGCATGCAAGGGCGAGGCTTGAGGGGGCCGAACAAGGGATCGAGCAGGAGAAGAAGGATCTTGCTACAGAAGGCGAGGAGATGGGAGATGACGACGAGGTTGTATGGTATCTACGGAGATTGGAGAGTGGGCTCGATGTTCTCCAACTGGTGGATTACATTGGTGCATGGATTAGCATGGAGGACGATGGCGTACGTGGCGTTTCCTGTTTCACCTGTGTCAACAATAGAATGCTGACGATAAATAGGCACGAGCGCGTTTCCAGGAATTACTGAACAAAAAGGGCAAGTCCTTTGCGGACGTGGTAAAAGTCTTGATCGAGTTCCATGACAACATCGGCGAGGAGAGCGAAGACGAACAGCAAACAGATTCACCAAGCCAACGCACTATCATCGAGCAACTGATACCGTTCCTGGAAGCAAGCGAGCAATGAAAGAAGTTCATTGCGAAACTGTGAATGCAAACTGCCGATTAAAGCCCAGCACGCACAGCATACACCAACGCGCACCGAGTTTGGCAACAACGCGCCTTTGTCCTGTTTTGACCTGTTCTTTCATCGCAAGGTAAAGCGGACGCGTTGTCCTTTCCATTGTTTCATCGGCCGAGGGTCTGGAGCTACGCATCAGGTCTGCAATTTTCACGCAGTGGGAAAAAAAGATTGATCGGTATATTCGCACAATGTGTTCATGTAACCAATTATATGTAATGAGGTCATAATGTAATACCAGGTAAGCTCAGTGCTGCAGACGCAATGATCATGTCAAGAGCGCCTTGTAACTGTCGTAGTTCATTCTGAAACTTCAGCTCCGCATCGACTTTTCGCTGCAGTGAACGTAACAGGCGATCCACTAGAGGCGATTGGGCGATGACATCTCGATAGATATCTGACGTTCAATGTAAGGTAGAATCAGAGCAAAACATGATAAATCCCACCTAAAACGATAGCTGCAACATCACAAACGGCATTGCTGAATCGTGGATCGGCGACATGCTTTAATAAGAGGCGAAGGACTGGCTCAAGGAAGATCTCATCTCTCCCCGCCAGGGCAGTTCGTAGGCCATCTCGCTGCGCCAGTTCTTGGACAAGTGAGAACACAACCGTTGGTGGTTCCTGCATCACTCGTCAGCCAAAGAATAATCCCTGCCAGATTGAAAAGAAAACTCACACTCTGTAGTACCGTATCAAGCGCCGCTTCATATTGGAATTTTTTCAACATCATGTCGTACTTCTTCAACGTTTTCCTCTTCGCTTGCCGAACCTTTACCTCTCCCTCCACTGCCCGCACCTGCTTCGCTTGCTTCGTCCTTCGCTTCCCCTCGCCCAAGTGCTCCAACTCCCCACCCATGAAGAATTCGTACGCTCCCGTCCGTAAAGCCTCCTTCTTCTTATCCTCAGCAACAACCTCGCTTGCCTTCGGTTGTCGACGTCGGATTGAAAAGCTGCCGTCTGTCATGCCTGCCGCGAGATGCGTATCATCCGGCGACAGCGCGAGCGATAGAACCGGCGCTGGATACCGCATCGAGTGCACCACCTTATAGTTCGTCACGTCGTAAACCTTCACCATCTGGTCCAGTCCACCAGAGAGCACCCGGGAAGCATCACCGTTGAATGCCAGGGAAGTGACCGTTTTCTGGTGATTCGAGAGCGCTCGAAGACATCTCCCTCCGGCCACTAGGTCCCACACGCGCAAAACAGCGCCAGAGGCGGAGAGCGCAATCCCTCCGGATGGAAAGAGCAGAACATCCTCCACGGGTGTCTTGCACGCCATAACGATCTCAGCTCCGCCAGTCCGCGAGTCGAAAAGTCGCATGGTGCCGTCGTAGGAACCAGAGAGAATAAGGGATGGATTGGATGGAGATACGACCCCGGAACGTACGTAGTCGGTGTGGCCACGGAAGACACCAACGCACGTCTGGGATGGGACGTCGAAGAGTCGGACGGTGGCGTCATCCGAACATGAGAGGAGGGAGGTATTGTCCGGGGAGAATTTTGTTACATGTACAGGTCTGTGAATCCGTGAATATAAGCAGGCACATCGGATAATATAACGCACTGTTTGTGGTCATCCATTGACCGAAGAATTGCTCGTGTGCTCATGTCGAACAGTTGAATGAGCCCAGTGTCATCTCCCGCCACCAGCAGCTTCCCATCACCTCTGATATGCCCACTCCTGGCAACATCCTTGAACCTCGAGATCGTTTTCACGACCTTTTGCGTTCTTGGTGCATATACCTGTACGCGTGTCGAAGCCGTGACTGCATATCGGTGCGGTCTGGAGGGTGAGAAATGGATGCAGGTGACGGGCGCATGCTCTTTCACAAATACGGGGTTCTTGAACCGTCGCCAGTAACGCGATTCGGGGTTGTGTTTTGCAGCTGACCGAGGTTGTTTTTGGATAACAACAGGCTTGTAGTCCATTTTTTTGACAAGATGGGAAGGGGAAGAGGAGTAAGCGCTCGCAAGAGGGAGAAAGTGGCTAGGGTCTGGCTGAAATTTGGACGGCTTTTGTCGAACTTCCCTTACAATGACTTTTTTTTTATAGTCGCAAGAGCACACAAGATTAGAGGGCCAGCAAACAAGTTCATTTTGATGCGGAGTATCGCATAGTCGTCCATACAACCCTGTAGGAGACTACTGGAGCGGAAGCATTTGCGGAAGCAAATGCGATCCAAATGCGTGCTGTAGAATTACATCCAATCTATATCGGTGACATCCACCCCAGCCCGTCTGCTGCTGCTCATCGTGAGCGACTCGGGGTTGGTAGACTTATACCCTGGCTCTATTATCACCTCTGGGCAGCCTCAGCACGGTGGTTACGCGTCTGGATACATATCTGCCTCGGGGAGGTTCTGTTTGGCCATCCACTGCTGACTCATTACCTCTGAGTCAGCACCTAGGGACATAGTCAGCGCCAAGTACTCGCTGACTCATCTGGGACCCTAGCTAGCCTTGGCAACTCCTCGGCAGTCCGTCGTTGTCTTCCTGCATCTACTACTGGCACTCCGCATATCGCCAAACGTCACCTAGTCGGCTACACCTTACTACACCATTTCTCTTTATCACATTTCAGCTCAACAAAGACACTATGAAGCGACATAGATCGTCGGCCTTCGCAGGTCAATGTTGTTACCGTGAACTCCGGCAAGAAGACTATGCTACTATACAAAATTATCAGCCACAAAACATCGTGTATCAGAAGAAAAAAGTTAGACTAGCGCAAGACAGGCTAGCTCATTACATCGAGAAGAAATCGGACCAGAATGAAATGAGACTGAGACTGAGAAAAGAAACAAAAAGCATCAATCGTCTCCAGATGAGGGGCCCAATGTGCCCCTCTATGTGAGGCACGCACCCACTGTGGAGAACGCTGCAAAATTCTGGAGACCGAGATTCAGGAGAAATCAGCAATATCAACATCAACAGCAGCAACAGCAACCAGATAGTCGGTTCGTCATTCCCAGCCGAAGCCTTCCGTGATACGGTCCTCGTCCCTCTTGGCAGTGGTCCTCTCTTTCCAGACCATCCATGCAGCTTCTTGGCGCTCCATTATGTCAGGATGGTTGAGGCACCACTTTGGTACGCGAGACCTGAGAACTGCAGGATCGATGGGAGTGGTTCGGGTTCGGTCTTGATAGACCACGCCATCCATAGGCGCTGGTTGCATCTCAGACTGCCGGGAGGTCGGCACAACGCACGGAGTTTCGTCTACCACGATGTTCTCCGGGCGGATAGGAGCATCTTGGGGGGCAGACGGGTTGGACACGGTGCGGGGAGTTGAGAGCGCATCGCGGTGATTGAAGAACGTGAGTCAGGGGGGAAGGGGTCCGTCCGAAGCCCTGGCCAAGCCCACCCATATTGTGCATCTGTGGCTGGTCGCGAGGAACAGGGATGGAAATGACTTCAGGGTGAGGCACATTTTGACGGGCGACGGGGGCCGGCGGGGGGAGTGGGGCGGCAAAAGGACGCTGCATCCGCATGCGAGCGACGTCTTTGGCTCTCTCGTTGCGGGGAATGGAGGGACCCGCACTGGTTCCCTGGAGGATTTCAGGCGCGCTGCTCCTGCGAGATCCAGATAGTTCTTCTTTTCTACGCTTGAGCGGGCGCCTAGAGCATTCGGGGAAGTGCTCTTCGATCTCTTCAGGCTCCTCCTTCACCCGGACGCGTTTCTTGCCTTTCTTCTCGCCAGAGGACTCCTCTGTCCGTCCGAAAAAGTCGGTAAACTCTTGAATGCTCCTGAAGCCGGTGCCTTCCAGCCAGGAAGACCAATCGGGGCCTTCGGCGACAAGAGACTGTGCACGCCTAGGGAGAGGAACGAGCCGGCGCCCATCCCTGGAGCAAGCACCGGTGAATTGGATCTCGCCATCGTCGTCATCAGCTGTGGAGAGAATCAGTATCAGACCAACACTTAGAATGCTACTAACGTACGAGTTAAATCCTGGACGATTTGACGAGACGGAGGATTGGTAGGAGGGGGAACTTCTTCAGAAGGTGGCAAGGTAGGGAGAACTGGTGCCTCGGGAGCCGGTGCATGGACAGGCAACGGGGCAAGAACAGGCACAGCGGCAAGAGCCACAGGTGAAACAGGAGCAGGCGTCGGCGTGCTAGGCGGGGTCATGAGGCCAGGCCCCTCCTGCGGGGGCAGGGGAGGGACGACAGCGACCATTGCATTATGGGCCAAAACCGCCTGTACGCCCATCACGAGGGGGTCCGGGGGGCCATCCTGTCACAAAGTCAGGAGAAGCCGCTGCAAGAGGAGTGGAGACGTACAGCAAACATCGAATCAAAAGACTCGACTGCAGCCCAATACTCCTGCTGAGTACTCGTTTCGCTTACAGCCGAGTTCCTGTCATCCATAGGAGCCATCGTATGCCCATTCTGGACAGATATCAGGAACCATTCAAGGGAAAGGAAATAGACGAAGACATACCAACTCACAGAACTCACGCAAGAGCGACTCGTCTCGCGGAACATCATCTTCAGGCTCTTGCTTGATGGCGTACTCCTCGTACTCGTACGGCTGACTGGCTTCGGCTGCGGTTCCGACCAGAGCATGGTTGACGGTAGACTCGGGCTCGTACGGAGATTCCTCCCTATAACCAACTGGAGCCGGGTGCGCGCTGCCGTCGCGCCGCGTGTTGACATCAAAATGGACAGTCAAGAGCTGCTCCGGCACTGGCGTAGGTTCGCGGGGAAGGGGGGGCGTAGTGGGGAACGGATACACGCGCTTTGGCGGCGGAGCCCGCGGACCTCTTTGCAGATCCCAAACTTCAGGCGGCAATGGACCATATATAGGATTCAGGGAATATATAACTGTACCACCGTTTTGAAGTTCACCGTGGATGATGGTATCGGTCGGTAAACGCCATTCATGCGGAATTTGATCGCACGTGTACTTGGGGATGTATGTAGGTATCACACCGCCTATAAGCGTCAGAGTGCCAGATGTTGGTAGCTTCATGGCAAGCGTAGTGGATGACTTCGACGTGGGTTTTAAGGAGTACTCTGGAGTCGGCACTGAGGACATCATGACAGGTGCTTCGTATCCGACAACCATGGATCTTACGACTGATGCTATGTGCTACTCTATGGTCAGGAGGCCGTCGGATGCGTCAGAGACAGTAGAGTGACACTCCAGCGTACCCAAAAACATGCCTCTCGTCTCTGATCGCAGTACGCCTACGATCATCGCAAGAACTGCAGATGATGCTGCCTCCAGTCCCTGTGGCTTAGTATTGCAGCTCACAACACCATCTTTCTTCAGGTCCACGCTCGTGTGTGTCCTGTCCAGAAACGGTATCCTTATCTTCATCATAACTGCAGTGTTAGGTGACATCTCAGCACTGTAGTTGGGAGGCAGGTACTCTCTAGCAAGCACACATGACGACGGGGTCATAAACATCATCCTGACATCCTTGGTGCCCTTAGTACACACGACGAAGAACACCACAGATCCGTGAACGTTTATGAAGCTCGTAGACCACGTTATGTCGGGTGCATTCTCACACGCGTCGTGGAGTATGTCAAGAGTGTATCTTCCCATAACTTGTACGACGTTCACCCTTTTGACGACAGCGCCCACTCCTTGACTCGACGGGATGTCTGCACACACACGTCTCATCGACGCGTTCAGTACGTCCAGCACTCCGCTTCGCAACTGCACCTCTGCAGTCACTGTTGACAGCTGTGGCTCTGATATGCAGTCTCACGACGTACCTCGGACTCTCACACGTGTACACACAGTGCACTCTCCTCCTGTTCACGTCCATCTCGGACCTCCGGACTCCGAAGCCCTTCATGAAGCGCGCAGTAATATCGAAGTGCATGGGCGTCGCGACGACCAACGGACTCCTGAATATCCTGCTCTGCACATTGTCACTGACATATCCACCTCTGTGACATCCCGAGCTCCGACTACTCTGCGACGCTGCAGTAAGCTTGGCAGACCTGTCCTTGGTGTGCGGTTCGTATGCTCGCATATGGTAGTATGGTGCCGGTGGCAGCAGGCTGCTCAGGGCACCGTGCTTGCTATCATGGCTCCTCCCACTGTAGTCCAGTCTCCCACACCACGTAACAACGTTTTCATTGACAACATCATTCGCCTGGAGAACATCTCCGATTGGAGCGGCTTCAGTGTCGTGAAGAAGGCGCCAGTCCCCATGAGAGACACTGGGAGTTCGTACATCCCTGTCGAGTTCTCGTATCAGGGGAAGACTGCCTCTAACTTCACTGTGACTGCAGTCGTGCAGTACGGTGGTACCAACGCTGATGGTAAGCCTTACGTGATAGTCGGTATAGACGAGAGGATCATCGGCAACGTCATCAACGGTAGTAGGTTCAAGCGTCCAGACTTCGGTGGACACGTCACTGGCGGGCATGCAGTGTTCCGCATGGACATCGGGAATGGTTGGGACTCCTTCGTGTGGAAGGGTGCGAACGGAAAGCCGGACAAGTCTTCCTCTGCACCTGACTTCTTCAGGAACGGAGGCACGTTCCGCGCAGTCATGAAGGGGTGGGCGAAGGAGTCCCCCTCGAAGCATTCCTTCGCTCCTGGCTTGACGCAGATCCTCTTCGTTAAGAAGTCCACTACCGTCCTGCCTACGTACGTCGGCTCCTCGGGTCCGTCCATCGAGACCTTCATCGAGGACTTCGAGTCGCTCAGCGTGTAGATGCTAGTCTTGCTGCGTACTGTATGATGTACCACTGAACGATATTGCGCTGCCGTTTCAAAATTTTTTGAACACCATCATAGTACAAGAATACAAGCGACGTGTACTCGCATGTCAGAAGCAGCGCGGATATAGAAGCAGTGGTCATAGTATCCAGAACCACGTACGTAGACCGTTAGATGCAGTCACGATCAGGGACGAGCTGTTCCAGCCCATAGAGACATGTCACTCTCGTCAGCTCTCTAACAGCCATCATAGCCTTTCCCACGAGGTCCATACCCTCTCCGTCAGGCCCTGTGCCCAGTATGTCATTGTTGCTGTTGAACCTCACACGACCAGGGCTGGTTCTAGCCAGTGCCTCGAGAGACCGCTTGTTCTACTCGCACAGTGCTAGTATGCCCCAGAAGAGTGCCATGTACAGCTCGTTGCGTCCGAACGCGTGTTCCACATTGTGCTGCTTGAGCGTGCTCTGCACCAACGAGAGGACACTGCGAGGAGACCTGCTATCGAAGTCGTTGCGGTTGCTCTTCGTGATCAGGTTCGCACGCTTGAGAGCCGCGTATGCACAGAAGTGCATCACGGACTCGTGTGTACGACCGTTAACTACAACCTTGGACCTGGAGTACACATCCAGAGCCTTGAGGGGTGCATCGCCACTATGCATAACTGATGGCATGTCCATCGCGCCATCACTGTTATCATGCCTGACTCTGAGTGCTCCCATGCTTACAGCCACAGAGATAACCGACGCCGAGTCATCGGGAGATATGACGGAATATGACGCTGCAGACGGGCGCTTCACGAGAGCTGATCCATGGTCATCGATAATGCGATACGAGGACATAGTGACTGCAGACGACGCCTCGACGCTCTCCGGTAGAGGTACATTACGTGCAGTGATGCTCGACGACCTCGAGCTATGCCTCGGGGTGTATGCTCTCACTGTGGTGGCATCATCTGTGTCGATGATGACGTCGAAGTCATGACGGCCATCAACAGACAGGTGAGATGTGTTTACGCGGAGTGCGCCTGTGAGCATGCCTGACATATCTGATGCAGCCATTCCAATGGTGCACAGAGCAGGTCCCCTGCTTGAGGCACTGGAACGGTAGTCATGACTTCCGGAATGGACGAGATGTACGCCAAGGTGCGGAGGACAGATGCAGCGAAGGAGAGCATACGGAGTGACATGGACGCTAACCTCGCATCGGCGTCGATAATGGGGCCCAACAGTACAAACTCACTGCTGTCGAAGCTAGGTGTTATTCAGTCTTCAACTAACGACAGTCTGGACGTTGCTGTAGCTGCGTTGAGGGAAACACTGAGCTTGAACATGAGGATCCTCGGAGTCCTTGAGGACATCCACGGCAAGTTGATAACCATGAATGGTAAGGACAGGCTTGCGACTACTGGTAGGCACAGCTCAGAAGAGCCATCAGGATCCACCAAGTGGTACTACGGAGATACAGCCATGAACGACAGGTATAAAGTTGTGGGTGCGTTCACTCAGATATCTGGGTTGCTGTCACCATGGGCACTGCGTACTTCCTGTCAGTACACAACAGCTGTAGACACTCCTGGATGTCATGACGCTTAACTTGCGTGTCCTCGTAGTACCGAGTGTTGTTGGTGCCGGCCATGATCTCCTTGACAACAGCAGTGTACCTGTCCATAGATGTGGCTCTGGAGCCTCTGACCGTGACACCTAGTGACTCCATGTGGCAGCATACAGCTGCGACGAAGGCATGCACAAACGCACCCACAACTTTATACCTGTTGTTCACGGCTGTATCTCCGTAGTACCACTTGGTGGATCCTGATGGCTCTTCTGAGCTGTGCCTACCAGTAGTCGCAAGCCTGTCCTTACCATTCATGGTTATCAACTTGCCGCGGATGTCCTCGAGGACTCCGAGGATCCTCATGTTCAAGCTCAGTGTTTCCCTCAACGCAGCTACAGCGACGTCCAGACTGTCGTTAGTTGAAGACTGAATAACACCTAGCTTCGACAGCAGTGAGTTCGTAAAGGACGTCGGGCGCGGGAGGGCGTTCGGAGGGGTCTTTAGAGAATAACGGCCAGTAGGGCCCCCCCCGGGTTTGACGCACTCCATCGACGAGACAATCGCAAGTGAATGTGTAGTTACAAGGAAGGTAACGCGAGTCCAAGTTCGGAAGCTCTGCCTCGGGCTCTGCGGCCGTTGCGGACGCGGACGCGGGCAGTTGGGGAGCCGGCTGAGGGAGAAGATAGGCAGGGAAAGCAGGCGGGTTTTCGGGCTGAGCACTGGAGCTTTGCGCTGATGCTGCATTTAGCGGTATACCGAAGATCGACCACAGCTTTTCAACCAGGGCAGATTGACGAACGGACATCGGAATGTTACCGGTGTATCTGTCCTGAGGGCGGCGCCTGTCGCCCATCGGCGACGGAACTTCATTGTGTTGAGGGCGTATGTTCAGACCCCGATATGGGACAAGGCTGGAAGTAGCTGCGGCTGGCGGGGCGGACGTACCCGTTTCACGCTTTGCGCCTTCGGGATTGAATGTCACTGTGAGATACCGCTGCATGTCCTCCAACTGTAGGCCTTGCGAGGCCAGGAGGGCGCGAACCGTCCGGGACACGGTTTCCACCTGATTGGTAACGTGAGGCACATCAGCGAAGATGGTATGCCAGTCGTGGGGAGGTGAAGGGGCGTTGACAGGCTGTGCATTCCCGGGCCACGTCGGTGGCGGCGGCCGGGAGTCGTGTCCAAGGGGGGGCATTATTGAGGATGTTGTTGCGAAAGTACGGCGCGCCATCTTGTCTGTACATGGGCAGGCCAGCCTGGATGGCTGCGTCCCAATTGAACACCTTTGTTGAGGTGGTATGGGGGACTTCGCTTCCGGGAAAAGGATCGGCAGCTGCCTCTGCAGCCGCTGCAGCCGCTAGTGCTTTCTCGTGCGCGTCTTTGACTAATAGCCCGCGCCTGTGGAAGGATTTGGCATGATGGAGTGGAGTGGATAGATTATACTTACAGGTAGTGTGGGAGAGCCATTTTTCTTGCCCACGTTTCCATCTCTGCAGGACCCATCTGTCTCTCTCCATGGGCCAACATTTTGACTTGATGTCAGAAGAGTGGATGGGAGTGTTGTAGTACGAAGGTGAAGGTGAGGATGCAAGATAAAGAGGAGAGGCAAAGAGTCGAGGGGAGAACGACAAAAACCTGGTAGAGTTGCAGATGAAGGTACAAAAGCAAGGAGGTAACCAGAGTTGGAGGGAATGTCGCCCGCTTTCCACTCCCCTTTATATACGTCGTCGACGCTACTGGCGGCGGTGTCAGTGCCCAATCATAATAATACGTACCAAATACCAGTCACTGGGCCAAAGGTCTTGTGAAGATCGCGTGTCAGACCCATTCATTTCCACTCCCGATTGAATGTCTCGACTTTGTTTGCCAGCTCTTCAAAACAACATTCCACAGATTCCACATCCTTCGCGGGTTAGTCTTGCCTTTTTCAGGCCAGACCCAAAGCGGCACAGGGTCTAGCCATCAAAAACACGCTCGCATAGAAACAAGGGAAGCAGCTCTTTGCCCGGCATTCACAGCCCCGTAACGTGTTACACCGAAAAGAGCCTAAGGCCAGCACAACGTTAGTTCTATCACCTTTGTTTCCGCGCCCCTCACCCCTATTCGATCGCCGCGCCTTGGACCCGCAAAACTCCGCATTTCCGCACTCTTCTCTGATGCAGTCCAAGAATGGCTACATACGTATGTTGCGGCGTTAAGCACACTTCTATCGCTGACAAAAATTATGCCCGCGCTCTCACTGTACCACTGCGAGAGTATATGATTTCCCAACCTAAGCAGCAAGATCGCCTCAATCGGACCTCCAAAACGACACCGACCAAGATAGATCTTCCACGGTGTTGAGTCTCTTGCCACAAACCTGACTTTTTCGCGCGAGAGAGAGATGACTGGTCAACGACGCGCTTCACAAATTATACCTCCGAAAGTCAGGCCATCGACCCGGGGTGTTATTCAGTAACCCCAAGCTCCACAAAAAGAACTCGCCCCGATTCCGGATCTCCCATATCATGGTCATGTTACCAACCCTCGACCCACGAAATTTTATATCGCCAGCCAGTCACTAGCCAGCTTGCACTGGCCGAGAGTATTTTGAGACACTCTGGCGCTTTCCATGTGAGGGTTCATCATCTCAGACCCAGTAGTGATGAACATTCGTATAGTGGCCTCAGGAACACCGATACCGGGTTTACGCTTCTTCCTCGACTTATTGCGAGTTTGACTTGGGAGAGCCGATATCAATGGACCAGCCAGTCGGTTCACTCCCCCAACGATCCAGCTTTTAATGCACATGCACGCAATCCAGTGACCATAATCCATACAGTAGCGGGTAACAACATGCGTACAGCTCAGTAAGGCTTATGCTTCTTTCGCCGCTCGACCTCCAATGACTTGGCCTTCCGAGCTCCGATCTCCACCGGCCGCACCCCCGTCTCAGCTTTCTTCAATTTGATTGGCCGATTCCCCACATACTTGCCTAATACCACCGTCAGCGCCAAAATCTCGCGTTATATTGAGAGAACCCACCGTCCATCTCCTTCCAAGCCTTGAGGAAATCCTCCGGATCAGAGAACGCGACGAACCCGTACCGCGCTTTCTGCGTCAGCCGATCCCGGATCACCCGCGCTTTGGTGAACGTGGGGTACTTGTTGAACGCGTTCGTGAGCACGTCGTCACTCACGTCGTTACTCAGATCGCCGACGAAAAGCCGGAACCATTCTAGACACCGGTCAGCGTCGTCAGGCCAAACACAAGAAATGTAATACGTACTCGGGTCCCATTCAAGTAACGTCTTGTCTTCCCACACTTTGCCAGCCCCTTTGCGCAGCACCGTCGTTCGCTTCTGCCCTGGAGCAACCTTCCCACCAGCCCCGCCCCTTCCCAGTTGCGCCCCCGGAACATACGCACTCTGTTGGGCCGCGATACCCAGATCGTACTCCGCGGCATTGGCAACGACGGGCCGAGGCGCGCTGGAGCTCGATCCTGGGAAGGGAAAGTTGCTAGCAGAGCTCGAGGAAGCGTAGTATGCTGCTGGGTCGTAGTTCCCTCCATACTGGCTATAGTACCGCTGAGAATAGTCGTACCCCGAGGCCAAATTATCGTTCGAGTCCGCCATGGTGTCCTGCCTGAGGATTTGGGTATGTGGTCTGAAGAGAGTGTGACTTGGGCACAGATAGGGTGCATCAGGTGTGTGATCAGTGGCGCAGCCCGCGATGGCCGTGACAATGCGGAAGTATTTCGCTTCCGTGCGCGCTAGAAGCTCGGCGTTTTCCATGTTCCCGCCGGTGTTGGTGCCTGGTTTATCACGACACTCACTTGTGATGATTCATGTCATTTTCCTGTCGTCCAGTGCTATCATGGTTGAATCGACGGATGAGGAGAGAGAAAAAACCCATATGTCTGACCGAAAATTTTAGTGAGGCAACAAATCGAAGTAGTCAGCAGTGGGCATCGCATGACGTGCAGTCATGTGACGATCAGCTGACTCAGGCGCGTCCCTGTCAGCGATCAAGTTTTGGGTGTTCAAACGGACGCGATGTACTCGAACTTAACTCCATGAAGCCGCATACATCTGCTCCCAATCACATACATTCAAGCAATCACGAATCGGAGACATGATGTTTCACGATCGTGTCCAGATCTGACAAGCGTGCAATATCGGAATTGAGGTCGATCTGTCGAGCCGGTTCTGGCCAGTAACTTCAAAGTCCGTCCTCGATTTCACCTATGAAGACAGTTCCTCAGTCTATCCTGCACCGACTCAAAGCGGGTTGAATCAGGGAGAGAAAGGAAGAACGGATCGACGTCCGGCGCCGGGCGAGAGTCATGTGACGATCAGGTGATGCGGCGCGTCCCTATGAGCGCTCACATTTTGGGTGCTCACACGAACGCGGTGCACTCAAACTCACTCTTAGGACTGCATACATCTTCTCAATATCACACATATTCAAGCAAACAAGCAACGGATACATGGGGTTCCCCGACTGTTTCTGTCTCTGACAAGCGTGCAATATCAGAAACGAGGTCGATCTGTCGGTCCGGATCTGGTCAGTGACTTCAAAGTCCGTCCTCGATTTGGATCACTGTGACGAGCAGCAGACATTCCAACTTGAGATCATAACAACGCGCATTTGATCGCATCTACACGCTGTGGATATAAATTCCCTCGCATTGTTTGCGTAAACAACACGCTTTCGTTCCCCCCACCATCTGCTCGTTCTTTGCCCCTAGACTTGCCACTCCTTCTATGGCTTCACATCCTGCAGACCACGATCATCCTTGACGCCTTCAGCGGCCACTGATCATCCATTTCTGTCTATCATCTCCCGGTATCTCCCTCTTTTATCTTCCTGGAAGTCACGGTACGCGTCTTGTCCATGCAGTACTGCCGAGAACCATGACTGGCTGATACGCGCAGCCCTGCTACCGCATGAGCGTACGTATGACGCTCTGGGACTGTGACCGTGGTAGAGAGTAGGTATACTCAGCCCTCGTTGAAGCGTTGCCTGCAGTAGTATGGAGGTGCGTGATATCACTTCCTTGTTCAGCAAACGCAACAGCACTGACGCTGCGGCACAAGCACCTCATGTAGCCCTACCCGCGTTAGAACGCGCATGTCTCGACACACTCGAACTTGTCCAACATTGTCCTCCCTGTCCACTAGCGTTCTCCCCACTCCTCCCACTTCCAGCATCGCTGTGGATCATCGCTATTCTCCCCAAGGCCTCTTCATTCACTCGCCTCCCCAGCAGACGCAAGAATGTCAGTGTTACATGGCAGGCAGCTCGTCTCGCCATGTTCAAGTAGCTCTGGTCTCGGGTACGGATCTTGTTTACGACTGTTATCCAATACTCATGGACGAGTAGAACACTGCTACCAGTTATTTCCCCAGCACATGCCATGGGTGTGTTTGGCATGTAGATGAGCAAGGCGTCAGCCAGAGAGGTAACCGAATACGGTCCTTCGCCTCGCCACCCTTTACGACTCGGAGCGCACCCTTGCGGTACAGACGTCTCCGTCTATCTGCCTACAATCGCTGGGCGCGTCCTCAAGTCCAACCAACGGACTGGGAACATTCTTTTTTCTTCCTCTCGCCACCTTCCGATTGCAGCATCACGAAATTTGCCGTTTTTGCTCAATCATACCAGTGAGTCGCTCTCAGGCTCCAGGACTGCATTTCGCACTGACTGCCACTTGCTAGACATCGCCCTATACGGACACAAAGTCGAGTTCGAATCATGCGCACCGCCGCAAACCTGATTTGCCTGCCAGTGATCACACATTCAGCGCGCGGTGTTGTGCATTTGTTCGATGCGGCCACAACTACGACCCAGACGTAAGAACGAAGCAGAGAACCGAGGAGACCACATGATCGACGAGAGTATCGGTGAGTGAGCAGCGTACTGTCCATCGCGGTCCTACGTAGACAGGTATGTCTGTCGTGTACAGATATAGCATGTCCGGGAATAGGGTTGATGAGCGAACACAGGGCTTCACGAGCGCACCGTCTGGTTTAGAACCCTAGGACCAGTAAACGGAGGGTGCAGGCGAGATGCAGCCGCGCAACAGGAAGAGGTACGCTAGCAGCCCGCCTTACGAAAACGTACCACTGACCTATCCTCATAGGCAGCACAAGTGTCTCCCTCCCAAATGAGTCTGGCCAAAACACGACACCTCTTTCACCGCTGGAGCCCAGCAACCTCCGACACCGCATGCCTCATGTTGACTGGTTAGTTACCGGTCGGCATCTCCCTGTGCCCTGCACAGCGCCCGTCCACCGAAAGGTCCATACGCTGTATTTGCTGTGCTGTGGAGGGCTCAGGTGCGCACGATCCGAGAGCGAGTGCATGGTATTGTGGTTCTGGATGAACCAAAGCTCATTACGGCCAGAAACGTCGCGTTGCGATTGGCTTCGTCCGTCGGACATTCGGAAGGTTGCCGGGGGAGATATGGTCTAGAGGTGGCAGCGGCTATTGTGATTCGTGCGTCCTCTCTTTTTCAACACTCTGAATATTCACTGATGAAAACACAGAACCTGTCTCGCTAGCGTACCCAGGCTCTCCCCACCTCCCACTGTAGTGTCCCTCTACCTTCGATCCACTATCGACCTACGGATATCCCTTTTGCTTTTCCCATTCCCCATGCTCGGTTGCCGGACCCTTGGACAAGAAGTGAGCATCATCGTTGTCCAGAAAGCGGGATCCAGAAGCTGACAATGTGCCGAATGGCAGTCATGGTGGTCATCTTCTCTATGCCATATGTTGAGGAAGAAATACTGACGAGGAGCACAGCACTACCACCCCACGAGCAAGGCTCCTCCTGCTTCGCTCGCCGCCTCATCTCGGGAGACAAGGATCGTCGACACCTACGACTACGAGGAGAGCCTACGACGACTACAACATCCATAATGCATTCTCAATGCTATAACAGCGGACTGATGAAGGAGGCCACCACTTCACATGTATCGGGCGGTCTGGAAACATGGATCTGGTAGGGGAAGGAGAGAGCGTCTCCGCTGTCATACGGCAAGGCGGCCGGTAAGTAGGGTGCTTAAGCAGATAGAAGTATGTCGTTTCCTCCTGCGGCGAGCACAGAGCTGACCCTGTGACACAGGTAGCCCCGTTTGAGCCCTCCGAACCTCGGAGGCGGGTGTCAACAGACTCGGACACGGCCGATAAAACGATGAGATAGCACCTTGCACGGTTCAATATTGAAGTAAGTGAACTATATAGTACATGAATGAGTAAAGTGGACTGATGATTCTCAGGCCATGTTGCACGTTAGTCTCGCTTACTACTCTAATGCACGCCACCGATTCCGCACCGATATTTTCCCCATGTCCCACCGTCAGCAATTCCTAAGATGTGGCCTCGTCGAACTACAAAAATTGGACAGTATTCGATTGCATCGTGTACCAGGACATCATGGTCACTATTGCAACCCATGACGCAAAGATGGATGTCAAAAGATGCGAGAAGGGGAGGAGGAGGGGGAGCGCCTTCGGGGAAGGCAACCGGGAGGCGAACACCGTCGTCTGAGCCTATGCGCTTTGGTGAACTGGGTTCAACCAGACAGGGCGCATGCTGGATATCCCAAGGTGAGCAGGTGTTTCTCGTGGCGGATGATGTGGTGCGACGAATTGCCGGTGGGTGAATGGCAACAGCCGTTCCAAGCAGCGGTCTGCATCCCATCCCTGCCATTTATCTCTGTGCACCGTTCATCCGCTGATCATTGCTCAGCTCCAGCTCTGGAAGAGTACAAGAGGCAGTCAAAGCGTACGTCAAGAAGAGAGTGCGAAGCTGTCAGTATATTCGAATTCCACACGGCACAGAGCAAGGCATGACTCTGTTCGATGTTACTTGTAAGGACGAGGGAGCAGTGTTGAATGTTTCCAGCCTCGCCGCTCTGCAGCAATGCACTAGTTCTGACTGTGCTGATCAGTCCCCCGTCGGTAGGCTTTGATCCGGAAGAGGCCTGAAGAAGTAAGCATATTTTCGATATTACCCCTAGAATAATAGATTGACACATGCCCAGCGCAAACTATAAGGCATCAGCCCAACGACCTCTGTGCTGCCGTGCCCAGCTCTCTTGACCTCGCATCGTAATGTACCTCGATCTCGCATCAATTATTGCGCTCTCCTTTTCCCTCTCTCTTGTCTTGGACAGACGGTAAGCATAACTATGGTCATGAACACGGCAGATTGGTTGACAAGGTGCAGATACGATGTGTGCATTGCCGGGCATTTCCCTCCTGCCCGCCCTATTCATCATACCCTGATCGCCAAGCATGTCATACAACACAAGATTGCTCAAACGCTCGACATTGAGTTCCTCAAGGCATCGTCTACGTTACTAGGAGAATGCGGAAGTCACGGAAGTGCTGGCAGACAGCTGGAGGACGATTTGCAAATATGGGTGAGGTTGTCTCATGCAGTGCGTCATCTTTACGGGCAGGTAGAAGACACGAGCTGACTAGTGAAAGGTATGTTGTACGGCGATATGAGTGTCCTATTTGTTTGAGGGAAAACACCGGACCACAGAAGTGTTCGAAGACGGGTCGAGGACAGGTCGCACACGTGGAGGAGGTTGTCTTGTAGAGTGCGTCATCTTTGTGGGCCAGTTCGGAAACAGGAACTGACTACTGACAGATGCTGTCCACAGACATGTGCTTGCTAGGCTCTAGCCGCGGCTCCTACCGCCCCTTCTTGATCGAGCGGCGATCGCGACACGTGGTATCATGCAAGATAGCATCGTCCCCGGCTTCGTTTGCACTCAGGCTTGTTGGGTCGTTTCTGGTTGGCGGGGACGTGATCGTGCCGCCCTTTACTTGGTACGATACAGAAGCAGTGAGTCAACGGTGTGCTAGAGGACTGGGCGACAGGAACTTATGATTTCTAGATGATGTTGGACGAGCCTTGTGATATTACCAGCTGCCGTTCGTCGCCGTTCCACGCCAATTCCCGCCTGCACCGTGACAAGCGACAAACCCGACGTAAGTCCATGGCTTCGTGCACAACGTCTTTACAAACACAACCACGATTGAGGGAGGTAGGGAGGATATCGCCGAGAGCAGGCACGAGAGGTGCGACGACTCCTTGATTCTTCGCCGCGCATACTTCGAGACAACAGCAAGACCGTAGGCTCAAGAACGAGGTCGACATTTCCATCCAAAGCGCTTTCTGGCCCATATCTTTATGCCAATTATCCATGAAGTCACTGTTGAGGCTGTGAGCACATCTGCCGCTAAGCTTGGACGAAAATAAAATACGCTTCCTGCAGCACAGGCTTGTGCACTTCCTCTCCTTCCTCTTCTGCGACATTCCTTCGCTCACCCTCACTGAGAACAGATACATGTCAAGAAAACGCCCCGTATTCATATCCACCCCATGTATCAACCTCTAAGATCACCGGCCAGAAGACCGTTCCCATGGATAGAATCGATTTTCTGGTATGGCCATGAGACCAGTCGCAATCGTTCATTTTCTCTCCTCCTTCCTGATTGAGCGCAGATGACAAGCCTTGTATGATACAAGATAGCGCCATGTCAGATTCGTTCGAGATGAGGGTTGTCGATTCGTTTCTGGATTGGCTCGGACATAATTCCAGCGCCTGTACTTGTTCCGACGTCGCAACAGTGAGTCAACATCGTTCCAGATGGGGACTGGTAACTTCCAGATCCTGTTGGATGGCCGTGGCGGAATTATCTGCCTGGCCCTGCAGCTCTTCGCAACCGTCTCGGATCCGGATAACCAAACATAAGTATATGCCATCAATACACTACAACACGAATATAAACACGATCGAAACGGACATCGAGGAGAGCAGCACCGAGAGGCGGGACGATGCCTTCGCGTCGGGCATGCCGTACCGTCCTCTCCTCCGGCATTCCGCCTACACTCGCGAGCAATGATCGTCAACCTCTCCTTATTCACCACTCCAATGCTCGCATGTATTCTCCGCAAGGACCATCGGCACCAAGACCCGTCCCGGCAATGGGATCGATGGCCCCCAGCGCATTTGAGAGCACCTTTCATTTGTGCGCTTGCAGCGCCTCAAGCACTCCTGACAGAGGGGACGATGTACCTCCACCGTTACTGCGAATAATCCTACTTGCACGTATCAAAATGACAGCTTCATCATTTCCTCTCCATCTCTTAGTAAATGCGGCATTGAAACAGTGTTACTAAACATAGCCCCGCACTATGTTCTATGACAATGAGTCTTCCGCAGAGAGGAGATGAGCCAGGTATGATTAGGGAAAACAAGGCGACTACTTCTAATTTTATTGTGCGTGGCTTATGTGGTCATGCTATATACATATCCGTATGAGAGCGCTGTGATATTGATGTGTTTGGTTTCGGCGGAGACAATTGCTTGTGAAACAAAACAAAGGAATGTTTCCGGCAGCGGGAAGCACCCTCGTGTCTTTAACTCCAGGACGATGGGGAAACGTGAACATGTTTGTCAGTGTTTCGGTTTCTGTCCTAGCACACACGCTGGATATCTGAGCGTACCTTCACCTGGATCACTCTGGATCCGGACAGTCTCAGATCGTGTCGTAGATGGCTTGCGAAGTCAACATGCACAAAAAGGCGCATATGACCGAAGGCTGGTAAAACAGCCGTCACAGCAACTGAAGGTCTAAGGTCCACTCTTGGTATATCTAGGCGATGCTACCGATCAAGTTCTTCAGATCCCCAACTTCCTGACATGCTGAAAGCACCCTCTTCCGACAAGATCCCCACCGCGCGTTCGCCGTCCAAAGTACAATTCAGTATCAGCCCTGCTCCAACCAGCCCTATCAAACCCTCGTTTCAATGCGTCAAATCGCTCGAGCATTCCATCCACACTCTTCTTGATTCCCCCATCTCGCCAATCTCCCGCGCATCACCCTTCCGTCAGGTGACTTATTGGGCAGATCTTGGGATCATCAGCTCTACATGTGCATTAGTTGGGTTCAGGTCGGCTGCATTGTGGTTAGCGTGGGGCGTCCCATTCGCACATCTCTCGCTATCGTTTGAAGAGCAAACATCCAGTGAGAGGCGCGAGTACCACGTGAGGAGAATATGGATGCCCCTCGTTTGGCTTGCTCTCCACAGCCTCATCCACCTCGCGCTTGCCCTCGCCGATCGAAGTCTCTCGCACCAATTCTCGTTCGATACCATGTCAAGGGATGCGTTCCTGATGATTGTCCTCGCATGCGCTGTGGCGACACGCCTGGTTTACTATTATCAAACTCTCCAAACTCTTCCAATACCAGTACCACCGCCCTCTGAGAAAGCCAAGAGAACGAACAAGCTGAAGGAGGCCAAAGCAGCGAGGCGCATTAACAATGAAGAAGATAAGCGTTGGGAACATGCCAGGAGGCGAACGATCCAGGGATACGAAAGCCGCCCCAGCCTCGAACCGGTCCAGAACAACCTCCGCAACACATCGGTTCTTCCGACGCTGCCTCAACCACCGGTGTGGAAGTTAATAATGCAGCTATTGGGTATGGATCTCATCGGGGATAGTTGGAACGCAAATGGTGACGGTCAGGCCGATACACACAGTCACCCCGCAATGTAGCTTGTATGAAATATCACATCGAATATTGGTCAGATGATGTGTTTAAAGTATCATTAGCCCATCGAAATTCAGCAACCCAGATGAGCAATGCCGTAATGGGTAAAATGATTGAAGGACATAACGAAATTCCGCCCCCGTCCGTGCGTGACTCCCATCCACAACGAAAAATTCCCACCTATTTCTCCCCCCCCCTCTCCTTCGGTTCAGCGGGGCCAGATGGCGCTGGTGAACCGGACGGTCCGCCCTCGACTCTCCCCCCTTCTGTAATACCGTTCTCCCCTTTGCCGCGTCCGGCGGGACGCCCACCAGGCCCAGCGGAAGCAGCAGCAGCAGCAGCAACAGAATTTCTGGCAAACCCGCGTCCCCCCCGCATACCCCCCCGGAACGGCCCGCCACCACGTGCAAGAGCAGGTGGAGGAGTAGAGCCATCACTCTCCACCGGGTCTCGATGATCAGCGATGACGACCCGAGGAATACAGGTTTTGAGTTTCTGTATCCGAATGAGTCACTCCGCCCAACGCATGTGATTCCCGGACTTACTTGTGCATGTTTCACCAATGCAGCCTTCATCGTTTCTTCATCACCAAACTCGACATATGCCAAGCCTCTTTGTTGGCGGGTATGGTGGTTGATGGGTATCTTAATGAACGTAATCTGAAAACTGTTGTAAGTAACAACAATCTCGATCAGGACATGTAACATACGCCGGATTTTGCCTCTCCGAAGAAGTCCTTAATTTCAGCCTCTGTAACGGGAAGATCGGTGATCCTGTTCATGAAAAGAGTGAAGGGATTTCTTGGGGGACGGCGCGTCGTGGGAGTGCGACCCCCAGTGGAGCTCGCACCATCTCTTCCAGCACCAGGACTTGCTGCATCAGCAGCCGGTGCTGGAGAGGTTGTCGTGTCCGGTACGGAAGTGCTTGCGGCAGGCTTGGAGTCACTGACAGGGTTCGGAGTTGACGGTTTAGAGGTCGTCCCCACGCTCTTCTCCTTATCGGATAACTCTCTTTCCTTTTGACCCTCGGGCTTAGCAACCTTCTTTGTCTGCTGCGGTAGTTGTCCCTGAATGGGAGAGCCATTTACAGGCCGCGACTGAATCGGCGGATGCCTAACTGCGTGAACAGGTGACGAAGCGGAGCCAGCACCGGTGCCAGCTGGCAGAACCGGCACAGGTGAGGCGTGGGGTGCGGGCTGCGCTTTCAGTTGAGATGGGCCAGGTGCAGGCGACGAGGCAGAAACAACAGCATGTTGTACTGGTGCAGCGGAAGCGTTGGCTCCAGTGGCAGTGGTGGGTGCGTTTCGGCGATATGCGTAGTTGAAGCCCTGAGATTTCAGATCGGCGCTGATCCTGCCGTCCTTGATGTCGAGAACAAGGTTGCCGTACGCTGCGTCACAGAGATTCCAATGCCAGCAGTTCTTCCATGCAGGTTCCTCAGCGCCGGCGGCGCCACCCGGACCTGCGGCCGTTGTCGGCTGTGGAACACGCGCAACAACACTGAGTGCCTTCTCCAGAAGCTGGCGCTGATTTTCGTCGGCAGTTCCTTCCACCTGGACCTTGACGCTATCCCAGACCTTGTTGAAAGCTACTTGTCCAGACAGGATCTTTGTACGAAAGGCCTCCAGGTCAGATTGGACAGAAAACTCGTTATAGGAAGACGAGTATCGAAAATGCAGACCCCCGGAAACGAAAAGATCAGCTTTGAGAGCAAGACCGAGTTGGGCCAGGAGGCCTTCACGTCCGGGAGACGCATGGGTAATGAGCAAGCGAGTCTCGGTCGAGTCGTAGGTCTGATGCAGCTCGTTAGCATCAATTACATGATTATCGGGCGATAACTCACTCTCTGTGCGGTATCCACAAGCTCTCCGATCTGTAGCGCGGTTGTCCACATAGTACCCTGGCCACCGGCGATCGTCGCCCTGCCCTCTCCATTGTCAAACATTTTGTGCATGACAAGCGCACCGCCCAGACCAAACAGTCGCAGTTTCACTCCTCCGATATCCAGGCATCGCGTCGTGGCTTCATCAAGAATAGTCAAATTCTCGATGTCATACTCTCCGCTCCTGAACTTCTCGAGGATCTGCACATCCTCGCAAGCACCCCAAACGGTATACACCGGAACAGACAGGCGAAGCGTCCCGGACTGGAGCAGAGGGAACTCGCTGAGGAGGGGTGTAGAATGTGAAAAAATTGTATGGCGGATCGCATTGGGTACTGCATCATTGCCAAGTCGTGTCTGGCGGAGTTGCGGAGAGATGAGTGGCGAATAGAGAATGAGATGCCGAAGTGTGCTGCGAAGAAACGTTAGATATAACCCCAAAAGAAATACAGGGGCGCATGTATGCGATAGCATCTGATCTAAAAGAGGATAACATGGCGGGATATAACTTACCGGTCATTTATCCTCTCCAGGCTGTTATTGTCTGTGTTCCCGCAACGAGATGTCAGCGATGCGCCACCAGCTTGTTCACATTCTTTGCGTACCGAAGAAGCCAAAGTCTCCGGTGTGAATAACCGCTTTAGCCCCCGTCTCTTTCGCCAGATCATTGATGGCGCTTATCTTGCCGCGAATGTCTGCCAAGCAGAGAATACGACCCGCAGCAGAGTCGATGACCTTGACTTGAGTGTTGGCGGTTGAGGGTGGTGGACGCGGAGAAGGGGTTGGCTGAGCAGATGACATGGTTGACCAGTGAGTAAGAGGAATGACTGTAGCAAACTGCTGCGTGCTTTGTTATGAAGTATGCCGCTCAAGCAAACCGGTATGCAGGGCGTATTGATGAGGAAAAAAGGCCTCACGGGCGCGCGGTCGCTCTCGTCCAGTCGGAGTTTACGGGATTGTTTCCGTGCGGAGGCTCTTCTACTCTTGAAAGACCTGTTTTAGAAGTAAACTCCAAGTTATCGTGTACTACATCGCTCACTCATGATCAGCAGCTGATGCTGGGCATCTTTGTTAGTACAGGCTCTCTTGTAGTGACATGCTCTCTATCGTGGATTTGATAACAGTGAGGAGTTTGTCCTTCGTGGATGAGCGGAAATCTTAACCTATCACCACATAACCAGTCATAGTTTTGCACTAGACTATATGCCGAGAAATAGAAAGCACTAGTACTATTACGGAGTTCTCCTTAAACCACCATAACATGTCGGCACCCTCTCGGAAGAGGGTCGCGCGCGATACAGGCTTTCCTATCACCGGCCTAACAACACCTTGAAAAACTGATAATGCAAGTTGGTTCACTCGTAGTCCGCTGGCCCAGTCAAGATACCCAGATTTTCAGATGGATGAAAGCAGTGTTAGAATATCTTACGGTGTCGAAGCGAGCTGTATGCTGGCTCGCGCGAATATGATTCTGCAAGCCAATTGAAGGCTGTCCCACAGAAGGAACGCGCAGTCCCAATCAATGTACTGCTATGGATTGGAATGCCGGGCAGCTCGGTGGATCTAATCCTGTGGCAGTCAGACTGCTCGCTGCTTATGAACGAGGTGTTAGAAAAGTTGATCATCCTATATCTCCTCACTATTATAAACCGCGGTACCGCCCACTGGCAGAGAAGCTGTGCCCCTTTGCCCCTAGATTTTGCACCCAGTATCGCCACTACGGACCCCCACCGAACCCGACGTCAGTACCTCCAACTGTTCGCCAAGTCACGGGACGTCCCTGTCAGTCAGTCTTTGCACCTCCTCGATATCCCACGCAGAGCAGAAGCACATAAGTCGGTGTCGCCCTCCTGTTCACTTTCACTGCTTGCCTGTCGTCTCTGGATTCGGGTCGTCTAGCAAGCCTATATCCTAAGGTTTACGTCCATGTGTCAGGGATACGTACGCCTTCCGCCGGCACTGTTCACACGAGACCACCTTTGCTCTGGCAGCAACATAACGCCCCCATCGTCGAACGTGGTTTATCCCACGCATATACCCAATCCGAGTCTTCTCACAACCCTTTGCTGAAGGGGCTTGAGGGTTTCGTGTGCGATGCAGTCTTCCGCACACTCCAAAAGCCGTCTTCCCGAGAAGTCCACGTTTACAAGCCCACAATCGTCATCAAGCCCTGCAAATGCGAAGACTGGATCTACAACGTCAACCAAGGATGCACCTTCATCCTCTCATCTTCCCCAACAATTGCCTATTGCGACGCCATTGATCATCAACAACTCGACGCCATTATCGTTGTCGAAGATTGAATGGCCGAAAGATGCATTTGTCAAATGGAGGGTTCTTGAGTGGAAGGATGGGTTGGAGATCGCAGAGAAGGATAAAGAGGAATTAATTGAGAAGGCGAGGCGAAAGCTAGTTGATGAATGGAAAGACGGCGTACTCGATGGTTTGGTTGGATACACCCGCCGGGGTGCGGGTATCAACAATCCTGAATTGTGGATCTTTGAGGTTGGAGACATGCGAGATGGGGACGCACTATCTCAATTCTTCGTACCTGGGTTGTCAGGTGAGATTTTTTGAGGCGTCATTCTAAGCGTTTCTGACACGCCTTTTCGAGGCAAATCGGACGGGCATTTTCATCCCTCTTGGCTCTATCCATGTCCAAACTGCGTCGGACAGTCTCGTCCGTGTGTTAAGTGCAGTGGAGATACTGATACATCACCGACAGCAGCAATGCTTGTTCCTCGGGAAGAATTTCGCCGCCCTCTCTGGTTATTTTTTTTGTCAGTTCGCGAAAAGGCACTCGACCGCCTAGCACGATCAAGGGAAGGCTGCAGGTTAGGTGACGGTGTTGTGTTTGAATGCAGCGACAGAAGTTCTAAAGACCTCGACAATGGGTGGCTCTCCGACTACTCGTCATTGTAAGCCGATATTTGTCTCCTCCAACCTAGCATTGACATTCATTCAGATATCTCATGCAAGCAAATATCCACATTTGGATGACGTCGCGGTGTTTCTTCATCCAACCCTCGTTGCGCTCATCTTCTCTCCTCAACTTCCCCACGATCGAGCAAACGCAACCCCCTTCGATGACCGCCGTAACTTTGCTGCCATATGGATATCCAGCGTACTTCCTGTCACGATCTCAAACTACGGCATCGCCAACTGCACTTGATCCGTACTTTCAGGGTCTAGGCACTAGCACCTGGAGACTAAATGAGAGAGAGACGGCTTGGTTGGAATGTTGGATTCTGACACCCTCGACTGTCGCGAACGCTGACAGTGGGGTCTCGATCTTTTGGCCGGCATATCTCGTTGTTCAGGATCTTTCGCGGGACGCCCTCAATCTACAGCTATTGCCTGATTCTCTTCGTGCTATACTGCCTGAACAAACGATACCATCTACGCCCTGGAATCCCGCGTTGATATTGGCGACACATCTCCCCCGTTGCACCATCAATGGTGCTGCATATCAATTTTCGGTGGATGAAGAAGCAGGGAAGATGATGTCCGGCGATCATCCTGGTACTGCGAGGCCTTCAGCAGGAAAAGTCGCTTCAGAGATAGAATTAGTACTCGCCGATTCAGTCACTGCCTTCGACTTTACTCGCAGTGCGGTGGCTGCTAGGGATGCGGCACGGACCAGTAGACCCATCCTCGAGCAAGAAAGGAAGGATCGGGAAAATTACCGTTTTGAAGAGAATGATACATCAGTCAAGTACACTCCTGGTCAAACACTTACGATGGCATGTCGCCGTTGGGTGCTGACGGGTGACGATGCTGTCAATGAAGAAGAGCTCGGAGAATTCTCAACGGCCGAGGCGTCCTTGTCAGATGACCTGGATCCATACCTCGACGACACGATCATGGACGAAGCCGAAATGTCAACACCTCGAATCCGCTCTATTGATGAAAGCGGAGCAGGCACAAAATCCTCATCAGAAGAGCCCTCTGCTCACATCAACGCACCTGGCATAGTTGCAACCCCGCAAGACACGATCGGATCGCCTCGATCGGTGGGCTCCATATCATCGATGTCTCCTATGGCATTTCCCAGCTCATCTAACATCAAGTCACGGACCCACAACATAACGGCGCCCTTAACACCGGATGGCATTGATGATGACTCCGTCAGCGCAGGTCTCAAGACTCAGCAATCTGAAGGACCTGTTGTAGCCGCATCGTCTCCTTGGCAACCATCTGCGTCAAACGATTCCGCTGTGCTACCCGTGCCTTCGCTATTCAATCATGTCCCGTCCTTACTCTCCGCACCTATCGTTACCCATCCAAGGAGTGATATGTCGGGTGACGATGGCATGGATGGCCTCGGTCTGACAGAAGATGACTTCGCATTCTATGATGCGGCTCCCTCCAGACAGAAGCAACTGCTTGACGAGGGCGCTTTAGACGATGACATCGATATTTTCCATCCACCTCCAGACGGCCTGCCATCTCCACCGGACGAGCCGATACAACTCGATGACGTCGATCAAGTTCAACTCGAATCTCAATCAGCATTTTCATTCGAACACCCTGCAAGCGATGGTACACAGCCCGTAACAATCGAGTCTGCTTCCGTAGAGGAGGGGCAAATGTTCGAGACCTTTGCACCAGTTGACGGTGATCGAACACCAGTGGCGCCTCTTTCGTCCGTTATTGGAGCGAAAATGATATTTATCGATCCTTTCGAGCCGCTGGTGGACCACCAATCCAGGGATTCCGAATACACGTTGGGAAAGTTTGCGATGGACAAGTATGGCTTCCCTTTCATATGTGACGTCTCGCCGCGCCAGTCATGCTTCTTTACGTGGGACACGGTCGACAAGCCTTTGTTCGATCCCTATAGCAATCCTCACGTTGGACTCATCAGACATCGGCGAGGTACCAAACGGAGCAGATCAATGGCATTTGGTGACGAAAAGACCACAGATTGCCCTGCAAAACGTATCCGGTGTTCTTGGATCGACATAGAGGATGTGAAGAGAGCTGCAGAACAGAGAAGACAAGAAGAGCTTGCAATGGATGACCGATCGGATGCCACATTGGATGACGAAACTTTGGTCGTTCTTGACGAAGAGGAAGAGATCATCCCACAGAAGGAAGAGCCAGCGTCATGGCCGCCACAATTGTTATGGTCTCTTACTCTAATGATGGGTGTTTTTAATATTCCGGGTCTCACGCCGGCACTGTCTCCTCCAGCTGTGCAAATATCGTCGCCTTCGCCGCTGGCCGCCCTCACACCTGTCTCTCCAGCTGCATTCATCCAAATTCAGGACAACCTAAAAAAACAGGAAGATGCCGCTAACGTCAGGTGCGCTCAGGTGCTTGAGAATCCTGTTCTATTAGAGTGGATCCTCCAGTCAAGGATAATACGGTCAGATGAGGTCCGATGGACCACTCTATTCAATCTTGGGAGGCTCAAAAAGGCTATTGATGGTGCAATCTCCGCACCCAAACAGCTTGCGATAGGAGACTGCTTGAACAAGTCGGGTATGATTGGACTACTCGCTCGACGGACTGCAGTTCTGACATTGGTTTAGATTTACCTCAAACTGATCGCCCGACAGGAAGTAAAACGGGAACCGAACCATCCCTCGTCATCCTTGATCGAACGTCCCCCCTTGCAATCGGCTTGGATGGTGCTGTTGTGAATGTGACGTGGCCCGCCATTCGTTTCTGGGAGAAGTTGGCTCTGTGTCCTGTGAGCGGGCAAAAGGACGTCCTCGCTTTCGCATTCTATGACACATCCGCAAATCCTGCCAATCGCAAGGATAGCCTATTAAAAAAATGGCTATTGTCTATGGGTGAGATTTATGCGGTCAGTAATGACATTGGCTCTGTTTCGATTAGGCTGACGAATTACAGCACCTTGGTTATGGTCAGCATAAACTCGGAGAGTTGGATGAGCTGGGTATCAGGCATGGACTTCTTTCGGGGAAGCTAGGAGACTTGGAATCTCAACTGAGTGCGTGTGCCAATTGCGAAGATGATGTAAACCTCATTTCCATACAGGCGCTTTATCATCCGGCATCCCAACCGATGTCTGGCATATTGTTATTTATGTCTTTTGTGGTCCTCTTCAGTTGCTATCTCTCGAACAAGCATTGACAGGATGTTCTGATGCTCTTTCCTCTCGCATGGCGATACATCTCCTCCCCGACTCATCTTTGACTTACGTCTCTCGCACTTGCTTCTTTCGGCCCAACCCCTTACACCTCACAGCATTATCCGTATACAACCGCTTGCTACGTGTTGTCAAGCGAACAACTTTACGACAACTATATGGGGCCCAGCCAGCGGCGAAGCGAGTTTTCCAATACCCAGCCGTTACCGTTGCCCGTCCTGCTAACCCGAAGGTCGGCTTCAGCCTGGAGTGGCCACCCAAGAACGCAGACGTGCTGGATCCTGTACCATATCTTCATGTGGCGTATACGCATAGTTCGGAATGGCTGTTCGCGAGCTGCATTGACCAACTTGGCGAAGCATACACGCAGAGAGTCTGGTCGATGAAGCAGGGTGACAAGGCGGCATCTATCGAAGTGCTCGTTGCGAGGATCTGGTCATTTGCTTGGAAGTTCGCAAGACGCGCCAGAAAGGAATGGCAGATTGTTGTGGCGCGTTGGGGTGCTTGTCCTGTGGCAGAGGTTGAAGGTATGCAATGAGTGTCACTTCAGTCCAGAAGAATATCCTGACATCAAGACAGCATGGCAATCCCTGCTGAAGTTGTGCATCTCTTTACCTCTGAACATATCGTTCTCGCTTGTATGTATTGAATGTAGTCCATGGCAAGCAACCCTCCCTAACAAGGAGGACTGGCGTCGACCGCAAAACCCGGCCTCTCCAGAAGGTCATGGACACATGTTGGATGCGTCAGGAACAAACTATGGCGCGTGTCTGTGCGAACCTTTCGAGATCTCTTCTGTTCTGGCTTCCACAATTCAAGACTTATCCATTGCATCGACACCAACATATTGCGAGCTGTTCAATAATTCTGACCCACCAAAAGATTGGCTGCGACCGCTGTCTACAGCTTTACTACTACAAGCACCCGCGGATGGTTCTTTCACCCCCACATGCAGCTTGGATCGATATACTGTCACCATGACCGCTACACGCGTCCACCTGCTATATTATACCGCATCCAATTCCAACCTCCTATATAAATACCGGTCAAAATTCATGCTCGATCTTATTCGAAACTACCAAGAGTTGACTTTACTGTCCAGAGAGAAGTGGGGGACATCTGTTGGTGCCGGCATCCTCCCTTGGCATCTTGCTGCTGTTGTTCTCATGGAGCGGGTACTGTCGATTTCCTAAGCGTCATGCTGGCATCCTGATTCGCCTTCTCTTGGAGCCCGACTACCAGACTGGTCAAGAACGGCTCATGTACCCTCCTCATACCACGTTTGTCAAGCGAACAACCAGACCGCTGCCGGATCTTCCCTATTTGGAAGCGGTTGGCCCGACGTCGACCGTAGTGATGGGCTCAGAAGAGCGCGCATATCATCGTCGAGACCCTCCTACAAGGCCCCCTGTTGTATGATACTGTTCGCCCACGCCGCTTGTTATTTTGTTTCTACTTTATGTCTAAATCTCCTATGGGTGTGCATGATCAGCATTGTACTATTACCACCAAATGCATTGTATTGTACGATCTTCTCGAAATAGAAACAGGAAGGTTCAACTACAGGCTGTCGTCATTGCGCGCATACAACATCGCGAGCTCTTATTGGTGCTTCTTTTCCTGACTCACGCCCTTCGGCCCCTCCATTCGCATCGGGCTCTGAATACTGGCCACGGCACCAACTCCCACCATCACGAGAGGGAGAAAAATGACGAATGCGACCAGAAGCGCGGATACCAGGCCGGGGGTTAGGATTTGGTATTGGCTCAGGAAAGAAGCGCCTTGTGGCTGATTAGACGGAATCTGCATTGTGTCGTAGAAGGGAGCCGGAGGATGAGTGTTGACGTCCTCAACATCACGCCTGCTAAAGGATAGAGGGGGGGCAGGGCCTCCAGCAAGGAGCACGAGACGAGCGGGGAAGAGGGAGGCGAGTGACTCTAGCCGATCGGACAACAGAGACTCTGAATCAACCCGTCAGACAGGTTGCATACCAGAGACCTAAAGCGAGCGTACCACATTCCTGCATCTTTGTTCTCCGATCAGCGGAGGCACCCCTGATTGTCGGCAGTTCCATCTTAAACAAATACTTTGTGTCCGGTCTCAGGCTCCCCAAGTGCAAGCTGTCCCACTCATCCACCAAGACATGGCCGCACTTCTGGGTGATATTGGCGACCAGGGCATCGAATGAGAGGTCAGCAGAGAGCTTGAGACGAGGCGCTTGGAAGAGTGAGGTAGAGGAGCGCACTCTCCTTGACAGTTGGGATGAGGACGGGAGAAGGGAGAGGTCGGAAGCATGCAGCTACAAGAGTTATGTTGAACGAGTGAATTCGGAAACAAGCAGGAGCTCTCACCCCTCTTTGCTGGATCAAGATAATTCCTTCGTGCGAGCAGATATCGCTGGCAGAGAGAATCTGGAGTGCCTTGTTCCAATCTGTCACCGCAGACTCTGTCTGCAGATCGCTCAGTTGACAGGACCTGTTGGAGCACTTAGCAATGTAATAAAACTGAGTGAGAGACTACGCAGCATACGGTTCTGTGGACCAGGCAACCAGAGGGACGGTGTTTTTGAAAGCTATTGCACTCCCCCCGAAAGCCAATAACGCTGCCAGTAGTATTCTCGCCATATGTGTGAAGAAGATGTCAATACAAACGCGACTTGAAGCAGCGAGCACTGAGTCGTCATTCAAACGGACGCAATTTCATTCTAACTTTGGGCACACAGGCACGGCCCCCTGCAGACAGCTAACCTTGAAGGCTACATAGTCATCACTAGTGGGATTTTCTTCAATTCGGTTCATCTGACCGACTCCTCTCACACTTCACGATCGCACTAATTGACCCAAAAGTCAATCTTCACTTTCCCCATTGATAAAATGCCGCCCAAGAACAAGGGAAAGAAGGGCAAGAAGCAGGACGATGATGATTTCTGGTACGGTGGCCTGTCCGTTTTGTATGCGCTTAACTAATGCGACCTTCTCCTTCAGGGAGAAAGCTGGCGAGACCGTATCTTCGAATACGGTAGCTTCGCCTCCACGCCAGGATGAGGATGAGGAAGAGACACATGCTCCCGCCAAGGCAAGCGACAATTTCGCATTTGCCATGCTGGACGAAGGTGGAGAAAACGAAGATGAAGACTTTGGTGGTCTCATGGTATATCTAATTCATCTTAAACTCTCTCGGTATACTAAATCATTTCGATTAGTCTACCATCAAAGCCTCACAAGCCAAGTCGAAAAAGGACAAGAAAAAGAAGGGAAGGCCTGGTGTCTCGTTTGAAGATGGCGCTGGTCCGGAAGAGGGGGATGAAGCAGAGGAGGTAGCAGCGAAGGGTGACATATCCACAGCTAAGAAGCCGGTGGAAATGACTGCTGAGGAGCTGGCGGATGAGGAGTGGGGTGCTGCAAAGCCGAAGAAAGGCAAGAAGGACAAGAAAGGTACGCCAGTTGGGCTTCTAAACGTATTGAACGATTGACTTACGCCACGTAGGTGGCAAGGGGAGGGCCGCTCCTGTAGAGGAAGAGTTTGAAGAAGAAATCAAACCTGTAACGACGGTTGCCGCAGAGCCGGAAGTCCCCATGCAGGTCGTAGAAAAAACGGCTGATGAGCAAGCTGATGAAGAGTGGGGACCTCCAAAACCTAAGAAAGGCAAGAAGGACAAGAAGGGTTAGTGCAATGATCCGTGCATCGTGATGTGTGAGATAACCTCGCCCCAGGTCCTCAAGGCAAATCAACACTGGTCGCTGAAGGGGAAGAGACGAGCCCTACAGAAAACGCTGAGCCACCAATGTCCACACCTGCCAAAGCCGTTTCCGTACCAGCACCAACGATCGGGGAAGATGAAGAGGACGAGGAACCCGCAGGAGGGCGGGTGTTGTCCAAAAAGGAGAAAGAGAAGTTGAAGAAGGAGCGGGAGAAGGCTAAAAAGAAAGTGCAGGCTGAGGCGAAGAAAAAAGCTCTTTCTGCGGAGGAAGGCGTTCCGAGCACAAACACTGTTCCTGTTCCTCCCCCACCCGCAGACGCGAAGGATGAGGAGGACGAGGAGGACGAGGATGAAGCTGGCGGAGATAAGAAGAAGAAAGATAAAAAGAAAAAGAAAAAGAAGACCCCGGCGGAAGTGAAGGAGGAGGTGAAAGAGCCGCCGAAGAGAATGAACAAAGCACTTGCTGCTCTCAAGGCAGCTCAGGAGGCACAGCGCGCCGCCGAGGAGGAGGCCGCGAGGAAGGCTGAGGAGGAGCGGAAGTACGTGATGTGTGTTTCTGTTGACATTTCGACATTGACAGCGCTCTCAGACGTGCCGAGGACGAAGAAAGACGCCGTCAAGAGGAGGAACGACTTAAGGAGGAGGAAAAACGTAGGAAGAAGGAGAAGGAGAAGGCCAAGCGCGAGCAGTTGAAAAAGGAGGGCCGTTTGCTGACGCCGAAGCAGAAGGCAGAGAAGGCTGCTGCTGAGGCTCGGATGCGGGCCCTTGTTGCGTCGGGTGTACAGATTGCGGGACTGCAGGAGAAGACAGAGGATACTAAGTCGAGGAAGGTCGTATACGGCAAGTCCAAAAAGAAGACACCGAACGGAAAGGCGGGGCCGGGAGACGGTCATTCAGCTTCCCCTTCTACACCAGCCTCCGTCGCCCCAGAACTGCCGAGCGTGCAATCACCACAGTCGATTGTAACCACCGAACTGACACCAGAAATCACGGAGATCGCTGACGACAGCGTGAAAGATGACTGGGACGCATCAGAACCCGAAGAACTAGCCAAGCCCGAGGATGATGGGGTCAAGGAAGATTGGGACGCCCCTAGTGATGAGGAGCCTGAGTCAAAACCTGTACGGATTACCTCTCCTGCTATTCCGATTATTTCAGCAAGGGGTGCACCGATCAATGGCAAAGCTCCTGCCGAGAAGAACATTGACGAGATTGCTACGCCAGCAAAGGTTCGCACTGTTGAGAAATCTGCGCATGCGGCCAAAGCTCCAGTTCAACACCCCCCTGCTGAAGAAGAAGAAGAGTCGGAGGAATCTGAGGAAGAAGAAACCGATGAGGATTCAGATGAGGATGATTCGGATGAGGACCTAGAGGAATCGGACGAGGATGGAATGACGACTACGCAGCGCATTGCCGCGCGCCGCAAAGAAGAGGCCGCTCAACGGAGAAAAGAGCGCATGGAGGCTGCCCTCAAGGCACGCAGCAAAGACAACCTCCGTAGCCCCATTTGTTGTATCTTGGGCCATGTCGACACTGGAAAGACCAAGCTTCTTGATAAGATTCGCCAAACCAATGTCCAGGAGGGTGAGGCCGGCGGCATCACGCAACAGATTGGCGCCACCTACTTCCCGGTGGAAGCCATCAAGCAGAAAACTCTGGTTCTGAACAAGGACGGTAACTTCGATTACAAGATTCCCGGCCTCCTGATCATCGATACACCTGGACACGAGTCGTTCACTAATCTTCGTAGTCGAGGCAGCTCGCTCTGCAACATCGCAATTCTTGTCGTTGACATCATGGTATGCTGCCCTTTCAAGCGCATTGAGCAAAGTTTGACGATGTCCATAGCACGGGTTAGAACCCCAAACACTGGAGTCTCTTCGTTTACTTCGTGACCGTAAAACTCCATTCATCGTTGCTCTTAACAAGATCGACCGTTTGTATGGTTGGGTCGCCACACCCGATGGCGCCTTCCGGGAATCACTCGCGAAGCAAAAGCCGGCGGTACAGCGCGAGTTCGAGGATCGTGTGGAGAAGACAATCCTCGCGTTCTCTGAACAAGGTCTAAACTCCATCCTGTACTACGAGAACAAGAACTTCGCCAGGAACGTCTCACTTGTCCCGACCTCCGCTGTAACCGGTGAAGGGGTACCCGACATGATCCAACTCCTGGTCAATCTGACTCAACAGCGGATGAGCGACAGTCTCATGTATTTGTCCGAACTAGAATGCACGGTTCTTGAGGTGAAGGTCATTGAAGGCCTAGGCACTACGATCGATGTCATTCTGTCGAACGGTGTCCTGCACGAAGGAGACCGGATCGTTGTCTGTGGTCTTAACGGGCCCATAGTGACTAACATCCGTGCCTTGCTTACGCCACAGCCTCTCAGAGAGCTACGAATCAAGGTACAATCTAGTTCAGTTTATGCCTGGCAATGCTGACGTTCTCATAGGGCCAATACGTTCATCATAAAGAGATCAAAGCCGCAATGGGAGTGAAGATCACAGCTCCTGGTCTCGAGAATGCTATTGCTGGATCTAGGCTCCTCGTCGTAGGTCCGGATGATGATGAAGATGACCTCACAGAGGAGGTCATGACCGATCTTACAAGTCTACTAAGCAGCATCGACAAATCGGGCCGTGGCGTGTGCGTCCAAGCCAGTACTCTGGGTTCCTTGGAGGCGTTGCTTGACTTCCTCAAAGTCAGCAGGATCCCGGTGTCTGGTATCAATATCGGCCCTGTGCACAAGAAAGATATCATGCGCGCGGCGACGATGCTAGAGCGGCAGCGTGAGCTCGCCTGCATTCTTGCTTTCGACGTTCCTGTAGACAAGGATGCAGACAAGATGGCGGAAGAACTGGGCGTTCGTATCTTCAAGGCTGACATCATCTATCACCTCTTCGATGCCTTCACTGCGTACAATGCTGAGATGACCGAGGCAAGGCGTCGGGATGCTGCACCCCAAGCTATTTGGCCATGCCGTCTCAAGATTATTCAGGCGTTTGCTAAACGTGATCCAATCATCGTCGGCGTTGATATTTTGGATGGCTCGCTCCGAGTTGGAACTCCATTGTGTGTCGTCCACGTGGATAAGGACACAGGGAAAAGGGATATTGTTGATCTTGGGAAAGTCACATCACTCGAAATCAACCATAAGAGCATGGATGTACGTTGCATTGCATTTGTTTAAATTGTCTGGGCCCACAAGTTGACGTGTATCTAGGTGGTCAAGAAATCACAAGCGGGTGGAGGTGTCGCTGTCAAAATCGAGCATGCAGTCTATCAGTCTGCAAAGATGTTCGGAAGGCACTTCGATGACAAGGACGAACTCTTAAGTCACATCACTCGGCAGAGCATCGATGTGTTGAAGGAGACGTTCCGCGAGGACGTCTCGAAAGAGGAATGGCGCCTTGTCGTAGCACTCAAGTCGAGACTCGATATTACCTGAGACATCCATTGATTTACGCTAAGTTGACCTTGGTCACCTAGATTCAATATATCACCGCATGCTTGTAATCTCAATGTATCCATTTTTGCTGATGCTGTCATCACCGATAATCCCAATGGGTGAGACCGGACCGGAGGCATGTGCCGATGGCGATAAAGAGCCGCCACCTTACACAAAAGACTGATTCCCTCTCCTGTGTTTTCTACGACCGCTTGTTGCTCTCTGAAATATGCCTCGCCAGGTCGATACCGAAGGCACCGAGTCCATATCAAGCGACGAACTTCAGCTGGTGAATAGTGTCACCTTGGAGCCCCGCTGGGACGGTGATTCTCTGCAGGATGATCACGTTAGAATGTTCTGAAGGCATAATCTACTGGTAACGTAGCCTCTCTAGCGGAGTAACCGTCTGGGCTGCGGGTATCCAAGTCGGCGGACAGTCGCGTCTAGTCTCGCCCATTGGAGCTGCCCGTTCTGGTGCAGCGAAGATAGTGCAGACTAGAGCGATTCGATGCTTGATAGGATTGAGATTATACCGCTTGAACCTGATCAGTGTCCATACCTGCGGAGGGAAGCCCCCAGAGTTGCTCCAATTTCACCTCTCCCAAGGGAGAGGAGTTAGAACCCTGCTGACCTTGATTTTGTCTGATCCTTAGCAAAAGCTGGGTTACAAGCAGGTAGGTTGGCCCACCATTGTCCAATTCCCGCGATATCACGCATCTTATATTATTGTCCTCAGACCTTGCATCGATCCTGGCATTTTATTGAAAGTTTCGCGGCGAGCTTCGCGGCACTCGATTTTATCAACGGCGTTCGGTATGTTCTAACGTCCGTCTATCTAAAAAATCCGTGCTTATTCCGGATTCAGCGCCGTGTTTTTCCTCGGCATATATGCTGGTGGACCTGCTGCGATGTGGTCCTCTTACCTGATCACTTGCGTGTTCATGTGGATCACTGCAGCCGTTCTCGCCGAAATTTGCTCCGCCCTGCCTGTGAGCGGCTCGATCTACACATGGGCCGCTGAAAGTGCGGGTCCCAAGTATGCCCGCTTCTTTGGCTTTATTGTTGCGTTTTGGAGTTCGACTGCCTGGTCTACATTTGCAGCCAGCAATTGTCAAACAACGGCCAATTACATCGTGTCGCAACTCGCCGTCTGGGAGATCGATTTTCCCGGGGGTATCGACAACAATAATGTCAACTGGAGGGCGCTCATTTGGGCTATTTCGGAAGGGCTACTGATTCTTTCAGTTGCCATGAACTACCTACATCGTGCGTCCTTTTTATCAGACACTGTATCCTCCCACTGAATTCTACTGTTTAGCGAAGTGGTTCTCCTGGATCTTCAAATTCTCAGTGGCCTGGGCACTGTTCGACTTTCTTCTTATGGTTATCTGGCTACCCATTGGAGTTTCTAGAAGCTATGGCTTCAGGTCCGCTTCTGATGTATTCACCCTCTATTGTGCGTTATTAATGTTAAAGCCTTCTTACATGCTGACAGGAGCTGTAGTTAACGGCACAGGTGCGCCTGACGGCTGGAACTGGATTCTATCCTTCTATGTGGCGTCTGGAACGCTGGTTGGGTTTGATGCGTCTGGCCATATCGCCGAAGAGACAAAGAATGCTAGTATCACATCGGCCCGCGGTATTTTCTGGAGCGCAATAGCAACTGGAATACTAGGATTCCTGACCACCATCCTTTTTCTCTTCTGCACGCCAGACTTTGACACGTTGTTCGCACTGGGCGCCCCTCAACCTTTCGTTCAGATCTTCGCGCTCGCCTTTGGTCCTGGCGCCAGTATATTTCCGACGATCGTGGCAACCATCGGCTTAATTTTGAACACGACATGTGCGATCGTGGCTTCTAGTCGTCTTATCTTCGCCATTGCCCGTGACGGAGTGTTGCCTGGTTCCGATTGGCTCGGTAAAGTTGATGAAAATGGCCAGCCCAAGAATGCCGTCACTTTCATCTTTATATTTGCCGCTCTCCTTTTGTGTACCATTCTTCCTAGCAACGTCGCCTTTACATCGCTCGTCTCCGCCGCAGGCATACCAACTGTGGCGGCATACGGCTTGATTGCCGCTTTGCGCCTATTCTTGACACCAAACGATTTTAAGATAAGCAAATTCAATCTCGGTCGATGGGCCAAGCCTTTCTACATATGCGCCATTTTCTTCAATGCCATTGTTTTCGCTGTATGTGGCAATCATGCTTTCTCTACGAGTTGAAAATCTTATCACGTAATTTCAGACCAATTGTTCGCCCTTCTTCTTTCCAGTGACGGACACATCGGAGATCAACTACGTAAGTTTGTGCCTCCACGATATGGTCGTCTTAATAATGCTCACCGAGTTCTAGTCACCAATCATATTTGGTGCTATTACCCTCCTTGCACTTTCAGCATGGTGGGTAACGCCGGCGGATAAATGGTACAGCCGCTCTCAAGCTACCCAGTTATTCGAGAGCGCGGACGGTGAAGACGTTATGCCGAAGGCTCAAGGCATTAACTGAAGCCTAACTCATTGATCTTGAATATCGAACGTGATATTGACAATGGATGAATGGATCGATGGTTGGAATATCTGCAAATGCTATGAAAGACTGCGTTGACAAGCCCCTTCCACGTCTGCAATCTCCTTCGGCGCATTGGCCGAAAGGACGACGCTGTGATCCGACTGGATAAGGACGCAATCCTATCCACTCAGTCAATTCACGCCTCTCCAATGCTGGACAATAAGTGCCGCACCTCTATCCGTATGCCCATGTTGTGGAAATATCTCGGAATGCGGTCAAAGGGAGGGACATAGACCCCAGGTTCGACTGCATTCGATCAGAAAGATACAGACAGGGAAATAAGCAATTTACCAGTGATGACCATTCCCGACCTTAATGCCTTAGTACGGTCAATAGTCCCAGACTCATGTAAGTCTAAGGAGATGTTAGCACCAATTCTGGATAAGTCAGGTTGCAATCCCCACCAATGCCAATCGGGTGACTCAAAAAATGCGGATACAACACTTGCTCCACATCCCCCAACTTCAGCTTAAACCCCAGCTGCGTCAGCTCTACTCGGAGCAATTCACAGCTCCTTCGATGCAAATCATTCAACGACATCTCCGTGCTTTCTGTGCAGAGTTCGATGCAGGCTTTCTCGACGTTGAGAACAGCCTGGTAAAGGTCGCGTTGAGGTTCAGTAAATCTTCCCGTGACGGGCCAGGTACGCGCTAGAATGCATGAGTGCAGGCATGGGTACACAAGGACTTCGATGTACTGATGTCACTCGCATAACCGTTATACTCCGCTCCAGCATCCATGAGAACCAACTCGCCAGGTTGGAGTGTACAATCATTATTGACGTAGTGTATTATTCTTGCGTTAGCGCTGAACATCAATTTAAGTACGAGCACATCCGACTTCGACGAGACTCACCCAGATGCTACAACAGGAACATAGGCCGGACGTTGTGCGCCGTGCAATGCACACTGATACTCGAGATGTGCGGCAAGCTGCGCCTCGGTTTGTGCCTCGGCAGTGAATGCCATGGTCTGAGGGATATGTGAGCCATCCCTTCAAACTATCCATAGCAAATGTGGCACCTTGGCATGCGCCCTCCCACTGATCTCTCCAGCCTTGCGCATGATTCTTTGCTCGGCCACGCTCTTGTACGCCCTCATCCGTCCCACCTCGGTGCCAAGCTCCTTCACTCTTCCTTTAGCAGCGCTCAATATACCGTCATATTCTGCCTTGGCCCCTTTGGTGAGGAAGTCAAATAGCCCCTTCTTGCTCCTTCCTCTGGGGGACATGCTGCTGTCGACGTAAATGTTCTCGCATTTCGAGTCTGTGAGCAGAGAGCGTAGTATGGTGGGAAGGGAATCCATTGGATGCGCCGAGTCGGCACCAAAAAGGGCAATGGCAGCGTCAACGCCGGTACTGACAAAAATCAGTTTGCAAAAGGAGGCAGATGCAAAGCATACCATGCGCCTTCCCAGAGTTCGTGTTGCTTGTCTTTTGGCCGCAAGAAGAGAGTCATGCGATACCCTTTCGAATCTGATCGTTTCTCTTCACAGCCAATGAGCACGCACACACATCGGATCCAATTGAGTGTTCTCACCGAGAACAACCGCGGATTCTGGCTCTGCGAAGCCAGTGAGGTACCAAAAATCCGATGCTTGTCTGAATTTGTAACTATTTAAAGGAAGTCAGATTGAGACAGACGAGAGCATCTTTGCAGGAGCTTACAAGATGCTCTGACTCATGTACTTGATCTTCCCACTGAGTGCGATGACCACACTATGGTCTGGCAAGGAATCCATGAGAGCCTTGCGTCGAGTATGATACTCTGCTGCTGTTATCCCTGGAGTAATCTCTCCGTTGGCCAACAAATGAGGATGCGTGTCGGGCATCGGCTGGCCATAAAGAGGTGGCTTAACGCATACAGGTAGGTCGACGGCGGTTGCGAGGCCCCGGACATGCTTGGAAGCTGCACCATGAGGAGATAGTCGGGACGTGGCAAGCCTGAAAGGGGACGATGTACAGCGACAAGTGGCAATAGTATAGACAAGAGATGCGCGGGCGGTGGCCGCCATGGATGCTGCCACGAAGTGACCAGTGAATGAGAGTTGACCAAGAGGGGATTGAGACTGCTCACGTGAGATGAATAACGCGAACCCCAGGGAGCGCGTGATCGGCTGAGACTGACGTTTCACAGCAGGGACCAGTCAACGTCGCTTCATTACAGTGGGCCTCCCTCGGGGCAACCATAACACTGTTCTGTCCTCATTTTTAGAAGAAGAAAAAATCTTATTTAATGTCGCAAGAGTCACAACCCAGAACATCCAACTCGATTGAAGGATATGCACGGTCTGGCATTAATGCTGCTAGCGTCGGCGTTAGCTTAGGATTTGGGGCAGCGACGACGGGCACGAAGATCGGGGTGCGTCTGTTTCTTAGAACAGTCTCATGGAATGTGCTCACTCTTGTCTCGCAAGTTTGGCATTGCTCGAGGTATAACTACTGCAGCTGTCAACATCGGTTCAGCCCTCTTTGAATATGCCTGGGGCACAGACGTCAACACAGCTGCAACGCTCAATAGCGCTATCGTCCATGGTCTTCGCTTCGCCGAGACGCTCGTGCTCACCCCAATGCAAATCGGCGAGTCCATCGCGTCCTCTTCTCTCGTTGCAGCCTCTAGTACACTGGATGCGCTTGCAAAACTGCTGGGTGGTGAGGAGCCGTCCTTTACATTGGGTGCATTTGTGCAACTCGTCAGAAGAGAGTGGAATGATCCCGTCTTGGCCGAATACTTGCCGGCGAAGAAATTCTCACTGTGGGACACGACGCGGGCTCTCATCGCTTGGGCAAGCCTGCAAGCCGTAACGTGGGACTTCGCCCAACGTCGAATGCTCGCCGCGCTCACAATTGTGCCCCACGTACAATGGGCGGCACCTCTACCATCAGCGGGCGACCCCACCACCACGTTGAAGGACGTGCACGTCACTTCTAGTGTTCATTTCTCGGATAAGTCAGGAGAACTCATGACGGCCGAGTTTGGAGAAGCATCTGCGCCCACTACCACTACAGGTCCACTAACCGGGATTGATCCAACGGGACATCTTTCCCAGATGGAGTACCCCCTTCTGCGCGCTAATCTCCGGCGCTGCTCCAAGCTCTGCTTGGGATCCTACGGCGGAGCAGGAATGATTTTCTTCGGAATCCCCATGCCTGCCTCGGCTCCAACACCACCCACTTCTGGGACAGCTGTCAAAGCCACTTCCGCGAATCCAAATGACCCTACCATTCTCGTCGGAGTCGTTCAAGAATCGGAATCGGAGGCGCGTGTGACCCCTGCAGTACGAGCGGACCAAAAACGGTTCTGGGATATCGTATGGGGAAAACACGACACAGAGATCTTTGAGAGCTTTGCATTCAAGCATGATAATACAGAGATGCACGAGCAAACAGGAACTGCAACAGTAGGAGGGGAGGGGTATTTGCCGAGGTTCTGGATATTAACCGACCATGGGAGGAGACAGGTCGTCCTAGTTCTGAGAGGTGGGCTTGGCGGGGAGAATGGGCTTCATGAATATGTTCTGAACCGTCCCATAGGAACGATGTCGTTTAAGGAACTGGCTATTGATCTCACCTGTGAAGCAATCGACTTTATGATCGGGCATTCTTTTAGTGATGGTCTTGGGCCAGAGTCTCAACCCGGTCATGCCGAGCCCTCACAGAACAGCATACACAAGGTCCATAGCGGGATATGGAGGATTGCACAGGAGATGGGAGATGTCGGGCGGCCAGTGACCAGAGCGGTCGCTGCAGCGCTGAAGAATAATAGAGGCTATAGTGAGAAGACCCAATTTCCGGACAGTGGCATTTGGAAAACTAATGTCCTGCTAACATAGACCTTGTACTATGCGGTCACTCTCTTGGTGCTGGTATCGCCGCTCTACTCGCTCTGGTAAGCCATCTTCAACGACATGGAAAGCATATCTGATGCGATCATCAGATGTGGGCAGACCCTCTGACCTGCGCCACCATACCGTCTTCCGGTCTACCAGCAGACCGACGAGTGTCCGCATACTGTTTTGCACCACCCTGCGTCACATCCCCGCAACTGTCAAAACTCTGCTCGTCGCTCGTTGTCTCTTTCGTCTTCGGACAGGATCTAGTCGCGCGGTTGTCCCTTGGCTCTGTTCGAGATCTCGTACGCTGCGCTTGGTGGCTCTCCTATGGGACAAACGATCCGTCCGAGAGCTGCGCTAGCATCATGACGAGAATTGCCTCTTTCCAGTCCGGCGGCGGCACACGAGAAGAAAGAGAGGATATTTCGCAACAAGTATGCCTTTATTTAAGAGACGGTTTGAGCACGGTACTCACATCAGAGGTACAGTTTATCGCACTGCGCAAGACGCTGGAGGCAAACATGCACATGGCAGACCTTTTCCCAACGGGCAGAGTGTTGCTCGCTTTACGGAAGGGCGATCTCCCATCTGATTACCAGGCGGAAACGCACGTGGAAGACCTACAAGTGTTTGAAGTGAATGACGTCGAAGTTGTCTTCGGCCAGATTACTTTTGCAAGAGACATGCTGAGGTAGGCTGCTTGTCAATCGATCAAAATCCAATGATCAACCTCTCGCAGCTGCCATCTGCCCCATCATTACGATCATATATTACACGAATTCTTGTGATCGATGTACACGGAAGGATAGGAACACATTATACCCTACATGTATTGTTAGGATCATATCCCACTATGTCACAACCACGCACAAGCAGTAGGAAAGCGCTGTAGTGACACTAATCTTGAATGGAGTCCCTCGGTCGATAGTTGATACCCCTTTCCACCAGCTCGTCTTCCACTTCATGTGGTATGCGCCCACTGACGCGAATAGCATACACGCCTTTGACGTACTTTTCTGTGCCACTTGTGTGTCAAACTCGGACTGAAATCAGAGAATAATATGCAAACGTACCTGTCCGCTGCCAACGTGCCACCCAGCTTTCATCAGGGTTAATCATTGCTATGATCCCATCGAATGCAGTTGTGGTGCATTCAGATACTTTGTCGACATTCCCCCTGAGCTAAAATTATGTTACTGGTCTGACATGTGAATGAAGGATTAACACGAACGCCGAGTAACTCTTCACAGTTCGGGCATCCGGATTTGCGGAATTCAGCCGCTGTCTGTACAATGCTGCAGAGAAGACAAGCACGCAAGCCTCTAGCTTTACCAGCAGCAGGGACATGACCGACTTGTTCTTGTTCCATGATGAAACGAGTGGCCGTTCAGGTGAGCAAAACGTTATAACGGCACAGGTGGGGCCAGTGGCGAAAATCAAAATCACGTGCCCCTCCAATATAGGTTAGCGCCCTGTTGCCGATGCCGAGTAGCGGTAGTGCCTGAACACATTCCAGAGTGAACGGTCTCCTCTCCTCTGTCTTGGTCTTAGCAATATGTCCAGCAAATCAAAAGCACCGACAAGCAACCATCTCATTGCAGGGGCAGCTTCCGGCTTCACCTCGGCAATTGCCCTCCAACCCTTCGACCTGATGAAGACACGGCTGCAGCAGATTGATAGTCGGTCCACAGGGATGGGAGGTAAGCAGCCCCACTTCTGGGTTTCTTTATAGACCACTGAAAGATTGCAAGAGTTGACAGACTAGTCGGTATTGCACGCAGCATAGTAGATGCGCATGGCTGGCGAGGTTTATGGAGAGGCACCAACGCAACACTATTACGGCTCGTTCACTCTAATGTTCATCAAAGCAGCCTCCTGACACCGCTGACAGAAATGTACCCGGTGTTGCCGTATATCTCTATGGCCTCCAGGGGATTCGATCACATATGACCAAGATGCCTCAGTTTCGCGCGCCCGTCACAGCGGTCCAGAATTCCGTAACCACTGTACTGCCTAAGCTATCCAGAGAAGGTGATTTATTTGCAGGTTCGGCCAGTTGAGACTCAGTGTGCTCCTCTCATTGATGCTGATGATGTACAAGGTGCCATTGCTCGCGTTACGGTGGGCTTTCTTTTGAATCCTTTTACTGTTGTGAAAGCACGGTTCGAGGCATGTTCTGCCACTTCTCACAAGAATACCATTAATGTCCTCCCAGAGCGATTTGTTCAACTACAAAACAATGGGTGAAGCATTCCGAGGCATTCTCCGGAAGCAGGGAGCCGTCGGACTCCTTTCAGGTTGGACGCCCTCAGCAATACGAGATGCCCCGTATGCGGGCATCTTCCTCCTCTTCTATGAGCAGATCAAGGACAGTACGGGTAAGCTATTTTCTGCAGAGCACCTTGCTGGCTTATGTTCTATCTGCTAGAACGTGCTGTAACAAGATCACATAAGCAACCGTTTCCGGGTCTTATTCACAGCTTTTCTGCTGCAACGGCAGCTGCGATAGCTTCCTGCATCACCCATCCGTTTGACGTCGTCAAAGTCCGTGCGATCATTGAACGCTGTGAATCCAGCTCATGGATATTTGGCACAGACTAAAATGCAGCTGAGACCAGAGCGATACACGTCATTGACCAACGCAATTTGGATCGTTCTAAAAGTATGGACGATGTCAGAGAAAAAAAACGAGTAAGCTGAGTCGTATTTCTAGGAAAAGACATTTTTCAACGGACTGGCACTTCGCATGTCCCGCAAGGTGCTGAGCTCTGCGTTGACGTGGACTGTATATGAAGGGGTGCTATTATTGTTGCGAGATAGACAAGCCGCCCTGTAAGCATTGACGGGAGGTGAGCACGTGCATTACCTCTGTCAATGGCGGGAGCAGAGCCATGTGGTGGAAGAGGGAAGGAGCGACGAGGCATTATCCAAGCAGCACTGGGACGTTGATCTCAGTAAAATATCTCCCCTTAATATTTTTTTCTTCATGTCGCGCGACCTCCGATCTACTTTATAGTCTTGCCTCCCCCAATCCAGTCTTCGATGCCACAAGACGTGCATTCCAAGCGCGATGTATTCGACGCCACTTATGCGGGCTCCATAACTCGACCACTTCTTCCACCCCTGCGATCTGACTCGCGCACGAAAAGGAATCCGCCAAGGTCCCTGCGAGATTATCAAGGCTCTGAAACAGAGCATGAGCGAAAAGCGCGGCTGCGAGCATTGTGGCTTAGCCTGCCCCAAAATGTCACCGACCACAATCCGAAGGTCGACACACAGGAAGGCCATTCTGCTGCTTATCAGCCATTAACGAAAGAACGAGCTCAACGGCTCCGAGACCTATATGAAAGCGAGCTAGCGCGGGAATGTAATGGACATCAGTGGCTCTTTCAGGGTGCTGTTGTTGATTGGGAGGGCTTCTTGAAATACGCAGAGTCGAAAGAGGAAGGTGTGCCTAGTCTCTGACACATTAATACGGGTCTTTAACGGTTGCCAGAACTATGGAAGGTATTCCACAATGACCTTGATCTTGATGGCAATGGAATGCTTGATGCAACGGAGCTGCAGCATGCCTTGACCAGTGCTGGTCAGGGTTTCAATGTTCTATCTTACATGGAATACTTAGAACAAGTTCAGGTATCGAGCTCGATTCGAAAACACTTGCAGACTTCATGGCTTTTTTGACTTCTTCAACCCACTCTCGTCCGATTAGTTTCCCTGAGTTTCGCGATTTCCTTCTCCTCCTTCCACGTACGCCCTCTGTCAGCGAGATCTTTCAGTATTATGAAGTTTGCAAATATCTGGGCGACGATGGCCGTGGCTCCGCTCGAGTCAACATGGAAGGTAGGTTTGATCAACATCTCTGCTTCAATATGAATTTACGGTGTGCCTAGGCGATGTGAGCCTGAGTGCCGAGGATAGACCTCCAGCAAAGCATCATGGGCGCATTGCCCAAGGCCCCATAGAGTCAGGCACTGGATCTGAAGCATCCCCGCCAATTTCACGCGATATGGAACCAACCGATGGCCAGATTTCCGTCTCCGACGTCATTGGCGAGGGTGAGGAGGAAGAAGAGGAGCACGAGACGTGGCTAGGAGGAAGTATGGCACTGAAATTTCTATTCGCTGGAGGCGTCGCTGGTGCAGGAATGTTCCAAACCTCTTGATTTCTGGTCCACTTTTTCTAACCCGCATGAGCAGTGAGCCGTACTTGCACTGCACCCTTCGACAGGCTTAAAATCTATCTCATCACTCGAAAGGTTGACAACGTAGGAAGTTGGATGATACCCACCCGTTCCCATGGTGTGACGGTGATTGCCAACGCAATGCGAGGTATCTACTTGGAAAGCGGGCTGTTAGGTTTCTGGGTGGGTCAAGGTGTGCATGCTTTTCCAAAGGTCTGATGTTTCCCAGATTGGAAATGGACTGAATGTTGTCAAAATTTTCCCTGTACTGATGCATTCCAAGGGATATGACCACCTCTCATGTCATTTTTGTAGGAATCCGCCATCAAATTCCTTAGTTACGAGGCCTCGGTAAATCCGAATTACGCGACATAACTCCTTGTCCCTCACATATGTTGCTTCTTCAGAAACGGATGTTTGCCCGGTACTGGGATCATGTGGATGATTCGCGAGATATCAGTGGCATCAGTCGCTTCATGGCAGGTGGCATCGGTGGTATCACCAGCCAGCTAGGTCCGTACCTTTGAACTCTGAACGAGCCAGGCTGACCATGCCCAAACAGCAATATATCCCATTGAAACTGTCAAAGTGAGAACTGATATATTACTGGTGACACTCGTCTGAATTTATTGCATCAGACTCAACTGCAGAGCACGTCCGGTGGTCAAATAAGAACAATGCTCGCACCGACCATGAGACGGATGTGGGCAGATGGAGGTGTTCGAGCTTACTATCGAGGCCTGGCTGTATGTTAATCTGTGGAGCGGCTCCTCTCGCGGTTAACGAGGAACATTCAGGCGGGCTTGATTGGTGTATTCCCATACTCAGGTGTGTGCACTTCATTGGGACGTGTCGTCTGTTTTATCTTGCCTGCATTTTCTAAGCGATCGACATGAGCACGTTCGAAGCTCTTAAGCTCGCATATATCAAGGCATCCGGAAAGGAAGAACCAGGGGTCTTAGCTCTGTTGGCTTTTGGCAGCGTATCTGGATCTGTCGGAGCAACAAGTGTTTATCCCATCAATCTTGTGCGTACTCGGCTGCAGGCAAGTGGATCTTCTGGACACCCTCAACGTTACACCGGTGTGTGGGATGTGGCACAGAAGACATATGCAGAGGAAGGGTGGCGAGGCTTCTATCGGGGCTTAGCTCCAACCCTGGCGAAGGTCAGTTGTGAAAAGCGGCAGACTCTACAACCGCTGATGCTGTTTATTACAAAGGTTATACCTGCAGTGTCAATCTCGTATGTAGTATATGAACATACCAAAAGAAGGTGCGGCCATCTTCAAGCTCCAAAACTGCACACGAAGCTTACAATTCTACCAGACTTGGGGTTTAAAGAGAGGGCAATGTATTTATATCTACACATTAGAATTGGGTCGGGTAACGAGTTGGAAGGCAATTCATATAACCCAACGAACTAGCTGTCAAAGTCGTCAGCAACTTGAACGGAGTTCCGAGATGTGAAGCACATAAAAAGAGAGACTCATATTAGATCAAGTAATGGATGCATGGAGAACCGTTCGCCGCACTAACGCAGCGTTATTCACGGCTTTCTCATCAAATGATACGGCGTAATCATTCGGAACAAATAAAACTTATGATGATGCTCTTACCGATGCAGTTCACGCGCATATTCCTACGAGAAAGGTGCGATGAATCATGTAACAAAGAGCATTGCCCTTAAAAAATAAGCCCAACTCGGCGAGGGCTTTTTATGGTCCCGATTTGCTTTGGGGACCACACAAGATAGGTTTCGTTTTCGAAGTGGGTATCCCGTCGGAGTTGGTATGCTCAAGTATTTGCTCAACGGGAGGTTCCTGCGTGAGGGTGGAACTCGAAGTTGTAGGTGTGACTGTGCGCAGATCGTCCCGACGTGGGGACCATGCCATTGCAGGACCCGTTGCCCGAGATGCAAACGCTTTTTTTCTTGCCTCGACTATATTTTCGGCTTGACTTTTGGCTTTCCGCTCTCGTTGTCGGTCAATGAGACCAAAGATCGAGCGCTCACATAATGTATAAAGGCCGGAAGTAAACCAGTATAACACAACGGCCTGGGCAAAGTGAGCAAGGCCATCAGGTGAAGAATGGTGATATGGCTAACCCCAGGCATATTCAGGGCCACAGGAATTGCTACTATAGCGAGGGAGCGCATACCGAACGTCAGGAAGATACGGCGGTTCGTCCACAATAACGAACGAAGATTCTTCATTTCCAGCCTTTTGGGGTGGATCGTTGCAGGACCTGGTCGTCCTAACTCAATATTGGCCAGCGTTATCAACCCAACTGCAATTGGCATGACACCAGTCGCATCGACGCTGGCCAGTGACCCAAACGTCAAGAAGGATTCGGAAACAAGGGGAGTCGGAGGTGTTGCTGCTGCACGTAGCCACAATGTAAGAGCCAAAAATAACGGTACATTTACGACAGCAGGCAGCACGATGGTTGCAAGAGGACTGGTCCCGTGCTTCTTCATGAGCCCCTTGCGCTTTGCCGTCATCTGGAGTGTGCTTGATTAGCCATTGTAATCAAGCAAGTCACGCAATACATACTTCAGTAGACATCGCCGCTTTGAATGCTTCCCTTGTTCCTCCATGCCTCAATATTTCTTTGCTCAAGCGTTCCCGTAGCAATGATGCTTCTTTCGACAATTCCGGCTGCACGAACGTCTCCAGCCGGCGAGCTCTCCTCCGGGACTGTGGATTTATGAGTTCCACGGCGCCGCGAATTTCGGCGCGAATGATAGGAACACACCCATAGAACGAATGGCAGAGAAACAGTGGTTTTTGCCACAGTAGTACCAAGAATGATAGTGGTAGCATATGCCGGCCATCCAATGGGTAAGGGCAACGAATTGGCCAGGGCTATGAATGCTTCTGAGAATGGTTGTGCAGTGTCTATGAAGCCTCTACGCGGCGTCCAATAGCGGTGAGGATGACTACAACATCGGATGCCTTTCGACAGTGGGCCGCTGAAGAGCGCTAGCATGTGTACAAGTTGAAGGTTTACAGTCGATTTTACACACCCTTCGAATGGGAGAAGGGGTCTAAGGAACAGCCACCTTGTTGGATCGAATTGCAAATTTGGCCACTCAATACTCAACGCATCTGTGAGATGCAGATGATCAAAGGCATAAATCATACGACTAGAGATTGCCTATGATACTCAGAAAACCATCTCATGAGCGTATTGACCCTTTTGAAGACCCCATGACGCCTTCAGATACTTTTCCAAGTGGGCCGTCTTCCTCACCTCTGCTAGAAGGGCAGTATCTAACTCCTTCTGTTCAATCACCTTCTCCTCTGGGTATGCCTCCCTGGCCTTTGGCTTCCCTTCGGAAAAGAATTCTTCCTCTGCGGACAACGACTTAGTGCCCTTGGCCTTGGAGAAGTACGCATCGGTTAGCTTCTCCGAAATCTGGATAATTAATGAGCATACATCTCTTAACGCTGCCTCTTTTCATGCGCACCTGGATACCAGATATGTCCACCTTGGTCGAAGTAGCAATGGCATACGCTTGATTGACTCTCCGCAAGGGAACACCGTTGACTTTGTAGGGGCCGGTGACGAGCAGCAGGCCGGACTCGAGCTGCTTCAGGAAAACGACACGCTTCCCTCTGAAACGACCGGCGAGGAGGATGAGAATAGTGCCCGGGGTGATCTTGGGGCGAAGGGCGGTAGGCTTAGCGATCTTGCGCGTTTTCTTTGGCTGACGAACGTCCTCAGCAGGGTAGAAGCGAGGGGCTTTCTTGGTCGGCACTAAGCGCGTCTGGCCGTTCTTCTCCCCGCCAACTTTGACCTCTTTATGTTCTGACATCTAGAGCTTACTGGTCAGTCAAACGATTCTTCTCAAGAGGCGCCCAGACGAGGACATCCAGTGCTCCGCCCACGCATCCAGCCTTCCCAATTGTCGGTTGGTCACGCCACCTCACTATCCTGCTTCCACCACACTCCAGGACATGCCCCCTCGCTGATCAAGGAATAATGTACTCACCGTTGGATACCTTGCGTTCGTAAAGCTTGGTAGGTGTCGAAGACCAGGGACAAACCAGTTGAGGAGACGTTCTCCTCTCGCCATAACACTGCCACTAAGAAAGATTACTTCCGGCTTCACCCTTGTATGTGGAAAAACATCGGCAAATCAACTGACATATTGTTGTCCCTTGCAACTGATTCACTCCTCATGTCTGTGCATGCGTTAATATTGTTGGGGACATGCCTACAATACAGAAGGAATATCATCTACCCTCTATCATGGCGGGGTCATGATGTGAAGTGCTTCGTAATCCGAAAACTTATACGATCGGGGTGAACAAAATAAATACTTAGTCTGGCAGCTGGCGGATCGGATACTACACACAGGCGGGGGAACGAGGATGTCGGCAAACTGGCAGATTCTGGGCGGTGCCGATAAGGTCATGTGCTGTGAACGCGAACCTCGTTGACCTCACATTCGTCGCCGAGTTGAGCGATCAAAATGCTCCGAAGTTCGTTCTTCAGGTTTTGCATGAGTTCAGGCTTATCGAAAAGATGTTCCAATAATGAATCGAAGATGGGGAATCTGCGGAGGTTGAAGGGTGAGCATCTAAAAGCCATTCTTTTGGAAGGAAATATAACCTATCAAGATCTCGGAGAAGATATTCAACAGCGTCGTCCTCAGAGCGGTCTGGCAATCCACGTCGCTCATCCTCTTTCAGCTTATGCAGGACTTTCACCTGTACACTTGCAAGGAATTCAACCTTCTGTACTGTCTTGTCCTGTGTTTTCTCAGGTATAAGTGATGCAGTGAGTTATTTTCTGAAAACTTACATCGGCGTTGAGGGTGGCAGAAAGCTCTTCCCGGATACGATCAAACTGTGTGCGTTTGTAGCTAGAAGGCGAGCATTATCAGGATGGCGTGCGATAGTGATACACGAGAGTACACGAACGCCTCCACAAGAGGTCTTGCATTTTCTCTTGTCTGCTGCTTGGATGAAGGTCCCATAATCACTGTGGCATATTCGTACCCAAATGAACAAACGGGAAGTTTGGGTGATCCCTGATGCGCACACTGCCTCCGCGCCCAACAAGCACATCGGTATCTTCTCCACGTCCACGTCCTCACTTTACCTCTTGCCCCTCAGTCATGGTCGAAGCAACAGCCCAGTCCTTAACTGGCAACGATTTTCCTCCGCTGAAAAATGATCTCATACTGCGTGCCGCTCGAGGTTCGATCTTTCCTCGTAGATATCAGAACCAATAGCTCAGTTATTCAACCTGACACCAGGCGAGCGCACGGAGCGTGCACCTGTGTGGGTCATGCGCCAAGCGGGACGCTACCTTCCTGGTACGAGTTAGCATCTCAGCAGACAGACTATCAGTCACTCAATCAAGACAGAATTCCGCAAAGTGCGTGAGAAGCACGCTTTCTTCGACATTTGTCAAACACCAGCTCTTGCAACCGAAATCACTCTCCAGCCAATACGTCGATACGCAGGATTACTAGATGCTGCTATCATTTTTAGCGACATTCTCGTCATTCCTCAAGCGATGGGCATGATCGTAGAAATGCCAGAAGGCAAAGGTCCCACCTTTCCGCATCCTTTAGCCGACCCAGAGGATTTATCGCGACTGAAGCATCCCGTCAACGTGGATCAGGAGCTAGGCTATGTATTCGATGCTATAACGATGACAAGAAAGGAGCTGAAAGGGGAAGTACCCTTGATCGGCTTTTGTGGATCGCCCTGGACCCTCATGGCCTATATGATCCAAGGTGGGGGAAGTCGAGGAGGATTCCATTCAGCGAAAAGGTGGATATTTCAGTATCCGACTGCCTCAAAAGAACTTCTTTCTCGCATAACTACCATCTGTGTCGATTTCCTCATCGGTCAAGTTCGCGCGGGCGCACAGGTATGCCCTCTTCACAGATGACATAATGATGTATTGACGGATCCCTCCCTCTCAAGCTGGTTCAAGTGTTCGATTCCTGGGCAAGCGAGTTGTCGCCGCATGACTTCCAAGAATTCTCGCTTCCATATCTCTGCATAATCGCTCATCGCGTGAAATCTGGATTGAGTGAGGTGGGGATGGAGCCGGTTCCCATGATTCTGTTCGCCAAGGGGGCAAACTATGCGTTGGAGGAACTGGCTATCACTGGTGGATATGACGTTCTGGGTCTCGACTGGTGCATTGACCCCCTTGTTGCCCGCCATCTGGTTGGGGATTCGGTGGCGCTGCAAGGCAACATCGATCCAGATATCCTTTACGGCGGGAAGGAGGCAATTCAGAGGGAAGTGAAGCGGATGTGTGCCAGCTTCCGTTCAAACACCACCGATGGGCCCAAGGGATGGATCGCAAATTTGGGGCATGGCATCACGCCCGGCGTCAGTACAGAGGATATGGGCCACTTCTTGTCCTGCGTTCACAAATATTCTAGACAGGGGGATGAAGTAGTATGATACAATAACCCGTGTTTCGTGAGAACTGAGAAGGTTTATTATGTTCAAAGAGAATACATTGTAGATGTAACCCACATATCCAAAATAGCCCTTCAGGCAACAACGTCAGCAGCACTGAAACTACTTCTCCTTCTCCGCATGCCACGCAGAAGTGGACGCCCGAGCTTGGAACGCTCATGGTTCGTTGCAGCCGCGGCAACCCAGGTGTTCTCATTCTCCAATTTATTTCGCCCTTTGTTTGGGAATCCGATTTGTTGGGCGGCCAGAGGTGCGATCTTCTTACCCACCACAAGTTGAGGGAGGCGGGAAGGCGAGGGCGAAGGCGACTCGGCACGTCGCCGCACATCACGTTGTGCCGCCGAGCCAGAGGGGACGTCTATTGAAGAGGCCCCTGGCACGTGACCGGGTTTATATGGTAACGGTTTAACGGTCGTTGCTGATGCAAGCTTCCTCGTGGTGTTTGGTACAGCTACTCTTGTCACAGGACGGGCCAAGCGAGAAGGGGCCCGCACACATGCAGCCGATTCGGTGCGAGCGTGTTTTGTGGGTGGCCGACGACGATTAAGGAAACACGGTTCGTCGTCGGAATCGACGGGATCGACGGCTACTCGCTTTGCCGTGGGTGTTTTTCGCGGTTGTCCCGGCGGAGCTTTGGAGGCCGTCGCAGAAGTGCCAGCCAAGACATGCCGAGAGGGGGTGACAGGGGGTGCAAGAGGTAGTGGCTTATCCATCTCGGGCGGGGTCACAGGTCGCGTTTCACTTGCAGATGATGCTCGCGCCTTGGCCACCTCATCATACGCCGCCCAGCGAGACCAGTCCAGCTGCTTTAGATACATATATTGCTACATCACGTGTAAATCGTCTTGCAAGAAGGATTCACAATCAGGGATGGGGCTCACTTGCTGAGGTCCAACAACACTGCCTGGTCGAACAATGCGCATGAACGCAATTGCCTCATTAGCGGTGAATGCGTGCTTGTAGATAAGATAGGCTAGAAAACCGTCGTCAGATTGACAGCAATAGACAGCAGCATCGGTCATACCTCCAATCAATGTACCTGTGCGACCTAGGCCAGCTTTGCAATGAACAGCTACAACCCCTCCAGCCTCGATGATGCTCTCCGATATCTGTATAAATTTGGCTACGATGTCGTCCGTTGGGTTTGTGCCGTCATCAAAATATAGTTCCAGATGATCGATCCCGTGCTCTTCGAAAACTGTCTTGTCATATAGAGGGTTGTTCAGCCGAACAACCATCTTCACGCGATGCTTTCCAAAGTACTCCAAGCAGTTCAAGAACGGGGTCGGAAGTTTCCTCTGCAGCGCCACATCAGAGTGTCTACATGATCCTGCAAGTGTTGTTGCCATATTGCGTCGTACATAAGCCGGATCCAGCGGTGATGCAAAAGCAATGAAGTGGGGTGTGATCCAGTTCCAGTCCCCGTTCTCTACTTTTTCGTAATACTCATATTCTTGGACGGAAAAGCTATGCAAATCGCAAAGTCCATTCTGCTGAGCTTTCCAGATTCCCCAGAGACAATCTTGAATACTAAGATTGAAGTCGGATCTACCACGGCCCGCATCGCGAAAAGGCATGAACTCCATCTCCGCAATGGGATGGAAGGCTTCCCATGGTGCTTTCTTTTGCACAATCATCTGGCCAAGACGAAGTATTCATATGAGTGGCTTAGATGGGAAGCACAGTCTTTATGACTAACCACATAGAGCGCCATAAGAAGTGCAGCATTTGCTTTCCGACGTGGGTCTGTCGAGGTGTACAGAACAAGGCGGTGCGCAGCTAGCAGCTCGTCCTGTCAGCGGTCAGAAAATTCGAAGCGTGCCAGTCTGAGATGCTAACCTGAAGATAATCATGTATCTGAATACATGCTCGATACACCATGGCTAAATTTAACGGGCCCCAATCTTCGAAAAAAGATAAGTACACGAGGTCACTGTCGAATGTGAAGAAGAAATATGGTGCGTCATCCTCGGGAGTTGGCGGAGCGCCCGTCGCAGTCCTCAATCGCGGCTGTGATGATTCTCCAGAGGCGGGAGAATTAAGCGTATTGGGTGGTGGTGCGGGGTGTGGGAACGTGGTAAAGTACAACCTGAGATGTGGTAAGGAGGCAATCGGTAGACCGACGGTGACATGCGCACCTGTCGCCAAAATGACACAATGGCTCGCACATTGATACCATGAACAGATATAGACAAAGACAGAGGGGGGTATGCCAGATAGCGCTTGGGGATTGTGATGGATTTAGGAAACTGAAGGTTGTGGGGACGACGACGCGGGAGAACAGTGGATGCCGTAGAGTTGACGGAAGCATCGCGCGAATCAGGGGCTCTCTGGCATAGCCACCATCTTGAAAGTCAAAACCTACAGCGGAACACGTGGTAATTAATTTGATCCTACAGCCACTCCGTGGTATGTTATACATGGCAACATTGTGTTCTCGATAACCGACAACAGGCTCCTTAAGGTGAAATGACACACATATTACTCCGCTCTTTCATTATTGACTCGGAATTCCTGTCAGCTCCGGAAATGCGGGGACCACGGGCTCTTCTGTCTCCAGATCCTAAAATGACACCAATGATCAATGTAGATCCTTTATGCGAAACACTTACTTACCTCCAGTAAGGAATCCACTAAACCGTCCACCTCATCAGGTGGGATACCCAGCGATCCTCCAATTAGGCGCCGATATTCAGCCATCCTACCACCCGTTCCGGCCTCAGCCAACTGTTGTACGAAGCCTTGCATCGCTGCTTCCCGACGGGTTCGGTAACTCCTGAGCTCCTCTCGTAATGCTTCACACTCGCGTTGTATTTCGGCTGAATCCGTGGGCAAGGTGTGCAACGCATGCAGATCACTGAATTCTTCTGACTCTGCCTTGCCTTTACCCTTGGCCTGACTGCTGCTCATCCCGAGGCGATACCGCATACCGTCAGGGGACGACAGCCACGCCTTTTCTCGATCTTCCTCGTCCTTCATCCATTTTTCGAAACCTAGACGGTATTGACGTCCCATATTGCGGGATAGTCGTCCCTCAAGCTCCGAGAGTTGTTGCTGCACGTTGTCAAAACCTTCGGCCCTCTCTTTGAGCTGCGCAACCGCTCGTTGACTCTCAAGAATTTCGGCTTGTATGTTTTGTAGCAGAGAAGTAGCTTGTATCAGATCCCTTTCCTTCTCTTGCATGTCGCCTTCGTACGTTGCCGCGAGACTTTCCAACAATGACGCCATTTCACGGGTCACATCTCCAGCAACTTTCTGTGCGGTACGTGAATAATATAACTGAAGAGGGGTAGAAGCCGTCGTGATGGGTTTGTAGTTGATCGGGGGCGACGCTCGGAAGCGCTCATCTTCCAGAATATAGTCTTCCGCAGACTTGCCATCGTTGTTTGGAACTTTCGGATTGGCACCGTGATCAATCAGCATCTTCACCAGACGTTTGCTACGGGCACGGGCCGCAAGGGTGAGAGGTGTGTCTCCCTCTAGATCTTGCAAATTGAGCAGATCTGATAGGTCCTGCGCGAAACGCTCCATGCGAGTGATCAAAGTTTCCAAGTAATATCGAGCCGCATGCGTCTTCTGCTTCGTTAGAGCTAGGTCAATGACATGGTGAAAGATGGTTCGACCAAAATTATCCACGTGTAGAACGGAACGCTGCAACATCTCAAAAAGCTCGGAAAATTTGCGCATATCGTAGTTATTTGCAAACATGACACCCCGCATGAGAGGCGGCTGGCCATCTTTATTCGTCTTGAATGGGTCTGCACCTGCGGTGAGGAGGAGTTTTACCACCTTCACTCGCCCAAGGGCGCAAGCCCAATGCAGAGCAGTGTGACCTTCTTCGTCAATGACGACGTTGGGATCGAAATCCGGAGGCGGGTTAACAAGAACGTCGGGTGTTTGCTGGGATTCTGAAAGAAAATAATCCAGGATTATCTCTTCATACGTGTCTTTTAGGCTCTCATCAAGTTGCAAATGTTGTGCAGGTCGCGATTGGACACGGCCATTCTTCCGTTTTCGAGGTTGTCGGGTGGAAGATGCAACTTGCGGAGAAATCATGTCACCGTCAATATCCATCTCGTGATCTGCTTCAGAGTCGGAAGCGTTCCCAGAGGCGATCGGAGAGGGTGTTCTTGAGCTTTGGGAATGAACCGAGGGGGATGGGGTGGTAGACTCCTCGTCACTGATATGTGGAGATCCAGATCGCATGGACTCATCGTCCGAACCCTGTACCAATGCACCTCTGCCCGTACTCGCACGAATGCCTAGCCCGGGTGGACCGCCCACCTCACGACGCTTCGGCTTGGCAGGAGGCGCTGTGATGTGCTTGGGTGCGAGTGGCGGGCTCGCTTCCGCATGAACGAAGTCAATAATAGGGCGGAGCAGATGTTCCACGTTATACTGTCTTGCAAGAGCGATCCCGCGATCCATGGGAATCCAAGTGCCTGTGTACGGAGGGTTGGGGATCAACGAAGTGTAAGGGACATTCTGACCTTTAGACGTACCTTGATATTTTCCATAACCCCCTTGAACTTTTTCATGCTGTCCCTTCTGAACTTCCCTCTCCAAAACTCTCGTGCGCTGAGGTTTGTCGAACCCAGCCACCTTCAATATTTGTGTTGCATTCAGCCATTTGTCTGACTTTCTGCGCATAACAGCAACATTCTTGCATATCCTAAAGTTTATGAGCTGATATGATCGGTTCAAATGCCTGCAATCTCACATCTCGTAAACAGGAATACCGCTGTAAGTTGCCTAGGGGCACGTTAAGCTCAGTCCCAAGCAAGTGCGATCACAGTATGGGTTGCACCTTAAAGATCTGACCATGATCCGCGGAAGGCATCTCGAGGTCGTCAAACGAGGTGGCTTCCCAACAGCCTTCAAGCCTTCAGAGCAAAGTTATAATAGGTAGAGAAAACACGTCGTCGGAGAAGACAGTGGGCAGAGTTAGGAAGCCGTGAACGCGACCAGGGTGAACGCGTGAACGCGTCTCTAGCAATTACCAGGTGTTTAGCGGAACCTATTGTCCCGTGGCATCCGCCTCGGCGCCGAAGGCGGTTTCCTCTGTTCCTCGCTGTACCGTTCCAGTATGACCGACACCACTGTAGCATCGGAGGAGGAAATGCGTACTGCCCATCTTCCTCTAGGCTATCGTGACCAATGTTCTGCGTACGCACATTGTTGTTAAGGACCTCTCAGCAAATCTCACGTCAGGCACAGGCTGTTGATACCTTTGAATAAATGTCGCCGAAAGACATTGTACCAGCCTTGGGAGTGTGAGAATGAGAGGTACGTATACCACTTCATATTTACTAGTCGTAAACTTACCATACAATACCACTAGGCACTCCTATGAAAAGTGAGCTCATCATTTGCACCACTGACCATCGGTCCAACTGACTACGAATCGCGAAAACAGATGCCAGTATGAGGAGTGAGTGCTATTTTACGAGTGGTGTTATCCTCCTAATGTTTCCTTATAGTTACATGCGGCGTATGAAGAAATTATCTCAGCAGAAAGCAGGCAGTGCATAGTAATACTATGGACTAGATCTCCATTCCTGTATCGCCTTGCGAACTTTCTGCTGAACATCATCGGCAGAACTGCTCTTGCCGAAAGCATCCACAAACTCGCCTTTAGGATCCATAAGATAGAAAAAAATGGAATGATCTACCAGATAATCATCTCCTGGTTTGGTGTCTGGCGGAGTGGAAAAATAGACCCGATATGCCTTGCATGTTGCTTTCACCTCGTCATAGGTGCCAGTCAAACCAATCATTCGGGGATGGAAGTCTGCAATGATGTGTTGGAGGGAAGTCTGAGGAGCGCTCAGATCACATTCTTACCACTAACATAGTCTCGCATTTGTTGAACAGAGTCTCGCGCCGGATCGCAAGAGATGAATATGGGCTGGACCACCGGACCAAACTCAGCATCTAGAAAGAAGCTGCGGCTGAACAAAGTACTTGATGAATGTGTACAGAACAAGCTTACCCATTGTTTCAACAACTTCGGTCATCTTTTCCAGCTCGTCAGGGCATATGTCGGGACAGTTTGTGAAGCCGAAATAAACTAGTGACCACTTGCCCAACAGTTCTTTGTCGGTAAACGGAGTGCCATCGTGAGCAACGAGCGCGAAGGGACCTCCAACTCGGGCTTTTCCCACTTTGGATTCGGCTTGCTGTTTCCCTGTCCAACATCTTTGTAAGTGATTGTCGTCAAGAACAGCAGTGTTGTGGTTACGCTTGTGTTCCTGCAGTTTCGTTTTCTCGTTCGTGAAGTACCAGTACAACCCTGCACCAGTCGCGACAAAGAGACCAGCCGCCTTCCAGGTGAAAGGCTGGCGGTCATTCGACAGTTAGATTGTTCCAAATGAAGGAAGGCATGGATAGCAACGCACTCCGACAGCTGACTGGTCTCGTTGTTGCTCCTCGCTTTCAGGTCCAGTAGTATATCGGCACACCCTAAGGGAATGTGAGATGGCAGGACGATGATAACCGGTGATCCTTCTTAGTGACAGCAGCGGTTTGCGGGAAAGTAGCAAATCTAGGTCGCAGAGACTGCGCAAAGCCACACGCTGACAACTCATGGTTTAGAGGATAGGCCAATTGCAAGTTCCCCAGCTCAGAAAGAAGCGATGGCCCGGTCCCTGACATTAATTTCCATGAAATAGCTCGGAGGGAAAAGGTCTGGTCGGCCTTTTCGACCATCTCTTCTAACTCCACCTCATTCCCGCCCCTTCTTTCCCTATCAGACCAACAATTTCTTTGACACTTTTATACGCTTATACTTGTTCGCAGCACCCTCAGCGTGCGACCTTTCCACTCGTCGTCAGCCAGGATGGACCTCATCGCAGTGCCACAGGCAGTGTCTAGTGCAATACTCAAGTCCCCAGAATCGGTGATGTTGCCCACTCCTTCCTATGGACCCAGACCAGCCAGCGCGCCAAGTATGGTCCCAGTTCAGGCGACCACTCCGCGTGCCCCTGCGGAGAAGGAGAGCAAGCGTCGTTTGATTGTCGTGCTCGAGCGTGCTTGCCTCGAAGCCTACAAAGTGTCGTCCGGCTCTGGCTCTAGGGCAAAAGATGGGAAGGATGCCAAATATGCCCTTCTCAACTGCGACGATCACCAAGGCATTCTTGCTAAGACTGGCCGTGACATTGCCGATGCTCGACCAGACATTGTGCATCAAGTGAGTCCTCTTTTGTGCACTTCAACCGTAGCTCGACTTGCTTTCCTCATTCTCACAAGTGCCTTCTCACCTTACTGGATTCGCCTCTGAACAAGGCCGGACTTTTGCAAGTCTATGTTCACACAGCCAAGGGCACACTGATCGAGATCAATCCTCATGTGCGGATCCCGAGGACGTTCAAGCGATTTTCTGGATTAATGGGTGCGCGGGGCGGGCTCGATGTCCTGTCGAATGCACTTGATGATCTTGAGCTAGTGCAACTGCTACACAAGCTCAGTATCAGAGGAGTAAATGGAAATGAGAAACTACTGAAGGTTATCAAAGTCTGCACATTTATTTCCCTCCTTTCCGTATCTTATGGTTGCGGACCTCTAGAATCCGATCACAGATCACTTGCCCGTCAACACTTACAAAATCAGTGGGCTATCAGTGAACCTCGTGCAGGGCTTTCTTAACTGATCTTCCACAGGTCTTTCGGGCGACGCGCCTACTGTTCGCTTGTCGCGTTATCTCCCAGCCCTGCCTGAGACACACTCTATCGCTGTGTTTGTCGGCGCCATGGCACGAGGGTGAGGAATGACCTCCTCCACTCTGCTCTCCTCTAGTCCTTACGAATAGTAGAAAAGATGATTTCGCTGACGCAGTAATTGACGAGAAGATCTCCATCAGTGACTATGCTCTCTCTGCATCGGTGGGCGCCTCACATGCCAACAGTGATTACAGAATGCTGACAATGGTATGAATTAGGTTGCTTGTGGCAAGGTGAGAAGGATGGTCTTCCTTGGTCCCGGTAGTGCTGACAGGGTCCACAGTTTTGTTGTGCTATCGAGGAGATGTGGGACATCGTTTGATATTCCGCTGGGTGATAGAAGGGAACATTTCGTGGTTCGCCCTTACCAGCTCCTTTGTCCATCCTGGTTGTGTTGTGTTGATCATCTCTGTACAAAATTGAATATGAGGGTAAAGGAATGATTAGTCAAACAGTCGATGGAACATTGCGATATTCGAGCATGTGGCCGACACTTAATCATTCCACCCTGCTTAATCCCCCACAGTCATCTCTTACCTCGGAAATGCCAAGTTTTGAGGGGAAACTGGGAGCACAGTCGACTGGTCAAGAACGCCTCCGCCCTCGTTCGGAGCGCAGTTGGTGCCAACTGACATGACGCAGATCGCGAAAAAGAACGAACGCCGGCATTGCACAACACACGAACATGTGCATTCGTACGAATGGACATTTTTCATCGTGTGAGGAAAGTACTTGGGCGATATTGGCGCAGGCCACAGAAATCGATTTATTACACAGTGGTACAAAGCGGCATTCGCGCGTACGAAGAGTCGGGGGAGACATCATGCTGGTACCACCGCGTCGGAAGCGGTCTGAGCAATGACACCTTGGTTCTTCTCGTTCCAAGGCCCTGCGTCTGACAGAGAGCAGCCTCCCGGGCATTGACATAGTCCTCCTAAATCGGCAGGGAGATTCTCCGCCGGGATCTGTTGTAGAAGTGTGTCTTTGTAATTGTAGCCAAGGATCGAAATCTTGTTAACCGTGACTTCATCCAACCATGGCTTGATGACCATCCACACTGTCGAGAAGATCCAAGGCGCGTTGATGATGTAAAACTTCCCCATACATTCTGGATACCGATCCTGTCCAATGCGAGTGGCTTGTGCAATGTGATCCTTGACTTGATAAAACTGTGCAATCCCGACATTCTGTAGGTCCAGGATAGTGCAGGACGTTTCGACGCGGTGTCCGACGACTGTGCTGCAGGCCGGGAGTCTCTCGGTCAAGAATTTCTCGTACTCCAGAACAAAGCGTTTCAGAAGTCTTTCAGCAGTAGTGAACGTATATAGTTTCCGAAGATCGAGTTGGCCTAAGCGCTCCACATAGATGGGGCGACCGTCCTATGCCACGAGCATAAATGCATACTCTGTCGATAGAAAGCAGGTACGTACTTTGTCCGTCTTGTGATAGTATTGTGGGTATATCTTGTCGACTTCATTCTTCTCCGGGAACTGAAAAGTCCTGGAAAATGATGGGGTCAGCAAGAGCTTAATTAATGTAATAGCAAGAAATCATACTCTATGAGTTGGTCCACTCCAAAATCTTTTCTCCATTCTTCACACGAGGTAATCATGAACTTGGCTTTGGCAAGATCAAATTTACGTGCGCGAAGGAAGCGAAGAAGGGTGGCATCGTCGTGTCGTTCTGGAACAAAAACACTGTCCTCCTCAAGCTCTGTCCTAAACTTGCTCAGGATGTGCTGCTGCTCGGGGCTTAGATGGCCAGGGTGACCGGAGAGAGGGTCTTTGGGGATGTTGGGTGGCATATATATGATCAGGGGCGAAGGAGGTCGGGTTGGAGTGAGAACAGGATCAAAGAAAGGAATAATGCGTGAGCGGAGATGACAGGTAAGAAGGGAGGAGGAGTATGGACACGAAGACGCGGTGCCCTGAACGGCATGTGTCACGTCACACACCGCCCTGGTCCCGTTGGATGTCTCACACGCAGCCACACGCCGATGGGTTCCTAACTGAAGTATGAATTCTCTGCAAGATAAGCCCCCCACGGCAGAACCTTGCATGATTTGGGCGATGCTTAGTTGTTCTGAGAGAAGCAAGCCTTTCTTGCTACGTACGGGAGATTCACGTGTTTTAGTGTCAGAGTTGCAGGATGAATCAAGTAATGAATGAATGGCCTTGGGGCAGAGCCATCCTCAAATGCCGGTGACCTTGTCAGGCAATTTCAGAGGAAATTCATTATCACGGCGCTCGTTTGCAAAGACGAGGCACAAAGGGGGCGGCGGATAGAACGCCCATGACGACAAGCGCAATTTGATTTGGGACGGGTTCAAAAAACCTACAGCAGAGCTTGTGTGGCCGATTCCCCCCAAATCGGAATGGCACAATAGTACGTGACATAGATCTCAAGTTCCACAACCAAGTCTTTTGTGTGTTTGTTTCTAGCAATAAAGTCTGACAGTCAAGCTCAGTGCTTATTATCAATCACCTTATGTAGTCAGCAAAGTAGAGCATTTCTGACGGAATCAAATTACTTCTGTATCATGTGAAAGAAAGAGCACTTACCAGATCTGGACTTAAGCCATGTCAATGGGGATGCTGCTTCCCTTCCTCCTTCTGGTCAGGGGAATCACAACTTGATCATAGGCTCGGCACTGGCTTGGTAAAAGAAACCTGGTAAACAAGTAGACAAACTTGAAGTTGTTGGAAGGTTGAGGCTTGGGTAGATAAGAAAAGTATGCATAGGGAAGGAAGGAGACTGGCAACAATACATACAGGTAGCACGCAGCCATGAAGATGTAGGCTGCAAGGTTTGCAAAAGGACAGTCATGTCTTTGGGTGATGACCAAGCTGTGATTCCATGGGTTATGCAGCAGTGAGTAGGGCCTCTGAGTGTCTGTTGTCATGCAAGAAGACCTGACCTGGAGTTGGATCTTGAAGGTCTATGTATGAGGTACATAACATTGGATATTGCAGAAAACAAGTGGGGTAACTGTACCTGTCAGACTAAGCAATGGAAACTAGCAGCCAGGTGTCACTGAGGCATACCACCCCACAAGGGGGGGCATGATGTCAAGGCACACCACTGTAGAGGCTGAAACATACTGGGTGCCCTGGCCCATCCATAAAGACTCCAGATGCTATAGAGAACCATATAGCATCTATAGGGGTCCTAGCACCCATAGCATTATCTGCCACTTTGTAGCCCCACAACACCAGGGTCTGCCATAGATGCCTACAGCTTCCCTGTACTATTTTACCTGTGTGCTTTTTACTGATGTGACAACCACTAATAATGAGGTAGTTCCTAGACTCAGGCAGCATGCATCAACCAATGCCTATGGATCAACATAGCATAAAGAGGCCAAACAGGATTCAGTGACTCAGCACACTCACTAACAGATGGGGTGTCAAGCAACTCCACTTGTTGAAAAGGTCAAGCAAGTCAAGCAAAGGGATGATTACTCTGCAGCTACCAGTTATTGTCACTGTGATGGTCTGACTTATTGACACCTTGAAACATTCACTCAATCAAGCTTGTCTCTACCTTCAAAGCACCAAATAGGGTTGAGTCATGAACCAAGTGCTAATCTGCTTTGCTAGGGCAACATAGAGTAGCAGTCAAAAAGTAAATAAGGATTTTATGGGGTGCATATGGACATCCTTTTACCCCTGTATACAACAAATGTGGTTGGTCAAGTCACTGAACAGGCAATAAGAATTGGAAAAGTCTGAGTTGTATGTTATCTGATCCCTTATATTGGCAGCAGTTAAGTATTGATCAAATAATAGTCTAATGACTTGGACTATGGGTTCCTGAGACATCTGCTCAACAGAACTAAGCAACCAGAGTGGCTGTATCTATTGTCTATGTGTCAATAGAATGGAAGCAAAGTTACTGTATGGGCATAGCATTTACAAGGAAGGGGCTCATAGATTCCAAATAGCATCTACTTATGCTGGCTCCAAGAAGCCCTCTAAAACTCTGACACTCTCCTACATTGCTCAAGGTTCACATCACTCCTCTCCATGAGGGGGTCAACCTCATTTGGACCTTCTAAGCCCACCAGGGCCCCTGCTCATTCTTACAATGTATATAGAAGCAGGAGACATGTTGAGATGATTTCTGCTCTGCTGAAGCAAAAGGCACATCTCCTGCATGTGATCATCACCATAAGAGGGTTAGTGTGCATCCTGCAGGAGAAGGGGGTTAGCAAGCAATGATAAATTGCCTGCTTTTTAGGTATGATCCACTCACTCTACAGCTGGTCATTGTTTGAAGCAAATAGATATTTACCTGTGATGACCTATTATCTTAGGGGCCTGGTTTGCCACCCTCTGTCATGGCATTTCATTCTCCAATTAGCCTGTGGTTTGTTGATTTTATCTACATCTACTGTACCCTGAGCCTTAATGTCTGCCCTCAGAATCGCTAATACTTCTAGCTGAGGCACAAAGCTTGCTGATGGTCAAAGTTCTGGAAGCTTCAACAATTATTCCATCTAACAAACAGTGTCCCATACTTTAAGTGTATCACAGGTGTTAACATCTCCCAAGGCATAGCAGCTGCTTCCAGATACTGAAACTTGCATGGCAACTTTTGTTTTCCCCTATGTTTTCCCCAATACTTGGCCACAAACATATATAAACCTGGCAAATAAGACTTTAAGCTATTGGGGTGGTTCTCAGTATGCGAGAAGCATTCTTCCAGATGTCTCATGAGACCTTCATTCAACTATTGCCTGAAAAGGGATATCTCCCATTCATTTTCACTCATAACAGTTCTGATTCCCCTGACTAGAGGGAGGAAGGGAAGCAGCCCCAGCCACTCCCACATAAAAGTGCCTCAGTATTGGCCTTCACTGATGCCAGTCTGATGAAGTATCACTTAGCAGTACTGTGAAGACCATTCTGTATTAGAGAAAACATCTAGATACAGTTTCTAGTGATGATGGTGAGGAGAGAGGAAAGGACACAGAAAAGGGTAGGCTGCAAACAAGTAGGGCCTAGCAATGGAAGCAAACAGAATAGATGAGTAAGGGGGACCCTTACACCACACTGGCATGTCAGCCTCAACATGACTTTCAGCATTCATTGTGGCTGTGCATATACCCCCTGGAGCAGGGAGGTATTCGAGCCGGCTGTAGGCTGGTCCTGAACTTATAATATTAGTCATTTTGAGAAGTCAGATGTTCACAAAAACAGAATGTCAACCTCGTTTGTTTGTATGATCTTCCTTGGCTCAATCGAAATAATTGTGTCTAAAAGTCACCATCTGCATGAGTGGACCCTGAATAAGAGTTAGTGCCCGGAGCCGATGGATAAGGGGCAAACCGGAGGGAATTCCTCCGGTGCCCCGTCTTCGGAGATATTGCTGGCACATTAATGCCCCTCCGGAGGCAAATACTCAGGACCCTCTCCTTCACACAGTGCCCAACTTTCCTCACATGTCAAAAGAGCAAGAAGGGAAAGCTCGGGGTCCTGTCTTCCCAGAGTGGCCAAACATATCTCAGAGGCAGCAAAAAGGGGTTAAAGAAGCTAGAAAAAACTGGCAGAAGTTTATCAAATTATTTTCTGTTCAATTTTGCCACAATATTAATTCATTATAGGCTACTGTTTTGTTAACTGTGAGCAAACAAAAATTAGGACCCCTATCGCATAAGACTAGTGTCCTGGCCCGCATGTTTCGACAGGTGAAAAGGCTGCGAGCTCTGCGGAGGCATTCTGGGCATTTGCCTCCGGGGCATTGCGGGAGCAATATTATCTCCGAAGACGGGCACCGGAGGAATTCATTCCCTCAGACAAACGGGGAAGATTTTGCCTCCGGGCACTTTCCGTGTTCTTTGGACTCAAGGCCAACATCCTGCATCATGACCAGAGCGCACTCTTCCAGAGGCCCGTTGCTGACCTCAAACCTTCCCCAACTCCAAAATCTCATCAAAAGAGACCCAGCTGGATACAAGGAAGAATTTTTGCAGCAATGGAACCATTACCAGAGCGTCATGCTCATCTTCGAGCACAGACCTGCCGAACACGCCGAACAGTTTAGAGAGCTGGTCACGTTCATTGCGCAGGCATGTAACAGTGTGTGAAATGTCTATTTGCTAATATCTTCTCAGGTCTCTCAGTGCTACCCAGTTGAAACCGCCACATTTTCGTCCCAGATAGCATCGCTGCTCCTCCGGAGTTTTTCGACTCTTGCCCCAGACACCCGAAAAAGTCTGGTCCAAAATCTCGTTCTCCTTAGGAACAAAGGTGTCATCAACTCCATCGAGTGAATTTCACTTTTCCTCAGCTTCCTGCATGCCAGATTTGACCTGAGACACAGGTTGTTGCAGACTCTGTTTCCTTTACTTTCTCAGACGACGTCCACGTCCTTACGAAGCTTCATCCGCAGAACCATCTTGCTTGATATTCGCACGGCAAACCAAAAAGCTCAAAATCATAAACTTAATCGATCTGTGCAGGCTATGCTGTTCGGTATGCTTGAGCGTGGCATGGGAGCTGAAATGATCGGGGACAAAGGCAAGTTGAGAGAGAGGTTGAACGAGGCACCACGACGGTCGACGGACGAAGCAGTGTGGGCTATTGCTCTCACCAAAGAACTCTGGAAGCGAGGCGTGTGGTGAGCTCAGAGCATTCTTGAAACCGGAAGTGTTCTGACCTCAAGCAGGAAAGACGAAAAAACCGTCTCTATCGTAGCATTAGGATGCATACACCCGTCTGCGAAGGTCCAGAAAGCTGCGTATTACTTCTTTTTGGGAAGCGAGGACGACGACGAACCATGCAGTGAGGAAGAAGACGAGGTGAATCCTATTCGTGTACCAGTGATGTTGTCTGACGGTTCCTTTACCAGGGTCCTGACATCAAACAGCTGAAGCATCAAAGGCTGGTCAAAAAGAAGACCCGAAGTGAAGATCGGAAAATAGCAAAAGCCGTAAAGATTGCCAAGAAAAAGGTACTGCTTCGACATACTAGTGATTCACCCAACCATTCTGAAACGCTCTTCCAAGACCAAAACCAACGACGACGCGAAAGGGAACACCAATTTCTGGGCGATCCAGCTCATACGAGATCCACAAACCTTTGCTGAAAAGCTATGTGATCACTTACAACGATATGGTGCAGTTTCAATGTGCTCTCCACTTCTTCTATTTATCCCCTTCCAGACAAGCGGATGTCATTGGACCATAAAGTGCTCATAATGCAGCTTCTAAGCCGTGTCATGGGCTACCATAAGCTCTGCGTTCTAGGGTTCTACGGCTACGTCGTGAAGTAAACTTTCATTAGCGTGCATTAATATCCAGCACTGATTCCAGTGCCAGGTATCTGACTTACCATCAATTGCGAGTCACCGTCATACTTGTGGCTTTGGCTCAATCCGTACACGACCTTACACCTCCTGATGTGTTGACCCCGGTCATCCGAAAACTTGCACATGAGTTTATTCACCCCGGAGTGGGCTCTGAGGTTATCGCCGCGGGTTTGAACGCTATACGCGAGGTTTGTCGCAGACAGCCTTGGAGCATGGAGGAAGACCTGCTCGGTGATCTTGTGGAATACAGAAAGAGCCGAGATAAAGGCGTCATGGTGGCTGCCAGGGGTTTACTCCAGCTTTACAGAGAAGTCAATCCTGGCTTGTTGAAGCGTCGTGAGAGAGTATGTCCTGTATTTCCTTATTGAGGCGGGCATATCATTGATAGACGATCTAGGGAAAAACAGCCAGTATGGCCAATAGCTCGGTCACACCACTTCCATATGGACACGCGCCTAAGCCCGCAGTCGATATCGAGGGTATTCAGGTATTTTCTGTTGGCGTCTTTTTGATTCCTTATCGCTGATGCCGATCAGCTACTTCAAGAGCAAAATCACAGCGTGTCCGATGACAGGGGAGAAGATAATTGGGAGGGGTGGGAAGTTGAATCCGATTCCGATGAATCTTCCAGTGATTGGATCGCTGTAAGCTCAGAGGACGAAGGAGACATCGTCATAAGCGACAGCGAGGACGATGGCGACCGGAGTACAAGGCCTCCTGCTCCGAAAGAATACTCGGCAACCCCGCACCCTGTTGAGAGTATTGCGACCACTAAGGCAATTTCTAATCATATCGTGCACTGAACTTTGTTGACCCCTTACGCAGATACTCACTCCTGCTGATTTCGCCTTGCTTAAAAAACTCAAATCGGAGAGCAGCCCCCACACTAGTGAGGGAAATCGAGGGACGAAGAGGAAGGCCAATTCTACTAGCGCGGCAATAGAGTCGGAGCAGGCAACATTTGTCACGGAAGCCGACATTATGGGACCACGGAAGAGGGTAAAAGCTGACTACGAAGAACGCATGGCATCCGTTAGAGAAGGACGAGAAGGACGCGAAAAATATGGTTCCAAGAAGGGGAAGAAATCCAAGGATGTGCCGAGCAGCACCACAAACCGTCAGAAAGCTCGCAACAAGCCCGTCATGATGATACTCTCTAGCAACGCCGTGCGCAGCAAGAAAAGAGCGTCCCTTCGGGAGAAGCAGCAGCGTCTCCGCAAAGGAAAACGTTGATACCACACTTCCATATGTGAATACTACCATCCACATTGATAACAGACGGCCCCATTGGGTAGAAGGGATGGTCTCGATTGCACCTCTTACCGTTCTTGTCTTAGGACTCGTGATTGAATTCAATCAGTTAGTCAGAAATAGACGAAGCTAATTGACATTGCTCTATCGAGAACAAAGGTAATCGTAACACCATACTACTCGAAATCCACCAGTTGTTTCGGTTCACGTCCAACACATCAGTTTTCTGTTCATTCAGAAGCACTCTAAACAATAGTCATGTCCCATCCTCACACAAAAACAAAAGCTGTACGTACTGCGATGCACAATACCAGGTCCAGACTCATCGTATTCCTGTTTGGAGACCCACAGATTTTGGAAGGTGCTCAGCGAGGCCAGGATAGAGCCACCAATCCAGACTGAGTACTTGCGCTCAGGAGGAGCCACGATCTTGACCTGCGAAAAGGAATCAGGTCGCTTCACAAACAGCCCATTTATCATGTCCATACCTTCATGCTCGAAGGGGACAGGGCGGTCAGTTCCTTTTGCATGCGGTCCGCGATTCCGGGGTACATGGTGGTACCACCAGACAGGACAACATTGCCATACAAGTCTCTACGGATGTCTGATGGCAACATAAATAATGCATAGGACTAAAGACTTAGTGAGGCACTTACCCAGATCACACTTGAAGATGGAATTGTAGCTTATACATAGGATTAGCTGTTGTTGACAACATGTTATCCCGAAACGCTCACGTGGTCTCATGGATGCCAGCAGCTTCGAGACCGAGGAAGGCGGGCTGGAACAGGGCCTCGGGCGTTCGGAACCGCTCGTTGCCAATCGTGATAACCTGGCCATCGGGAAGCTCATAGCTCTTCTCCAGAGCAGAGCTCTGCGCTGCCGTCTGCATTTCCTGATCGAAATCCAACGCAACATAACAGAGCTTCTCCTTAATGTCTCGGACGATTTCGCGTTCGGCAGTGGTAGTGAAAGTATATCCGCGTTCCATGAGAATCTTGATAAGGTAGTCGGTCAAATCACGGCCAGCGAGATCCAAACGGAGAATGGCATGCGGGAGAGCAAAACCCTCGTAAATGGGAACAGTGTGGGTAACACCATCACCAGAATCGAGCACAATACCGGTAGTACGACCAGACGCATAAAGAGACAAGACAGCTTGAATGGCAACGTAGAAGGCAGGAGCGTTGAATGTTTCGAACATAATCTGTGTCATCTTCTCCCTGTTGGCTTTGGGGTTCAGAGGAGCCTCAGTGAGAAGAACAGGATGCTCCTCAGGGGCAACACGGAGCTCATTGTAGAAAGTGTGGTGCCAGATCTTCTCCATATCATCCCAGTTGGTGACGATGCCGTGCTCAATAGGATACTTGAGAGTCAGGATTCCTCTCTTGGACTGTGCCTCATCTCTACAATAAGTCGTCAACGAGTCATTCTGCCGTACGGGACGATAGAACGAACCCGACATAAGAGTCCTTCTGGCCCATTCCAACCATTACACCCTGGTGGCGGGGACGGCCAACAATGGAGCTGGATATTCGCATTGGTTTGTGGCAATGCCAGGAGTGGTAGGAAGGACGTACGGGAACACGGCCCTTGGAGCGTCATCGCCTGAACTCCGGATCAAAATAAAGTCCCATGAAAATCACATCGCTGCATTACCTGCGACTGAAGTGGGTGGATTGTGTAAGCTCGTATCACGTTGTTGGAGCATAAAGGGGACTTACAACCAGCTTTGCACATGCCGGATCCGTTATCAATAACCTGAGTCTACGTAAGACTGCATCTTTATTCGGACAATTGAAATCATCATACGAGGGCAGCGACCTCATCTTCTCCAGAGTTCATGATGATAGACTGTCAATACAAAGAAGAGTGAGTAGTCGGCTTAGATGAAGGCGAAGAGATGACGAAAAGAGACAAGAACGTGAGGGTGGTGGGCACACGCGTGTTTTGTGTTTCCTTATAACGGGTTCGTACCAAGGCGGTGCAGCAGCTCCTGTCTCCGTGTAGAACTGCCTGTAGAAGCGCAGCGCACCTTGTACTGCGGGACAGGCCCCGTAAAGCGGCAAAGTCGAAATATAGAGAATGTGACTGAGATGCGCACGATGCGACTCACCTAGATGTTAGTTAGCTGCTGGAGGAGTAAAGAAGAGTTGTGTGTGAAAGTACGCAAACAAGAGAACGCACGTCGGGGCCAATTACAGGGCGGAGTTGAGGTAGCCCCGACCATCACGAACTTCAGGGCAAGCTCTTATCACGTGGCAGACTCCAACGCGGGGTTGGGACGCGTACGCCTCTTACGTGAGAAACGCCACTTTGTAACTTACATGCAGGCGCATCATAAAACCATTCCACCCATCCTCCGCCTTGTCCACAGCTGTTCTGCACCATGGTCTTAGAAGCATGTATGATCGTGTAAGCAATCTGACCGTCCATCCTGTTGAATGTCTTGGTAACCACAGCGCCGTAGCATCGATAACTCCGAGTTCATGCGCAACGGAGACTTCCAACCAACGCGCTTTGGTGCGCAGTCTGATGCCGTCTCTTCCATCTTCCAAACGAAGGTGGATTCCAACCCAGAGAACACGGTTGGTGTCATGACCATGGCTGGCAAAGCGTGAGGCATCTGATTTTCATGTGCTAGTAGTGTTGATGAGTATCACAGACCCGAGGTGCTTGTAACACCCACTCAGGATATCGGGAAGATACTTTCTGCACTCCACAACACAAGACTTGGAGGTGAAGCAGATATTGCAACGGGCATTCAAGTTGCTCAGGTATTTCGTGCAGCCTATGTGTTCGGGTGCCGGGCCCTGAAATTTACATGACAGCTAGCCCTGAAGCACCGACCCAACAAAAGCCAACGTCAAAGAATCGTCGTTTTCGTAGGATCCCCTGTTAATGCGGATGAGAAGTCCCTTGTGAAGCTGGGGAAAAAATTGAAAAAGAACAATATTGCCATTGACATTGTTAACTTTGGCGAGGAAGAGGAAAATCAAACTAAACTGGAGGAGTTCGTGAAGGCGACCGACAGTAGCAACAATTCGTGAGTAGTCATCTGGGCTGCGGGGTTTGGACGTATCTGATTGTCTCCCCCAGCCATCTTGTAAGCGTACCACCAGGTCCTCACCTTCTGTCCGATTTTATTTTCGCGTCGCCAATGCTGGAAGGTGATGGGGCTGCTCCTAGAGGTGGATTCGGGGCTGGCGATGATTTTGCAATGGACCCCAATATGGATCCAGAGCTGGCCGAGGTGTGCCATTTCCATATAAATTCCGAATCGCTAGGGTTGATCCCTGTTGCTCAGGCACTGCGACTGTCGTTGGCTGAAGAGCGGGCTCGGGAAGCGGCTGTCGCGGCTGCAGCTGTCTCTACAGGCGAGCCAGCCATCACATCCACCCAACCGATAACCCCCGCACCTCCAGAGACCATGGACGAGGACGAGCTGATGCTGCAACAGGCCTTGGCACTGTCACAGAGCGAGCGTGGGCCGGAAGATCACGAGGGTGATGTTCACATGGGTGATGAGGCCCCCGCTAGTGCTGCAGAGGGGGAAGAAGACGAAGAGGAAGCTATTAGGTTAGCGATTGAAATGAGTCTGAAAGAGAACAAGGAAAAGGAGGAGCATGGGCCAACTCGTGAGGAACACAAATCGTAGCGCACGTCCCTTTAGATTGTAGTATCATCGATGCGTGTCACGCGACATGATGTTTGCTTCCCGCAGACCATGCAAGGGTTCTGTTGCTCTGGTCGTCCAGCCTTCAATTTCTTCAATGACTACACGCGAACGTATAGCCTCCCAGACGTCTCCTGCAGAGCTCCCACCTAATGTGGTCACGCTGCCTCAGACAGCGCAGCTAGAAGCGCTCTATACAATTATTCGTGACAAGGACACGAAAAGGTCAATCGCGTTGTCATCGTGGCTTTCAAAATGCTGAATACCCGAGAAGGGGCGACTTCATATTCTATACCGATCGTATAATACGCCTACTGGTTGAAGAGGGTCAGTTTTCAGCCCTTGCGTTTCTGTTCTTATTGAGGGTCATCCAAGGTTTGAATCATCTTCCCGTTGTCCCCAAGACGGTGATCACGCCCACCGGTACAAACAATCCTCTCGGAAATTCTTTTTCCTAACATGGAGGGCATAGGGGAGAAATATGATGGGGTAGGTTTCAAAGGCCGCATCTGCGGAGTGTCCATTTTGAGGGCCGGCGAAGTATGAGCGATGTCATCATTTCCGTAATATATCACTGAGCTCCCCAATGTAAAGGCGATGGAGGCTGGCCTACGCGAAGTCTGTCGGAGCGTTCGGATTGGGAAGATTCTCATACAGAGGGCATGTACTATCTGCGGTGGTTTGAACTCCCTTCTGAGGTCGTTGGCCAGGACGAAGAGACCGCCGAAGCAAAGCTTTTTTATTCAAAGGTGCGTGCCCTTGTTTCTCTCTCATCGTGGTGTATACCAATCTTTTCGAAGCTTCCCGATGACATAGCCAATCGTTACGTTCTTCTCTTGGATCCGATGCTGGGTATGACACCATGATTCGCATTGTCTTCCGAGTTAAACACTATGTATCTCTAGCAACTGGAGGATCGGCAATCAAGGCCGTCGAGGTATTACAGCAAGCAGGTGTACCTGAGGAGCGGATCATATTTATCAACCTGGTCAGTGTACCTTCGCGGGGCTCCGGTACTAAAAGGATGATGAATACCAACCCTGTGTTTCTTTAGGTCGCATCACCCGAGGGAATCAATGCTTTCTGCATGAAGCATCCCACCACTCGTGTAGTATGTTGAATTCCAGAGGTCCAAAGGTTATTCTCAACAGTGGCAGATAACCGGATGGATTGATCGTGGCCTGAATGAAAAAGCGTATATTGTGCCTGGACTGGGTGATTTCGGAGAACGCAGGTGAGCAGATACTGCCTGGGAAAGGTACTGCTGCATGACGACACATGTAGGTACACGTGTTGACGTATGACCGTGTTTCAGACGTGGTTGCCAGCATTTTTTTTTTGCCCCGCAATTCCGTAGTATATGTAGCAAGTGGATGTGTTGCCGTTTTCACTCTATGATGACAAATATATTAATTCAGACCAAAAGCGCAAACCCGGGGTGGATCGGACTCTTCCGGCGCGTTGGCTCCCGAGAAATGATGTGGCTGTGTAGCGGAGTCACCCGCCGATCCCCTTTTTGCGGACTCTACGCGTTCTGCTCGTGTGAGACCGCGCCGGTTCCCCGCTGCAAACCGAAATGCACTGCTAACTACTAGACCAACTCTCTCCTCCCAGCGGTCACCATTACAGCCTACACCACTCCTTCACAACACGACCATCGCAGCGCTGCATTGACAGTCGTCTGCGTCGCCCCACTCATCCCTCACACCGTCTTTGTAGGCGCCTCTTGAGATTTGCCCCGCACAGGGCTTCACCATCGTGCTCTCATGATTCCCAAATTTGCCACCCACTTGCTCCAACTCAAATCGCAAGGCACACATCACATACGCAACGTCCTCCAATCAACAAGCTCTACTACCTCTTTGCCATGGTCTGGCGTCGGATCTTCGAGTTCTTCCTGGGGAAGCTCAACCGGAGCCGGAGGCGCTAAATTCAATGCAGGAAGCCGGTTCTATGCAGGTTACACGGTAGGCCTGTCTGCTCTGCGCACATCTCTCAATCTCCTCATACCATTCTTTTCCCAGGGACCAGGTCGCGTTATCACTCAGGCCACATCAATTCCCGCTGCAGACGGGTCTAATGGGCAGCTTGACGATACGGACGAGCGTAATCAGGCTCTTCGAGCCAAGACATTATCTCTTACCGATGCTCCTCGTCTCCCTCGTCGTCGCAGCAGCGTGTCTCTACTCTCCTCCCGTCAGCATCTCTCTCCTGAAGCACCCAACGAAGCACAGAGCTCCGCGATACATACTCAGGCCAAACATGCTTTCATGAATGACGATCGTGTTGCCGCCACAACAGCAGAAGGGTGCGGCGACGTGTCCCCCCGAACCCGTCGTAATTCCACGTCTGTGTTGGATCGCGAAGTCTCATCAGCAGATTCAGACACCCTCGACAGTGATACAAACGGCCTGCTTTCCCAAGCGACCGAGGGTCAAGCTGTTGATGAAGAACCTGCACCATTGCGCACAGATGCTACCCTTGAGAGTCAAGTGGTGTTCGAGTCAGCACTTTCCGATCACCAGACCGCAAACGAATCGAGGTCATCGGAGCAAATCTCCATGACAAGGGAAGCCCTTCATGAGGAGCCAGCCGTCAAGAACATCCCGGTTGACCGAGAAGGCGAAGGTGAACATGGACTAAGCCCGACAGATCTCGAGCGATACAACGCATTAAAGTTGGCAAAGCAATCCGGCTCCGTATTGCAGGTGATGCAGGAGATTCGTAGGCTTCGGCAATCGGACGACGCCCACTCGGTAGGAACTTATAACATGGCCCTTCTTGCAGTGAATGCTGTACGGACGAAAGGCATGCCCATTGCCGTTATTCTCGAACTGTATAATGAAATGCTCGAGCGCAATCTCGTTCCGAACTCTGTCACTTATGCAAACGTCATCCGTGCTCTCTGCGATCGCGACCACGACATCAACGAACTGATCGCATCTGGCCAATTGAGCACTTCCGATCAGAACACATCCGCCCGGACGGCAGCGGCTAATCCGGACGCATCGGCTGTGGAACACGCACGGCTACTCCGGAGGGAGGAGAATTTCGCATCTGCCATGGCGCTATTCAATGCGGCACATGCCCTCCGTGCCAGTCACTTCGGTATCGAAATCTACAATGTGCTGTTACGATCGGCTGGGTATCGTGGTGACATAGAATCTGCCATTCGTGTTTACTCGCATCTGGAACGTCGTTCAGATATCAAGCCAACCATAGCAACTTACGGGCATCTTATAAGCGCGTACGCGCGTGGAAAGGACGTCGATGCCGCGCAAGACATCTTCAATGAATTCCGAAACGCCGCCAAGTCTGGCAGTCTCGACTGGGGAGCAAATCAAGTTGCAGCCAGGCGCGTCTTCATGCAGGTGTACAATCGTATGATATCGGCCTATTTCCAGTGCGGCGAGCCACGAGGAGCATTGGCGTTATTGGAGGAGATGCTTGGGCCTCACTCGAAGGAGAACTTTGGGCCTAGTGATATTCCAGCGCCATCGACATCGACATTCACTGAGATAATTGCTGGTTTTTGTGACAGCGGCGATGTTCGCAGCGCTGTGAAATGGTTCGAGCGACTGCTGCAGAGCCAGACGACGGCCCCAAGGAACGATCCGTACGCCGCATCCAAATCACCCTTACGGCCTGATCGTGAAGCTTGGGTGGTCATCTTCCGCCACTTGGCTGAAGCAGGACAACTGGAAAAACTGGAAGAATTGCTCTCTCGCATGATCGAAACAGCACCGCAAGGCTACGTCCCACTCCAGGCATCGGACATTAACGAGTTCATCAGCGTGAACACCGATTACCTTTCCTCTAGTGAAGGCATGGAACAACGATCTAGATCTCTACACATTGTCAAGCAGCTGAAGTCTATTCTCCCGCAGTGTGCGACCATTGCCAAACTATCGAATCAACGCATCTATGCACACGAATGGACTTTGACTCGAACACTCATTCAATTGGGAGAGTTCTCCGATGCCCTCAGGTGGATGGATGCTCTGGTTTCCCGTGAACTGCAAGACATAGAGGTGGCGCGCGGCTCAAAAGTTGGCGAATACCTGACTCACGGGCTGCAACGTTCGCTGCTACAGTCATCTGGGGAATTTCTGGAAGCCTCCCAGCACTGTGAGCAGACTCTCACCCTGACGCAGCTCCTCGACTTGATGGCAATTCTACGCGAGGCGGGTGTCGTACCAGAGACGCGATTGCATGCTGCGTTGGTCTCCATGTATATGAACTCGAAGACGGAATGGCTGCAAAAGATGCCTGAAAGGACGTCTCTGCTATCCATCATCAATTCTTTCATCGCCGTGCACGCATCGGCAGCTGCTGGGGATGCAGTTTCAAGAAGCAATATGGAACCGTATTTCACCTCGTCGTCATCCTTACCTGGCATGGAATATCTCCTCGAGGACTTGCGTGCCACCGCATCGCCATGGAACGGCAACATCCCGCTGCTTGTCCGAGACGTCGTGCCCATCTACGAAACACTGATTGCCACAGGGGGGCCAGAGTTCACTACACTTGCTTTAGAAAAGCTGGGATCATTGGGTCAAGAAGCCATTCGGTTTGTTGATGAACAAACAGGACTCGCCTCAGCTTGTGCATCCGAATCTGACGCTCCATTGTCATCGTCCTTGCCATCCGAAAGCGGGAAGGTCGCTTCGAACACTGACGCAACTGCATTGACGTCTGAGGTTGACAGTGCATCCAGTGTGTCCGAATATCCATTGGTACGGCCCCAGCGGATAAAGCCAGCACCCTTCAAGATAAATTACAAACTCTCGTCGATGATCGAATCACAGCGACATCGCCTGGACGAGCCCATGCGCTTTTTCGGAATGATCGTCAACGATGCAAAGCGACGACTTTTTGTCACGCCTTCGGCCCTGAGTCTGGTTATTAATGCACTTGGACGGTCCCACCATCTGGACAAAGCGAGAGAGCTGTATTCTATTGCCCAGATAATATTGGCATCGCTCGAGGACGACAAAGAGTCTCAGACTCGAGCCTGGTTCGCTGTGGAAGATGCCATGTTGTGCACCCATGCTTTTGCCAATGACATGGACACGGCAAATGTCCATCGTGCGAGGATGATTGAACAGGGTGGAGCACCCAGTGCCGAAGCATACGCTGTCCTAATCATGACCGTGAACGATTTCACCGATGATTGCAACGTGGCAATGTCGCTGTACAACGAGGCAATTTCCCTTGGAGTAGTCCCCAACGTGTTCCTTTACAACAACATTATCTCAAAATTGTCGAAAGCCCGCAAAGCAGAGGCAGCCCTCGAGATCTTCCAGGAGATGAAGAAGCACGGCGTTCGCCCAACTTCTGTGACTTACGGTGCACTGGTTGGCGCCTGTTGCCGTGTTGGCGATGCGGATACCGCTATGTATTTGTTCAGCGAGATGTCGGCTCAAGCGAACTTCCGACCCAAGGCGCCCCCATTCAACACCATGATCCAGTTCTTTGTTCATACAAAACCCGACAGGGAGCGTGCACTACATTACTACAATTTGATGGTCGCATCAAATGTACAACCAAGTGCCCATACATACAAGGTATGTTGTATACCAATCCATCCATATGCACAGTGACTAACAAATTATAAAGCTGCTCATGGATGCATACGGGTTGATTGAACCTGTTGATATGAGTGCTGTGCAGATCGTCTTTGATCAGCTCGTGGCAAGAAAAGATTTACAGGTGCAGGGTAATCACTGGGCATCTCTTATCACTGCTTGGGGTTGCTCGTGCAAAGATGTTGAGCGAGCTCGCTCGATTTTCGACTCTATCCTGTCGCATCCCACCACATTGCGTTCCGGACAAAAGCTGCCAGACGCCCAAACATGGGAGGCGTTTATCAACGTGCTCGTCACCCAACACCGTTTTGATCTCCTTGGTCCAACTTTGGAGAACTTGCACCAATCTGGTGTCCATATGACTGCATATATCGCGAACGTGGTTATCAGGGGCTATGCGTCTGCTGGCAGTATTGAGCAAGCGCGCGCTGTTTTCGAGGGCATGCGGGATCCCCCGGAAGGAATGGCAGCTTCGTTCAACCACCTAGCGTATAACAGCGTTGAGTCAATTCCGGTATCTACTGACGCACCAGTATACCGTGAGCCATCAACGTACGAGGCCATGATACGGGCTGAGATGGGAGTTGGTGAGCGAGCGCGGGCATTGGGTTTACTGGAGCGCATGGAAGGACGGTAAGGACATTCAGCCCGGCATAGCTTGATGCTGATAGGCGTTTTGCTTTAGACACTTTCCACCCGCAGTAGAAGCCCGTATACGGGGGCTGGTAAACCAGACGATAACGTCAGAGTGGATTCCCGATCTCTTTGATCTCCAAGGCTGGCAAACGGGTTCGTACGGCATGGACCTTGCACACCTCCCAGTTGCCCCCATTACGCATTATACACCACCACCTGTCGACATGGCTATGTATGTCGAAGCATCCGCTTGATCTGCTGACCTCCATCGCTTGGTCTGGTGAGCACTGTGTTCCGTCGTTCCTCCTATATTTTCCTGTTTTTCTTTAAATCTTGTAAGACCTGAAGCTATGTCTGCACATTGGCACAAGTGTACTGTATTATTACAATCTTGCATGACTGGATAGAGGGGAGCGTAGATAGTCATGATGTGTACTTTCAGGACTCATTCGGTAAAAGAGATATGACAGTTCCGTTGTCGCAGATTATCTTGAATCGCACTGTAGGCAACAGAATCAGAATGTGTACTGTTTCATTCAAGGGCAGGTGGCTCACAAATGGTGAATGGCGCTCCTTTCACTTGCCGAATACTAGTGAAATACACACTGCCTTTTCCTGGGTTTTGTTAATGCAAAGGTGCCAAACGATCAACTGGAGTAGAGCTACCCTTGGAGCCTTGTATGCGGAAGCTGACATCGACATTGCCTTGGAGAAGATTGACCTAGTCGAGTGCTCAGATACGGGAGTTTTCTAGTTGGATAGCAATTCATACAGCTCCAGAGATAAACGGGTCACCCAATGCCCACCACTGAGGCTCGAACCGAATGCTTTGACCCAGCACGGGAGTCAAACGCGGATCGAGCTTCAAGCGAGAGATGAGTTGCTGAACGACGGAGCTGGAGAGTCGTTCCTGATTCATTGCATATAAAAGGAAAGCGCCCCATGCAGAAAGCCCGAGCACGCCAAGTCCGATAAAAAGCGGTGTTTTACTCTATTCGGACGAACGATGGGGTCAAATGGGAAGACGTCGACAAAGAGCAGGCAAGAGGCACACTTTAATTTCCGGTAGATCCTGAGGACGAGAGGGCTTTGGGCGGGAATACGCAGTCGAGGCGGGGGTGGAGCCGTGGGTTGCAGAGTAGGCTCTTGTCGAGGGCGTCTTCCGAACGAGACGGAGTATAGCAGGAAGGCGCGATGGTGATGGACGTGCAAAACGTAGAGTGATACCGGCTGTCATGTTGGAGGACAAAGTGGTCGGCGGAACACTGAGCCTGTATGGGAGGATGAACCCACTGACAACGACGAGGGCGTCGTCCAAACGTCCGAGCCGTCGACTGAAGAAGTGCTTGTTCAAGGTTGGGTGCACCTGGATTACGTCAAGTGGCGGTGCGACTTTACATACCATGCGTGATCAATCGGGCCCGGAAAGGTAAAAAGTCAGCACTTGAACAACAGCAACAACCTCCTAGCGCCATGATAATCTTCTCTGTATGGGGAGCTGTTCCCTTATCCACCGCACTCCTTTTCACTTTCTCACTCGTATCTGCCGTTCCCATTGCTGCGCAAGCTGAATGGCCTCAGCTCACGGATTCCACGTTCTCGTCATCCCTCTCCCGCGGTCTATGGTGTGGAGTTTGCTGCGGTGTATCCATTGGTGGCACTGAACTTTTTGATAGGTTTGTTGAATTTTTCAGTCCTCAGTGCAGTCATTGTAAGAAGTTTGCTCCCACATGGGAAGCGTTGGTTGTCGCAAAGACGAAGCAATGGGGCCCGTACGGATTCTTCATGGCCCAGGTCAACTGTCTAGCGCAAGGAGGTGCGCAGGTTTACTTAAATCCTCTATTATTTTGGTGGAAGCTGAAGCGCAATGTCTAGACCTTTGTGATGCGAATGGTGTCGAGGCCTATCCAACACTGAAACTATTCCGTGATGGCGTCGAAGTCAAGAAGTTCTCAGGGAAGCGGTCTTTTGAGAATGTATCAGACTTCATTGATGCCAACACCCGTGAAATCCTCCTCCAAAAAGACGCTGTCACCCGGCTAGCTTTGGGTGAAGTACCCAATCCAACAGGAGAAGTTTTAGTCCTAGATCCCGAATCATTAGACGCACACAAGTCGAAGGGAATACCCATGTTTGTCAAGTTCTATGCTCCATGGTATGGGACAATTTCGCTCAATGAACTCATTGCTAATCCTTCTTAGGTGCTCACATTGCAAGCATCTCGCTCCAAGTATGTGCAGGTACTTGTCATATCCTACATGTTCTGAGCACGTTCGAACAGAGTGGATAGAACTTGCCGAAGCGGTGAAAGGTATCCTTTTGATAGCTGAATTTAATTGTGAGGCCAATAAGGCTGCCTGCAAGAAGGAAGGTGTTCCTGGATTCCCTCAGTTGGTCTTGTTAGTGTCTCTCGCGTTGCGTAAGCAACTGTCACCTAACCTTCTGGGGTAGTTTCCAAGGGGGGGAGAAAACCGAATACCGTGGGAAGAGAGAGCTGGCATCTATGCAGGATTGGGCGACGAATGCTGTATCTGCGAGGTGAGTGCTAGACTTCCTTGACTGATGAAGGCTTACAGATATCAGCAGTGGCGTATCTGATGTTGGCCTGCGTGAAGTTGAGGCATTGTTGGGGAGACAGCCCGTCTTTTTCCTATACATGCATACCCTAATGTCAAATCGTGAAGAAGTCGTGAGTTTCAGTTACTTCTCCCAAGGAGTCGCGCATGACCATGCCAATTAGGAAGAGGTCCAACGTACTGCTCAGGTCTTGCTTGGCACACCGCCCTTTTATAAAACGCGAGACCCGGACGTATATAATCTTCTCGGTGTGGATCCCAATCGCGGCCCGGCTTTGGTCGCAGTGAAGGATCATGAGCCTAGAGCCGTGGCGACATTTTCGTTATCTGTCCCCTATGAGCGCGAGTCTACTGTAGCATGGCTGCAATCGCAGAAATTGGCAACTTTGGCAGAACTCAATACGCACAACTTCGACGAGGTGATGAGAAATCCTTCGAAGCCGATCGTCGTTTTGGGCGCCTTCGATGGAAGTACGTCGCAGGACCAAGCGGTTCTTTTGCAGATCTCCAGGGAATGGCGAGACCGCGATACAAAGGTCTTCAATCGACCGGTGGTCTTCGTCTGGATGGATAAGACGAAGTGGACTAAATGGTTGAAGAGCATGTACGGTATCAAAGTCACCAGTGGAGCGGCCGTTGTTATCTCGGATCATAGCGTGAGAGTGATCGCCACACTCCGTTTTGATGAAACTCACAGTTTTCCCAGGTTCTCAGATATTATGATCGTGATGCGACTGGTCAAAAAATTTCCCTGAACCAGCAGAGTATTTTTTCTGCCCTCGATGGTATCGATCGGGGCACGGTGAGCAGCAAGCATTCAGAGAATCTCGCCGAGCGCACCATTCGAGTGAGTGGTTTTCGCTCGTTCGTTTCATGTTCTTAAACAATGTCCACACTGTCTAGAGCATGAACAATGGACTGGAGTCCCTTGGTGTAGGTCTCTTTGTGTGCGTCTCGAGAGTATTCCAAACTTAACTGTTTTTTTTAGCGATGGGCGACTTCTCATCCTTTCTACGCTGGTGGCGTAGTGCTTGTGTTATTCATAGGCTTGATCTGGGTCGTACGGCAATTCATCCTATCAGAACTAGCCCCTGTTGGTTCATATCCTAACGGATATCACAAGCCTGAAGGTCGGCTTGACTAAACAGTAGCATCCTTGTATATCCCATTTAGAAATGATACTTGACGACGTAATGTAATCTACCTTGGAGGCTGTGCCCATTCTTGTGAAGGTCCCTGAATTGTAGGACTGCATGTGTCTGTACTTCGATGAGTTCGCCAACCCGGGTGAAGGTCATCACTCACGCGCCTCTTCCTCTCGTAAGGGTATGGTTCGAGGTATCCACCGCGGTTTTGAGGGGGGCCACTGTTCGGGACCTCAAAGAAGAGCTTTGCCAGAGCATACCTGCTCTCGCAGATGGAGGATTGTCAGCAACCAACATAACCCTCGAGATCGACGAATTCGAACTGCTGGATGAAAGTGGTGTCTCAGTAATTCAGAATGAAGATCTTTTAAGGTGAGGGTAATGTGGCATCAGATTGCATGCCTTGGCTGATGCCGTGGTAGCATCAAAGCGAAATCACCTCCGCACAGCATCGGGCTGCCTAAGAGACGGCGAGAGGCTGTTGGTACACGCCATGGCCTACGGATACTGCCCTGCATGCTGATGCCTTCCAGACTATTTTCCATTTCAAGCAAAGAGACGTAGAGTTGACGGAGTGTTCGAGACAAACCCTCCTCGGTACGTTCGGAATTCTTGTTGTACACCAACCCTAACCTGTCACAAATAAAGATTGCAAAATTCTCCTGCCAACACAGGTGACGTGTCGTCATCAACCCCAAGCAAAACTACCGATGAAGACTCTTCATCTTCTGGTGATGTGTCCGAGGAGGAGAACGAAGAAGAAAATGAAAGTCAGTCCACGAGTAGCACGTCGACGCAGGATTCTTCGGAGTTTTCCAAATCGACTTCTGCAGCAGTGGATGTTGAAAGCGGGGCGCTCTCTAATATTTCAGAGATGGCCGTGCAATTGAATGGCCCTCCACCCCATGCGATTCAATTTTCTCCCATGTACGCCGTCACACTAAGGATCACGGGTTTTGCTAAATTCATACTAGAGCTCATGAATCCACAAGGACACAAACCGCAAGACCAGTGCCACCCGGTGAGGGCAAACCCTCAACTCATGCTCGAAATGTCAGACGCCGCAAACGACAAGCTCTCTTGAAGGCTGGTTCAACTATAACTCCACACGAGGAATCCACGCCGACCTTGGCACCAGAATCACTGCATCAGGGTGGTAATGAACAACATCTTGATGGCCTTCCCTACGATACGCCGCCGCCGGAACCCTTACCAGTTTTCAGTGCCATGGCGGCGTTGACACTCCCCTCAAAACTGACAAATAAGAACAAGCGAAAAGGTTTTAAGAAGTCCATGGACGGGAAGGCGGGGCAGAAGATAATATTTGGGAGTCCCTCAAGGCATCATCGACTGATTCCTCCCTCTGAAAAAGGGGATATCCCTCATAACATGTTCATCACCAGTGTGGATTGTTCGGCACGGGAAACAATATCAATGGAAATGATCGACCATGCGACCATTCTATCTTCCTCTGACTGGGACCGAATAGAGGGGAAGTTCGATTCCTATGAGAAAGTTTCTTCACTCACAGACCTTACGACTGGAGATGTGGTGGCATGGCAAGTATGGATCCCCGTAAGAGCCGCATGATCGAGCCAGCTGACTTCTCACTAGGCGCTCGCTCTGAACCAGCGTACTTGCAGCCCTGAGGTTATGCTCCATCTTGCTACGGTAGTCGCAGTCTCCAGACAAGAGGAGAACACATGTACGGTATCATTCCTACAGAGACCGGAAAAGCGTAGCCATGATGAAGAAGATGACGCAAGCATGCTAATAGAGGTACCGGTGGAGGAAGTATTTGATGCAGTTGCCGTATTGCAATCAGGGTGGAGACGAATAGTATTATAATACAGGATTAGTCGCTATCGCTGTCGGTACTGTCATCGTCGCTGTCATCATCCGTACCGCTTTCTTCATCCTCTTCCTCATTATCATCGCCATGGATCGGCGAGGGCTTAACGCGACCACCCTTCATCGCGGCAAGCTGTCCCTCAAGCGTATCCTCATCCGGATCAGATATCTCATCATCCTCAGCATCAGCGTCGGCACCAAGAACAGCCGGATCCACCACTTGTAGCTATGTAAACCAGTCAGGCACGCACCAGCTCTGGAGGAAAGTGTACAGACCTTCACATCCCTCACTGCATCTTCTCCAATATACGTATCACTCATAATGTGCACGGTGAATGGATAAATGGCGACTTGTGGTGGAGCCTGGAACTGGATCTTGTACATGCGATAGTTGTGAGATGGCCGGCTCTCGTCTGATAAAGGGATATTGGTGATGCGGATGGGGGGCACAACCACACGGTCTGTTCTTCGATCACCGATGAAAATCCACCAAGATGGTCTCCGAGCCTGCGTAAGCTAGTGAGATGTGGCCCACAAGTAGAACAGCCATAAAACTGACATCAGGCCATCTTGGGGCGTGCGCTAAACCGGGCGTCACGGCCCCTTTTGGAAGATCTTCGGCCTCCTTCCGCGACAACAAAAACGCGGTCTCGCTATCGTTACTGAGCTTGGACGTGTCCAAATCCCTGGAATCAGCCTGGTCACTGGGTCCTTCTAATATTTCAAGCGGCTGCAATCGAAGCTTGAGGACCAAGTGAACAATTGCGCCAGGTGTGACCACCTTCTCATCAATAACTGTTCCGAAAATTATGAGAATATACAAGAATCTTCAGCAGGATTAGACATACCTTTGAAGTATGCATCTACCACCTCTAGTCTCCCCCACTTGCTAAAGGCCTTTTTTGCCAGCTCTAATCGCTCATCGCCATTTCTCTTCCACAGCCTCAAACGAGTCTCCAATCCCTCCGGTATATCCTCCGCAACTTCCTCGATCTTAATGAGGGGTAACTGCTTCAAGACTTCATTTGGCAAGCCTGGAATGACCGCCTGAGCCAACACGGCGTGTAGCTGCATGACTTTAACCGAGAGGGCGAGCCAATTGTGAGAAAGCGCAATGGAAAGCATGGATTTGAGCATATCCCGCGTTGTTAGCAAGAGGTCGTCTTGCTCTTTAGAAGAATATGAGCTCTTGCTCTTGATGATGGGGGGAAAGACATACCATGTCGAAGCGAGGCGTCCACCAGAGGCAAGCGTAAGAGGTGCGCCCATAAAAGTGCGGTTGCTCGCCTCGTGCTGGCCCGATCGAACACTCCGGCTGGCACCCATTCTGGCACCTTCTCTCGCACGATCTTGACCAACCCATCCAGAGTCTCATTGGCGTGGGGTGACCGACGGTGCGGCGGCGTCTCCAGCTCCCATGCATGACCCAAAAGCTCGACGAGTGTCGCATACTCAGTGGAGTTGCGCAAGTTCTTGAAGAATACTGTTGCAGTCGCGCCCTGAACGTGATCCTTTGTATACCGGCGGGAACTGAACCACCACCGGCCGACCATGAAGGGCAGGCCGACCCCAAACAAAACACCATAGGTGGCCAGCACCCATATATTGTTCTGCCCCTCGACGATCCACTTTGGAATGGCGATGCCGACGCTGTATTCTTGCTTCCCATCGGGATGACCATACAGCTCAAGATTGCGCCGGACAGTCTCGTCTGTCAATGATTTATAGGCTTTGGTCAGCTCTACGAACTTCTCTTGTACCATCTCAATCGTCTCGTTCACGGCAAGCTTGACCTTATCCGGGTGACTACAGGAAGAATTAGGTACGCGCTCAAGAACACTTGAATTGAACCCACAATTTCAGGGACAGTCTCTTGTAATGTCTCTTGATGTCGTGCTCACTGCTTCCAGTTCGAATACCAAGAATAGCGAACGGGTCGTAGATCGACGTGTCAATCTCTAAGGTAGCAACTTTGTACAGCGTGTACACAAATGCGCTCCATAATGCGAGTGTAATGAGAGCCCTTAATATAGATTAATTCAAGGCATCGCAGGGGGGACTGGGTCAGCTGCTTACTTGGGGCCAACCCGCAGACTGAGCAAGGACTTTTGTTTACGTTTGTGTATACGCAGTTGGTTCGCACTGCACTCTACGCAAGGGCAGGAGTCATAATGCGCCTTTCCTAAATTATCTTGAGTACTTGAGAACACATTAATAGATAAGACCACTGACCTTTACTCGGTACGAACGAGTACGTGAGGGGTGCGAGTACGACAGCGAGAAAGGTGAGCACAAGGAAGTAAGCCATGCTCCCCGACTCGTCGTAGGAGTACTGAGCCATAGCGGACTAAAGGATGGAGGAATATCGCTCAAGTATAAGTGCTGAGAGAGAGGAAGACGTAAAGGAGCGAGAGTACGAGGGGAGAGTATATGCGCCTCGTATAAGATGCAGCGCCGGAATTTTGAGAAATTGGTAACGTGTAATGTAAGGGGTTAAACGCTATGCAAGCAACGTGGAAGAAGCTATTGTCTTACATCCGATAATAGCTCTTGTTATCGCCGACGGTCACACGACATCAAACAATTAGCATCCAATCAACAAGAATAGTCTGTAACTAGTAGTCAAAAAAAAGAGATTGGCCATATAGAAGCATGCGGGGCCTTTTGTACCGAGGAGAAACCCAGACAGTTTCAAGCGCGACAACAAACAAAATCATAATCGAGCTAGTAGGGCGCGAGACCAGTCATAGAGAAATGAACCCCCTCTATCCACGGTCGACCGGAGCGTAGCGCTCAGTCAAACGAGATTTTCTTCCCCTCCGATGCAGCGAAAGCACCGCTCCGGACATTGCCACGACCTCTGCCCCCACCACGGCCCCGGTCACCACCACGGAACCCGCCACGACCACGACCACGGTCATTGAAGCCACCACGCCCACCACCCCTACCACCGCGGTCACCGCCAAAGCCACCACGTCCGCCACGACCACCGCGACCACCGAAACCGCCAGAGTTATCCCTCGGCTGGGAGTAGTCTAAGCGAACGGGGCGGCCACCAATCTCGAGACCTTCCTTCCCAGCTTCAAAAGCGGCAGTCGCTCCGGCTTGGTCCTCGAACTCGACGTAGGCAAAGCCCTTGGGTTGACCGGTTTCACGGTCTGTCGGCAGACGCACACTACGCACTGCACCATAGTCGGCAAACGTCTGCCACAGAGCATCCTCGTCAGCCGAGAAGGCCACATTTCCAACGAAAATCGTCTGCGACGGCTCAGAGGGTGTATCACCGAATTTGGCAGCGCGTGCCTGGGTGTTCCGGGGGTTGGATTCAGTTTTGTCTACTGCGATGGCTCGACCATCGACTTCCTTGCCCTGCATGGTCTCAAGTGCCTTGGCCACGGCATCGGAAGTTGAGAAGTCGATAAAGCCGAACCCGCGAGAGCGGCCACTCTGTCGGTCGAGTTGAACACGAACGGACACGATCTCGCCACACTCCTCAAATTCGGTCTTCAACCAATCATCGTCAACGTTCCAGGAGAGGTTCTTTACGATGATCGTCTTGGAATCGCCAGCATCGGCAGCCGCTGCGCCAGCTGTCTGATCAGCCTTTGTCTTGGCGGCCTTCTTCGGAATGACAGGCTCCTCTTCGGCCTTACGCTTGCCGGTCTTGGGTGCAGCTGCCTCCTCCGTTTCCTCGTCTTCATCGTCCTCATCGCTCGACTCATCATCCTCATCAACATCCATTTTTGCGGCTGACTTGGGCGATTCTTCATCATCGTCATCATCTTCATCACTCTCCTCCTCAGCGACAGGCGCGGCCTTGCCGTTTGTCTTTGCCGCAGGCTCCTCATCATCGCTGGAATCGCTATCCTCGTCATCCTCAGGGGAAACAGGGGCTGCGCCATTTGTCTTTGGGGCGACGGATTTCGGTTCCTCATCGTCAGTCTCATCTGATGATGACTCCTCATCGGAAGACTCGTCCGCAACAGCTGGCTTGGGTTGCTCTTCCTCCTCGCTGTCATCTTCATCAGAGTCATCCTCGGAGCTTTCCTCGGCCTTCTTGCCGACAGGCACAGGCGGCTTGACCTGTTGAGCTTTCGATGCCTCATCCTCGGATGTTTTGTCTTCTTCATCGGAAGACTCCTCTTCGGACGACTCCTTTGCAGGACCAGGAGGGGGAGGGGCTGCAGCCTTCTTGCTCTTCTTTTCCTTCTTGTCAGGCTTTTTAAGCAAACAGTGAGCACACGACCAACTTTACAGAGGGAACAACATACAACAGCGGTGGTGGCGGCATCAGCTTTTGCTTTTGCGAGAATTTCTTTGGCAGAAAGCGGCACCTTGTTGACGTCGGTCTTGGGCTGCTTGCCCGGCTTTGCAGGCTTAGTTTCCTTTGCGGCTTTCACCGGTGCAGCAGCTGGCTTTGCAGCCACCTTGGTCTCCTTCTTCGCTTTCTTAGCTTGTGCGTCTTTAGCCATTGCGATGAGAGGGAGATGGAAGGAGAGGTAAGAGAGAGAGAGATAAAAGGCGAAAAGGGTAAAGAAAGTTGAAAGGAGGCGGTCAGGACCCGTTTACTTTTTTTGACTGAACTTCGTAGGCAAATTTCAATGGAGGCAAAATTAATCCACAAGCCGCGTTCAGCGGGCAGGTTTACTTCCGTATACGGAGGCAATTCCTATATTTGACGGGGACTTGGGAGAACGAACTCTTTTCTTTTCATCTACGCTCGAGTGATGAAAAAACAGATCACATTATTTTCAAGCTCAACAGTCCTAAGAGTCTTCGGACTCGCTGTGGAGACATCTTCTGCAATTCTGACGAGCAGATTTCATATTATCATATTTTCTCCCGCATTCTTTACATCCTGTACAAAGCAAGTCTCGACGTTCCCAATACTCAACTCTTGACATCCGCAAACGCGCTGATACCATTGTCGCCCTTGGGTGGATCATGAAGCTCCTCTTTGGTAACCCATTCTCCTGTAATGGGGTGTGGGTAGTGGAAGGGCACGGTGTGTGTGTCCGGCCAGAGCTGGGGGCGCAGAATAAGCCGCTACGTCCTGTTGTGTCATATATTGTGAATGAGATACCCACCCATTTGTCCTCGTACAGCTCATCAGGCCCAAGAGGATCTCCCTGTGCCACAGTCTTGCTGAGGAATGGCACGAATGTCGGCTAGACGACTGTTGAACACCTTCCTTACCGCGAGCCAAATGCACCTACCTTGGTGTGTGCCCATCCGTCCTCGAAAGTAGCATGCCACAGAGCCCTGTAATTCAGAATCTTGATCCTCCACTTCCCGTCCTCCCCACGCGCATACGTATTCTCGTATATCCCGCCCTCCCACCACTGGCGCAAACGCGGCTGGTTCGCAGAGTTAGGATCGATGGCATTATCGTGCGTGCCAGCTTGCATCATCAAGCAGCGCATGCGGGCCTTGGCGGTCTTCCGGTCGGGGGAGACGTCAATGATATCCTGCATCACGGGATGATCAAGAAGGAACCTGTTAAGCCGGTTCAGCACCCTTCCCCCCTCTACAGTCATCCTACGCACCCGAATACAGGCCCATTCCTCCCTCCCACGAACGCCTTCTGGAACCTCTCGATATACAGCCTCCTCGCGCCCGACTTGCCCTTGAACACCCCACCATGGAACTGGACCTCACAGTCCTCAGCAAAGAGGTCAACAACTTGGTTATACAGGCACTTGTCGAGGTAGTAGCCATACGTGTGCTGCAGCTTGCGCACAGCGTTGTGGTCTTCGAGCAGGTTGATACGCGCTTCAAGCGCCGCGAGCCGGTCCTCAGTGTTACTAGCCATCCTTCGACTTATTGGTATGCTCTCTGCGCTAGCCAGGTGGTTCGGTATGGGACAAACACGTAAGCGTGAATGTGGGGTGCACCCATCCGTTGGCCTCTTAATATGCCTCCCAATAGCTGCAGGGAGGATCATACATTGTGCCTCTTACAACTCCTCCAGTACCGTGACCTTGCAGTCCGCCACTTCTCGGCCGCGTGAACGTTATGCTCTCTTCCTTTGCGCGGGAGGAGGGGATGATCGGAGATTAGATTACGCGTTATGCCAGAACGGGGAGGAGGAACGACTGTAGAGCGCGTGCAGGTGTAATAGACGTTACGAGTCGTGCACATGATCAGTATCGTTGGACGACGTGGGGAATCCATTTTCGCGGGTACATGCACAGAAGGCGTGAACAAACGCTCGTCCTACATTCTTCGAACACGGAATGACAGGGTCCGGAGAGAAGGTACGGTACAAGCATATGCGATTAGAGTAGTATTTCAGCTTGGGGTATGTTAGTGCGCTACATGGTAAAGGGGAACAAGACGGGCGATAGGATGCCAGGATACGTATCTGCAGCGATGTGGGGAGTAGCAAGACAAGACACGAAAGGGAATTTGAAGGGGGGAGGGGGTGAAACAACGCATTAAGAATGTAGCAATAAGTATGAAGTCAAGCAATGTTCCAACAAGACGGGAGAGCGAAAGGAACAAGTAAGGGGATCGATCAAAGTTGCCATAGATTGCAGCCCAGCAGCACCGAGGATGACGAAGGAAAGAGGCGGACGAAGAGGCGTGTGCGTGTGTGGTATTGAGAAACGTGAGAGAAGAGAGAGGGAGCGTTCATTCGATTTCCTGGAATCGGCCTTCTTGCTGCGCTGCTCGAACGGGGTTCACCCCGTAGCCTGAGCGCTCAAGCCGGTCGAAGAGGACGAACAGACGCTCTGCCTCTATTTCCTTCTCTTCCTCTGTCATGGGTGTGTTGAAATCTATGATCGGGGCGGTGGATGTGCTTGTGCCCGTGATGGGGTTCACGTCGGAGTCGACGGAGTCCGGTGGTGGGATCATAATTCCCTTGTTGAATAAGAATCCAGCGACGTTTCCGTACCCGATTGCGGCGGCGAGGTGCTCAGCTGTTGGAAGTTAGGACGGGGCACAGCAAGGCAGTCAGGGAACTGACCATTCGAGTCGCACATAGCATATAGAAGCTCCCCCACCGCGTCCTTCAACCGAGACATATGGACAGAAGTGAGCAGCCGTACAAGCCTTCCTAGGAGGTCTGGTCTCCTTTCCAAGGGTGTTGAGCGGTCACTAGGGGCAAGTCAACACACGTTCATTTGGACACTTATCGAAGACGCACAGATCAGGAGGGAGCAAACCCATCCTTGCCCTCATTTTTATCGTATCGTTGCCCGCCACGAGCCGTTGTATGAACAGAGCTAAAGGCGATAGAGCCTCATCGACATTCACATCTTCCTTCTTTGCCATGAGCCGGACCTTGGGATCGTCCGGTTCCGTTATCTGCAAGTCGGAGGAAGGGAAGTAGTGCGCAAGGGCTGTGTTGAGCAGCTCCATGCTCCGCTTGAATGTGTCAGTGCTCTGTTGAGGCGGGGAACGGCGCCCAGTGATGAAGGGATGTCTGTCGGAGGAGATGGAGCGCCGTTGAAGGTAGTTGAGCGCACGCTGGCCAAAGGATTCAGGTGGGTGGTGCGCGTGACCGTTCGGGCTGGAAGGGGAAGACCGGGGAGGGAACAAAAGGGAGCTGAAGGATTCGACGGGGACGTTGAGGAGTACGTGGATAACATGCGTGAGGGGCGCTGTGAGGGGTACTGACGTAGGTGGAAGGCCGTGATAGAGTCGTAAAAGGGTAGGAACAATTCTGGAGAGCAGATCAGCACATGCATCGCCAGATGAATGCGCGCGCATACACTGTAAACTTGTCATCCCAGAGCTCTCCGAGCACCCGATTGCTGCCGCCGGGGGTCTCGTCGACTATACGAGGATATTGTAGTGTCATGTTAAACGTGATCTTGAGCAGATCGGTCATTGCTTCCCGTGTCCATGGGGAAGTGATAGGGAAAGTTTCGAAGATACTTTCCAGGCGCTGTGTAGCTCATCAGTACGTTGATCGGGGGGAGGGAGATGAGACGCACCCGTGAAAGGGTGTCCATAATACGGTAATGATCGACCATCTTTACAATGTAGGGTGTACGAGCGACAGTAATGAGGTATACGATGCGGGCTGCGGGGAAATACATTTCGGGGCTATAATGATCTCTCTGCATATGATGAGCGCGGGGAGCTGGCCTGAACGGTCGGACGCACCTCTAGAATGTCTATGCAAGCATCGGCCCCGCCGATATTGATCCACTCTTGTCTCGCGGACGGGACGAGCAAGAGGGCGTTGGCTACGCAACGCATGGCCTCTGACTGTGCGTCGGTAGGGAGAGAAACGGATTTGACGACTTTGAGGAATGCACGGAGGTTCTGTGACGAGTTTAATGGTGACCTCGAGTAGACGTGAGAGGGAAACACACTTTGGTCTGGCCGAACACCTGAGCACCTTCGGGTACCCGAGCAAGGACCTTCGCAGCCAGCAGAGCCTGGGTTGTCTCTGAAGATCATGTGAGCTCCCCGATGAGAAAGCATGAGTATATGCGCACCCTTCTGACCGATCCTGCCCCTTCCATCTGCGACGTCGTCCAGCAACACCTGTATGAGCAATACCCGATCGCGAGTTCCTGCACCAGCGACGATAGACTGAAGAGCTGCGCTGACTTTTGACCTGTCGTTAGTGCCTAGAGCGGAGTACGATGCAAATGTGGCCATGATTGGGGGTGTGCGCATGGGGTTGTGGGATGTGGGTAGATGGAAGATGGTGGATTATGGATTATGAGGGGATGGGTGTTGTTTGTAATGAGTGGTGGGATGATGGGTTCCGTCTTGCGGTGTGCCTAGTTGGTCGATGAGGAGATGGGGGAGGAGGGTGAGGAGAGAAGAGGATGAGGTGAGCGTCTGAAAAGGGTCCGAGAAGAGGGAGAAAGGGAAGTGTGCTGGAGGATATGGTGGCTGACGGAGTAGCAGAGTGTTCCACTCCTTCCAACGGTGTTTCATTTCCTCTCCTTGTCAACCATTACTTTTTTCATTTTCATTTCTACCCGTTGCTAAGGGCTTACGGGGTCCTTGTCCTTCTTCGCCTCCATTCCGCCCGATTCAAAAAGATCGGCACTCGTCAGGGCACCTTATTCACCCCATATCTGACCACTATTTACGCTTATAATTCATCCATCACCTCATCATTCCAAACCTTACTCAGAATTAAATATCGTCATCACGTTTACTCAGCCTTAACCCATTGTCCATTGTCATCAATCTTCTACATTGTCCCTTCTAGCACTTTTACACACGCTACACGTCGGACTGCCTGACAACTGTCCCGGCACACGGCGCAACACCTCAAAAATCCGTCAGGCGACCCGCTCCCCGGGCCGGCATAGAGACGGCATCTTGCACAGGCGTCAGGCACGTGGCATGACAAGAATGTAATGAAAAGGTCACGTCAGGGGAATGAGTAGCCAGGGTTTTGTACGGAGATTCCTATTCCTCCGGCTGCGTCTGATCCCGACCGAGTGCGACCGGCCCGTCTATGTCCTTTCCTTATCGATGAAGGCGATCGCACGAGATCAAACAATACCGGAACATACAACTTTTCACTCTCCGGTTCTGAACGTCAAGTAAACTTCAGAACATTGATATCTAACAACTTACAGCCCCAAATGTCCCCTACACTCTGCCCGCAACCAATCCGTCACCGCAAGCTTTCGGACTCTTCCCTCTTAGAACAAGTCGCCCCTTCCGCCCATCGGGGCTCACCTAGCAACACCCGCTCTTCGACGCGGCACCCTTCCATTTCTAGCCATTTCCCGAGCGCGTCGGGCCAATCAGCGTCCACGCTGGCCAGGCAACAAGAATCTTAGGAATACGTACCTTATTCTCGACTTTCTCATAACCGTACAGGAACCGCTGCCTGAAGCAGTCCTTTAACCGTGCTGGCCGTCGGTAAGGCACCTAAAAGGCATATCGCTGATACGGCCCGAGCATGCTTTCGTTGGCTCTCTCACGCATTCCGGTATCCTGACCTTTTGAGCTCTGGATTCTTGCCTGGAACGGGTATGCTCCCCGAGCATGGGATCTACCGCTTCCAGCTAGTAAAGCAACGAAGACTCCAAACACGCGCAAAGGGGTTAATGACCGTCGCGGCATCCCGTGGCAAGTTCCGATCTCGGGGATTAGCTCAATCCCGAGCCCGAACGCTGGCGTCCTTAGGCATCGCCTTTCTTGGCCGAGGCTTGGCTTCTTCTGTCTGGGCTACAACAGAACTTGTTTCACGCACTCTGTTAGAACACCCTACAACGCTGCTAGACAGTAAAGGTGTCCGGGCACACGGGCACACAAACAAAGTCGCGCTGTATTGGCTGCAACAGAACTCGTTTCATGTGCTCTGTTCCCGGAAGTATCCTGCAACCCTGCTGCGGGATAGTAATGCTGTCCATGTACACGCGTTCTGCAGGCGCACAAATGAGATAGCACGTTGTTCTTCTCATGGGAGCTCGTGACATTGCCCAGGTGGCGCATGGGCAACATGTGAGTGCTACGTGGTTGTTTCATGTTGCCTGCTTCGCGCTCTGGAAGCACTGTGACATGCGATCTCTTCGTCTTGTCGACACAAAAGGAATATCCGTTTGGACGTTTGTATCACATCGCATCTGGCATGAAGTACTGTAAACATGGGTTTCTATCAGGCGATGATGTACCTTTTTCTTGTTCAATCGTCCAGGCGGCGGGGCAGGTGGCAAACCCCGCCCCAAGACTGAAACGTCGTTTTCCTTTTATGGATCGATGATCTGTGCTTTTCCCTGCATCTAGCAAGCCTTTGTCGGGTGATGTTCCAGTCGCGCGTGGCGCTCGCACGATTGTGGACTTTACACATTGTCCTTTTTTCGAGGGTGTATGCGGACATGTCCAGCAGTGGAGAGACTTTACACATTGGTGCAACCCGAAGATACCATTTGGAATGAATTCTGTCGTGTCCTCACATGAGAATTTTCTGATGACAGGCGCGGTGTGATATAATCAATGACATTGATTCTTGATTGTCTTTCCTCGTGCAGAGTGGAGTGGTGCGTTAATCATTGCCTTTCCCCTGCCAAGGTCCATTAAATGCTTTTTTTTCACTTTATTCGTCCCATCACTGGCTCTTGCTTTCTCCCGGAAATCCGGCTTGTTAATTCTAAATTTATTATTGGATTTTGTTTTGCTCTCCCGAGGCCGATGCCCCTCCTAACCTTGTCAACAGTACGACGGTGGTTCGACATTCCAAAAGATTCAGGGTTCTTCTATGCATGATTTGGTTTATTTTGAAAGCAGACTCAGAGATATGTCGCTACGTTAATCGTGGTCCCGGGGGCCACGCAGCGTTGGAACTACATGTAAACTATTACTGTATTCGAACGAAGCGATTCTTCGAGGTTCTGCCTTTGAGATTTGCGATGAACAGAAGACCCATCACCGATCGTTTCTTTTATATGATACTATTGACCATCTACCTAGTTCGTTGGGATTCAAGGCATGCTCCTAACCAGTCTCTTATTCTTGTCGCCACACCGGATAATCTTCCGAGTAACCTAATTCGCTTCCGCTGCTTCGTATTCAATGCGAACAATGAAATCTTTCAGCGCAACAGTCCCTGACGCCATCTCCGTGCACTCCTCCTCCTTCCTCTCTCCTCCTCCTCCTCCTCTTCCTCAACATGTCCAACCTCTCTCCCTACCCACCAGCAATCCATTCACCCTTTCCTGCTTCTGCCCCGCAAACACCAGGTGCCTCCAGCGCAGACGACTCCAGCGACTCCGAGCCAGACGCATCGGCCCCATTCACCCCATTCACGCCATACACCCCCGGTCCTGATGGGCCTGGTGTCAACTCTCCCGGACGGTCACCTACCACCCCTCGCGAGTTCTTAGGGCTCAAAGGGTCCGAGCGGAGGAGACCGGAAGGCACACTTGGACATGTAGAGCTGCTGCTCGAAGCACTTGCGGAGGAGCTCAATACCCTCCAGACGCGGGCTGAGGCTGTTTATGCACCGAGGAGAGAGGAAGATGGACCGCTGATTCATGCAACTGTCAGGGAGGTGGTGGACAAGCTGCAGCAGCTGGAGGAGGCGGCGCCGGGCTTGGACGAATGGGTACCAATACAGGTGCTTGAGTACGTCTTCTGTCGTCCGGCAGTCTACAACTGAGAAAGTGGACTAACGTACGCTAGGTATCTGGATGAGGGGAGGAATCCGGACGACTACACGCGTACTATGCTCGAGCTCACAGCGGCCGAAAATCAGTTCACGAACGGCAAGGTGCATGCTGTGCACGTACGTCTGCCTCCCTTCCCCTGCGATTTCTGATTGAAACATCATACGTAGTCGTATCTTCAACTATTATCCGCTGGGATAGCGGAAGCCTTTCCAGATATGGCAGAGTTCGTCCCTCCACCTCAGATACCGTTGGACGATATGCCAAGCGCACAGGACGAGGGCGGGATGTCAGGGCAGGAGAAGAGTAAGGAAGTGCGAGAAGTGCCCATTGTGGTGATCGATGAGGCGCCAAAGGTGGAGGATAGCGCTGCACCGAAAGGAGAGCAAGCCGTTCCAGGGATCCCGGTGGATGCAAGCCAAGATTTGGGAGGGCATATCGATGTTGGGATTGAGGAGCCTCTGGCACCGGCGGCACCAACAGCAGGGCAATAGGTGTTTTGGGGACCGTTGTTGTAGCTGGTATATAAACATCTGGGTAGAATTTGTAGTGCAATTGTATACTACTCAATATATATCCGTATTATCTTCTGTGAGATTGGAATACAGCCTGGGGATTGGGCGCTTATCTGAGGGCTGTGCATTGTGTTCAACATGCAAGGCTCTTCTATATCACTTTGCCATTCAATACTCACTTTACAAGGGTATTACCGGCTTGTTTCCCAACACAAACAATCTCGGGATTACAATATATTCTTCTTGGATTAAAGGAATATACGAGGATGGATCTGCCTGAAGTGTTTGATGTTCTCCTACTGGGTACCTCTCTTCCACAAGCAATTCTGGCGGCGTACGTCCTTGCCATTCTCCTCCAACTATAGACTTATCGTATACCAACACAGAGCCCTCTCCGCTCACGGCTTAACAGTTCTCCATGTCGACCCCTCACCACTCTACGGTTCTTACGACGCGACCGTCACACCCTCAGACCTGAACTACCTCTCCTCCCACCCTCCTCCTTACCTTCACAAACCAGCGCTGTGCATCCTTCCCTCTGCCAAACTTGAGCTGGAGAAGCGTGCGAGGGACTATGCTCTCTCTCTACGCCCAGGGCTGGTACGGAGTCATTCGCCTTTGATCGACGTGCTCGTAGGAAGCAGGCTGAGCAAGCAATGTGCGTTCCAACTCGTACAGGGGTTATTCCTCTACACACCTATCCCATCCACGCCTGCATCTGCAACCGAAGGGCAGTCTACCCCACAATCTCAGCAGCCAACAGGAAAAGCAGTCAAAGTCCCTTCATCAAAAGAAGACATCTTCTCCTCCCCTCTTCCCCTGCTCACAAAACGCAAGCTCATGCGCTTCCTCCTCTGGTGCACCGGCACTCCTTCTGGTACACCCTCCGTACCTGGACCAGAACAGGGGCATGGGAGGGGTTTGATTTCGCTTGAGGAACTACCAGAGCTGAGGGGGAAGGAGGACATGCCTCTTGTGCAGTTCTTGCACGAGGTGTTTAGGCTGGACGACGAGGGTGCTAAAGGGCTCACATATGCTGTCGCGCAGCGTGTTCGGGCAACCGGTGCGTGTCGTTTCCCAATAGTTGCTGGCACCACTCACAGAAGCCTTTCCAGACCCAACCCTCCCGGGCCTGCGAGCGATCCGCCAGCACCTCCTGGGCACAGGGCGCTACGGTGCCTCTGCCTACCTGCTCGGACACTACGGTGGGCCCGGCGAGCTCGCTCAACTCTTCTGCCGCATGGCAGCTGTTAGGGGGACACCATATATCCTAGGACATGCGATCGAACAGCTCAAGTTGCCCACTGGTTCTAAGGCCGGGGAAGGGGAAGGGGAGGAGGCGCAAGTGAAGGTAGAGGGGATCGATGAGGTCTTCCGGGCGCGTAAGGTCGTGCTTGAGCCTGCCTTCTTACCTCGGGAACTGGTGAATAACACGAGCTTGGGGATAGCAAGATGCATCGTCATACTGGAGGAGACTATCGTCGCTGAGGAAGAGAACCTGGATACGGCGTTGCTGGTGTTCCCTCCTGGGGCGCTAGGGGAGAGGGGATTGAACAGAGCAGTGACTTGCTTATGGACAGGCGAGGGATCTAAGTCGACGCCTTACGGCCGGTGTACGTCTCTTCCACTTGCCTTCAAGGGTACAAAAGGATCACATTTCTGACTTCTTGGTATCTAGATGCTGTTTACTTGTCCGTACCGCGCAACCCGGGAGAGGAAGAACGTACTGCGAAAGACCTACTCGAACCTTACCTGAAGGCGTTCATCCCATTGACGGGAAGACCAGAGCAAGAGCCGCTCCTGACGTTCTTTTATGATTTCGTGGGCGAAAGATCAACTGTGGGTGCGCGTACTGAAGAGGGCGAAGCTATGCACGTGTTGAGTGGAATTGGGGAAGGACTGGTGGATGGATCAGATCGGGCGGCGGAGCTGGCACAGGAGATGTTCGCCAAGGTCGTCGGGGCAGAAGCAGCGGCAGAGGGGATGTGGGCCGGGTTAGAGGATGCAGTGGACGAGAATGAAGACGATGCGGGTCAGGACGGTGTCGAGGAATGGTGAGGGCTGAGACACACCTCAAGGAGCGACGGCGAAAGCGCGGTAGAGGACCAGCTCTCCCTTGGTGCCTTTGAAGCTGGCATCGACGTCAGCGCCGACGAACCACACTTGGCCTATGCTGATTTCCTGCGTCTTCCCTTCTGCTGCCAATTCACCTGCTCCATCCGTGACGATGATGATGCTCGGCCCGTCGATTGCACCGTAGGCGTCCGTCTCTCCCTCAGCGAGGCGCGTGAGGAGTACGCCGAACTCCTCGATCGGCGGGTCGTACAGCAGGCTGTGCTTCGAATTCCTAAAGGGCTGGGGTGGGAGGAGCTGCTCGCTCGCCGGGGCGGTTTCGTAGGTGAGCATGTTGACCAGGGTGGGCACATCCCGAACTTTGGGCGTCAAGCCCGCACGGACGACGTTATCTGACGTGGCCATGCACTCGATGATGTCTGTACATCTCTTAGCATGTTATATCCCTGATAATCCGATACGTACCTCCATCAATATATGCATGTGGATCGTTCGCCTTGAGGAAGACGGCCTCGCCCGGGTTCAAGTGGACGACATTGAGCACAAACACACACATGATGCCGATGTCTCCCGGGAACTGGCTATCCAAGATAATCGCCAAGTTCTGCACGCCCTTCTCCTCGTCCTTGACGTCGCTTCCCTCCCTGTACCGCTGCACCAGAGCACCGACCCACTTCCTCACCTCGCTCTCGGGGGCCTCCATGAGGCTCTTGAATACCGCCTTGAGCAGGTCTTTCCCGGGCGCGGGGGATGCGAGGAACGCCTCCCGCGCAGGGGCAGCGATGAGGGCGCTGAACTCGGGAACGAGGGTGAGGTTGCGTTGGATGTCATGGGGAGGGAGGAAGCCACAGAATCCTGAAAAGGGAGTGAGTGCAATGGCCATCTCCGGCTGTCCAACACACCATCAGTTTGCGTTCCAAGCTAGCACGTAAGCTGAGCGCACCTTGTGGTTCCCGTCCTTGTACCATTCGGGCTTGTCCCTATGCAGCCTCTGTGCGAGCGCTTTATCCGGGTGCGCCTGGATACTCAGCGCCTTCCTAATAGCAAGCACTTTGAACAAGAACGGCACGTCGTCTCCAAAATGCTGCTGTACGTTCTTCCCCAGCAGCTCGGGGTGGGCACGAATATGCTCGAGCAGCGTCGGGCCAGACGGGAGCACAGAGCTAGGGCAGGAAGGGTGTGTGCCCATCCAGAGCTCGGCGTATGGCGTGGATTCGGAGACGTCTAATCCGGTGAGGGCGGCGAATTCTGCTGCCTTGGAGGATGAACCAAGCTTGCCCCAGTCGTAGGACTGCACACCGGCACGAAGCTGGAAGACGGAGGACATGGTTGATGGTGGTGGTCAGGAGATGAGTTAAAGGGGGTGGGGACGAGGTAGATATATGCGCTGGTCGTTGATCGACGTGGAAGGTGTATGCGTCGATGGATGATGGATGTGCAGCGTATGGTATAGGCTGTCCAACAGTGAGGGGGACGCGACTTTGACGCGACGGTGACATACATTGCAATGTAACGCACGTTCGTATTCTTTTATTTCTACTTTTATTTGTTGATAAAAGTGGAAATCGCAATTGGAAATGCATTGTTATCCGAATTATTTCGAGAAGATGTTAGAGATACAGAAAACACAGCCATAAACACACGGATAACATCAACAACAATACCCAACAACTGCAACCATTTCATCTTCTAATCGCTCATCTCCTCGTCAGAATCGGAGATGGTCGCCTTGCTCTTGATCTTCTTTCGTCGCTTACTCGACGGCTCGTCAACGTCTTCTTCTTCCCTCACAACCCTCTTCTGCCGCGGCTTTTCCTCGGCAGGATACACCTGCTTTTCCTGGGGAGGAGCAGGATGCACATGCTTTTCCTGGGGAGGGGCAGGATGCACATGCTCGTCCTCTTCGCCGCCTGCAGCTGTCGGCTCCGCTGCATCCTCGTTATCCGTAAACAGCGCGTCATCCTCCTCGCTCACGTCCGCCTGGCTCTGGCTCAGTTTGGATTTCTTGGACTTCTTGCTCTTCCTCCCCTCCCCAGCCTCAGTCTCGCTATTCGCACCAGAGCCATTCGCCCCGTTTTGGGGCTTCCGTCTTCGACCCTTCTGGGCCTTGAGTTTGTCGGCTTCCTCCTCCTCGTCCCTCTCCAACTTCACTGCAGCGTTCCACAATTGAACTTCTTCCATCGCCAGTTTCCTCTGCTTGCTCAGCTCCGCAGCAGCCTTCTGGATCTCAGCGATCCGAAGGTCCTCCTCCTCCTGCTTGCGCTTCCTCTCCTCCTCCCGCATAGCCCTTGCAGCCTCGGTCTTCGCCACCACCTCTTGCTCATACGCTTTCTGCGCCTCTACATGCTCCCCACTCTTCCTCAGCACCGTCTCTCCATACCGTCTCCTCTGATCTGGCAAATCCCTCGCAAAAGGCATGACAGTGGATTTGTCCTCCACCAGCGCCGCAAACGTCCCCTGTGCCTCCTGAGCCTGGTCAATCGCCTCCTGCAGCTTTTCCAGCGTTCGCCTGTCCGGCGGCAGGGAGAACAAGAGCTCGGCAAACTTCTGCTGGATAACAGCAATGTCGTATACCGTCGCCTTATCTTCAGGCGCGAGGGCGAGAGCCTTCTTCGCGTAGTCTAGCGCCGTCTCCATGCCCTCACGGTTCTGCTCCAGGTTTGCTTTTGCGTACCAGGCACGGCACAAGTGGAGCAGAACCGCAAAGTCCTTCCCGTTATAGAAGCGTGAAGCAAGCTCGTACTGCGCCCACATGTGAGATACGGTCCTCACCCAGGAAGAAAACCACTCACACTCTCAATCGCCTTTTGGAACTGTTCCAGTGTGTAATAACAATGCCCCATGTTCACAAACACGCTGCCGTTATTGATGCTCTCCCTCACCCGACCAAACACGCCCAGCGCCTCAGCAGCATTCCGTTCCCTCTCACGTGCCTCGTCCGCTCCAGGCACGGGTGCACCTGCCAGGCCGCCCAGTGCATCCTCTGCGATCATGATTGCCAACCCCATGGCGGCGTAAGCACAATTGGGGTCGAGGCTGAGCACTTTGTCGTACGCTTGCGCACAATTCTGGAAATGTTTCCGCCGGACTTTGATCGCCTCGCTTCCAGTGTCCCTGTTCTCTCTCGCAGCAGAGTACAAATCGGCGGCGACAGCAGAGAGTGCGTAAACATCGTGCTTGTCGTAATTGGACAGAGTAAGTTGGGCAAATTTAGAGGATTGACGGGACTGCTTGTGCGAGGCGAGGAAGTAGGTGTAATACGATCGCAGGTCGAGATTGTCTGTCTGAGATTCTAGGGCATCCTTGAGCAGCCCATGTGCCTCATCGATACGACCTTGCTGTTGGTAAACGTGCGCAAGGCGCGCTTTTGCTATGAAAATTGATTGAGCATGCCAATCCTAAAGGGCAAGAGAACAGCTTACCATCGACATATTCTGGATGTCTGCTCAACAACTTCTGGTACGCCTCTTGGGCTTGAGTCTGCTCGCCCAACGCCTCCCAACAACGAGCGAGGTTATACAGTGTAGCGGTTTGCACCATCTCGTTTTCCGGACCTTCTTCCGCCTTTGTTGCGCCAACCAACGCTTCCTGGTACAGGTCTCTGGCCTCTGTACGACCAGTCTCGCCACCGTGGATATGTCTGATGACCGCAAGTGCATTAAGTAGCTTCGGGTCGACACCCTTTTCCGGATCTGCAGTCTCTCGCGCGAGTTCGACAGCACGAGCATATGCCTCGCGCGCTTTGTTCGAGTCCTCCGCTTGCCACAGCTTGGCTACTTCAACCCACAGCTCCGGATCCTCCATACCCTCAGTCTCAACCTCCTTGCCCTTGATGATCCGCGCAGCTCGATCGTACAGCTGGCGAGCGCGGACCTTGCCCGCGTCCTGCTCTACCGGGCTTGCACCTGGCCAGGCTGACGCTTGCAGGGAGGCAAGAGGAAGAAGAGCTTCGATGAGATTTTGATTATCGGATAGCAAGAGTTCATAATCGTGGATTGCGGCGGGTATCTCGTCTGAAATCATAGTCAATATGTGAGCCTGGAAGATCGGAAAAGGACTTACTGGTGAGTATGTGAACCTGGCCCAGTCCAGTCCTGGCCAGCTGGTTTTTTTCGTTCCGATCAACCGATATCCCATACTGCTCAACCGCCTGCGGCAAGTCGCCTCGGAGATGTGCGATACGGCCGAGACGCATGTAGCCGTCTGACACTACGGATCGCAGATCAGCGAATTGAATCGTTCGTTCTGCAGCTTTGACGGCCTGAAAAACGCTCGTCAGAAGATGTATCAGGTCATATTGAGCACGCACTTTATCCCACTCCTTCCTCTCCATGAAGTACGCACTAAGCGCGTCCGCTACAATAGCGCAATGCTTCCCCCTGTCTCTAAAGAGAGCAGCCAAGCCCTTGATACCTTGACTATACGCTCGTGAGCGCTCTCTCTGATCTCGGCGCTTGTCTTTCGCATCGTTGAGCAGACTGAGGCAAATGAGAATCTGTGGCGCAGGGAGGTCGGGGTGAACTTCCAACGATCGCTGCCACGCGCGTCTTGCACGATCCTGATCGCCCAGCGACCAGGCACACAGACCGATGCCAACACGCGGATCGGGGAGCAAATCCGGTGCGTATTTGAGCGCTTCTTGGAAGCTTTTAAGAGCGTCGCGATAGTTCCGGCGAGCGTACTGTATGCGGCCCTTCCCCATGAGAGCGACAGAGTTGTTTTGTTGTTGTTGGAGGATCTCATCGAAGGTACGCCCAGCCGCGTCAATCGCGTTTTCCGCGAGCTGGGAAACAGCTTGAGTAGAGAGTTAGTTGATGCCCGTGGAAATCATAGATCTCCAACCGACCTTTTGACAGCAGCTGAACAACTGACAGCTTGGGAACAACACTGTCCATTCGTGCCATGCTTGTCGCAGCTTCATTGATATAGACGGATTTCTCCTGAACCTTAGAATCGAGTTTGTCTTCCTGCGCGGTGCGCAAAATAAGCTTAGGTGCATCTCTTGCTTTTGCGAGGAGAAAGTTGGCAAGTAGCGGCTGCATTGCCTGCCAGTTTTCATGACCATCCCTGCCTTGCCTTTCGTACACTGATGCAAACTCAGTTTTGTCAAGCCAATACAAACTATAAACCACACACCAGAAATGGCTCTCCGAATAGTGTCCTCTACACGCGCCATGTTCCCCTTCTCCCAGTACTCGATCGCGACCGTTCTCCACATCCAGGCGGCGGATTTGGAGTCCGTGAGAACGACATAGACTTCCTCAGGATCGTCATCAAGATCATCAAGGTCGATATTAATCTCATCGCCATCCAATTGAACACCAAGTATTCGAGGAGCGGCCATGTTGTTCAGTGTGCTGGTTGGTAGCAAACCAAGTTTCGTGGCTAAGGACTAGCTCATGAAGTTCAGGGACGAAGAGTGGCGATAAGAAAGCACATGCAAAGAGGGCTTGCCTCCGGTCCTTAGCGCCGAACAAAGATAAACGCCGGCACCTTGTTGTTCTCTCCGAACTCCAACCTGAACCTGGATTTACGCTCATCCCAGCCTAAAAACTCGGTTCCTAAATTAACCCTCCTGTGAACGTCCATTTGATGGGACTGGGATAACCGACCTGAGCATTTAGACTTGGGACGATCTTCAAAACCCATCATTATCTTGCATCTGCATCCTTTTCATGCGGATGTGCCTTGCTGAAAGTGGAAAGTAGTGATATACTATCTACTATGTACAATATACGGACAAGCACCGGAAGAGTCAAGAACCAAGACTGGGATGTAAGGTATCGTGAAACAATACGGGAAAAGACTGATCGTGTCTCCAAGGGAGTCAAAAAGAGTGTCGTGAGTGATCGATCGAGGGGAAAACATGCCAACGAATGTGATTAATGTGCACGGACTGTGGACATTAGTAGACGGTCCAGCCGCTGGAAAACAATGTCAGTACTTGAGTCTTAGTGCGAAAATAGGGGAAACGCACCTGATCATACTCTTCCATCTGTTTAAAATGTGGTTCGAAGAGGTCTCTCACGCTTGGGTGGAGAGTTTCCAAGTCCATCCGAGGACCGAACATCATCCTATCCACTTCAGGCTCTTCTTTCCGCTTCGGCGGGCGCTCCATATCTCCCCGCAGCTGGATCAACGCCATCATTCGACTGAGGCCAGCAAAGTCGCTCTTGATCACTAGCGGTTTCCGGCTCGCAGCATGCACTCCAGCGGAGGTTGCCGCCGTAGACGAACTCGTCTGGCTGCTTGAAGTCATCGTCGTAGGTGTTGTGGTGAGGGGCATAGAAGGAGAGGGCATGGAAGCTGGCGATCGTGGAGAGCCGGGGGTGCTCGAGCCACCGTCATACATCGATAGGTCCGACAGGACAGAAGCGATCGACGGTTGTTGGCGGGAATGCGTTGGGTGTGGGTGGCGCGGTCCAGCGGGTTTGGGTGATGGAGTGGATGTCCGGCCGCTGATAGGCGAGCTGGGTATAGTCGGTGAAGGCGGCGAGGCGGGTGCTTGATATCTCTGTGACTGTGATCTTTGATGTGGGTCTTCTATATCGACGAATGAGGTATCCAGTCGGGGGCTACGCCGGGGATCGTCAGAGTAGAACGAGCCAGCGGATGCACCGGAGGATCGGTGCGTCTGGCCGAGATTGGGCAACGCCAAAGAAGCCGACTGACGCTTCTCTTGAACTCTGTTGAGGACTCTCTCAAGTCGCTGTTCGACTCCGCTCCTGGCATCTCTGCCCTGACTGGCGGTTGCAAGCACTTCTTCGAGCAGATCTTCCGTTCCGCTTAGGCTCCCAACGTCCATTGCAGCAGACAGGCGAATAGTATCGTTCTCTGAGGTACCCAGTTCGTCCTCGATTATGTCGCTGATATCGTACATCTCGCCATCAGGATGAATGTAGGAGTAGCGAACCTTGGAGCTGCTCGAGCTCTTCGTGCTGCGCAACTGGGATCGATCAGGAAGAACTAGATTCGTGCCCTGGTCGCTGGTCTGAGCACTGAGTAGACCATGTTGTCTAGCGCGGGACTGCGCCCGTTGTTCGCGGATGATCTCTTGCCGCGAAAGGGCGGCTGAGTCAGGGTCAGTGACGTTGCTCCCTCTGTCGGATGACATGCTAAGCATGCTTGCGCTTGCACGGCGTTCAGCGTGGAGCTTGGCCAAGGCGACATCGTCCAGCGGCACAGAGTGGCGAGAGTGCCTAGAGGAACCAGAGTTGCGCATCGCGCTGTTTCCTGGAGCACGGCGGAGAACAAATATCGGATCGTCTGCTTGGATGTCCTCCAACGTGCCGAGAACAGATGGCTCGTCAATGGATCGGCGCTTAGACTCGGAGGTGCGTCGGAAATCCTGAACACGGAAGGCAGGCTGGCGAGGGAACGCGTCTATGATCTTGCTGCTGGGATGCAGCAGGCGTTCTTCTCCATCTATCTCCACCGACAGACCGTACCGCACCCGAGTGACAGAGCGTCGTTTGACCATCCTGTCCTCTACATCATCGCCGCCATCCACCACGCCCTCTGCAATCCCGAACCGATCGAGACTGGTCTCGATGACCTCGGCAACAGTAGCATTGCGAGCAAAGATGAAGACCTTCTTCCTCTGAGTCTGGCTGATACCCGGACTAGCACTTGCGCTCGCGGTACCCGACCTGTTCAACAATGCCGACCGGGGGACGATCGCCTCTGTGTGGGGGTCGAAGACCATCCCGTCTGGAAGGTCGGACGGGTGAATAACAGTCTGCAGGGCGAATCGAGCCGAGCTGGCGGAGAACCTATCGCTTGACAGCCGCCTGGGTCCCACGGTGGAGTTGGATGAGAAAGAGAAGCTCGTTTCGAGCGAGTTGTTCTGCATCAAGTCCTCGCTCATAAGCCCAGAGGAAGAGGTGCTGATGATCCCACTCTCGTCGCGCACCATACTGCTGTCCATCGTAAGCCCCTTCCCGCTAAGCGTAGGCACACCGTCCTGCTCCGTTATTCTCTTCCTTCTCTGAAGGTAGAACTTGACCCTCGAGTCATCCGTAAAGTCACTCATCGGCAGACGAGCAATAGCAGTCATAGCACTAAGGTTGCTGACCATGCTGTTGATACTACCAAAGCTGGCGCGCTTGCTCACACTAGGCGGGAGGGGTGCGCCAGCAGCAGAAAGCTCCTCGAACACCGCCAGCGGCTTCTCGTCGGGCATGAGCACGGCCTCTTGACCACCATCGGCCTGCTTCACCGTGAGATAGTACTCCCCATGCAGCTCTCCTTCGGCACCAGGATGATCCAAAGGTGAGGGGTCGGTATCATCCTCCGGGAGGTGGAACCGCTGTACAGCCTGGCGGATGAGATCCCGAGAGCTAGTGTTCGGCCCCAGGAGGACAGTCTTGAAAGTCGCCTCTGTAAGGTTGGCAATATCCTCCCCAGCAAAAACACGTAACACAGACAGCTCCGGTGGCACCCCATCAGGAGGGAGGATCCCGTTCATGAGGATCAAGCTTCCCGGTCTGCTGGGCTTCTGCGGCCCAGGCGAGCCGGACGCGGCAAGCGCCTGCGCGTGCTGCAACCTTGTCGCAGCGCCGTTCTGGGCCATAGCGGCCGCGGACTGGGTGGCAAAGCCCGTGCCTCCTGCTGGCATGGAAGAAGACTTGACGGTGGCGGCGAGGTACTGCGCGTACCGGTCTTGCTGCTCCTTGTCTAGCTGTTGGACACGGGACGAGGCCTGCGTGCTGGGAGCCGGGGAGGTCGCAGCTGACGAAAGTGAGACGAGCGACGGCGTGCCAGGGGAAGCCTCCTGACCAGTCCGGTTGACAGAGTTGCTGCGCTTTGCTCCCTGCTGGGGTTGGGCTGCTTGCTGGAGCAGAGACGCAGGTGGAGGGGAGACGAACGAAGCCTGGCTCTCCTCGCTCGCCTCCCTTGCATGCTCTCCTTGCCTTTGCTGCCCTTGCCCTTGACCCTGCCTGTCCCTATCCCTCTGCTCGATCTGGAGACGCTGCCTTTCCCTCTCCTCTCGCTCCACTCTCTCCCTCTCAAGCTTCTCCTTCTCCTTACTCTCCTTATTTTTCCTCCCAAACAACCCGCTCAACAAACCACCCTTCTTTTTCCCATCATCCTTCTCCACCTTCTCCACCTTCTCTTTCTCCCTCTGGGGATCTTTGAAGTCCTCACTTGTCTGTTTCCTGAGCTTCCTCGGACCCTGTTCTGCCTGCCTTGCCCTCTTGCTCCCAGCAGGCCCAACAATCTCACTCTCGCTCAGCGCAGGGCTAGTGACCAGCCCGCTCCCCCGACTAGCCAGACTAGCACTGCCGCTCCCATCCGACCCAGTCCGAGTAAGGCTAACAGTGCTCCCCTGCCTCTGTCTGGTTTCCCTCTCCCTCTCCCTATCCGAGCCAGATCCCGACCCGGCAACAGTAGAAGGCGGAGCCGAAGCAGATAGCTGGCGCTGAACGGCCCTTTCCTGCGCAGCTTGCATGATCTGACTCGGCCTTGCTGGCTGACTGGAACTTGCAGCCTGACCACCCGCTGCAGGAGCAGAGATCCCGAGCCCTGGCGTGCTCTGCCGTGCAGGACGAAGGGGAGTGACTTGCGGCTGGGTCTGCTCTTGCCGTGCTTGGCTCGCGCCGGCGAGGATCTGCTGGCCTAATGCATAAGCGGGGTCCACAACGCCTGATTCGGCGCTGAGGGAGTAAACACTCGGTGCCGGGCTTGGATCGGATAGAAGACGTTCGCGCGGTTGTGCTGGTGCTTGTACTTGAGTCTTCTGTTCGGGTTCCTGTTGGGAAGTACCGGACTGCGCCCGAAGGGTGGAGGCAAGCCCATTCCCTAGCTGCGCCTGGCGGGCCGCTTTCTGCTGCTGAGGGGAAGGCGTCGAGTTCCCAGACGGTGAGTTGTTGACATTGGAGTTGTTCAGATGGTGCGCTGTACCCGGGGGCGTGGGTCCGCGTATAGCTGGATGATGCTGATGTCCCTGGCCTTGCACCTGCTGACCCGCAGCGGCACCCGCAAGCGCTTCTCCAGACCAGGGGATCCCGTCGTCCGGCTCTAGCTCGTCCTCCCACGAGGTTAGTCCAACACCATTCGCATGCGCATCCATTCCCTCCGTGTCGACCTCCATTTCCTGGTCTCTCGCTCCCTCTGGCTCCAGCTCGCCAGTACTGTCCTCCACTTCCATACCTTCCTGTTCCCAGTCGCCCTCTTCCGAGCCAGAATCATGCTCCTCGCCCAGTGGGGTATCCCACACCGCCGGGGGATAGTTGTGAATCACGAAATTGGTGCTGAAGATCACGCGAGCTTTGCTGTTAGAGCTGTTGGCGCGATTGGTGTTGGGTATGTTGGGTGGGGTACCACGGCGCGAGGAATTGGCGGAGGAGGATTGAAGGTCGCGAGCACGTCGGGCCGCCAGGGCGGAAAGAGCGGGATGGGCATCCCGTTCTGCTTGTGTTGCTGCGGCGAGCTGAGAAGAAAGGGTCAACTCGGAGCCGAGAAAGTAGAGCGGAGAAACGTACATCAACATTCCTATGTTTGTTCAACCTCGCTAGTCTCTCAATAGGGGTCTCGATGTTCTCTGCCGGGATATAGCCAATATCCTCGCTCCTAAGCACCTTAACCAGCCACCAATAGCTATTGCTATCGTCCATAAGGCACATCGCATCCCCCTTGCTGACACTAGCCTGACCCTCGATAGTAGCCACAAAGTGCCGCAAAGAGTAAACGACATCAAAGTCTATGCTCTCGTTCGGTATCTCGAGGGAACTCGATCGATCAGAATACAGCTCCTCCTCCTCGTCGACCGAGCCATCGACCAGCGCTGACTCGTCTATGTCTGATGTGTCCGGTTCGGGGGAGAGGACGGTGTGTGTTGATGCATAGTCGGATGGTGATGGTGAGGACTGGCCGGGGTCGATAGGGGAGTGCGAAGCTCCCGGTCTTCGTGTTTGAGTTGCCGCCATGCTAGTCGTCTGTCCAAAAGCAGCGACAGCAGAGCTCCAGTATACCTTTTCAAAAGAGTAATAACAAGAACAAGAAAGTAGAAAAGTAAATCTCAAGTAAAAGAGTCGAAGTCAACAAAATCAAAGTTGTTGTATACCGTCGTCAACTAAAGTTCAATGTCGCTAGGGGTCCACGCACGCACATCCCACGCACAACACTGCCACACGACATAGCATGCACCGCGGGTTCAGACAGAGTTTGCCTCCGTATGGAAGCAGAATTTGAAAGGAACGCGACACACATACGCGTTAGTGCATTCCCAAATTATTGAACACTTTTATTCAGTGTTCATTCCTTCAATTTTCTTTCTTCATTTACTCATTCCAACGATTATTCATTGACATTTACTCTTATTTCCACTGCTAACAAGAAAATAACACCAAATGTCCGTCAACATCTTCGCCGATGAGGTAGGTTATTGACTCATCTATCGACCGACTCATCCTAACCCCTCGCAGGCAACAGAAGAACGCGCCGAGTCCGCCCGTCTCTCTTCTTTCGTAGGCGCAACCGCCCTCGGAGACATCGTGAAGTCCACCCTTGGGCCCAAAGGGATGAACAAAATCCTCCAGTCTGGTTCTACCGGCACCGTAAACGTCACGAACGACGGTGCTACGATCCTCAAGTCTATCCAGCTTGACAACCCTGCCGCGAAGATCCTTGTCAATATTAGCAAGGTGCAGGATGACGAGATCGGGGATGGGACGACGAGTGTGTGCGTGCTGACTGCTGAGCTGCTGAGGGAAGCGGAGCGCTTGGTGAATAGCAAAGTCCACCCACAGACGATTGTAGAAGGCTTCCGGCTCGCCTGTATCGAGGCGCTTAAAGCGCTTGAAAGCAGCGCTGTGGATAATCGTTCAGACGCCGCTCGCTTCCGTCAGGACTTGTTCAATATCGCTCGGACGACGCTGAGCTCCAAGGTGCTCTCGGCGGATAAGGAGTACTTTGCCAACCTAGCGGTGGACGCCGTGCTGCGCTTAAAGGGCAGCACGGACCTTGATCATGTGCAGGTGATCAAGAAGGTCGGAGGAAAGCTGACAGACAGTTATCTGGATGAAGGTGCGTGCACATTTGCTCATCATTTTCCCCGCTGAACACATGCAGGCTTCATCATGGACAAGAGTATCGGTGTGAACTGCCCGAAGCGGATGGAGAACGCCAAAATCCTTATTGCTAATACTTGTGCGTCTCTCCTTCTCGCTTCTTAGCTCGGCTGACAATGACCAGCAATGGACACGGACAAGATCAAGATTTTCGGAGCGCGGGTAACGGTCGACAGCACTGGCAAGCTCGCCGAGCTCGAGCGGGCCGAGCGGGCAAAGATGGCCGCCAAAGTCAAGTCCATCGCCGGCCTGGGGATCAACGTCTTCGTCAACCGGCAGTTGGTATACAACTACCCCGAGAACCTGCTTGCTGAGATGGGAATCATGAGCATCGAGCATGCGGATTTTGAGGGTGTGGAGCGGCTTGCCCTTGTGACGGGGGGCGATGTCGTGAGCACGTTTGAGGGCGCGGAGGCTGGGAAGGTCAGGCTGGGGAAATGTGATCTCGTAGAGGAGATCATGATCGGCGAGGATAAGGTGCGCTCTCCCTCTCTCCTCCCTGACAGGCACTGACGCTCCACAGCTAATAAAATTCTCCGGTGTCGCAGCCGGATCGGCATGCACCGTCGTTCTCCGCGGCTCGACAACCCAGATGGTAGACGAAGCCGAACGGTCACTACACGACGCCCTGTCCGTCCTCTCGCAGACCGTGCTGGAGACGCGTACCGTCCTCGGAGGAGGGTGCGCAGAGACGACCATGGCTGTTGCTGTTGAGCGCCTGGCGAGCCAGACGTCTGGCAAGCGTGCTCTAGCTGTCGAGGCTTTCGCTCGTGCACTGCGGCAGATCCCTACTATCCTCGCCGATAATGCCGGTCTCGATTCCTCCGAGCTTGTAGCCCAGCTCAGAGCAGTGCACTTCGCCTCCCCTCCCCAGAAGGACGCTGGCCTAAACCTGGATCTAGGAGAAGTTGCGGATATGAGGAAACTGGGCGTGACGGAGAGTTACAAGCTTAAGAGGCAGGTGGTGACGAGTGCTGGTGAGGCTGCGGAGATGATCCTCCGTGTGGATACGATTTTGAGAAGTGCACCGAGGAGACGAGATGCGCATTAGGTGGATGATTATGGTTAGAGTTAGTGTAGGGAGATCATTAATTCATTGTTGACGATGCATTTATTGCAAAAGTGTTCAAAAATAGCGCATTTTCGTTAGACGCGCTGCGGAAGAGCGACACGCACGGAGACAGGGTTCATCAACTTCATTTCAACACTTTTATTACAACCATTTCTTCAACTCAACTTCCAGTCTTTCTTTATATTTTGAACATCTAGTATATTTACAAAGGGATACGATGACTTCCTTACACGGACCATCCCAATTCCGTCCAAGGCAAGCTTATACCGACCCACTTCTCTCTCCTCCTCCTCCTCCTCCTCCTCCTCCCGGCCCAGCCCCATCATCGCCTTTCCCCGCTACTCCATCATACAAAGCCCGTCCTGTTGGCCCACGCTACTCCCAGTCTCGCGGTAAACCTCATCCTCCAGGAGGGATCAAGTTGCATAAGGGAGAGTGGAAGTTGCTCCTTCTGGTGTGTGCGGTTGCGGTGGTAGTGAGGTTCTGGAAACTGGGATGGCCGGATAGCGTCGTGTAAGTCCTTTACCCCAAGTACACTATAGAGAGTTACTGATTATCTCGCGTTCTTTAATTTTGCGCGATAGATTCGACGAAGTCCATTTTGGAAAGTTCGCTAGCAAGTACATCAAGAGCCAGTACTATGTTGACGTTCACCCTCCGCTTGCAAAGCTGCTCATCACTCTTGCCGCCTTCGTAAGCGGCTACGACGGGAACTTCGACTTCAAAGATATCGGAAAGTGCGGACCTACACTTCTTGACTAAGTACACCTCTGACTTCTACTCAGATTGTACGAACACGTCCCGTATGTCGCTATGCGCTCTTTGCCAGCGACACTCGGCGTTCTGCTCGTACCCATCACCTACCTCACCCTGCGCGGCCTAGACTGCCGCGCCGACACAGCGCTCCTCGGCTCCTTGTTCATAACCTTCGAGAACGGGCTTATCACCCAATCCCGTCTAATCCTCCTCGACTCTCCCCTCCTGTTCTTCACCGCTCTGACGATCTTCTTCTGGGTCGGGTTCGCCAACGAGAACCGCGCCGCGCCATTCACGCACTCATGGTGGGTCTGGCTCACCTGCGTCGGGCTAAGCCTAGGCGCAGTCGTGAGCTGCAAATGGGTAGGCCTCTTCACGATTGCCACCATCGGTCTGTGCACTATCCGCCAGCTCTGGGTCCTCCTCGGCGACACCCGCGTCTCCATCGCCCTCTGGATCCGGCACTTCCTCGCTCGCGCCCTATGCCTCATTGCCGTGCCAGCAACGTTCTACATGGCCATGTTCGAGCTGCATTTCCTGATCCTGAGCAACTCAGGCGACGGCGACGGATTCATGAGCGCCGAGTTCCAGCACACCCTCAACGGGAAGAAGATGGCGGATACGTATGCGGATGTAGGCGTAGGGAGCAAGATCGTCATGCGGCACTGGAATACCAACGGAGGGTACCTGCACTCGCATGATCATTCCTACCCCGGGGGGTCCAAGCGTGCGTCTCTCCCCCTTCTCTTCACCACATGCTAACCGTACCTGCAGAACAACAAATCACCCTCTATCCGCACCTGGATGTGAACAACGACTGGCGTATCCTTAACGCCACTTGGGACAACAACAGCCCCGGGTACAACTGGGAGACGGAGCCCTTCCGCGCCCTCGCAGACGGGGACATGATCAAGCTGCAACATATTGCTACCTCCAAAATGCTGCACTCGCACGACATCCGTCCCCCCGTATCCGAAGTGGATTTCCAGAACGAAGTTTCTGGGTACGGATTCACCGGTTTCTTGGGCGACGCGAATGATTACTGGATCGTGGAGATCGCCGAAGGGGACAGGCATGATCGCGCGAGCTCGAAACGCGTTCGCACGCTGAGGACACTTTTCAAGCTTAAGCATGCGCTTACCGGATGCTATCTTTTCAGTCATAAGGTCAAACTACCCGACTGGGGGTACGAGCAGCAGGAAGTGACGTGTAACAAGAATGCGGTCAGGGCGAACAGCCTCTGGTTCATAGAGTGGAACGAGCATGATAAGTGTACGTCTCTTAGTTCAGTGTCTTGGGCGCAGCTGAAGGAGAACAGTGCCGGCCACATCACCAAAGGTCAACTACCGCAAGCCTGGATTCTTGAGCAAGTTCTTGGAGCTGCAGCAGGTCATGTGGACTACGAACGCCGGCTTGACTGAACGGCATGCATTTGACTCCAGGCCCAACACCTGGCCCATTCTCCGGCGGGGAATTGTCAGTCCTTCCTACGCAGTGCAGAACTCCAGCTAACACATCTTATCCAGAACTTCTGGGTGAAAGACCATCGTCAAATCTACCTGCTGGGCAATCCTGTCGTCTGGTACCTCTCCACCCTCGCCGTCGCTCTTTACTTCTTCGCCCGCGGCGTGCTCATCCTCCGCGCGAAACGCGGCTACAAAGACTTCAACAACTCTGGCCTGGTGTTCTACGACAACCTGTGCTCTTTCCTCGTCCTCGGGTGGGGGCTACACTACGCTCCGTTCTTCCTCATGGCCCGCCAGCTGTTTTTGCACCATTATTTCCCTGCCCTGTGGTTTGCAGTGCTCCTCAGCGCAGCGGTGTACGATATGGCCACGGCTAAGCTCAAGCCTAGGTACAGGGTGCAGGTCGCCCTTGTTCTTGTTGGCCTGGCCGTGTGGACATACTCGCACTTCAATCCCCTCGTATATGGAGGTGTGTGGACACGAGGCAAATGCGAGAGCTCAAAGTGGCTCAAGACGTGGGACTTTGCCTGCGGGGACTTTTACCCTAACGTGAGCCTATACCAGCCAAGTGCACGTGCACGTAGACAATGCTGACCTTCGCTGCAGAAAGACGACTACTACCATTCTGCGCCGAGCGCAAAGCCCACTCCTCCCCGTGTGACTGGTGTGGCGGAGCATCATGCAGGCCATGTTCCCGTGCAGAATATCGTGGAGCCCCAGCCAGACTCCTCAGCTATAGTTGCCACTGCAGAAAGCGCGGGCAACGTTCCCCAACCAGGGAGGGACGTATTCCAAGACCATCCGGACGTGATCCAGCCTCTCAGTCCTAGCTCGAGCGTGGCGCCCGAGGTTGGACCCCAAGAAAAGCCAGAGACGAGTGCTGCTGCTGCTGCGAAGGAGAGGGAGGAGAATAAGATCGAAAAGCCACCGCCTTTGCCTGCTAATGAACCGGAGAACTCGAGTCCTGATTCGGATGCTCAGACGCTGGACTAGGTGGGCTTGCCAGCGAGAGGTAGTTGGATCCAGCGAGGCAGGGCGTGAGTTGGGCGGGTAAGTAGTGTGAATGAGCGGACTTGGTTTATGTGCACGGCTGTATTATGCTACTCCGTTACCTCGCTCTTCATAAACTATTAGGAGTTCCAGAGGGCCGTCAATAGATTACAACTGGGCTGCGCGTCCCAGGCACTGCACAGTTCAATACAAGAATGGAGATTAGCGCCTCTTCTTTTGGACCAAAGTAAAGCCGTCATCATCCACCACCGGCTCCGGCTTTTCCTTCCTCTCGACCAATCTGGGCGCTTCATATTGCATCTCTACATCACCTTCCTCCTCTTCTCCATCATCGTCATCGTCATCCCCGTCGACCTCTTCGACCTCTTCCCGCACCTGTGCTGTCACACGCGTTCGCCCCGCTCGTTCTACCTGCTCTTCTAATAGTTTGACAGAGGGCTCCATCTCGGGGGAAGTGAGGTTTTCCCATGTGAGAATAAGGGCACGGGAGAGCGCCAAGGCAGACTCGTCTTCTACAAGCGTGTCGAACTCCTCATCCATGATCTGGACGCCACGTCAACGGCGGCAAGATCATGAAAGAGAAAGGTGTACCTGAAGCAACAGCTCCTCAACATCATCTACTCCCACACGCTTACTCTGGAAAAGTTCAAGGATTTCGCTCGCAAACAGTTGGACGTTCTCCTTCCCTTGTGCTGTTGATGTCTGGAGGGCAAGGCGGAGTGCAGGCCAGAGCCGGAGATGGGCAAGGATGGCACGGGCAAAGAGGGTAAGCTGGGCGGGTGTAGTGGTTGATGGTGCTCCTACGGATGTTGATGTTGATGCCATTGTTGTTTGTGGGTTGATATGTGAAGGCAACTGAGAAAGTACTAGTACTCGAAGCACACAAAAGAAGCACTCACAGAAAATTCAAGTAAGGGGCTGTGCAAGGGTCCATCTATAGTACTTTTTTTGGTATTATTTTGGTTTAGGCTGCCCACGTCAACTGAGCTCAACTTCAAACTTGGTACGAACAAGGAATGCTTAGTGCTGTTGCAGCACGAAGAGCGGCAAAGGCCGCTCAATTATCCGGAGACTTAGGCATAGATGCAGTTCAGTCTTCTCTTCGTCCTGCAGCACCTCCAGCAGCAGTACCAGAACTTGGCTCAAGCTCCGAAGACGAACCCGCTATCCCATCCCCAACTTCCTCCCCTGAATCCCCGAAGAAAAGAAAACGGAAACCTATACCAGAACAGAAGCCGCGAAAGAAAAGAAAGCCCTCTCCCGTTGATGGCATCGATGATGAGACGCGGCCTGCGTTCCCTCAGTATACCCCAAGGGAGAGGGCGTATTCGCCTGCCGCGCCGGTGGGGCTGGGGGACGACCTTGACGGGACCATGGATGTGCAATTCGGGATGGATGAAGAAGACGATGTTTTGAGTGAAGTGGATGAGCTGCCTGAGCCTGCTCCGTTCGTCTATCTGTTCCACAGTCCTGCATGCCCCTAATCCAAGAATCAGGCCGCAGCGCCCCGCCCTCTCCTACCTGCCCGCTTCTACCTTCCTCCCTTCGTCTTCCTCATTATTAGAGCTTCCTCCTTCCGCATTACCCCCTCTCAACCTCAAATGCGACACTCCCGCCATTCTTCTTGCACTAAAAGGCGGCGAGACGCTTGCCTTCGTTGGCACATGCCGCCTTTTGGTCGTCAAGGGGAAGTTAGAACTGTTCGGAACTGTGCTCGAAGTGGACCGGGAATGCACGACACACGAGATCTATGCTCCCAAAAGCCACACAATTCCCGTCCTTACGGCACTCACTTCCTCAAAATCGTCACGCACCCTCCCACTGCCGCCGGATCTCGAAAATCAAACCGCAACGGCAGATGCCCTTGTCGTTCTTCAGGAACTGCACTCAAACATCGAAGGCCTCGGCCGTATTGTCACTCCATTCTCTGGAGCTTTCTCCCCTCCATCTCCTTCCTCGACAGCAGACTGGGGCCTTGCAGGATTCTATCCCCTCACGAGCAACACCCCTTTACACGGATTCGTACTCCCGCCTTCTTGGGAGGGGGCGATAAACGCGTTCCTCCCCTCGGAGAGCGACACGACGGAAGACCGATTGAGAGGAAGAGTGGCGCTCGTTCGGGGGGTTAAGAACTCTGGCAAGAGTACCTTTGCCCGGTCGTTGCTGAATCGCCTTACAAGCCGGTGCGCTTGCTTCTTCCTTCTTGCTCATTTATTTACCTTACCTCAACTCTGCATTGGATGTTAGATATCAACAAGTTGTGTACCTCGAACTCGACCCCGGCCAAACCGAATTCACAGCCCCAGGACTACTTTCTCTGCATGTCCTTTCCCGCCCGGTGTTGGGTCCCTCCTTCTCCCACCCCCTTCCGCCATACCGGGCTCACTACCTCGGTTCCTCCTCGCCCAAGTCTGACCCGGCACTCTACCTCACTGCTGTCGAAGCGCTCCTCCAGAGTTTCAGGCTGGAATTACAGTTCCCTTCCGCTATGGAAGTGGGGGATGGGAGAGTTAGCGACGTAGTGCCCTTAGTGGTAAACACCATGGGCTGGACAAAAGGCCTCGGTGCGCGTCTACTCGAGCAGGTGGAGCAACTCGTCCAGCCTACGCATGTGTTTGAGTTCCCGGATTCGGGCGAGACGGCGCACCCGCTAGATCGGTTTTCGTCCTCCACCTTAACACCTACTGGCAACCGCGATGACAGGCAAGTGTATACCCTGGAGCCTGTTCAGCCCAGCCCACGGCTATCAGCGTACAATGCCCCTCTTCTCCGAGCTCTCAGTACGATGTCCTACCTCCACTCGCACCCCCCGCAAGAAGGGCAAAGCACCCGGTGGTCCACCACACCGCTGTGTGCTCAGCTGCCATACGAAGTCGACCTCCGCACCACATTCGACAAGATCGTCCTGCTCGGTCCTGGATCGGAGGATGTCGTGCCCGAAGAACTGGGGACGGTACTCAACGGCTCCCTGGTCACGTTCCTAGCCGTCGATGACGGCTCGGAGCCCCTTCCCGCCCATGACGGTCACTTGATGCCGTATGAGCAGCGCGCCCCTGCTCCTTCACCTTTCACTTCGCATTGCCTAGGTCTCGGCGTGATTCGTTCATTCAACAGAGAGTCAGGCAAGGCACTTGTGCTCACCCCCGTCCCACTCTCGACACTCCCCAAAGCCAGAGTGCTGGTCAAGGGTGAGCTGGAACTCCCAATCTGGGCATTCCTCGACCCTAGGCAAGAAGAAGAACAGAGTGGGGTTGCTGGGGTAGAGTGGGAGAGGGTGCCCTATCTAGAATTCGGCGGTGTGAGGGGAGTTGGAGGTGAGAGGACGAGGGTGAGAAGAAACTTGATGCGCAGAGGACACATGTAAAGAGGTAGAGTGCTCTTTCAGCAATCCTTTTTGGGCCGGCCTATATCCTTTATTGCCAGTAGTCCTGCACTCGGTTGGGTCACTGTCCACGTCGCTCCACCTTGGGAGGACATCGGGCCCTCGCGCAGATGTCGCAGGAATCGAACGCCTCGGACCCGAAATTATAGTTGGTAGACTGCTAGCGAGATTTGGTACTGAGCGAACGTGATCTATTTCCGGACCTGTCTGTACGAGTGCGCATGCCTTTAATAAGGCACATAGGAAGGAGCACAAGCTTCCCACTCAAACTCCCAGCCGAGTAGACAGGACAGATGATCCACTTCAATGTCCCAGTATTCTGGCCCATTTCGGCTAAACGCGAAAGATAGACAATGGCTGACGTATGACGTTCCGAGAGATCCTTGGGATACGGCATGAAGTTAACATGGACAAGCATGGACAAGCATATGTGATCCCATGAGGATGCTTCAGTGTACCAGATAACCGCAATTCAAGGGCCAAGCGATGGTCGAATAGCAAAATTCCGTGTGAATGCAACATAGTATTACAGCATGCAAACATTCAGAGGCATGTGATGTGACCATTAACCGATATGGAGGGGAATGTCAGTGTTCACCGAGCACGAGCTCCATCTCTTCGTTCGTTCGTTGCCGGCTGCTCTCGTCCAAGGAAGAACTGAAGACGTCTGCGCCGGACGCGAGAGAGTCGATGAGCATATCTAAGCGCGATTTTGTCATACTCTGCTCCTAAACAAAGCACCAATTAGGGTCGGTGACGTGCCTCCATGAACACGAGTCGTACCTTTCGGATCTCGTCAAGGTCATCGGCAAAGGCGTCCGCGAGGCTGGTCATCCAATACTTGCGGAATCGGTCTTTCAGTTGCTTCTCCTTCTCCTCACGTACATCCTTCGCAGTTGGCAGGAATGGTGGTAATGCCGGTGCTGGAGGGGAAGGTGAACGTGAAGGAATCCGTTTGTGAGGACGTGGTGCCGCTTCGGACGGTTCATGTGCTGGAGCCATCTCCATGTCGCCGTGAGGAGCAGTAGGTCCCACAACATCCTCGTCAGAAGATTCATCATCGTCTGACTCCGTATCGTCCTCGGACTCCTCAGCCGGTTGAGGAACCTTGACCGGAGGAGCCGGATTGGTCTTTGGCACAGGGACGTCCTCCGACTCCGAAGCAGAGTCATCTGAGGAGGATGAGTCTGAAACTTCCCTTCTCTTTCGCCGCCGTGTCCGTTTCTTTTTGGCGGAGGTGTCCCCTTTGGCCATCGTCTGATGAAGAGGATGATACGGATGGAACAAAGCCGGGCTGAGGAAAGAACTTTTCTATTGGGAGGTAACGGAAGCAAAATCTAGCTTTTCACGGGCGCTTGATGGGGGCTGAGCGCTTGAGTTCTCTTCTCAGTTTGACCGACGTCTATTTAGAGGTGTCTGTTCCGACTGACGCACATCTGCTTCTCTCGTACCTCGCTGGCACCTCATTTTTGAACCCAGTCAACGATGCAATCATTCTCAAGGATTGTTTGAGTGGCCTTCCTATCATTGTGGAATCATTTTCGGCGGCTCCCAACCAGACTCTGACCGAAGGCCCTAGGCTACAATTCACCTGGCTTCCAGCTCGTCATTTGTCTAGGAAGAGAGGGACAATGCCAAATACATTGGCGCGCCAGAATTATAGGCTTCCACCATGCATTCCGAACGAAAGAAGCTATCGGCAGCGCCGATCTCGCCTTTGCTGTTCGGACATCCCGCACGCTAGTATGGCCGGCAATAGCGGATGGCTTACCGGATTAACGACTTTATCTACTTACCAACATCAGGGAAGAAGTTTCTCCCTGTATCTCTACGTAAAATCCCGCTGTGCATGCTCGCCGTAGTCGCCGAACAACAATCGGAGAACAGCTCGGTCATCCGAGGAAACTTCTGATGCCGGGTACTCTGCTGCCCCGGTGGTGTGCGAGATAGCGCACCCTCGATCATATTTTGTGCGCTGCGCAACTGCCTCTGACTGCGGTTTGTTTTCTGGATGTAGTGCTTAACTCCGCGTTCGCCCTCAAACTATGATGGAAAGAAGAGGTGCTGCGCACGTAGAGGCATGGCTTCCACTTCTTCCCACCTGTTCTCTATACTGCGGCCACACGATGGATGGGGCTGCGGAACTGTTCCTCTTGTTCTATCTTGTGGAGATCAAGTTGACCTTCTTGAGGTCGAACTATGTATAAAGAGGGTCATTATGGACGAGATTCACCAACAAAATACAAAGATAACTCCAGCTTTCTGAAGAACAAACAGCTCTCGCAACCACTCTCTCAAGCAACATCGATACTTCGCACAGTTTTCTTATCTGACTTCAACACCGATCAATTATCTCAAGGCTAGTACCCTTTCCGCCAGATTCCCTTGCGAAAACTGACAATATCGATAGATGTCTGCTCCTGTCCACATCAGTCTCTGCGAGTTCCTCGCCTTCGCATTCCCCTCTCAATTCACTTGCGCACTGGCCGCTCGTGCGGAACGTAGTCGTCAGAGTAGGATGGAGAAGAGGATCACATATAGCGAAAAGTGCTAGAGGTATGTATTTGTGCCGGAGAGGATCTGCCTTTGGATCTGACATTCAATTCAGTAGACAAACGCAAATGCATGAACCGCACTATAGCTGAAGAACTTCACCTCGCGGTTGTCCCATACCCCCTCATCTGCATCATACCATGCCCCCAATGATGTCTACGAATGGCCGCTCATCTCTTCATGATCTCTTTTAGTTTCCATGTATTACTATCTGTCTCAGATCAAGGTCTTCACGTTTTTCAGTCTCCCTCAATGAAGGAATTCATCACTCTGTGCCTGATTCTACGATCCTCAGCGTGCCTGGCCCTCAAAACCATTCCAATTCATTGATCAGATGTTAATACGTGGCTCTACTGTAGGTCCATGCAGAGGAAAAGTTGGATCGTGTTGGGAAGCGGACCGGTACATCGGGCCCAACCCGACGCATCCGAATAATTGCGTGCGCAGCTCTTCTGCATTCTTATCAGCCCAGAGGGGAGTAGTGGTACATGCCTGCCTGTCAAATCTGTCTTTCTGAGGTGCGTGCCTTGAGTTGCTTTAGGTTAAAGTTAACATGATATAGCCGATACATACCTCGCAGAATGACAAACACTCGCACTCTCTTCTTCATTCCCACTGCCGCCCTCGTCTTGGGCACGATAGCCTTGCCTCCTCCGTTCCCGTTCAGGATCGCACAAACGGAAGGATGGGAGGGGAAAGGATGCGCGTGTCGCCATGGAACGTGTATGGGACAGGAAATGGAATTGTGACTGTGAGGGATGGAGGCACGTGCACACGTTCACGTTACAAGACTTTATTGAGCTGGTTGCCCCCATAACGTGCTCATTCTTCCCTGAAGAATGGTTGGAATCTAGAAGAGTATAAACATGTATTCATATGCGGGATGTACTCAAGACTGAAGAGTTACAATCCTATGAGAACAACAGGTCTAGCAGCATATTATACACAGATCCGCGCCGTTACCTCATTGTATATATACCTGTTCCACATCACATCCACAACGAACGATTCAAACCGTTCAATCCATCCCGATTTGAGAAACCCTCAGCTTGAGCCCATGGCTGCCGTCGTTCACCGGTCGCGGGGTTACACCCGGTACACGGCGGACATCCTTCCCTCCCGGGGTGAGCGGCTCGAACGTAAAGTTTTGGATGAGGATGCATATGACAGCTTTGAGTTCCGCGATGGCTATTCATCCACGAAGAAATTGACGTGAAACAAAGAATGACCTTATTAGACCATGTTGAGACATCAGGAATGAGAGACATACCGAACGTCCGCCCGATACAGCCTCTTGGCCCATCACCAAAGGTCCACAAGTTCGACCAGGCATGGAACTCCCTCACCCTCTCCGGGAGATGTTCATTCTCAGCACCTGAAGAGATATGAGCCCAGAATCCCGACGCTCTTCCCTCTTCGTCGATACTCACCAATTGGCTTGCTGAGGTTATATTCCTTAGATGACCCGGGCACCCATCGTTCAGGCCGGAACTCGTGGCTGTCTTCCCCCCAAATGGCGGGGGAACGCACGAGCGCCTCGATAGGGACTGTGATCCCCTGGCCGCCCTTGATGGGGATCTGACTGATTTGTTCGCCCGAAGCGGTCGTTATAGGCCGAGCGAGGGGTAGGACGTCATCTTTTATCGCCTACAAATACGTGAGCGCCGGGTCAAACAATGCACGCTACGAGGCGAGACGGGACGTACGTTCCAGTAGATCTCGACAATGGAAGGATGCAGCCGGAGCACTTCTTTCACAACCGCGTCGAGGTAGACCATCTTTTCCCGCAGATGGTCGTACGTCGGCTCATGGAACTGGGAAAGTTCCTCCCTCAACTTGGACTGAGCGGTAGGGTTCAGGGAGAGCTCGTGCAGCGCCCATAGGAGAGTGGCTGAGATGGGTTAGACAGATATGGAGAGAATGGGCGGGGCGTACTGGAAGTCGTGTCATATCCCGCAAACATGATAGTGTTGATCTGCCAAGAATGGTGAATGGGCGGGAAAGAAGTGGAACGAGATACTCACAGCTCCGAGGACCTCATCCGGGGTGAATGACCGATTTTCTGCCTTGACTGCTGCTTGTCAGGGACATCCCACCCTTGGCGAACAGGTACTCACGGACGTTCTCGATCAAGCTTTTTCTCCCCTCCTCGCCGACCTTATGACTCTCCTCCAGTATGTCAGTAGCGATGCCCATCATAGCCATTCGGAGCTTGTCCCTGAACACTTTCCGCTTGGTAGGGAGATCGACCAGGATCGGGAAAGCGTGCACGAGGGAGAGGACGAGGGCCGTGATCGGGGACTGGCGGCTGGTGCCGAACGAGTCGAGCAGTTTTTGGATGAGCGGTTTCTCCCCGGTTACGGAGGCGAAGTCGTGCCCAAATCCGGCTTTTCCGATCGAGTCCTGCGCCGCATCAGTATCCGACATTCGGGGGAAAGGGGGACGAACGAGTGAGATGGCGTTGACCCATGGCTCGACGTCGAGCACGAGCCCGCCCTTTTGTTCAGAGAACATGGTGCTCCACGCATCCTTGACGTGGTAGGCTTCTTCTAAGAAGACAGTGGTGAAGGACCTGAGGGCAGCAGGCGTGAACCCGGGCATCATCGTCTTCCTGATCCGTTTGTGGTCGTCCCCTGTACTCTCGTCAGTGGTTGTATAACACGGAAGAACGGAGACAGACCATCGGTGCTGATAAGCCCCTGTCCGAGCTCGAAGGATAATCAGCATAGGGGTCAGCATCCACCGTCCAGGACATACCAAAGAGGCCACGAGCTTGGACTGGCCCACCGGCCGCACATAGTTATACACATTCGAGGAGAACACCCACACTAGCGCCTTCGGGTCGAGCAGGGCGATCCTTGTTTCCCCCACGGCGACAGGGAGGGAGTAGGCATCGCCGTACTTGGCTTGCCAGGTTTCATGTAGTTGCGCGGAGGGAGTGGTGAGGAAGATCTTGTTGTAGCCGTAGAGCCAAGAGGGGCGGGGAGGGCCGCGCAGCTTGATCCCTTTGGAAGAGAGGAGGTAGCGAGCGACAAGCAGGAGGGAGGTGATGAGGGTGACGAGGACGACGAGGACGTCCGTGGAGCGGAACGAGGGTGGGAGGAGTGGAGTGAGCATCTTGCGTAACAGAATTGGACGACCATGCCAGAGGTTATAAGGATTAAAAGGTTTCAGGAAGGTATTAATATTCCCCTTTAAACAACATTCAAGTTAATCCGAGTGTCAAACACTCTCCAATGCCAGAGCAACGATCGATTCCAATAACGACCACGCGCACGAGTGTGTGAGCACGTCGGCATGTATGCATCGTAAGCAACAATCATCCATTCTGCGAGTGCGGATGCCACTGCGTTGTCCGCGGTAACGTCGGGTATATGCATGAGGGCATCCAAGTTCGCGTATCAAGAAACAAATCCACATGTAGCAAGAACAGCTAGTGATTGATGCCATACGACGATGTTATGCTAAGAATTGAATTGAGCCAGAATTGAATACAAATCAAGAGCAAGCGTTGAAAGAAACTAAATAGAAATATTGGAAACCCGTGTCATTCCCGAGCAACCGTTCTTACGCGAGGCGGTGCATTACCCACGTGATTGGAGCGGTTTATCACGTGACTAGCCAATAATTCGCCGATCGATGTCTTCGATCCCTGACGTCTTTGGGTGCCCTTTACTGTCTCAGATCGGCGCTTGTCATCGCAGAGTTTATCCGAGCCTTGTTCCTCACTTGATGACTCCAGCTATGGCAGATATCGTCTTTCTTTTCTTACTTCAACCAACTCCAACTGGGGATTCCTCTGGCGTAGGCTTGCTCTTCTCGCCAGGAGGGGACGTACTGCACTACACACATTCACTAGGACTCCCATCCTAGCAGCAGGAACCAGCTCTCTAGTACTGAAAACTCCAATGCCGAAACGAAAGCTTGCACAATCAGAACCAACAACTAACCTGAACTTGGCAAAAAAATCGGAGGGAGGGATCCAGCAGCTTTCCGCCAGGGAGGTAGAGCAGGTCACCCTCTCACCTGTGCCTATGCTCGCTGTGAACGTGACGGAGGTTCATATGAGTGCGGTGGGTGATGCAGTCAAAGAGGCGGTGGAGGTGGTCATGGAGGGTCCTGAGGCTATTATGGAGGAAGTAAAAGAGGCTAGAACACCAGCGCAGAAAGGCCGAGGAGGAAGGAAGAAGTCTGTCCTCACTCCGGCGGGTGAAGGTGCTGCTATGAAGGCTGATTCTGCTGTATCACCCAGCCCTGGTAAACGCAAACGTCGATCAACGGTCAAAGACGAACCAGACACCCCTGGTAGCCCCCTCCGCCGCTCGACCCGTGCCCGCAAGCCTGTCCTTCCGACCGCAGAAGTGTCGTCAGCCGAGGAGACCCAAACCCCCAAAAAGCGGCGCAAGCGCAAGACTGACGAGCCGGTGACGTATATCATACCCGATGTCGAGCGGCGAGAGACGGCATTCCGCGGTCGACTGGGGTACGCGTGCCTCAACACCGTGCTCCGCGCAGGTGGGCAAGGGGTGGAGCCTGTCTTCTGCAGCCGCACCTGTAGGCTGGAGACCTTGAGGCAGAAAGGAGTGGAGTTTGTTAAGGAACTAGCGCTGAAGAACGTCGAGGATCTGGAGAAGATGATCCAGTGGAACGAGGAGAACAAGTGCGACCTCCATCTGGTGTGTTTTTTAGTCACTGATGAGGAGCAGGATACAGTTCATGCGCGTCTCCTCGGATATGTTCCCTTTCGCCTCTCACGCCCAACACGGCTACTCGCTCGACTTTGCCGACTCTGCACTCCAGCGTGCTGGGGAGCTGGCAAACCAATACGGTCAGAGGCTGACGATGCACCCAGGGCAGTTTACGCAGCTTGGTTCACCTAAGCCCGGGGTCGTCGAGGCTTCTGTAAGGGAACTGGAGTACCAGTGCGAGGTCTTGGACCGCTTGAGACAGGGAAGGGACGGGGTGATGATCATTCATATGGGAGGGGTGTATGGGGACAAGGAGGGCACGATCGAGCGGTTTAAGAGCAACTACCGGAAGCTTGGGGAGAGGGTTAGGCAGAGACTGGTGCTGGAAAACGACGAGCTGTGCTACAACTTAGAAGAACTCCTGCCTGTGTCGGAGGAACTGGGCTGCCCGCTCGTCCTGGATTGGCACCATGATTGGATCTATGTGAGCTTACCTACGCTCGCTCTGTCAAGTTATCTGATCGTCCCCAGCCTAGCTCACAGACCCCGGTAGAGCTCCTCCCGCGGATAAACGCCGTCTGGCAGCAAAAGTCCATCAAGCCCAAACAGCACCTCTCCGACCCCCGGCCCGGCGCCGTAACAGCAATCGAGAAACGCGCGCATGCCGATCGCTGCGAACGGATCCCCGAGGGGGTACCGATAGATATGGACCTGATGATCGAGGCGAAGGATAAGGAGCAGGCGGTTTTCTATTTGTGGAGGGTTTATGGGTTGGAGGAACCGGTGTGGGAGAACTTGAGGCCTGCGGCGGAGGAGCAGGAGTTGGCGACTAAAGGAAGGAAAGCGAGAGTGAGGAGGTGAGTGCTCTACTTGTTTGGTGAGGGTGTTGATTGTTCATTGGTGTTGGGATGTAGGAAGGAGATGGGAGAGGAAGGGAAGGAGAAGGTCGTACTGCGGGATTTGGAGAAGGAGCAGGAGGATAGGGTGTTGGTTGATGGCCCTGAGGAGGGGAGAGATGAAGGGGAGGAGAGTGAACTGACTGAGCCAGAGGAATAAAGCAGTCATGATTTACATTTACATTCTACATTCCTACATGATTGTGTATAAGTACAAGTACAAGTGAGATGGACACCCAGCCAATCAGTGATTGGCCAACTCCTAATGACCAAACAAAGTGAGCGCTTAAATTAGACCTCTCCCGTGCACCGCCACAATTGCCTCGGCGCACAGGCCCGACATGCCGAATGCGGAGGGCCGTTGTCTGTTTGAGCGGCGCCGTTGCAAAGCCGCACGACACTTTTAATTCTGCTTCACTTATCTGCTGCTCTCTTTCTTGGGCGCCCGTCATTACTCTCACTCTTGCCACCATCTTTGTATTCGGAATTCTAGGGGAGTGTGAGGCGACGGCCGCACTACTGACTGGCGTGTAACTCCACCAAGCTTATCGCCAGCCACGTCACACTCAATACCCAACACGCGACAACCCAGTCGTTACCCTTCAATCCCCAACGTCGGAAATGAGCGAACCATTCGAGAAAAGTTCGAGGAGATGGGCAAGTTTTGTCGGTAGCGTGTTGAGTGCTGTTGGGGCGGGGACGAATTATGTGCGTGTTTTTGTGCTATATTTGGATGTGGGGCTGATATGTCTAGGCGTATTCTGGTGAGTTGATCTAGGGTGATATGAAACTGGTCTGATGAGTGAATAGCGTATGCTCCTCAGCTGGGTAACCGCCTGCATTTGTCTTCCACGACGTTGAACATCATCGGCGCTGCAGGCAACTGTGCGTCCAATCTCCTCTTCCGCAGGTACATACTGAACGACAATAGTGGGCGTCTACCTCTCCGGCCCCTTCTGGGGCTACATAGTGGACAAACGCGGACCCTCCCTCCCTCTCCTGCTCGCATCCCTCTTCCTTCTCCTGGGCTACCTCGGCATCCGCCTAGCGTACGACGGCGTGCTCGTCCTGCACGGCGGGTGGGAACTGGGCATGCTTGCTCTTTTCGGGTTCTGCACGGGGGGCGGGGGGAACGCAGGGTTGACTAGTGCGGTAAACGCTACTGCGAAAAGCTTTCACGATAAGACTGTTCGTTTTCCCTGCTTGAGCCAACTGCGCCTGCTGATGACGGCTACGTGGACAACAGAGAGCATCAGCGACAGCGATCGTTCTCTCCGGATTTGGACTTTCTGCATTCGTATTCTCCACACTGGCAGCGACCCTCTTCCCAGGAGAGACGTCCGCTTTCCTCCTCACCCTCGCCCTAGGCACGTCAACCAGCATGCTCATAGGCTACTTCACGGTGAAACCCGTACCTCCTCACCATCAGGCGCTCGAGGAGCCTCCCTATGCTCGAGAACACGTACACGAGCGTGGACATGAGGAACAAGGGTTCGAACCTATGGTCTCCGACGGGGAAGAAGCGAGCGAAGAGCAGCTGGAAGAGCTGAGCGACGTGTACGACCTGGAAGAGCCTACGAGCGCTACGAGCGCTTCGGCTTTGTTAGAGAGAACAGAAGGCAGGAGCGCTAGCTTCGAACTCTCCCCAACGAGGAGCATGTCCCCGGTTGGGGAAACACATAGGCGGTTACTGCATCCGCCTCGTCCTGGAATGGGGAGGGGCTCCAGGAGCAGGAGCTCGAGACGCGATGCCGTGCAGGGGAGTGTGGACCTCAAGCCGGCGGAGATGGCTCTGGATGTGGATATTCATGGACGGGAACTGCTGCTGAACATGGATTTTTGGATGCTTTTCATCATCCTTTCTTGCTGTACGTCTGCTTCCGTTCTGCTCTCAAAAAGCACATGTTTGGCTTCGATGCTGATATGTTGATGGTGCGTAGTGAGTGGCACTGGCCTGATGTGGATCAATAACGTGGGTAGCGTTGCTCAAGCGTTGTGGAGGTACAACCACCCCGATGACCCGGACGGGTACTCCAAGCTCCAGGCCGCGCAAGTATCCATCGTCAGCATCTTCAACTGTCTCGGGCGTATCCTCATCGGTAAGCACCTTTCTCGCGCCTCACACCACATGGGCTGACCCTCATATCTTCACAACAGGCGTATCCTCCGACGTCTCACAACATCATCTCGGCGCCAAACGCTCCTACTTACTCTCGTTCGTCGCCCTCTCCTTCATCGTCTCCCAACTCGTCGCCGCCCGGATATCCTACGCCACCCACCTTTGGGTCGCCTCCATGCTCCTCGGCCTCTCCTACGGTAGCGTATTCGGAATAATGCCCATGGTCTCCCTGGAATGGTTTGGCATGGGCCACTTTTCCCAGAACTGGGGATTTCTTGCCTTGAGCCCGCTCTTTGGGGGGAACCTGTTCAACCTCTTCTTCGGGAGAAACTACGATTCTCATTCGCGGCCTGTGGCTGTAGGCGCCACGCCGGACCATAGCACGCTCGCCTCTGTCTCCCCCACAGGGAGCACAGCTGCTTCCCTAATGCACCTCGCTGCACGCGCTGGGGGAGTCTCCGACCCACATAAACAATGTTTTGACGGGAGACTGTGCTACGTCGATTCCCTAACACTTACGACCGTCGCTTGCTGCCTTGCGTTCGTGCTGAGCTTTTGGGCCGCTTGGAGGGACATGCGGAGGAGTGTGAGGCGAGGAGAGGGGTGGGTGAGTATCGGCGAAGGTGGAAGTAAGTGACCGTGCGTTCTTGTTGTGCGACGGTGGTGGTTGGCAGGTCAATGGGTGCGGTCCGCCGTTCGTCCGACCGCATTTCGAGCGTAGGGTTGATGAGTAATGCTCATAGCTAGACGTTGTCGGTGGAGGAGATCATGTGTATTTTGTAGAGACCGTCTGACCAAAGCTCTAGATAGATGCAGTCTTGATACGCCTTTATGGTCTGGATTCCAACAATCGTTTGGGCTTGTCCTTCCTCCTCCAGGAAAAGCATGAATCCACTCCGCGGCTTTCGTCCGTGGATCGAGGAGAGAACTGCTGTACGGCCGCCAGTGGTCATTCCCCAGAATCTGCGGAAAATAGAAGGCAACCAGTGAACTTGACAAACCCGGCCTAAGAGGGGAATAGCAGCAGGAGATGAAGAGCTCACAGTCCTTGCCCATTCTGCGTGTGGAGGTTCCTGCGCTGCACGTATGAGTTACATCGTGTTCCACCCGAGGTGTGGGCATGTACGGGTACGAACACAGGCGCCACGTCGAAAGCGGCCCGAGAATTGGTCAGAAGTCTACTGCGGAAAATGACTGTACCCCTCATCGCCCACTTGCACTACGCTCCTTAACAACGGCGAAGCGGTTGAGCCATTGATATTCGGCGTTTGCGATCGGATCTTCAGACTTCTGGGGTGTTGAATGACAGGAGGACCTACATTTCATGTTGCATTGTTGCATTTCACATTCACAGGGGGTCTGCATTTCACGTTCAAGGGCCGTATTCCACGTTCAGACAGTTTCTTTTGGGCTTTAAATAAGTTGATTATTAAGGAATCACATGCTTCAAATTGATTTGTTTTGATAGTTGATAAGCAAATATTGCGTAATGGTACCTGTTCGTTGGGGCGTGCGTTTTTCTCTCTCTCCGAATCTTTCCAATTTCAGAGCAACTGCTTGCGGCAACACATCTTCTCAGGTGTAGTTGGAGGCCGAAGTACGCGCGTACGAACGGCACGACACCATCCAATTCTTACAGCGGAATCCCTGCCAACCCCACGAACTGTCCCCTCTCGAGCGCTCCATGGCAGTAGAGTGTTTCTACCTCAAGAACTTATCTATGTTAGAGCCTTTATGACCTGAACTCTCTCTTGTCATATATACTGTCGATGCTCAGACTCGAACTGGATCAGGATATCGTTGCCCTTGACTCCCTGATGCCCCTTGTCTTGCCTGGTGGCTTCCCACCGTCTTTCACGGAACTCTGACCAACCTCGGAGATAATTGTCATGTGATACTATAACTTGATTGGTCGCCGCGTGTTCCTTCATTGGCCCGGAGAAAGCAAAGACTAGCGCAGTTGGATAGCGTCGTTCTGGGACAGTGGCAGCTCGTGAAAACCAGCATGGCGCACTTTTCCGCATTGTTGGAACTCATGCAACCCTATGTATGGAAACCCAGACAGCAAGGCCTCTATCTTTTGTGAGGTTATACTATTCATTCTGACCAACAATCTTATGCATAAGCGGCGACAGAGCCCGGCACACCAGTGGTATATAGACCACCTTCCAGCTTGCCACTGCCTTCAGCCTAACGCAAAACATGCCCTCTCTTCACTCCTTCAGCACCTCCTTCAGCCAAGCGCAAGACATGATTTCCCTTCACTCCTTCAGCACCTTTCAGGTAGTGCTGGCCTCAGGCTGCGCCATTCTGGGCCTTGTACTTGTCAGAATGCTCTTTTTCCGGGGTTCTCCAGTAACACCTCTCTCTGGGCCAAAGCGTCCCAGCTGGATCTGGGGATACAACCGGATGCTTATTAACGGAACCAGCGGTGATTATTTCGAGTCTTGGCAGAAAGAATTTGGAGACGTGTATCGTCTTCCCACGGCTGCTGGAGTGAGTGTTTACCAACGATGTTCCTTGTCGGATGTCTAACAGCTTGATTAGGCCGAACGCACGGTCATCATGGATTCTCGTGCCATCGCATATGTTCTCAATACAAACGGATATAATTTCACTCGTTATGAAGGCGAGCGCAACACGATCAAGCGTTTGGTAAGTTCTGGCATCGGTCCTCCACATTGCACCGACTAATAGGACTGCTTAGCTCGGTGGTGGAATTTTGACCGTAGAAGGTGAGTATAATCGGCATAGACAACCCTTTCATGTTCACCACATTTGTGCTGTCAGGGAATGACCACAAGAGGTAATATCACAATAAGAAGGTTTACAAAAAGCTCATTGTACTAAGGCACCGTAAAGCAATGAGCCCGGGATTCTCAATTGCTTCGATCCGGTTCTTCACCTCCATTTTCTTGGAAGCAACACACAAAGTAAGTGGACGACATGACCCTAAGCCACGTGTTCTCACTCATTACCAGGTGAAAGAACGATGGCTATCCAAATTGTCAGACAGCAAAGGGAATGACATTGTGCTGGACGTCGAACACTGGTGAGATGTGTCATTATTCTTGGTCGTGTTGCAAACACTGAAGGCGAAACAGGATGAACGCAATATCATTCGTATGCAAAGCTGCATTCACAGGACAGTGGCTAACTGGATTACTTAGGAATCCATTGGGGAGGCCGGCTTTTCTCATGACTTTGATTGCATAAATGACGAGGTGTCGGTGGTTGGTCAAGTCTTCAGTTCTTTGGGAGCAACTAATGGGACGCTCACTGCCGCCATTGCTGTCGCGTTGCAAGCATTCCCTATTATTGCATCACTTCCGCTCGCCCGGAACGTGGCCTTTGATAATCTCCGAAACACGATGAGAGATCTAATAAATACTATGGACCGAAAGACTCTCGGAAATGATGCCTCTGATGAACGGCGTTCGCTTGTTGCTTCAATCAGTTCGTACCTTCAGAACACCCCGTCTCATCAATGTTTGACATGGATCTAGTCAAGGCAGAGAATCGCAACTTGAGCCAGGAGGAAGTCATGGCTGAGGCAAGTTGGCTGTTTTTCCGGTGGTGCCGAGACATCACTTAATAATTCACAGATTACTACGTTGTTACTTGCCGGATTCGAGACCACTTCTAGTAAGCCTCCTTTACATCCTGCACGGGTGGAGGCTGATGTGGGGTTTTGTAGCGACTATGGCGGTCCGTTCAGGTTATATCCGGAAAGTGTACTGAAGCTCACGCTTGCACAGTGGTGCCTGCATGAGCTCTCGATTAACCCCCACGTCCAAGACAAACTGAGACGGGAGATCATGATGTTCCCTGATGCGACTCATGAACAGCTGGCCACGCAGATGCCCTACTTGAACGCTGTCGTCCAGGAGACATTGAGGACTCATCCGGCCGTCGTGGAGAATCATCGTCAGGTAACATTAGCCGAAACAATCTTGGGCCATGTGACTAATATGTGTGAAGGCCATGAAAGACGACTCGATTCCCCTCCAACGTCCGATCAAACTGGCCAACGGACAATCTGTCGATCACATCGATGTGCGTGCCGGAATGGGCGTGATCATTCCAATCGAAGCTATGAACAAATCAAGTGCCTTCTGGGGACCGGATAGTCATGAGTTCAAGCCTGAGCGGTGGCTGGACGAGGAGCTGCCCAAGAAAGTGACGGAGATTCAGGGATTTCATCATTTGCTGACCTTCATTGATGGACCTAGGTACGCCGTAGTTCATCCTTCCCTGTGTATACTCATCCCATTTATCACCAGGAACTGCATCGGCAAGAACTTTGGTAAGCGTTTTGTTCGACGAGCATTCTGATCCAGGGATCTGACCATGTCTGTCTAACAGCAGTGGCCGAATTCAAGGTAACCTTGGGAAGAACGATGCCATGATTCCGATGCTGACGTGGAAACAGGCCGTGATGTCGGTACTGATTCGCCACTTCTCATTTGCTCCTCTCACGGACGGATCTGACGTCCGGCGCGTCCTTACTCTTGTGCAGCGGGCGAAGAGCAAGGGGCACGATGGGCTTCTGTTGCGCATTAGCCGGGTTGAAACGGAATGAACGAAATGCCGCCCACCTGGCGTGCACATCTAGGAATAGGTTCGCCATGCTTCATTCCTCACTCAAACGATCCATTTATTGACGGTCATAAAGGATTATATGTTGCTATACAAGGTGTCAGGACATGTAAATACTATATCGGTCAGAAATAGACGCACATTCCAATATTGAAAGAATTCAACCATGAAGGAAATGAGCCGTTCCTTTTCAGTGGTCTGTCATGGGTCGCTTTTTCTCAAACAAGGTTGACAAGTATTCCTCGCATCCGGTCGACTCCGGATAGCAACAACAAGCTCGCCTCCTCTCCCCTTCCGGTATAAGTACAGATGTCTCTTTCCTCCTTCAGGCGCGCGGGCGGGTGGGAAGGACGTGACGCAGGCGTCTCCGACCCAGAGAAACGGTTGTTCGATGACGGCCTATCATGTGCTGTCTTGACTGCCCGCTCGCACAACCGTCGGATCCTGTATTCGTACCGACCGTTTGGGGTGGGAAACTAGCGGAGTGTGACGAGGAAGACAGGGGCATGGGCACGGCAGGGAACATATGAGCGATTGGGGTGAACTGTGCCCGGTTATCGTGCGAGCGGTGATCCCCCGAAAGGTATGCTCCTTTCCTGACGGTGAGCAATCGGTCAATAGTCGGTGTTGGTGTTTCTTGCTTGCGATCAATGCGGTGTTCAGCAATTACGGGTGAATGACATAATGCGTATGTTGTCCTGTACTCCATCTAAGCTCTAGATGGATATACATCGTACCCGTCTATACGAGGGCTATTATTCATCCTTGCCGATTCTGTGAGGGGATGGCGCATCTATATCGCGGCGATGGTGGTGTGTTTTCGGACAGGTTGGGGACTAGTACGTCGTGCCCCATGGCTCCCTGCCGTGGGTTCAGGAAAGAACCATGTGTGGTCGGCCGATCCTGATTCCAGAATACGCCGTCAAGGTAACCCAGCAGAATGCAGGCAGGATGTGGAAAGTTGCGATCCTCGACCTGACCTTGTTGGAAGTTGTCCGCTAACCTGGCTTCCGCACTGTATTCGGCCAGAGTTGCCATCCTTCCAACACCACGTACATATCACGCTGGACACGGGCCGAGAATCCGGTGGGATCTTTTCTACTGCGGGGGGCTGCACCTTTTGCGGTCGAAAGGCCTGTTTGACAATGGAATTTGTGGATAGACTCTATACTGCTTTTGAATCGGGTATCACAGATTCACCGACTGGGATGATCGATGACTTGAGAAATATATGTTCAGCTTCATTTGGTGGCTTTGCACAGGGGTATTGGAGCAGTGCATGAAGATTCGAAGGTGGAGAGAACGACGTTTGGTTATTCAGATGAACCGGATCATGAAAGAATCTTGTGGTCAATTACTAAATGGTGATAATGATTTGATAAGCGAAAATTGCGTAAAGGTCCCTGAATTTCTTTCCTTCTTTGAATCTTCCTTTCAATTCTCCAACGCGAAGATTTCTTCTTTTATCGCGGCCAACGTAACTAGTTGAGGGGTAATCCGAATGCCGACGGCACGAGACAATCTGATGCTTCGTCCCAGAGTTCTGTCCTCCCATGGACTGCCCCATCCCGACCGCTCCATGGGGGGGGGGGAGGGAGGCTTCTACCGCGCAGACATGTATAACCTCGCCGCCATTATGACATGAAATCTGCACTGTCATCCATACTATCAACGGACAACGTCGAGATGCACCGGAATGTCTTATGTCCATGTCTCGCTGTCAACGCCCTATCTGAGCGGCGGCTTCCCACCGTCTCTCGCGGAGATACATATGACCGCCCTCGGACGTATCAATTTCCATGTAACAAAATGAGCGACACGGTTTTGCCATGTCAACATGACCATCCATCGGCTGGGAGACGAGGGATTGTCACATAGAGCTGGCTATTGGATGGAATGTTGTACTCGTCCGGCCGGGCCCCGCGGAAGCGCGCGTACCCCAACCCTGCACGAGGTCTTGTTTGTCGGAACTCAGGCAGCTAGGAAGGATGCAACTCGGGACAGCAAAACCACTACGTTTTGAGAACTTGAACTACATTTAGCTGTTCATTGTGACTAGCGCGTTTGAGCGTAAGCGGCGGCAACCACCGGGTACATTGCTGGTATATAGGTCTCGACTGCCACCTTGTCTGAGCTTGAGAGTTGGTTCGACCTTGAGCATACCATGGAACTCCTTCACCCGTACAGTGTTTTCGATGTGGTTGCCGTCTCAGTCTGCGCTAGCCTGGTCTTTGCCATGATCAGGAGACTCTTCCTCCGCTCTAAAGTGACCATTCTCTCTGGACCAAAGCGCCCTAATTGGCTCTGGGGTTACAATCGGATGCTCATCAGTGGAACCAGTGGTGATTATTTCGAGGACTGGCAGAAGCAATATGGCGATGTCTATCGTATCCCCACGGCTGCCGGGGTAAGTCCTTATCATCTTCCTTGTCATCTGTCTAAGGCGTGTGAAGGCCGAACGTACGGTGATCATGGATTCTCGTGCCATCGGATATATCCTTAACACCAACGCCTATAACTTTGTCCGCCATGAAGGTAATCGCAGGTCGATACGGCGCATGGTAAGCAGTGTCATGTCCCTTGACACTCTTGACTGAAGAATTGGCATAGCTTGGCGGTGGAATTCTGACCGTAGAAGGCAAGTGTTTTCAAGCCATTAATGTCAATTATTCTCACCACGAGTGTGTTATCAGGAGATGACCACAAGAGGTAAGGCCACAATAAGAGGTTTTTAGGTAAAGCCTCTTATTCTGCTCAGGCACCGTAAGGCAATGAGTCCTGGTTTCACGATCGCCTCCATCCGGTTCTTCACCACTATCTTCACAGACGCGACGCACAAAGTTTGTCAAGACCATGACTGCTTAGCCACTTGTTCTCACCAGTTATCAGGTGAGAGAGCAATGGCTAGCCAAAATGGCAGACAGCAAGGACAAAGAAATTGTCCTCGACATTGAGCACTGGTAAGACCAAGTTTATTTTTTCCGTGCTGCAGAGGCTGAATGTAAACCAGGATGAATGCAATCTCATTTGTACGCAACAGATCATGTACCAGGAAGCCACTCACCCTATTGATTAGGAATCCATCGGAGAAGCCGGCTTTTCCCATGACTTTGATTGCATCAATGATGAGGTGTCGACGATTGGCACGGCTTTCACTTCCTTGGGATCAACCAGCGGAAATCTCGCTTCGGCCATTGTCCTCGCCTTGGTTCAGGCTTTCCCCATTGTTGCGTCGCTCCCGCTTGCACGGAACAAGGCTATGGACAACCTTCATTTTCTGATGCAGGACGTGGCAAAATCCGTGACGAAGGAGCGAAAGACCATGTCGAGTGAGGTGTCTGATGACCGTCGTTCGCTTGTTGCTTCCATTAGTGAGTACCTCGACAGCATGCTGGTCATCAGCAACTAAAATCAATCCAGTCAAGGCAGAGAACCGCAACTTGAGCGAGGACGAGGTTATTGCCCAGGTGCGTCGTTGGCCGTTGTTAGCAGTAGCAACAAGAAGTGTCTGATGACTCATAGATCAACACGTTGTTACTTGCTGGATTCGAGACCACATCAAGTAAGCATATTTGTGAATGTTTTTTTGGGGGTTCCGAGGCTGATCTGAGGTATTTGCAGCTACCATGGCGGTCAGTGCAGACTGCACTCGGATTCATGCTAAGGCTCACCTTTTACAAGTGGTGTCTGCACGAGCTCTCGATAAATCCTCGGGTTCAGAACAAATTGAGAGAAGAAATCATGAGGTTCCCTGCTGCGACTCACGAACAGCTGGCCACGCAGATGCCCTACTTGAACGCCGTCGTCCAGGAAACATTGAGGACTCATCCAGCCGTCGTGGAGAACCACCGCGTAGTAGGTTGAGCTAGAGGATACTTCGCGTGATGTGACTGACATGCTTGAAAGACCATGAAAGACGACTCAATTCCACTCCAGCGCCCTATTAAACTGGCAAACGGGAAGACTGTTGATCATATTGAGGTTTCCGCCGGCATGGGTTTGATCATTCCTATCGAGGCTATGAACAAGTCCAGCGCATTTTGGGGACCCGATAGCCATGAGTTCAAGCCCGAAAGATGGTTGGAAAATGAGCTTCCGAAGAAAGTGACAGAGATTCAGGGTTTCCACCATTTGCTGACCTTTATCGATGGCCCTAGGTGCGGTGATACGCTTCTGCTCCTCCCTGCTTAGACTCATCATCACCATGAACAGGAACTGCATTGGAAAGAACTTCGGTAAGCCACAACGATTGAATATCTCGTAGACACAGGCTGATCATATTTGTGGCGCAGCTGTGGCTGAATTCAAGGTACGCGCTGGCCAGCCGAATGTCGACCCCAGCTGACCTAGAACAGGCTGCCATGTCTGTAATAATTAGCTCCTTCGCATTCGCTCCTCTCACGGACGGATCTGACATCCAACGCGTCCGCACTCTTGTGCAGCGCGTGAGGAACAAAGGGTATGACGGACTCCTGTTGCGCGTGAGTAGGGTTGAGGACGATTGAGCGGATTTTCTCCACTTGTCGGGCTACACTCCTAGGAATAGAGTGTCCATATCTCAGCCCTGCAACCAATTAAACATTATACTTACAGTCATGAATGATTCGTGTATCATCATATGCGATGTTTGTGCACACAATGTCGACGTCCATTTGAGAGAGTCTACTGCGTCTGAGTCTAATTGTCATAATCAACGTACAGCCACCCGGCGGGATTAAATGTGCCCTCTAGAATTGCTTCCGCTGATTATCCGTTCCCTGTACTTTGACCACCACCGCGACGAAATGAAAGGCGTAGAGCATACAACAACCGTGTCAATGCACGGGCGACGAACGACACGTCCAGCGACGTATGCAGAGGAGGATGAGTCTATCGACGACGAACCTGTGCATCGCTCTCATCGCAGGTCGCACCACGGTGGCGTCAATGGCAACAGGCCCAGCAAGCGTAACAGTGGCGACTTCATCGTAGAAGAGAATGAGGAACAGCAAGACGGGGACGACGATTATGGCAGGCGGAGGTCACTACGATCCTCTACACGAGATCAGAGGCATGGTAATACGCCACCGCAAAAGAAGCGGCGATCAGCGCTCGAACAGCTGCTGACGAAGCGCGGACACACCAAACCGCGCTCGACGCGCAATTCACGCCGCGCGTCTGGATCGGACGACTTCGACCCTGAAGGCGGAACCAGCGGGGATTCAAACGAGTCGGACATTCTCCAAGGCGGAAGCGAAGAGATGGAGATGGAGCAGGAAGTTGAAGAGGAGGTAGAGGAGGAAATGGAAGACACCGAACCTGCGGAGGTCGAACCCAAGCAGTACTCATTCCGAGAGCGAAGGAATAAACCGAACTATACACTACCCGCACTGCTCACGAACGAGGAAATCGAGCGCCAGAGAAAGGAGGCAGCAGCGGAGAAGGCGGCAAAGAAGGCGAAGAAGGCACCCAAGATGAACTGGAGCATCACGGGGAAAGACCTCAGCCGTCTTCTGGGCGAACCGGAGCCAGACTCGGACGATGATGTTGGCAATACCCCCGCAAAGCGCGGAATGTTTGGCACTGGCGCCGGTGCCGGTTTAACTGGCGCTGGTGCAGGTGGTGTTGTCGGAGGGAGCATGTTCGCCGATGGCGCGGCAGTAGGCGGTGGGGGGCTTGCCGGCACGCCTAGTAATCTGGGCAAGATTGGAGGTCAAGATGGCACATCTGACGCCGACCCTCTTGGGGTAGACCTCAGCGTGTCATTCGAGCAAGTTGGTGGACTGGACAATCGTACGTTACCGGTTGGTTACCATGTAACGATCTGACGATCTGTTGCAGACATCCAACGCCTGAAAGATATGGTGTTCCTCCCCTTGCAGTATCCCGAAATGTTTGAGCACAAGAACATCACCCCACCTAAGGGTGTCCTCTTCTACGGCCCGCCCGGTACCGGCAAGACGCTCGTTGCACGGGCATTAGCTGCTAGCTGCTCCACGGGTACACAAAAGATCGGTGCGTCCCCTACATGATCATTTGGAGATGTTATCAATACTTCGGCAGCATTCTTCATGCGAAAAGGCGCGGATTGCTTGAGCAAGTGGGTGGGCGAAGCAGAACGGCAACTGCGTGCTCTTTTCGAGGAAGCGCGCGCATGCCAGCCCTCCATCATCTTTTTCGATGAAATCGACGGTCTTGCACCTGTCCGCAGCTCTCGACAAGATCAAATACACGCTTCTATTGTCTCCACTCTCCTTTCCCTTATGGACGGAATGGATTCACGTGGGCAAGTCGTTGTCATCGGTGCGACCAATAGGCCAGATGCGATTGATCCCGCCCTCCGTCGACCTGGCCGATTCGATCGCGAGTTTTACTTCCCCCTTCCGACGTTGGAGGCGCGCAGGAAGATTCTCGAGATCCACACGAACAAGTGGCAACCTCCTCTCGGGCCAGAGTTGACAGAACAGCTCGCAGAGCTGACGAAGGGATATGGCGGTGCTGATCTCAGGGCACTGTGCACGGAGGCCGCCATGAACGCCATCCAGCGCACGTATCCCCAAATCTACAAGTCTAAGGAACGCTTGCAGGTGAAGCCGGATAACGTCATCATCGGCGCTCGGGATTTCACGACCGCCATGAAGTGTACGTCGTTCCCTCCGGTTCCCTAGTATGGCTTCAACTCACCGTTCGTTCCAGTAATCGTTCCTTCTTCAGAACGCTCGACCAGTTCTGCTGCTGTGTCCCTTCCAGACCAGTTGAAGGCTTTACTTGAGGATGCAGTGGAAAGAACGAAGGCTTGCCTTGATCGCGCTTTGCCGCCAACGAAGGAGAAAACGACCCTAGAGGAGGCAGAGTGGGAGGAAGAGGAGGGTGGTTTTGCTTCTGCCTTGAAACTCAAAGGTGTGCCTTCTGTTTGCTTCTTATACGCATTCAATTGACACGTTACAGCGATGGAATCTCTGCGCGTGTATCGCCCTAGGATCATCATCCATGGCCCACCTGGCATGGGACAAAATTTCATTGCTGCCGCCGCTCTGCATTACTTAGAAGGCTACAACGTTCAGAGTTTGGATCTCGGAACACTCATGAGCGATTCGTCTAGAGTGCGTTCTGGAATGTATTGGAAGTGGACCCTGCTGACTGTTGTCACCAGACCCCTGAGGCCGCTGTTGCTCAGTTGTTCACTGAGGCAAAACGACATAAACCGTCGATCCTTTATATCCCGGGCCTAACCGAATGGGCCAATGCTGTTACCCCTACAACTCGCGCTACCCTCAAATCCTGCCTCGATGGCCTGTCGCCGTCCGATCCCGTGCTGCTATTGGCAATCGTAGAAGGACCCTTAAGGGACATCCCACCCGACGTCCGATCCTGGTTCGGTGTCGCCATTGATAACCGCATTCGTCTTGACAAGCCGACCGAACAGCAGCGCGCTGCCTTCTTCGCTGATCTCGTCAAGACGATCATGACTCCTCCTGACAAGTTCGGTGATGCAGTGCCCAAGAAGAAGCGCGTTCTTGAGGAGTTGCCCATTGCTCCGCCTCTGCCGCCAAGGCAGCCTACCGCTGCGGAGCTCGCCGCCCAACGAGCGAACGACCAGAGGACTAGGGATCTGCTTCGATGGAAACTCAGCACCGTATTGAACGATCTCAAACGCAAATACCGACGATTTTGGAAGAGTGTTGTTGTGAGTCGTCTAGACGATTGATCGTCTTCTCGTACCTAATTGATTGTAATAGGACGAATACGGCTTATCGCCACTCTACTTTGAGGAGCTCTCGGTTCCTGAGCCACACCCAGAGCCGGTGATCGTGCCGGAGCCGGAGCCGGAGCTACAACCGCAGCCGGAGCCACAGCCGCCATCCTCACCCGTCCAGCCACCGTCACAAGATCCCCTTCTATTGACCGATGGATCCATTCAGGAGAATGGTGTTCCAGTTGAAGTTGAGACTGTGCCGCCACAAATCTTGGTCAATGGCGATGCAGCACATGCACCATCATCTCCGCCGCCTGCTGAAGCCCTTCCGGCGCAACCGGTCACTCAACCCTCAACTCCTCCGCCTCCAGAGCGCCCTCAGCGGGAGCTGCGGTATCTCGACGTCAGCGGAGAGGTCATGCACGAAAAGGTCTTCCATAATGCATACTTGACACCGGCAGACTTCCTTCTGGACATCGACCGTGTTCTGTATAATGCGGAGCTAGCTGACCAGTACTACGGAGCACGGGACAAAGACAGGCTCGAGAAGGCACGCGAGATGACGCTCACTGCCAAAGCACTGATGGGCCAATACTGTGACGACATGTTCCTGACCGAATGTCACCGGATGGCTGCGCGCGAGAAGCACAGATTGGCAGAAGTTGCCGAGAAGGAAGCTGCCGAACGTGCAGAAAAGGACAAGAAGAATAAGCGGCCCCTGAACGGCGCTACGAGGACAAGTGCCAGGGTGAACGGTCTCGCGCCTGAGTTCGGCATGACAGACCTCGCGGCATTCGAGAAGAACAAGCGGAAACGGGGTAGCTCGGCCGAGAAGTCTGATACCCAGTCTGGCGAAGAAGAGAGGGGCCGAAAACGTGTTAAGATCCTTCATCCTTTGGAATATGTTTCTGCTCCAGAAGAGATGCAGGTGGATTACAATGCGCCGATCACCATGCCAACCCCGATGCTGGAGGATGTCTTTTCGGGTCCGCCTGCAGATCCGGCTTCTCTACCCCTGATCGCGCATGCCATGCCTTCGGGGGCGATCCCGCCGATCAAGTCGCCTTCCCCATCCGGGGATGTCTTCGGTCCACATGGTCTGATCCCTGCCCCTCCCAACGACGCGCATGCCCACTTTGTGGACGAGCCTGTCAACACGGTCTTCAGCGCGGCGGTAGCGAGCTCCCCCATACCCGCAGAGCCGGCACGGTCCCCCTCTCCGGCCCTCCCACCCCCAGTCTTCACGCTCGACCCCGGCCTCCTCTCTGCCCTCCAAGACCAGCTCGTACACAGCACAGTAGACCTCAACGTCGAAGAGCTGGAGCAGCTGCGCGCGCTAGGCCTGGACAGGATATATCGTGCCAGGGGCGAATGGGACCGGGATCCGGTTGTCCAGGGGCTCGTGTGGTTTGTGAGAGCGTTCGTAGCCGAGGTTAATGGGGAGTATGATGAGTGAGCGCGAGCGCACAGCCTGCTTGTGGCCAGCCGCCACCCCGGAAGAGCGCATTCTGTGTCGGGAAATGACCAGCATCTGTACATCAACATCAACAACCATATCCGCGCCGCACCGAACTGGAAAAGCATCATACAACACACGCATGTGCGCGCGCGCATCTCTCGTCTTGTCTCGTCTCGATCTCACCCTCTTGTTTCTGTTTTTTTGGTAAGAACTGTCTTGTGTACTTATCCGTCCTGTGCTCCACCTCCTGTGATGAGGAGCTTGCTCTGCCTGTACGTTTCTGTAGAATGGAATGTTGGTAATATGCGGTTACAACGCTTCCTCCTATGACGTGTCCACCCAAGTGGTGAAGTAGCTAGAAGCGACGAGTCAGCAGCCGGAAGTCAGATCACCGCCGGCCCTGCGGATGATAGGGTGTGGTTAGGGTCTATCTAGGGTCTACACGTGGATTCGGGAATTGATGTTCTCCTTTTTGAGTAATAAGGGGAGTGTATGGTCAAATACAAATACGTGCTATAGGAGGTGGCTCCTGTGCAGAAGTGCTGAATAAAGTGCTGAATATATAGCGGCAGAAAGGCTGTAACTTGTTTGTCCGATCAAGTATAATAACACGCGGTAATGACGCGCTTGGCACTGCTGAGGGGTCATCGTCCATAGTAACTCAAACGACAAACTCGCACAGCGCATACATTATATCCCTCTCTCATCCTCCTTCTCTCCCAATACCATCCCGGCAATACCTGTTCAATACATACCACCCATCCCCGTTCTGATCACTCCCGGTCCATCCCCGTTCTCCTGTATATCCCTCGTCAGCCTACCCGGCTCTCCGGACGTGGGCGTCGTGTCGCGTGTTCCGGCCCAAAGTCATCTGGGCCAAAGTCACGTAGGCGCTTGCTCCTATTCTATCTCCTTTAAAACTACCAGCTGAGGTCGGCGCTCTGAATAAGCTATCAACCATTCCGCTCTGTTCTGCTTTTCTCATACATTCATAATCATACCTGTTCAAAGAATTCCGATTACCGCTTGGAGATGGACCATCCTGCAGCTGCTGAGGATCCTGAAGCGAGCCCTGCCACACAGAGTACGCACGGTACGATCCCCTTCCCGCGTTCTCCAAGCGCGGACGACGTGATCGGTCTTTCCCATCTACGCTGTACGTCCCTTCCCCTCCTTTGCTACTCCTGCTAACGTCCTGGTAGCACGCTCAGACTCGGCCGATCAGCATGAACCCTACGATGTGCACACTGTCGTGGAACACCTCGACCGATTCCGCACTATCGTACGTACTGTCATCTCCCTCCAGCGCCGTGCGCGACGGCAGTCCGAGCCTGGTCGCCGGCCCCCAGAACCGAGGGAAGAGACACATGAGCTTCCAGAACGAGATGTTGTGCCGACGAGAGGGAGGATGCCGAGGAGTCCTGGAATTGGAGCAGGATTTCCCAGTATTGGGGATCGGCTGGCTACAGGAGAAACGGGGCCGAAGAAAGTCAGTTTCGAGGGGGACGAGAACGTCCGTGCGGGGTTGCTTGCCCGTGAGTCATATCCTGCTGAGAAAGAGTGTTGTTCACCTTGGTGTAGGACTGTACTCCAGCACCTCGAGAGCCTCAGATCGGTCTGACCCATTCCCTATGACCCCCCTTCAGGCAGCACGTATTCGCTCCTCTCTTGTCCCAGTATCACTCAGCCCTCCACCACGCCCTCCCCCACCACGCACCCCCCCACCGCGCACCGCTTCCCCCCTTCGTCGGTGGATGCGCTCAAGGCGCGACCCAAAAGAGCTTTACAACGCACACGATCACGATCCATTCCACTGGCACTTCTCGCCTCTGCCCCACCTACACGGGCTCGTCTCCCCCGAACGGCATCCAGCTCCTCTCCCGCCCACCACAAACCTCACAACAGCATACATCGGCTTCCTCCTCAAACAAGCATACATCACCTTCCTCCTGCGCCTTCCCGCGCTCTACTTCTCCCGCGTCGGCCGCTTATTCACCGAAGCCGACCTAACAAAAAAGGAGATGGAGCAGATCATCCGCTGCCTGCATTCCCCCGAGTGGGAATACGATCTCGAGGCTGGTGAACCCGGTTCCCAGCCGCTGAAGGAATTCAAGCTCTCTTGGGAGGAGTTCATAGACCACGTGATCAAGGAATGGAAGACTCTCAACCTTGTTAGCGCCCTCTTACTCACGTCCGTGCTTATGCCTGTGCCTGTTCGTCCTTTCTGACCTATTGGGGTAGGGCGATCCTAACTCTGTTCCAGATCGAAGTGTCGAACGAACCGGTGACGCATACTTGTGGGCTATTGAGCCTCGTCTGTGCGCTCATGAGCCTCATATTCGGGTGCATGTACATCATCCGCTTCTCGACGATGCGTCCCATGTCCAAAGCTGCTCGCTGGGCCCAGGTGCGTCTCACCTTAATGTAACCTAATACAGCTCACCTGACGGATGCACCCCAGGCCGCCCAAGCATCCCAAACCAACCCAATCTGGAACGTCTGGATCTTCCTCGCCATCCCAGCCGTCTTCCTCGCCTGGTCTCTAATCTTCTTCATCGCCACCATCCTAGCATACACATGGACGTCCGATCCCATCGTCCCACCCGAATACCTCACTGCCCCCAGCTCGTGGATCTCGAGATCCTTCGTCTCCGCCGTGGTGGGACTGGGGGTGCTCGCATTTTGTGGGGTGATAATGACCTTTAAGAGCTACTCGGACGAGGGAACGGTCACTCCGGCACCGTTTGGGAGCCCGTTGGTGAATGTAGCCAGTCCGAGGAGCTCGAATGAGCAGGGTCGCGCTCCTGTGGCTGGAGGGGTGGGGGGCACACCGGCCTCGGCGTCGGGGACGATTACGGGAACTGGAGGAACTGGGGGAACCGGGACTGGGAATGCGGCCGGTATGGGTACGCCGAGTAGGACGGGATTCGCCTTGGGGGAAGAGCGTACGTTGGGCTTGGGACTTACAGGGGTGGTGAGGGGGAACGGACATGGGCCTGGGCCTGGGAATGGCAATGGCAATAGCAATGGGGGCGTGGGGGTAGGGAAGCTGACCTGAGGGACTGGTTATGTTGCATACATTCATGTATTGGGAAGGGAGGAAGTGTAAAATAACTAGCTGATGGAGAGCTCAATCTATAATTTCTCATTCCCGATTCGTCGCCCCCGATTCGCCGCCCTCAAGCTTTTTTTCAGAAAAAAGGTGAATCTCACAGGGCTGGGTGGGGACAGTCCCAACGAATTAAGGCAATTCGGGATTACAGCCGGCGAAAATAATGGAATAGATCGTCAAGTCGGCTATGAGTAGCGTCGACACCATTCGACAACAGACGAACACCGCGTCCACTCTCCAACAGCTCAGGGCCCGGGCCTCATCAGGCCTTCTCCAACGGCTCAGGGCACACGATAGAGAGTACGTCGTTTGGACCATGCCGTGGGTAGTATCGGAGCAAAATTGCGGCAGGCCCACTAGTTTTGTGTCGAAAATAAACCTCCCGACGTGGGGGTCGAACCCACAACCTTCAGATTGCTCCCGGGACAAAGCTTAAAAGTCTGACGCTCTGGCCAATTGCGCTAGTCGGGATAAGGTACATAAGTGAATTTTCCTAGACATATGTATTTCTCTTGCTCAACATTTGGGTACGGTGGTCACACCCTCTTCCACTGTCCCAAATTGAAGAGTTATGACTTCCTTTCCCTTAATGAAACTCGCTGGGCTCTTATGCACTGGTAAAAGAAATAAGGTTAGAGTTTCCAAGAAGTAATACTCCAACTCCAGGTCCGTAACGCTCCATCCCATACGGGCGGTTGATTCTAACGACCATTTGTTCGCAACTTGTGTACAATAGCTTAAAAAACAAACAAAGTCCTTGTGATGATACTATAGAGTCCTTTCTCTTCCCTCGGCACTATGCCCGCACAATGCCTCCCTCCTAGAACCCCACCCGCATCTCCTCCAACAATCCCGCCAGCCGGTCTTGCACCGCCCAGTCCTGCGTATCTCCCCTAGCAGCACCGAGCCGTGCCCAGGGGATACAGTACCCTCCGTTAAGATGGCGAGCGTTTTCGCAGGTCGCGGCCCATAGGGTTGTGAGGGCGCCGTACTCAGCAGGGTAGAGCATCCAGTTCTGCATCATGGGAGTCAGTGATCTGATACGATTAGCCAAGCAGGACAGGGACGCACGGTGAGTACGTTCTGCCATTTGGGGGCAGAGCGCGAGAGGTCGGTCTTGATCCCTCCCGGATGGATGGCGGCGAATACGATCCCCGTAGAGGGGCCTAATGTCCGTGCGAGGTAGTTCGATATGATCACGTTCGCCTGTCCTCCGCATTAGCCAAGCTCTATTACAGGTAAACAGTGGGACGCACCATCTTACTCCCCGCGTAGAGTCCCCAACCTCCCGCTCGCTTGCGCACTGTATCACGCACGTCACGCGGTACGGACGGCTGTATAGCCCACCAGTTGAGCGTCGATGCTGGTGCAAAATGGTGCGCGTTGGAGGAGAGTGTGAGCACGCGCACGCCGATACGGGTCATGGCTGCCAGCTCTTGTTCTTCTTGCGTTTGCACAGGGACGGGCTGCGCGTGTGGTTGGCCGTCTGCTGCTGTTGAGGACCTCCCGCTGGAGCTAGACGCGTGCGAACCGACGGTCCGGGCGAGGGAGGGAAGTGAGTCGACGCTGCTCGCCGGGCTGGGGACGATGGGCAACAAGCACACTGTCTCCCTCAACAGAGGGAGGAGGAGCATTGTCAAATGCCAATGACCCAGTGCGTTCGTAGCGAACTGTGCATCGTGGCCCTGTGCCGAAACTTCCATGCTGCCAGAGCCGGGAAGTAGGATAGCGGCGTTGTTGATCAATAGATGGAGGCGGTCGTTAGCCTCGATGTAGGCAGTAGCGGCTCGCCGAACGGAGGCGAGGTCTCCCAGGTCGAGGGGAATGAACGTTACGCGCTGGGAGTATCCCTCGGCGCTGAGCTCGCGTAGGACACGTTCGCCCTTCCCGCTCGAACGGGCCATGAGGCAGACATGTGCGCCGGCGGCAAGGAGGGAGCGGGCTGTGGAGAGCCCAATACCGGATGTGCCGCCTGTGATGAGGGCACGAATGCCCGGGAGAGGGGGAATGTCCCGGGCGGGGGAGAAGGAGGGCGATGGGGGGAACATCTGCTGCAGATGACCCATCGTTGACAGCCGGCCGGACTTGGAGGGCATTTTTGTCGATTTCTAGATACTGGTCGATGGGTGATAGACGGGACGATGGCGTTGGATGGTTTGTGCGGGGTATAGCAGTGGTCACTCCAGGCGACGTAGTGACCAGCACCTAAATAGAGAGAGAGAGAAAGAGAAAGAGCCAAAGGGCGTGTTAGAGAGGATAAGGGATCATGGCGCAGAGCGAGCGCTTGACTACGAGCGCCGAGCCTGCTCGTCCGTTGGTAACCATTTGCGAATAAATGCCGGCAAGCCGGCGGTATTGATGACCACAGCCAGGGTAACATGAAATGAACTGATGATTGACGCCATGGCAGTCCTCGGCTGATTAATTCCAGTGTAGGATGCCCCGTAGGGACGAAGGGACAGCCCAGTGTCATGCATCGAGAAGCCTGAAAAGGGGGATCAGCACGGGTTATCCAGGGCTACGAGGTAAAAATTGATGCAGGTGAGACATGGAACGGATCCATACTCGGGCATCCGTCACCTGCCCGAAAAATAGGAACACTTCTTGCACCTGAAACACCTGTGCTCCTTGTGGTCTCACAGCTGGGGCACTCACATAAGCATATCATTGTCCATTGTCAGTACTATCCAAATCTGGCAACTGCAAATGAAATACTGTCAAGCTCTAGTGAGCACATTGCATTTGCAGCACCGTTCAACCCCAGCATAGGTGAGTTAAGCCATTTGTGGGCCGATTCGCCAAAACTGACAATTGTCATTGTTCCATGCAAGCATGGAAAAAACAAGGGGGGGCAAAAGCAGAGAACTACATGGCATAACAAACCTTCACACATCCACCGGAATGACCAGAGGTGTGCCACTGACTGTGCCTGCTCCATTGTCCATCTCACTGTTCCCCCTAACCAACCCAACAATCCAGCTTATGGCAGCCATAATGAATCCAAGAATGTTGAACTTGTCACCCTCTGCCTAAGATCAGAGCCTGAGAATAGAAATGATAGGACAAAAATATTCACAGAAGAACTTGCCTAGGGGAATGCCAAAGAACATGGTGATGAGCACCCATCCAGCAACGATGCGCCACACCTGACTGTTCCTCACATGGCAGTGAATGCCACACCAGCTGCTGGAACAGCAGGCAATCTGGTAATGGCAATAGTTGCAGAGTCAGGAGAAGAAGAGGAGGGAGGCTTCTGTGAGATACTCACAGCCATTGCACAATGCTTCAGCAAACTGTTTGCCACACATGTTGCCCAGGACACACTGATGCTCCACATCATAGTGTTAGGGCAACACAGGCTGACTAAGTCTGCTCACCTAAGAGTGCCAAGAGTCTAAGCAGGCAACAAGGAAGTGGAGTAGACCTGA